AGATTCAAGTTTATATATATTTTAAAGCTAATAGTATACAGAATGACAATCATGTATCCAAGAACAGCTTGAACACGACGATACCACCGAATCCGTCTATTCGCTAATTATGATATTTAATGAACACCCGAGAAATTCGGCTTCGTTCACTCTTGTTTCGAAATGAAAATATTATAATTGAAATTTCTAAGATTTATTCGTTGAAATAGAAACGGGATTTCGAGAACGAGCACCGGTTCCGTCGGACGGATTCGTCGTGGTAATTTTCAAGCTCAACTACTGACCGTCGATTATTTATTTATAATATCATGTATAATACACTTCTCCCGAGATTTCTCACTTTATACACATCCTCCCTGCGTTTGTACTTGTCGAACGCTAAGAAACATCCGTCCCGTCGACGTAGGATTCTTTCGTTATCGAAAGAAAAGAATCCTGCCTCGAAGATCCCATCGTTCGAATTGTCAGGAAAATGATTTCTCTGATTTTTGTCGGGAATAAATTTGCAGGAAATTCCTATCGATACTCACCGTGAAACGGAACAGCGATAGAGTCCGCGGCACAAAATGTATTTCACTGTGGTTCTTACGCAGGCCTGTCCAGACCCAGAGCTTCCTGGTGTCGTCTCGCCTTCAGCCTGAGATCGGCGATGCTGCTGTTCTTGGATCGAGCCGCGGCCGCGGCCAGGGAAGCCGCCAGGCTCAGGGGATGAGGGTGCGGATGAGCGGAGCTAGGCGGCGGCGGAGGTGGAGGAAGACAGAACAGTCCTCCGGCGGCCGCGTAATGAAGAACCGCTGGGTCGAAGGCGGAACCTGCTGCGGTCACGTTACCCCCTGCACCCTGCATCGGGGGATGAAGCCTCAGAGCTGGCAGGTACGGCGCCACCCGGCAGGGTTCCAAGCTGGTCGGAGGGCTGCGCGGTGCCAGCACCATTCCACCTGCTACCCCTGCGATTTTATCGGGTGAGTTGTTTGAATCTTGGCTCGAAAAATTGAAATATTCGGGTAACATTTCGACGCACCTTTGTGCAATTGACTCTCGTGCTTGCGACACTTTGCCCGTCGGTTCTGGAACCACACCTGAACCCTCGCCTCGCTCAGACCGAGTCTCTGGCTTAATTCCTCTCTCATGAACGCGTCGGGATAATGAGTCTCGTCGAACAACCTCTCCAATTCGGCCAACTGTTCCAAAGTGAAATTCGTTCGGGATCTTCTCTGTTTCCCGTTTCCGTTTCCGTTGTTCCGACAGTTCGAACCTGAAAAAGTCCCGGCATTGTTCCTAAATTATTTTTCTTTCGAACGAGGATTAATTCATCAGAGAGTGAGATCGTTTTTATGGGAACCGATTAACGAGACGAGTCGGTAGGAAACGTCGAATTAATGTTCCCGGCTCGTTCACAGCTCATTTCTTTCGGTCTGGCCAGCATCGACATAAATTCCGCTCGTTTACGAGCATGTTATTCAAATCGCGCGACGAGAAGTTCCGATTAGGTGGCATTAGAGACGCGTCGACTCTGAATACGACTTCTATTTTTCTACCCTTAAACTTTCTCGGGAAGCACTGGAAAAATGTCATTACAATATTTTCCCTTGCAAACGACCGAAGTTGAACGAATCATCAACGATAAAAAGATAAGTCGAATAACTTAGATTTTAGAATAAATTAGACGACCTCTTTACACTTTTCAATGCTTTTCCGACTAATTTAAAGTCTCTTCGCAAACACCTAAGGATTCCTTCAAGGATCAATTATCCGTTGGTCAACGCGTTAATTACTCCGGTCATCATCGGTCTGCCGTAAAAACATTCGGCGAATATTTGATGCAAAGAAAAGGAGCCACAAGTATCAGCTGAGGCGACTGGAGAGATAATTAACGGGCGTACGATTTAATTAATGGCTGCTTAATGCTAAGTAACTACGGTACAAGTCTCGAAGGTGTTGCCGATGGGAGACGCTCCCCGTCGCATCCGTTGAACGCGAGAGAGGAAGATGGCGACGGTGGAGGGTTTGAGGGTGGATTAAGCGTCTCGCGTAAGAGCCCTTGACGAACGGGATGTGATTTATATAATTTAGCAAAGTGGTGAGCTACGCAGTCTTATACAAGGGTCGTTAGTTACCCCTCACCCTTTCTCACCACCTTTAATCACCCATTCCCTTTCTATCGATGTTTCCTATCGGACAAATGTATTAATTTCAACAAAATTTACAAGATAACAGGAAACCACCCTTGGTTTATCGTTTTCGACAGCTGCGTCCCTGTCTCATTACTCGCAGCGATCGTTTAAAAGGAAGAAAAGTTAATATTTACGAACACCCGTGTTCGTTGTGCTCGCAAATTGCAACAACAGAAAAAAGGGGGGCTGCGAGCAAATAGCGAGAATCATAACGTCGATAAAAAAAAAGTGGGACGGACGGTCCCGATTAAAACAGCCGGAGAAATTACAAGGATCGGAGAGCGGTACGGTCGCGATGACAACATAGCGTTGCGCTTTAATCAATTATAACGCGTACCAACGTAATCCAATCGGAGGGATGGCAGAGCGAAGCCCGCATCCATATGTACAGCGGTTTAAAACCCCTGCTAGCAAAATAACTCGCGCGGTTTACGGACCCATTCTCGTTCCAGTCATCCGCCCCCTTCGTCGTCGAACTTCCACCTACCCTTTCACCCCTTCGCTATCATTTGCACGATACGAAATTTTTAATATGCCGCTTCAATTTTTTGATTCGCCGCTGGAGATAAGAACGAAACGGAGATCGTAGGTGTAAATCTTCGAGAGGAGAAGACGAAGAGAGGAAAAGGTTTGCTGGAAAAACCGAAGCAATCACACTCGGACACGAGGGGCCGGTAATTCGATTACTAAGAGCGCTGCCCTCTTGGCCTGATCCAGTCAAACCACCCTCGAGCCTCGCCGATCGTCCCTGATATCCCTGTTATTTTTCCCCCTCGCGAAAAAGCAGCCGAGATATCGTAGCCATTAACCGTATAAATGCGTCCGGACAAGCCTGTTTAACCCCTCTGCCACTTTGTCGCGTACGCTGTAACTGCGTATGGCACGCGGTCCTCCGATTTCATGAATAACTGACGACCCTGAAGAGGAAGGATTAAACAGGTACCCCTTTTTCCTTTCCTACTCTTCCTGGATCGAGTTAATTTTTCAACAGCCAATTTTTCTTACAGGAATTTTAATAAATAAATCATCGATTTTGGAAGGAAGAAGAAGCGGGAAGATTTATAAGGGTGCAACGGTTGAACGTAAATATCTGGAAAAATTCAGCCACTTCTCGAGGGGAAGTAAGTCTGCCGGGCCATCGCCATGACTCAAAAACTTACGGGGTAGTAAACATACGAGTTTGACCCTTGGTCAAGTAGAAACGCCGGGGAATATCGTGGCTAACGTTTGGAAAGGCGCGCAGAAGATCGAAGCGAGCGAGATCAACGCCAAGTCAGACGAAGTGGTTGCTCTCGAAGAACGCGGTGATCTACTGCGACACCCAGCCTCTTTCCCTTCGCTGATATTTGTTACGTCCGGCGAACTATCATTCTTCCCTTTGAAATATCGTTTCCATTCTCTTGTTTCGCTTGTAACGGTGTCGAAGAACGGAACCGATCATCCGCTTCCAGTGATATTTTTTTCTTTCCATAAAAGAAAAGAAAAAAGCATCGTTGTTTCTTCTTCAGCTGGTGTTTATTTATGGTTTTACTTGGCGGCGTCCGATGGCTGCCGGCCGGGTAGATTGCTTTTTGATTTGCGCTTAATCGGGAAAAGTTATGGGCCCTCGAGAGATAGAGGAGGGAAAAGAGGAAGGGAGAGACGGGTAGAGTGCTTTTCCACCCTGTTACCGGGGGCGTACACAACTAACGCGGCGGGCCGCATATTAAACCATAAATTCATGCGAGCCGCGGCCGCAATAGACGCCGAGTTATCGCGCCGAGGAGGGCGAGTGGCGTTTTACTTTGAACACCGTCACTTTTTAACGGGATTTTCATTCGACCTGGCCGAACGTGCGTTCGCTTTCCATCCAATTTACCTGACGCGTATGTAACCCACCCCCACCCCCTCTCTCTCTTCCACGATTGCATTTTTTATCGACCCCGTTTCGAATTGCCGGTCCATCCTTCGTCACTGTTTGCCCGCTGCGACCACCGTTGTTCCTCCATCGTTTCGATGCCCCTTTCCTTTTTTTTTCTTTTAACGTTCTTGTAAATTACTGGGGTTCCAGGATTAGAAACTGGAGCTCCTTGGATTTCGATCAGAGGGTGGTTTTTCGGAGAAGATTCTGAAGAGTTTCTTAATTTTTTAGACAATATAGGAAAGAGAGAAAGGAAGAAAAGCGCAAGTGGTGCTGTTTGATGGCTGTTATTGAAGTTGACTTGGCATGTGGGTAAAATTGGAGGTCGACGGTCGTTACGTTGCGAACGGTCAGCTATTTCCCAATCGCTTCTGAGCTTTATTGGACGACGTACTGAATTATAAACGAACATCGAACCCTTCGACGAATCCCACCACCGACGGGTATCGTCGAAGGTTCCTGACCTTCCTACACGACTACCTTACTTCTGTCAAAATTCTTGAAATCTTTAGCAACGAAGAAGACCGTAGAAAATTGTAATAATAATAATTTTTCTTACCTTTCGATGATTCTTCCTGATTTTGTACCAAGGATCTCGATCCTTGCGACGGAAGTTTCAGTTCGGGCGACGATTTCACCTCGTTCGGGCTCTGATTTTTTAATTCCCCGCAGTTTTCCGGACTGGCCGATCTGTCTCTGGATATCGGAGGCGGCGATGGACTGCATCCTAATAATTTCCTCACTGATAGTTTCAATTCTGGCGTTTTCAGAGGCGGCAGACTCTCGCCGGTGTCTTTGATCTCTTTGGTCTTGGTAGCGACGGAGAGGTCTTCCGGTTGCAGCCGTGCTTCCGGCGACGGCGGCTCGTCCACGCTGCTCGCGTCCACGCTTGATTCCTGAGCGGATTCGCGTGTACTCGCGCCGACATCTGGAGAACGATTGCTTCGAATCAATCTAGAGGTATTTTCTTATTTTATAATGAGAAAGCTTAAAAGGACATAGAAATCGAAGTACTTTGACAGAATTGGAGATGGTTTTCAAATTGAAAAATCAAATCGAAGACCGAGAGTTTGCGGAGGAAGGATCTACTTGCGCGTTTGCGATATTCCTGAAGACAAACAGAAGGAAGCGATTCCTGCACGAAGATCGATTGTTTACCAATTCAGTTATTGGAGAAAGGAGTTTTAGGTAAATCTATCGAAGCTTTGCAAAGATGATAGAAGAGCTTTCGAAATAATAACATTTCCACCAGCAGATGTATCCATCAAAGACCCCAAACAAAACCACCGTCACTTTGTCAACTAGCTACCACCCACAGACACCTTCAAACGAAACCACACGAAATAATGATACTTAAAACCAAATTAGGGTGAAGATAGAAAGAGCACCCTTCTATGATTAAGCATAACATCCTTATCACCCACAAACACCGTCGAACTGAAACCATGACAACGTACTGGAATCGTTCTCCGCAGGATCTCCTAGCAAATGCGCGACACTGAGGGTAATCCTCGCGGAGGGTGGTCGTTCAGCGTTCCTGCAAACGTGTCCGTCGCTGGCGGTCAGGCTCGCGTTGTTGAAACTCTTGGAGACGAACTGGGCGAGCTGCTCCATCCTCGTGGAGAAGACTCGCGCGACGACGCGCCTCGCGTCCACCTCGTCGTCGAGGACGAGAGTCGCGAAGGGGGTTAACGGAGGTGGCTCGACTCTCGGCACACGGAGTCGCATCGCCACGCGTCCCCCAGGGACGCCATTCGGACGCCGGCCAATCGAGTAACTCGTAGGCGGGCCGCGTCACGCCCACTTTCCCGGTCTATCTCTCTTCCTCGTTTCGTCTCCGTCCCTTTCGCTCCTCCCTGTCTCTCGATCTCGCTCTACCCGTCGTCTCACCCTCTACCCCTCCACGATTACTCAGCCTCCCTGCTTCGAGCAGACTAGTAAACCGAGGCTCATTAGCATTTGCGCCCGCTTTTCCACCCGTGAAGCGCAAACTACCACCTACCAGATGGCCAACCAGCCTACGCCGACCATCGTTTCGCTATATTCAACCCCTGTGTAGCTTGCCAGCCACGTTTACGAGCCTCGCAACCACCCACGCTAACCCTACGTCGACGCCGCGACGTTCTACCCTCCTACACTGTTTCATCGTCTTCCACCCTCGCGGATAGGTGAGAACTACTCGGCATCCTGTTGACGATGTTTACAGCCTGTGATATACACTCTCCCTGCCACCTGGGGGATGATTAGCGATTTTAAACGATCGACCTGATCGTTGACGAGGATCGCCTCTGGTCGGTAGATTTATTTCTTCTTATGAAACGACAACCGCGGAGTTAGATCGTTGAAAAAGGGACAAGTGGTTATAGGTGTTGGATAATATTTGTCCAGCGATGTTCTACATAGAAATGGCCGTGTAACAGCCCTTTGCCACGCCAGCCGCGTCGCGAGTCTGGGACGTGGAGTGTCTCGTGTTTGCCGCTACCAAACTCGGCAATATTTAAATGGGATTGCGTTCGGCAATGTAATTGCCTGGGCAAACACGGCTCCGTGCTACGCTGGCTAGGATATGGACAGAGAGACAGGGCGGCTCGAGCGAAAACGAAGGGTGTAGAAGGAAAAAAAGAATCGCACCCTTGTAAACATTAACGCTATTTCCTTTTACACCTTGCGAATAGCTTCATCAGGGATCGAACGATCCTCCTTAAAAATATTTTTCTATTAGATCCTGGAAGCATAAAATCATCCGGCGACCTTGAAAAAAAAACACAGGGCCCAAGATGAGAAAAAACGACAGGACGGACCAGGAAGAGAATTAACACACGCGGAAACGAAGAGGAGGGAGAAAGAAGATCGCGTGGAGGTTGGAAACGGCGCATGGTAGAGGGTATGGTCGTATAACGCAGGCAGACTGAGCCAATCAGGGCGCAATGCGATTACCTTAACGAGAAATCCGATTACTTATTCATTCGCCTAACTCGAAATCAGTTTAACTAATCGTTTAATTCGGTAGCTACCCCTCCGAACGTTTTCGAGGCAGACGCGATGCCATGCCCCGTGTCTGTGGAACGGTTTTGTTGGGTGTGGTGGCCATGGGTATCTCCGTCCAACCTGCCTGGCCAAATAGACCCGCACACGCGCAACCACCGTCTCTACACGTGCTTTCACCCCTTAACCGTGGCCCATGGCGAGACGGAGAAAGACGGAGAGGTGGTAGTCGGTGGGGAAACAGCCATAGGAGAGAGGCCTCATTCAATTCAATTACGTAATGAATTGTCGTGTCTTGAGTAAACACCCTTCCTCACCGCGACTCGCCGCCGGAAAATCGACGGTAGGGGGATACCTACCACTTGCAGGAGGGGAATGTCGTAGCTGGATAACCACCGTGTATAGTCTCGTTCAGGTATGGTGACTTTATTCGGGTGAAATGGTCCGTGCTCGGGTCAATTGACGAGCACCTCCGTTTTCATCCCTCGCCTCGGTTCGTTCCTCCACTGCAGATCGTATAAATGATATAATATTTAGAAAAAATCATATATTTTCTGGGCTGCGCAAGTTAAACGATTTCTTTCCTAAACTTTTCATTTGTATTTTTCGATATTTCAGGTTGAAAATTTTTGATCCCCCGAAACGAAGTTTTACCAATTTCTGTATTGGGACCTACATAATCAGAGTGCCATTTATGAATAAAGCTGTACCAAAATGGGCACCGTTTCCAAAGCTTGCAAATTCATCTTCGCCAAGTCCTTAGATTCTCTTATGCCTATCTTCTCCTTTGAACATCACCCACGGAGGTGTGCACCCTCGCGTGGATCTCAGGAACATCGATATTTCTAGCCTCCTCTCGTTTGATTTGGAGAGACAGTAATTTAGGTGTTCTGTTGGAATTAACAGGGGTTACTTCAGGTTTGCACAGCTACCGGAAACGGTCAACGATCAAAGGAAGCTCGATTGATTTTAGTAGGAACTTTGGCGGAGCTCTTATTCGACGACGATGGATATCGATTTAATATCTCGTTCTATGAATTTTCAAAACACAAAACGATCTATACTTACTTCATTACTTATTTTGAGAACCAAATTTCCGATGTAGGGGGATTTTATCCCCGAACAATCCATGGCATCTTTCTGGTCCAGACTCCAAATTCCCAGTTTAATTTCGACAAAGGTATCCACCTACGATCAACGATGAAATAAACGGCCTATGGTTAATTTATAGATCATATTTGAACGTAAAGTAACCTGCCACAGGAAAATGGACAGCATTCAGTGTTCCTCAGAGGTTCCAACGTAGTGCGATCAGCGATTAAAGAAAACGTAAGAACCTTTTTATTCTGGAAATCGAAGAAACCCGTCGAAATTGGTAGCGGAAACTGTGGACAACCAGCGCCGAAAAAGATCGTCGAGCCTTGCAAAGGATGTCCATCGGAGTGTCTGGATGAGAAACCTGCCAAAAGAAAAATTTTCAGTTTCAAAAAGCGTAAGGTGATAAAAAAGAAACCTAGCAATTGCGAACAGGTAAAACCAGTCGAAGAGAAGTTGACCTGGTGGGAAATGATCTTTGGACCAAATCCTAAGAGGTCCTGGCCAGATCCTTGCACCTGTAGATTGGCTCATAGACAAAAGAGGATGTGTCGTGCTCGGGATAAAAGATTGAACGATTCGCGATATCAAGAAACAGCAGGTGATGTGTTTATATATACCGAACCGGTTCAAGAAAAGAAACGCCCTTACGAGGAACCGCAGCCAAAAGCACCCCCTTCCTTCAAGGTACCCACGGGGGTGCAGTTCAAAAGGATGTGTATGAACGAAATAGTAAGAATTAATGACATTATTTTGATATATAAAATTACAATTAATTTTTCTAATTATAGGCGTTACTCGATCGTGAAATGGCTAAGGACGAAGGAGTGCCTGTAATAACTAAACGCTATAGAATTCCGTACGAAGAACTGAGACCACCAGAAAAAAGAAGAGGAATGTTTAGTTGTCAACGAGGGATTCGATCGGAAGATATTCTTCGACCAATTGAAAGAAACACAAATTTTTATGGAACGCCTCTTCCCATTGTTCAGCATTTGAAGGTTTGTAAGAACCTCGAGCCCACGAAGAAGATGGAGATACCTTTACCTGAAACCAAGGTCAATGTAAATCAAGCGCCTCAGAAACGTTCCAGGATAGAACAACTGAAATTTCTTGTTCAACAGAAAGAAACCCTCCGTTGTATGTCTCCAACAGCTTAAAGTATTTTGGAATGGACCAAAAAGATGTATACAATTAAGTGTTATTAAATTAATGTGAAATAAAATTTTTGCATAATACGTGGTTAAATTTCATTTTAATAATAAGAGTCCTAATGTATACAAATTGCAAAATTATTGAACTAATTATTTGATAAACTCGTAGTTTAAAAAAATTGTGAGAAACGAAGTTAAGTAGATTGAATAACTAAAATGATAGAAGAATTTAAGTTAATTAAATAAATAGCTGAGAAAAGAAATTACGAGCATTACATAAATAACTCAGAAATAAAATTGGGTAAATTAAATAATAACTCAGTTGCTTTTTTCAAATGATTTATTTAGCGAAGTGCATGAAGTGAATATAAGTTTGTCAAATAATTACAATAATAATTGTTCAGTTTTGTGCTGCTTTTGACTGATTTAAAAAAAAATCATCGGGGCTGTCAAGAACGCCGATGCATTTCTGCAGTCTGGCCTGATATCATATGGGGTGTCAGGGACCCCGATGCATCTCTGCACGCTGACCTGATATCATATGGGGTGTCAAGGACCCCGCTGCATTTCTGAATAAGAAACGAGTGTGTACATAGTCCATGTCCAGTGAAACATCATCAGTATTATAGCGACCGCCCAGGAGTGCAGATCTACCTGCTAAACATATCCATACATTCTTTTCATCTCTACATTCCTTACATCGCTTCATCCCTTATATCCCTACATGCCTTACATCTCCTTATCCCTTACATTCCTACATTCCCTACATCTCTTCATCCCTTATATCCCTGCATTCTTATCATCCCTACATTTCTTTCATCCCTACATTCCTTACATCGCTTCATCCCTTATATCCCTACATTCCTTACATCTCTTTATCCCTTACATCCCGACAGTCCTTACATCTCTTCATCGTTTATATCCCTACATTCTTTTCATCTCTACATTCCTTACATCTCTGCTTCCCTTACATCTCTGCATCCCTTACATCTCTGCTTCCCTTACATCCCTGCATTCCTCACATCCCTACATTCCTTACATCGCTTCATCCCTTATATCCCTACATTCCTTACATCTCTTTATCCCTTACATCCCGACATTCCTTACATCTCTTCATCCCTTACATCTCTGCATCCCTTACATCTCTGCTTCCCTTACATCCCTGCATTCCTCACATCTCTACATCCCTTACATCTCTGCATTCCTCACATTCCTGCCTTCTTTATATCCCAACATCCCTTACATGCCTGTATTGTTTACATCCTTGTATCACTTATATTCCTGCATTCCATACATCCCAGTACCTCCCTGAAGTTGAGTTGAAATTTTTGCGGCTATAAGGCCTGCGATTTTATACAAATTTAGTTCCTTTTTTCGCCGCCAGAGGGCGCTGATTCGACATCGAAATTTTAGTTCACATTTTTGCCGCAAGAGGGCCAGAAATTGAGCATGATTTGGTTCCTTTTTTCGAAACCAGATGGCGCTGATTCGACGTCGAATCAGCGCCATCTGGTTTCGAAAAAAGGAACTAAAGCTGGCCAAAATTTTGGCCCTCTAGCGGGAAAAATTGGAACTAAAATCTCGACGTCGAATCAGCGCCCTCTGATGGCGAAAAAAGGAACTAACTTACCTTTACTTACCGTTCCTCGAAGCAGTCTTTATAATATATTTATTATAAGGGATGTAGGGGTGAAAAGAATGTAGGGATGAAAGGAATGTAGGGATGAAAAGAATGTAGGGATGGAAAGAATGTAGGGATAAAAAGAATGAAGGGATGAAAGGGATGAAGAGATGTAAGGAATGTAGGGATGAAAGGAATGTAGGGATGAAAAGAATGTAGGGGTGGAAAGAATGTAGGGATAAAAAGAATGTAGGGATGAAAGGAATGTAGGGATGAAAAGAATGTAGGGATGGAAAGAATGTAGGGATAAAAAGAATGTAGGGATGAAAGGGATGAAGAGATGTAAGGGATGAAGAGATGTAAGGAATGTAGGGATGAGAAGAGTACATGGATGGAAACAATGAAGGGATGAAAGGAATGTAGGGATGAAAAGAATACAGGGATGGAAAGAATGTAGGGATGAAAAGAATGTCGGGTGTGGCCCCCGATGTCAGCGGAGTTTGGAACATGGCGAAGAGCCAAAGGACCCTCCCTGCCGCCCTTGTGCAGGCCACCGTGGTGGTTTTAGTGGGTAAAAATCCCACACTACCTTTGGCCCCTCCCCAGGGGGGGGCGGAAGGTGTCTTTCTGAAGATTTCCACCACGTTAAATAAAAAAAAAAAAAAAACTGGGTATTTCAGGGTTACAGGAATGTAAGAAATGCTGTGATGGAAGGAATGCAGGGATGTAAGGGCAACTGAGATAGCCTTGGCCTATAATGAGGGATAAAATTATATAACTGACTGGAAAAAGTATATTAAATGTGGTCCACGGCTGGGACCCAGGAGAGGAATATAATCATAAATGTTATTCGCTTCGATGAGCTTATTTAATAAGCAAAAAAAATAAATGAAGTAAATTAAATAAACTCTGGACAAAACTTATACTGGTTGTACCCTCTTCATACGGTCCTGCTATTGTTCGGGGTGTCCGAGACCCCAATGCACCAATGACTCTCTTTACATGCCGACATTATGGTATCTGGGGCTCTCAGGACCCCGAGATGCAATTCTGGGGCTCTCAGGACCCCGAGACACATTTCTGGGGTTCTTAGGACCCCGGGATACGATTTTGGGGTTCTTAGGACCCCGGGATATCGTTTTGGGGTTCTCAGGACCCCGGGATACGGTTTTGGGGTTCTCAGGACCCCGGGATATCGTTTTGGGGTTCTTAGGACCCCGGGATACGGTTTTGGGGTTCTTAGGACCCCGGGATACGGTTTTGGGGTTCTCAGGACCCCGGGATACGGTTTTGGGGTTCTCAGGACCCCGGGATACGGTTTTGGGGTTCTCAGGACCCCGGGATACGGTTTTGGGGTTCTCAGGACCCCGGGATACGGTTTTGGGGTTCTCAGGACCCCGGGATACGGTTTTGGGGTTCTCAGGACCCCGGGATGCAGTTTTGGGGTTCTCAGGACCCCGGGATGCAGTTTTGGGGTTCTCAGGACCCCGGGATACGGTTTTGGGGTTCTTAGGACCCCGGGATACGGTTTTGGGGTTCTTAGGACCCCGGGATACGGTTTTGGGGTTCTTAGGACCCCGGAATGCAGTTTTGGGGTTCTTAGGACCCCGAAGCAAGTAGCGAAATATAAGAACGAAAACCGAACAAATCGTGAAACTCACTTGTTCGGAGTAGTGATGGGTTTGACCGGATCTAGCGAAATATAAGAACGAAAAACGAACAAATCATGAAACTCGCTTGTTCGGGGTAGTGATGGGTTTGACCGGATCTAGCGAAATATAAGAACGAAAAACGAACAAATCGTGAAACTCGCTTGTTCGGAGTAGTGATGGGTACGACCGGATCTGTAGCGCATGCGCTCTACAATTATTTATTACAGAACATGCTTGTAAATAATTAAGAAATTATTATGAAAATGATAGATTTGCAAATCACAAACGATTTCCAATCAATTACAGTTATCAGTTATTAGATAATCTGTTTATTATAACAAATTACTGAAAAGTTTCGGCTCACATCATGATTGAAATAAAATTGCTAATTACAATAGAACTAATTTGCCACAGACGTTAAAAATAGACTCACAATCAATCACAAATGACTTACAAACGAAATACACTAAGAAAAATTAAAAATAATCATATTTTATTATTCCTTCCGGCTAGCTTCATGTAGGTGATATCATAAGGGGTGTCAGGGACCCCTAGTATTTCTATATACCGCCCAGTTATCGTCTGGGGTGCCAGGGACCCCAAAGCACCGGTGACTCTCTGCATACCGTCATGATATTCTACGGGGTATCAAGGACCCCACGGAACCCGTCGCGCCATCTATAAGAGAAAGTCGGAAACTACTCGTCGAGTAGTTTCCGCCATCTGTTAATAGGTGGCGCTATTGTTCCCTTATCCTGGAGTCGGTAACTTGTCAAGTAGTTTCAGCCGTTCTCGTACAGATGGCGCTAAGATTGAAATTAAAACCTTGTTGACGGTCTTTTTAAAATACAAGTTTATGAACACAAGTTTGTCAAGGAATTATTTTAATAATATTCTGGCCTTATGTTAATTGGACTGATTTCAAAGAAAATAGAATCAAAGGGTGTCGAAATTGTATCTTTTCAGTTCTCTGTGCAATGCGTGGTAAAAGGGGAACAAGTAAGACAACTGTCACACCGACTGTGCTCTGTACATACATCCATATCTAACTTCACCTGTGGGGGTGTTTGAGACCCCTAAAATCGTGACTTCTCGAGAACAAAGGCATTTTAAAGTCTTTTTTGGATCTGTAGTCACTGATGGCGGCGTTGTTGCTCGGTGTGGACCCCTACAGGCCTGGCTACGGGGCAGTCAAATGTCTCGTAAAGGAACTCCCTCCGCTTGCAAGTCAAAACAAATCCCGCGAATATTTCGTAATCGACGAGGTTTGTGTTCGGTTCGAGGTTGGACGCACGGAGAAGTCGGAGTCGTAGGCGGTTCGGCAGGTTACAGTCAGTCGGGCCTGTTGCCCGCTTCGCCGGATGACGAGGAAAGGAAGGCAACAAATAAAAAAGAAAAACACAAAGGAAAAATCAACGACGAAATCGTAGAAACGACTGAGAAAGTGTGGATCAGGGATAAACAAGTGACAAACGTTGTTTCAAACGAACCGAACGTTGAAGCGATCGGTAAAACTGCCGATGTCGAGACTGTAGCCGACATCGAGAAATGGTTAAAAACGCGAACGGAATCCGTGTCGAGCATGGATCTCGACGCGATCAAATCCGGGGTCGAGGAGGGCGTCGACCGGTACCTGGGCGAGGAACTCCAGCACGCTTTTCTGGAAAAGGACCCTGACGGACTGTCGATCGACATAGATCTGTCCGACAAGAAACTAAGTTTAGGTTATGATCCCTTACTTCAGGAGCTTCAGCACGAGAAACTGCTCGATGCCTGCGAGAAAGATGGTTTCATGCTGCCGGAGTTCCAACTGGATCATTTAGATCCATTAGCTTTGTCTCCGGACGATATGATGGTTGCCGGTGAAATTTTACCGTCGACCAGTGCTCAACCTACTTTAAGTATCCCTAATGGGGATGCTGAAGGAATTTGTCCGGAAACAGAGCAATCTTCTTTAATAAAGAAATCTATTGTTGTAGAAAATCAAGAATCGCATGCTAAATCTCCAGTTCTTGTTGATGATTTGCATGATATTAACAGTTTGAACAAAGAGGAAGATATGCAGCTCCAAAAGAGTAGCGATTTATCAGAAAGCGCTGCTACTCTTTATGCAGAGGATTTTAATACAGAACCAGAAGAGGAGGGATTAGGAAATGCGAAATTAGTTTCAGATCCCTCTGAAAATGCTATAATTGAACAGTTAAAAACAAAAAGTAAAGCAAAGTTAGAGCCAAGAATTATCAAAAAGCGAAAGAAAATGTCTGAAAACGGAGAGAAGAAGTTAGAGAATGAGATTACAATGTCGGGAGAAGATGTTATAGATACTAAGGACGGTGTAATGGCTGTTGTAGCTATATCGACGGATAAAATTTCAAATATGACGCAGATTGTCATAAACACCGGTACAGAGGAACAGATATACCAAGGAAAAACCTCTGAGTTGATAGAAGCTACAGGAAACTTTCCAAAATTGCCAAAGTTAGAAACTTCGACCGCATGGAACGGTACGATGGAACATAACGTAGAGAATCCCAGCAATCAGCACGAAATGGTGATATCTAATGCGTTAGAAGAGTTAGGTATTACGGATGATAATTTACAACCAGTATCGGTTAACGAACAGGGAAAAGTGTGGCTCTGTCCACGGGATGATTGTAAGAGGCAATTTAGTAAACTTTATGCTTTGAAAGGTCACCTACTAGCACATTATGGTGTGAGACCTTTTAAGGTACCCACCGTTTATATAATATTCTGTAATTATTCTGTAATCTTGCAAAAATATTAATCTTTATTTTTCTTTCAGTGCGACTTTGAAGGATGTACTTGGGCATTTTATTCGGAGTTCAAACTTAAGCGGCATAAAGAGACGCATTTAAAGCGCAAAGACTATATTTGCAAGCGAGAGGGCTGTAATCGTCGATTTACTACAATTTATAATTTATGGAGCCACGAGAAATTGCACAGTCGTCCAAATAGGATATTATGCCAAGTACCAGACTGCCAGGAAAAGTTTCAAACGAAAAGAGCCCTCGAGTTACATATGAAGTCTCATGACCAAAGTCATGCCCCGTATGTTTGCAAGCACGAGGGATGCGGAAAGAGATACTACAGTAGCAATGCATTGACGTCGCATCAAAGATGCCATAGTTATAAGGAAATAGATGTAAAGTGTTCGTGGCCAGGCTGCGGTAAGGTGTTTGATAAACCTTGTAGACTGAAAGCACACCTGCGTTCGCACACCGGCTGCAAGCCTTACCTTTGTACATTTCAAGGCTGCCAGTGGGCTTTCTCGTCTTCTAGCAAATTGAAGAGACATCAAAAGAAGCACACCAACGAGCGCAAGTTCGTTTGCGACGTTCCTGCCTGTGGAAAAGCATTTATGAGATCCGAGCATCTGAAGGAGCATAGATTAACACACAAAGAGGGAAGATACTTTCAGTGTTTAATATGTAACGCTAAGTTTTCTGCAAAAAGTAGCCTGTACGTTCATATAAAGAAGCATCAAATTAAGGAAGGTGTCGAGACAAAGTTAAACGATACGGTTAACGGTCAGAAACGTACTAAGGTAAAGGAGACGCAATGTTCCAGGGTAAACCCGGTTGTGAAATCGAAAAGGAAGTCAATAGATCTGAACGTAAATATACCTTGTCTAGACTCGTCTACGGTAACAGTGAAAGCTGAATGTATCGATGAAAATGTGAAAAGTAACAATGAGAATCAAACTAAGGATACTTTAGTGCCTCCTCAAGATGAACCTAAAACTTTATACCACTGTCCAGTTGAGACATGTACACGTTCGTACACTACGAAAGCAACGTTAAGGGCACATATGTTGAAAATACACGGTACCCCTGTTGAAGATTGTGATAAATCGTCGAAAAGAATACCCGCGAGTCCTGTTTGTAATATGGACTACATTTTGTACACTACTCCTTCTGTATCTGAACCTACAGAGCAAATGATAATGGTAGCACCTTACGACGCGGTGATTCTTAGTACTGCTTCAGAAATAGATCACTCGCTTCCTGAACCAGAACCACCGCCCTTTAATAATGTATTAAAATTGACTGAACCTTCTTCGCATGTTGTCACCCGTAAACAAATATCTGATCAACATGTACGAAAAGATCAGGGTTCAGCAAGGACTGATTTAACGTTTTCTGATGTATGGAAATTGAAAGCGAACGGTGCTGTGTTCGATTCTGTTGTTGGAGCGTCTGATGTTGTGTTAGGTGCGAATGATTTAGAGGAAGGAAGTTTATTACTAACCGAGGAATTACCTTCGATGTATTATCACGATGACGTAGCAGGGACTGAATATCAGGTACTGCTACTTGATTCAATACCATCTGAAAGTACTATAAACCTAAGGGGACTTGAATAATAATATGTGAAAATGTGTTTGGATGTGGATGGAAACTGATCATTGTTATTTTTTAATATAGGATAAGTTTTAATATGGTCTGTGATCAAAAGGCTTGTTTTAGCCTTACATTCATTTATACTGCAGTCCATACTTGCTTCAAATCGTTATTTTATTAATAAATTGTTGCTATTTTTCCAGAAAGTTTATTCATTGTCCTATTGTACATAGCATTCCTGAAACCTTGTGTCTATAATGGCCAATGCATATAAAAATTGAATGTACAATTGAAAAAAAAAAAAAAAGATAGTTTTATTACCTATATCACTCAAGACTCGCTTAATAATAGTGGAAAATAAATTCGGAATGTTTCAACAACAGTCGTGTTATAATGTAGTGTAAGAATAATTGGACAAATATAAATTATATAAAATTAAATGCTTTCAACATTTATAAATGCGTTCACGTGTCAAAGATATTTTTTCATACATTATTATAGTGACAATAGCATGATATGTAATTAATGCTTTGAATAATGAATTATTAGCCATGGTACATATGCATTTATTTCCTAAATTTAAACGTTTAGTCATCTTTATTCCATTTATTATAAAAATTAGTATCTAATTTTTATAACACGCGGGACTTATGCATGAACACTCATGCAATTTCTTTCAAACTTCGATGCTATAAAATATACAATTTTTACATATGATATTTCAGTAATATTAATGATATCAAACTTCACAGTTTCTTTTTTACTGCTGTATATAGTTTGAGGAATACTATTTTGTTCTTAAATTATAAATAATCGTATTCGTACGTAAGCGTACATTTCTAAAGGTGTTTTTCGCGCTTTTTTGCTGTACCATAATACACGTTGTACAAACTGAGCGTATATAAAAGAAATAAACGAGCATGAAATTCTACTGCTATTATGTAATCTTATTAATATTAATATTGTCAATACGATATATTTCGTTCAACGAATCTGAAACAGGATACTAATTCCTTCTTTTATATGCGCTACTTATGTTTTAGCTCGATACAAACGGTAGTTAAAAATTGTAAATAACAATTTTCTTTAGAAATGTATCTTATAAATAATGTTCTAGCATTGCTAATTTTTAAACAATATCAGCATGTTTCTCTATATTAGGAATCTGTATCTCCATTCCTTCTAATTTCTTATCAATCTTTCGGTAGAACCGATTTTTCAATTTTTCTAAAAGGCATATTATGGAATATAATATGGTTATAAAAATAGCTTGACCCAAGCATACCAATGAAGATCGTACTGGTTTCTTCCAATCAAGGATTTTATAAATATAATGATAACCCTGTTTATCTAATCCACCTGCAAGGTAATATATTACCGAGAAAATAACGTAAAAAAATACAATGGTTAAGCACCACCAGAAATTCCTTAATCTAAATGGAATGCCCGTAATACAAAAGTCTATGATCATTAGAATACTGTTACAAACGTGTAGCATAATGTTCAACGGATCTAAATGATGAATCTTTGGATCGTAAACGCTACACCAGTAGGAAATCGTAACAACAATCGCGACGTTGGTAGTAACAACGTAAAGGAACCAGTAAACCCTGTCCGTTAATCCTAACATCAACGCGGAAGGATCAAAGTCGGATAATTTCTGTAGCTTCCATCTTCTCGAAACTAGAAAACCGCCGAGGAACGCTTGACACAGGCCCAATACTAAATCCCAATTGGTTAAATAAATTGGCCATTTATCGTATATTGGCATAGGATTGTAACTACCGTATTCGAATATCGAACAGACGATGATGGAAGCCCAGGCCATAAAGATTAACCAACGGTAAAGTAGATACCAGGTGGCAACGTGTTTTTGGCATCTTGGTTCGGTGAGGATTCGTGGATGCGGTGGTTCAACCTTCTTATGGAACCATTTCCTGCTTAGTTCCTGGCACCAGAGTTTGTTTACCATCGTTCGACGACCTGTAAATAAATACTCGTCATTGTAAATGAAATTTATTATTTAATATAAAAATAATAATACCGTCGCAACGTCCCTAGAGTTCGAGGAATACTGATCTACAACAAACCTGTTGGAAATTACGAAACATAGAAAACAGATTGTTACAATATCCCCCCACTAATCTCGTCAAGCTAACGTAATAATTGGACGTTGTATTCCAGTAATCATAACTTTGGTATTTCAATCAGAAATAATTATTCCTTTAGTGACAGCGATTTGAATTTGACAATGACACCATACTTGAGTAGACATGCGTGTTCGTTTGTTTCCGGTAAATTTCCCGCCCTAGATTTTTGACCGGTTCAAATATGGTAAAGATCGCAATCGGTAAATAATAAATTTTTTATGCACACAACAATCATGATACTATGGCGTTCGTGTCATGCAGTGTTACGTATTGTACCAAAGAAATAAAGGAATAGAAGATACTAGTTGAAGTTAGTTTTTAGAAATGTAACCCTAAAATAACTTACATGACGAACATTGTACAAATAAGAAAAGATATCGTTTTGGTACTGACAAACATTGATATATTGTTAGCACCATCTTTTATGCCACAAAGTTTATCAGAAGCCAGACGAGTGCAACAATAGCGTTGCAGTGAAAGCAGAAACCTAACCTCCATGTGTCATTATGAAAAACTACTGTGGACGTAGCCATATTGATTCGATTCGAACGATATTCTTAGCGCGAAAAACACCGCTAATGTGAATGTTCCCTCTTCTTTTCTTGTTTCAAAAATACTAAATATTCATTACCTTAGGGGGTACGGTATAAATTTTGAAAATTTGAAAAGCTCTATACAATGCCACCAATCACTAATATTAATCGTATGTTGTATAGATCAAATGCTTGAATTAATTTTAAAATGTTAACAAAAATGAATCACAATGAAAATGCAAAATTGTGCAGCAAAAGATACGAATTCCAATACTTTCGCATAGATGCTGATATATAAATAACTCATCGATTTGAGTGAAACTTTATCTAATTTCCGATAAGATATGAGAATCGGAAGCATTTAACAAATGCGAATACGTATTCCAATTATGAAATCTTATATTTCACATAAATTTATCTCTTGCAAACATTTCCAGAAACTGAAGTTACATTTTACCGGAAATGTGTGTATATAGTTCGATATGTTATCAATTTATCGTTTCATGTACTCTATTAAATTATTTTATTACTTCATTGAGACTTTTTCAGTATATTGGCAATGACAGCATACGCGCAAGAATGTATACTGTGATTTAAAGGTTCAGAACGATTAAAAAATGGAACAAGTGAAAGAGAGGGACAAGTCACGCCACTTATTCGAAGCATTGGAACGATTGAGGTGGGACAGCCGTGTAAAAATCTTTAATCGCATCGTTCAGACACCGGCACAGATGGAAGCTAGTTTGAACTAATTAACCCCGTTGGCCCGGGCGCTGAGGTTCGCACGGAGAGCGCGGTAAACTCACGCACCGTGTGTGTATTACGTATATAAAAGTCGTCACACCGCAGTCAATCGACCAATACCAATTCTCTATTAATTTATTACAATTTCCTATTATTACCGCCCAGCTAGCGTGAATCACAGGTAGCAACATTGTCCTCAGGATTTTCATCTTTGGAAAGAGATTCATGATCAACACTTTGACGACCAGCGTTACAGATATATAACTTCAACATTTAATATCCTTTAATTTAATCTAATTCAACTTGTAAAAAATGTAAATTGTCAGCGTGATATGGAAAAAGAAATCCTGAATTATGTATTGCTCAGAATTTTATCATTTTCAAGGTTTCAAAATAATACATGTAAAACATATTTTTGATGATATTGAATGCACTGATAAATTTAAACCAATTCATGACACCCACGTGAATTATGTTACCCAACACCCCACCAAGAAGAACACAATTTTTCGCGGTGAATGTTAAAAGCAAAGAACAGCCGCGGCTGGAGAGTAAAAATCTCGAATGCAATGAATTTCATTGTCGATTAACATTACCACAATTATATGTACCGAAATTTGTTAACATAGAAGGAAATAAAAAAATAATAATAAACGAACCGAGGTGTTTGCCACAAATTTGTACAGAGAACTTAAATCGTTTACAGCCGTGACACGATCAATGTTGCTCCCTGGATCCTCTCGATCCTTGACACCATAAGCAGCCGCTATACTCGCACGATAGCACCTGATTCGACACTGACTAAACCTCCTAGACCGTCTGGTCAAAACCCTACACCATAAGTGAAATCAATTCAATCCGTACGTTACCCTTTCCCTTCCTCCACCCTTTGTTCACTGTCTATATAAACCGCCCCTGAACAATCGAGCTTCAGTATACACGCAAACAGAAGGCACATTTCCTTTGTTCTTACAACATGTTTAATGATATCTATTCCTTTGAAATATAATTGTAATTTAGATTTTCAATCTGCACGATCAAGGTCAAAGATGTATTCAAGAAATCGATAAGAATTTCACGTTATAAACATACTACTTCTATACGTATGGTGTTTAGAACGAAGAATAATGATTCTTAATACTCGTAGTCTACGCAGAATGAATTTGATATATTGTATTCCATCTCTCATGGAATCAATAATGTCAAACCTTACCAGGAAGATGTGGAGAAAACGAAACGAGAAATCAAATATATAAAATAGTACAAATTATGGCGACGTACTTTTCTTCGTGCAAAAACAAAAGGAATGTGCTTTTTGTAAATTAGAACACCGCGCTGACAGAAAGTCCTAAAGTAACCGGAATAACTGTACAAACAGAACACATCGCATCCTTTCAACTATTTTCAACAATATCAACTACTAATAATTTTAAATACTAATTCAACATTTTCAACCTGAACACTATATCAACGTCAGAGAATCCGATTCCTCGCTCACTCATTATTCAAAGATGAAATTAAAAAAAAATAGATAAGAGAAAAATAGAAAAAAGGATAACGTGTTCGCACCGCATAGTGTGACCGGTGTTACGAATCGCAAAGGATCCTTAATCCTGCCGTCGATGCAGGAAATCTTCTCCGGCACACTACGGTCCTCGATTTCCTCGCACTCGGGAGGCATTTGAGTCCGGCCTCTTGTTCGACGTACGTTTGGCCCGTGACTGCCCGGCAACCGGCTCCGCGTGCTTCAAATCAATATCAATCCCTATGCACCAGCTGTTCCCCCTCGTGTTCTACGGCACTGTTCCCTGCGAACATCTTTTTTCGACACGTTCTGATAATAATTGCCAACGTTTCCTCCTTTTCACGTACCACCTCCCGTCGATCGCCGTTACATCAGCTTGCCTACATTTTCTTTCTTTTGAAAGCACTCGGTTTCTTGCAACTACTCGTTGTTGTTCATGTCACATTTCCATTGCCGCTAAAATATGCAACATCAAAGTAATAAATCATATTACAGTAATGAATAAAAATTATTGAAAACATCAAATAAAAGATTGACAAAAGTGGTGAGTAAAAAACAAGAATAATTTGTACAAACAGGTGATATCGATTCATCCAATCCCGTAGTTGCTTTTCAGCTGGCACATGTTGTTCCAAAGAAATTTTGCAGGACGTATGCTGTTTTTTCTTTTACCTTCGATACGTCTGATTTTATGTAAGGATTATCGAGGTGTTTATAGGCTGCACCGTGAAACCCTATATGAAAATCAATTGATAAAAACAGGCGATGAATTACCGGGCGCTCCAGAAAATTGTATCAACGGAGAAGAAGATAAATTATTTTTATTGCACCGTAATTAAGTGGATGCACGCCATCGTTTGACACGTTATCATTTTTAACTGAACACACATGGTTTCCTACGCGTCCGTAGAAATCTAAATCGATGCAAAATCCAAGCGATCCGCATCACGTGTTCCCTCCATTCATTAACGGGAAGATTTTTATAATTCCTTGAATGGGTGACCGACACCTTGCTTCCTGATGAGGGGTTTATACACCTTCCTCTAATCGGAGCGTTCCCAGAACGTTGTCCCATCGTTGAATCGTCTCCGGTGCTGAAAAAACGATGAACATGTAAGTAATAAAAAAAAGATTCCTTTTACGTGATGGAACTGCGAATCACTAAAACGTTTTGATTCATCTTTCCTTCTGACCACAACTTTTTTTGTTTACACGCCATTTTATCGTTTGCGTAGAAGAAAGAAGTACGGTCAAGGCCTGTGAATCGACGCAATCGAGCATTCCGCTGAAATGTTTCTTTTTTTTGGCGATTTATGGAGGATGCGAAATTAGGGCTGCGTTCCTCGAGGTCAGGTTTGATTGGTCCATTTCAAAATGGCTGAGAAAATGAGCGTTTTTTCGGGGAACAGGTTGTAGGTAGAAATCATTTTCAGGAACTATAAATGCACCTGCGGATGATTAAATAAATAAAAATATATTATTCAATTGTTCTGAACGTTTGTTAAAATTAATAAAAATATGTTACACCTGTTCTCGTATTTTTATAAATAAAAAGAAAATTAGGGGTGGGCGAGTTAGATGGAACACGCTGTACCTTGAGTGACTGAACGAAATGAGCTGATGCTCGATTAATTATAATTTCCCTAGTGTTGAAAGGCTATCATCAGCGAAGTGTAACAAGGTACTAATTTTGTTGATTACAAACACGTACAGATAAATAGTATTTCGAAACTTGTTAAACGTATGACGTAGTTTGGACTCTACCTTAAGTGACCGGTCGCTGGACACCATCGGGCGAGCATTCTTTAATAGACAGGCCGCTAAATTATCGTTGATACTATTCGCATGTGCGTGTTTTTGGTGTTACGCAACTTTGCAGAATTGTGACAAAGCGGCCGAAGAAACCATGGTCAAATTGCATCAGATATTTTTGCTACGGTCAGATTTCGTCTTCTCTATTTACACATACGACACCGCGTCCGTATCTTGCTGCATTGCACGACACGTGGTGTAGAGTTAAGACCTGAAAAATATATATAAAAAATGTAATGGTACTCTGATAATATTTTGTCTACAGTATTCTCGCAAGAATGCAACTTATACGCCTATGAAATTTTTTCTACTGTTACACAGAATCTCAGGTTACCTACGTACACGTGTGTCGTAAGCAGTTTACATGTATTATCAGTTACCATGAATAATGCGTTTTATTCGATTAACGCATCCTCTTCGAAAAACCGTGTTGCGCCCCTTTAAATGTTGCCACCTATTATACTTTCCAATTTATAAAGAATTCCTCCACAAACTGTCATAATTATGACAATAAAAACGTATACTAGTTGCACACTAGTACTCAAAATGTACCTAAACAGTCGATAAAAATGTTCAATTTACGATAATCGATTATCGAGAGCAATCTGAAAAGTATCGAAGATAATCGTCGATAAAAAAGATCGCCCATGGTTGTTCCATATACGCGAGTACTATATGAGGAAGAAATGATCTAAAAAAGTATCCGTGTTTTAACCGAGGGCTAGTATTTTATAAATACTACACGGCTCCACGTGAAAGAAACAACACGTCGAAAGACCGAGTTACGTGGTTCGTCGGTTTATGAGACGGCGCGCCGTTCGTGTACCAAAAATAATCGTAACATCTCACCGGCCTCTCGAGCTTCGAGAAAGCTTCAAAGTTGGAGTAACACGAACTGTGGCAGTTTGAATTTTCACTGTGAAAAAAGAGAGTGAAATGATGCAGAGGAATCCAGGACGATCATTTTGGGGTTAGACGGGGTAAATCTCGATCGTGAACGATGCGACCGAGAATCGATAAATGTTCGATCGTTTTCTTCGCTTGCATCCTCTGCGCTGGATGCATCTCCAAAGACTCGTACACGTAAGTAAAGTTAATATTTAAGATTCTTCGTCTTAACCTGGTGTTACTTTTTGGATAACAAGATTAAATTTAAGATTGGATTATAAAAATTAATGGTGTATTGTCTATTTACGTACGGAAAACGTATGCACCGACTAACGTATACAATCGTGCTACTTTTCAAAATGGCGTAGGTTGTTATAATTCCGTTTTTCGATAATCGATTACAATCGCAATTTTTCGTTTCGATAGGTAATTCAAAAATTTAAATGTACATTCTTATGATTTGTTTTTTACTGTTAATTGTTAATATTTCTTGATTCATTTCGCAGGGTAACGCGATGGGCAGAGACGTTAGGTGCCGAATTATGGGAGCTCGCAGAAAAGGTGGCACGACCCGAAGAATTATTAAACGTGAGCTCAGTTTTCATTCATACAAATTCTTCTCTCTCCCTCTATCTTTATCCATCTATCTTTACGTCTTCGTACGTAATTACTGTCACTTAACAGAGATAAAAGCTGGAAAAGTGGAGAAAGAAAGAGAGGATCGATAAAAGAAGCATTATTTTAAAAAGAATGAGAAAATTAATGAATAACCGAACTCTTGTACAAAAAGTCTTAGGAGAAGGAAGAAAGTGAAGAGATAAACTATCCACAATGTTATGATCATATCGATCTATGATAAATTAATGTCGCTCTTATGATAATAACTTCATTTATCTTTTTTTGCCAGGAGATAATATAATTGATGAAGGCCTATGTTATTAATGTAATTGCACTCTCAAGACTATAAAAGATTAATCAAAATAGTATTATGCAAATTGAAATAGCGTGTGATCTGCATACGAAGAGTCTAGTTGAGTATGAAGGTACAGCTTTTACGTACAGATGCCGCCAGCGACATATTAAGATACATAATTTACTTGTTGACCACTTTTTTTTTTTAAATAACGTAGGTACTTATAAATATTCATTCTTATTGAAACTGATAAGAGTGGTGTGACATTAGACACGTATCCTTGAGCTGTCAAGATAATACCAGGTTCTTTCAATATGTTATTCAAAATCACATTGCATACTGAAATGATTTTACTATTCAATGTATTGTTTTGATGCATAAGAAATATACTGTGTAAGATAAAATACTATAGCTTTTAGGTGATCCACGGTAAAGGAATCACGTTGCAGTGCGACCGCATCCCTCGTGGGTGACGATATTAATAGAAGCAAGCCAACATTTGTAATACAATAGGCCAGGGGTGGACAGTTGTTTTGGCTCAGGTGCCACAAATAGTGGCAGTTTTATTCAATTTATTTAAATACGAGACGAATCTTCGGTTCAAGGCGGATTTTTCTGACTGTCTTGGCAGGCCGCTATTTGCCCACCCCTGCAAAGGCCATTAAACGTCCCAAATAGAACACCGTGATCATATTATGGAGGGCGTACGTATTTCACAAGATTGCGCTGAAAATCAGTGAATAGAAAAGCTTCAAGGAAAACATTGTTCCTTCCTCCAAAGCTTATACACCATGTCTAGTAATTAGTTCCGTTTTTGTAACGAGAATAGATTATTACCATGCGAAAGTGCAGCTGTTGCGTCGATCAACCAGGTGGAAGCTGAACTATTGTAGGGACGAGGGACAGCTGACATTCATTGTTTACTCAAAATGCTGATTTCTACGATACTCGTTACTATTTTTTCATACATCGAAGGACTTCAGTTTGAGATTACAATGACGCTCGCTGGTTCTCTGTTCATTACTTGAGAAGTAACGCGATAGGAATACGCGAGGCGGGCTTGTATGAAAAGAAACAACGGTTTCGGAGCGAGAAATTAGTAACACGGCCTTTGTAGCGTAAAACCGAGACAGAAATCCAGGTCAAAAGTATAAAAAAAAAGAGGCATAACTGTAATCCCGCATAAATTGCAGAAATACAAAGCGATGAACACGCGAGTGGAGGATAAGTCCGGGGAGGAATTGGTAAGCATAATCAGCGAGAACGTCGGCAGGATGCTCAGAAGGAAGATGGACGCGGTGACCTGCATCCGTATGTTGGCCGAGGAACAAGCGGAAAGCTGGGAGGACGATGAGAATGGCAACATCACCTACGTATCTGGAAAATACAGTCCTGTGATCAATCAGAGTTCACCGAAACTTCCGGAGAACATGGAGAAAAATGTTGATGTTTACAGGTTTAAGTTGAAGATATTCATTCTATTATTACCGTAGTATAATTATGGATAAACGTTGATTGAATGAATGCAAACGTAGCTCATGATTGAATATTCCCATCGGTGGTATCAAGTGGAATTAGGCTGAGAACGTCTCGGGTATCGATTCCTGGGCGAACGATCGACTTACGAATTGGGTCTAGCATTCCATACCGGTCCAAATATCTAGTCTAGAATTTGAAGGAACTAGTAACGATTGAAACGCTATAAAGTTCGTCTTTTCATTAGTTTCTTACTTTAATAAGGACTTGACCGTTGAAACCGTTTGCAGAGAAATGGAACTGACGCCGGACTCACATTTCTACAACATACCAGTGAACACAAGCTTCTCCTCCGTGCACATACCAACGAACGTGTACGACCTATCACCCGCCGTAGCCGAGGACATCAAGAAGACCGAGATTCTCGACAACATCTTCCGGCAGAACTACGAGTCAGACCCAGCGTTATCCTGGCAGTATTTCGGCTCCGTCACAGGAATGTTGAGACAGTATCCTGCCATGCAGTGGAGGACAAACCCTACGGAGAACAATGAGGACGCAGAGGAGGAGGAAGAAGATGATGATGACGATGGAGAGGGTGAAGAAGGGGCTGACATTTATGATTGCAGAGTACGCAGCTGGTTTATAGAAGCAGCAACTTGTAGCAAGGATATGGTGATCTTGATGGACACCAGTGGTAGCATGACTGGCATGGGAAAAACTATTGGTAGATAAATATTCATATTTCAATGTTCGAATTGACAAACTTTTAACAATTCCATTATTATCATTTTCAGCCAGAACAACAGTGAACGCCATTCTGGACACCCTATCGAACAATGATTTCGTTACGGTTTTAAGTTACACAAACGAGACGTACGACATGGTGCCCTGCTTCAAGGATATGTTGATCCAGGCCACTCCGGAAAATGTGGACACGTTCAAGAAATCGTTAATGGACGTTAAAACGGAGGGTCTTGCCAATCTGACCGAAGCGTTCAACAGGGCGTTCGGTCTTCTGAAAATTTATAGAGAAACGCGAGGGTGCGACGCGGACACACCGTGTAATCAATTAATCATGCTCGTAACAGATGGTGTTCCTGGAAATCTAACCGAGGTGAAAACGAGGATTTCGTTTTTAATCAAATTACATTATCCTCGGAACGTACTAATTCGAATAATCAGCTTTTAATCTTCTAATGAAATCGCTTAACGTTTTCCTCGCTCATTTCTAATGAAACCAGATATAATTATGTTTAACGAGTTAATTATACTTAAGTAGATAATGATACCACATTGTCGAACGAGATAATTTCCTACAGATATTAGTTTGTTTTATTTAAAAATGGTTTGAAGATATTCAAAGTTATTCAATCGCTAGGATAAAAAGTTGTCGACTTTCGAGGAACTTTTTCAAGGTGTGTATACTTGCACCTTTTGCGATAATAGGGTAGAAATCAAGTGATTCTCCCCCGCGAGTTTTCCCCCGCGGAAAAAGGTCGTGTTTCCAGCTCTATCCTCGACGAGAGTAGCTCTTCAGTTTTATGAGATCCGACTCGAACCGGCGAGGATCATAGCTGTCTTTGTCTCTCTATTTCTCCCTCTCTCCTTTCGTCTTTCTCTTTTTCTCTCCTACTTTTTCTCTCTCTTCGTGTCTTTCCTTTTTCTTCTTTATCTCTCTAGTATTTCCACCTCCTTCGCTTCACTCTCTCTCTCTTCCTCCTTCTTTCTCTTCGCTTGCACCTCCTTATCGCTTTCCAAGCGCTTAGAAAATGCATCATTGACGATAATACCGGCGCGATACGGTTGCATCGCGATTAACCGCGGTACCGTGGCCCCTGTTACATATGAAATTGCTTCTATGACTAACAAATACAACCAGTACCTACCATATATCATTGCATGCTCTTTGTATAGTTGTAACGTATTGATTTGTATACTGGCAGAGATAAATTCAATTCATTTTTACAGGTTTTCAGAACATGGAACTGGAAGGACAACGACACACACATACCCGTAAGAGTGTTCACTTATCTATTGGGAAAAGAAGTGACTAAAGTGCGGGAAATTCAATGGATGGCCTGCCTGAACCGTGGTTACTATACCCACGTACATACTCAAGAGGAAATTCGGGAACAGGTGTTAAAATATATTCCAGTAGTAGCGCGTCCTATGGTTCTCCAGGACGACGTTCACCCTGTCGTTTGGACCCACGCTTATACCGATATTACGGTAAGAGAATGGTAACAAATTTATTCGAGTAAATCTGTAAACAAAAACCATGCCAATTATCAGTGGATAGTGTTAGGTACACTAGTGAAAAGAAAACTTTCATACGTTTGAGGTATTGCAAGGCATACACAGAAAATATTCTAATTCACGTTCCATTAGAATCCAGCACTCGCCACTTGGCTGTGGCTTGTGATGAAGCACCAGGAGCAACGATCCAGGCTTCAAAAGCATCTGAAAGGGAAACGTCTTGGAGTGCGAGTAAATGAGGACGAAATCTACATACAGCAGGTTCAAAGCAAGCAACAATCACCCTGTAGCTTCAGATCTGTCTTGTCGTTCCCAATGTGTTCTTTCCTCTGGCATTTAGCTGCCTTTAGAAAGTAATATTTTCACCTAGTAGACAAATCTAGGCGATCCCTGCGATTGGACGATTTCTTTTCATACCCTAAACATGTGTTTATACAATTGACTGCATGCTCCACGCATATATATACATATTTTTATTTTTTATAAACAGACTTAGATCATCCTGGGATTCACGATGAAGCATTAGAACCCGATACCCTTTGTTTTATCATTTGATATCCATTCGATGCAAATGGCAAACGAGACTGCACAGTGGTTCCCCTTGAATCTTTTAATATCCCCAAATTATCCTGTTTTCGTGCAAGTATGTTTTTAACGCTAGTCTAGGTAGATGAGGAGAGACGTAAGAGATGATACCGTGTACCTTTGAAATAATTTTATCTCGTCGTTTAACAGCTCCACAAGGACGAGGACGTTCGACAGGATCCATCTACGTTGAACACGACAGCCTGGCAGGAGTATAGGCTTCTCACCTCGGTTAGCACACCCGTGTTCGATCGTAAGGGGAATCGCAACAACCGGACAAGGATAGCGAATTTACTAGGCGTGGCTGGCACGGATGTGCCAATTGATGACATACGAAAGCTCACGTTGCCGTACAAACTCGGCGTGAATGGATACGCCTTTATCGTGTCCAACAACGGATACGTGATATTGCATCCGGACCTGAGGCCCGTCTACAGGGGTAGATTGAAGCTGAATTACAATAGCATCGACCTGACGGAGGTGGAGATCCTGAACGATGGTGGTGGACCAAGGTAGTTTACTTAGAATCCTAGGAGAACTTTAACTCCTTAAAAGAAATCCAAACTGCAATAAATCTATGAACCATGTGACGATATTGAACCACATCTAACAAGGAAAGCCAGCCTGTTGTAGCTGAAATTTTAAGAGGTCGTTTCATCCCCTAAATATGAAAAATTCGTATATCAATATAATCGGAGATGAACACCTAAAGAACATTCCTTCTAAAATGAGCTTTTATTAAAATTGAGCGCAGAAACCCCGGGGTAGAGGTGTTGGAACTCCGTGCCGCGCTGGTGGACCACAAGAGGGGCAGCATGAAAGGGGTACCGGTGAAATTGCATTACGATGACAACCGTCGTGTGACTCTGGAAAAACGTGACTACTTCTACGCCCCTCTGCCTGGAACGCCTTTCGGTCTTGCGGTCGCTATACCAAACTATGGCACAACTTGGATCAAGGTAAATCCTACTGGAAGTATCGGGTGTACACATCGCATTGCCAGCAGTTTATAGAGGGTCCTAGAATTTCTCAGTTAGGTGGTAATCCCGAGAGTTGGCTGCGTTCTCGAGATTGTGGAGTGCATAAACTTTGGAACGTAAAGGAACTTCAGGTGGTAAACACCGAGGGTTGCTATAGCTTCTTAAACGAAGATCAAAGGCGTGAAATTCTTTACGACCAATTGAGTTTAGAGGCGACCACTGGTTTATGTTTCAGATATTGTTAGAGTAGAATCAGAGAAGCAAACTTAAGCGAGTTTACAGATGAATGCCTCCTTTGTTCAGGTAGGGGATGAAATTCGTAGGAACCAGAACATGAACGTGAACATCTCCGAATTCTTCCTGGGCAGCAACTGGCGAGTTCACCCCGGTTGGGTCTACTGTCGCTTCCACTATCTGGAGGGACACGAATTCGACAACCCTGAGGAAGAATTAAGATACTTCTTAGATCTGTTAAACAAACCTGGCTGGCGTTGGTCGGAGCAATACGAGGCCTACTCCATAACAGAAAATGAAACCGATTACGTGCCGAACTGTGGAAGGCAGACCTTATCTCACGAGGACTATTATTGCAACAAAGAACTGATGCAACTGTTGGTTTTCGACGCGAAAGCTACGAACGCCAGCTTCGACGACAACTTCGTATTGGATGATCCAGGTGCACGATACCTGGCCGAACTTTATGGAATATTCCTGAGATTCGTCGCCACTCAGAGCGGTTTGACTAGGTGGCACAATTTGGATACGAATAAGTTGCCCGTTGACGACGATGGAATTGTATTCGGTGATCTCCATAGGAGGGCCGTCAACGAGCCTTGGTACAAAGGTGCCATTTTCCAGAATATCCAGGATCCTAATAGCATCTCTCTATCAGGTATTTTGATTGCAAAGTTAAAAATTCAATGAAAATAAGAAAAGGTATTCGATGAATATAAAATTTCAGTTCCATGGGAAGCAGGCTCCGATGCCATAGTAACTGTGTCGATTGGAATATTCCCAAAAGATGGTGGCAAAAAAGCTCCAGCAGCAGTGATTGGTTTTCAAATGCCTATGACGGATCTCTATAACAGATTCATTGAGTTAACATCAAAAGAGGGCAACTCGACCATGAACTGCGCCCACTTATGGATAGATTGCTACTTGCTCGATCAAAACGGCTACGTGGTGATATCAGACGCACACAACGATACCGGCCAATTCATGGGGACACAGGAGGGGGCAGTAATGAATTCTATGGTTGGCCAGGGTCTCTATAACCCGGTCGAGATCTATGATTATCAAGCTTGGTGCGAAGAACTTGTAAGTATTTGTTTCCGTCCATTGGCTCGAATGTTTCAGCCGCTGTACGAATCATAGTACGAAAGCTCTTCGTACAAGTTATACTTCTTAAACCGCAAATAAAAGCGAAAGAAATAATTTTAAAGTTCTTCAAAGTTGCATCGCCCGTGCATCGCTCCAAGCGTGGTTTCTAATTCGCGGAAAGTTTCTACCATGGGAAAAAGTTTTATCTGTCCGAAAGATAGATCGAAGTTCGCGCGAAACGTTCCATAAACAAAATGAGAAAGTTTTCGCGAGCAGAAAAACGTTATCTCGAGAATAAAAATTGTTTCACAGCGTATCGAGGATGCGGCGAACGTACTGACCGACCCGTTGATGTACGTCTGGAAGCTGTTGGTCTGGTTTCTGCTGCGTCTGACGTGGTTCACGACCCAGTTCTTGAATTTGCCAGCCACCCACGCCAAAGTTCACTTCGACGAGGACGCCCCGGATCCTCCTCCCCCGCCCCGACTCTATCTCTACCATTATCCTTGCGATCAGAAGAGAATTTTGTACATGATGAACAACACGATCGCTGGTATGGGGATCACCGATCATCCGGATTATTGTTCGAGGCCGTTCTACGCGCGAAGGGTTAACGTCTTTTACCACCATCTCTTTATTTGTAATTTAATTAACGAAAATTTTGACACGATCGTAATCGGATTACAGGTGCCGCACACTAATTTATTGCTCGTCGTCGTGGACGCGATGTACCCAACTTGTTACAAGAGATTAGAAGTAACACCCGTGAACATATCCCCGCTCGAGTATACAAATGGCACAGAAAGCGCGCCTTGCCATAAAATGCCGCTGAACGATCTTAAGAGGAGGCGCCTGGAGGGCTGTTTCACCGAGCATCCCTTGGAGTACGAGATAGAGGATTGCGGAGGAGCATCGGGACTGACCGTTTCTTTGCTACTCGTCTCTACTATTGTTGCTAGAATTTTATGTACCTTCGGGTAACCGAGAAAAGAATACTCTTTAAAATCAATGTCGAAGAGAGAGAAGTTCTAGTCATGTTAACAATGCATTTCTTATATCATTAAACTATGAACATTTATTCGGTATAAAGTATTTTTTAAATATATATATTCTACTTTAGATAAGACAAATTGGAAAAGTATAATTATTTTTTACGGTTTCTGAGAAGAATTTGAATGAAGCAAACGATTAAACTGAAATTGGTAGTTTCAATAGGAATATGAAATTTATGACAACGATCATTGCAATTTTTATTCGGATGAACTCCTTCTTTTTTTTGTGAACCAAAGACATCCGAGATCAAATCGATCGTGACTAAGGAGAGGAACCATAAAGCCTGAAGAAATATCCTTCCACCCACGCGAGATAGAATTTTCTGGCGGCGTCGTGAGGTCTGTTGATAGGGTGAGAGGAGCTTGCCCCAGAAACTACTTTGTTCCTCCCCTCGATTATTTGAATTATATCTCTTCTGCTGGTCAAGTTGTAACATTCTCGCTTTTAACTTTAATAAAATTTTATCTTAAACTTAGCTATCGTTTATATTTACATGGAACTCCAGAATCCAACATCAAATTGAACTAACTCTTCCAACATTTATTTAACAAACTTCTAATTCCAACTATTGCTTTCCATTTCCAGAAACCATGAAAGAAAATATTCTACAGTCACCATACACTTCAGCATCAAGAACAAATCAATTCCTCATCCTTCGAGCATCTGTTCCTGGAACATCTAAGGATCCTCTCCAAGCTGAAGATCTACGAAAACATCTCCCTTCGATCACAGAAATCTCCTCGCACCCCTGGAATGAACCATTGATACGAAAACCAGGGGTGGATAAAACGTTGGACTTTCCGAGACAAACATAACTATCAATTCGAAGCGGACGCTGACGAGCGGCGTCGCGTCGTCTGGACGCTACCTATCTATCTGTCACGCGCAAGCTCTGCTCCGGTTTTCGCGTCGATCGATAACCGGGAAAGTGTGACCGTAGTCGAGCGATGCGCGCACTGCATGGCGACGACGTCGACGACGACCACGACGACGGCGACGACTAGCTCGACGACGACCACCACGACAACGGCAGGCCCGGACTATCCTTAATGTCAGACGCGAGCCTCCTCTCGGCCTCAGTTTTGTTTACCGTGTCCTCGCGTAAACAGCAGAGAGCCGGCCAAGAAGATGATAGTTACGAGGCCCCGTTTCCTACCTGCTATCGTCATCCTGATCCTGATCGAGGCACCCGACCGTGGTGACAGCATATCGTACAACACGTAAGTGTTCACCACGATCCGGTATTTTCCTTCAACGAGATTTAGAAAATTAAATCTTCGATCGTACGCGCGTAGAGAACTTGCGACTGGTTCGCTTAATGGATTAGTTGACGTATGTCGCCTCGTGTGAACGAAAACGTGGACGATCTACTGGGACACGTTCCTCGTGACTACTCTTTTTCACGATTAAACGTTGATCATGCTTGTGAAAAAGAGTTCGTAACGTTAGGGACCTTCGTGTTAATTACTGAAACACCGAAACCACGCTGTAGATACGTTAATACAATTACGTGTGAACGAATAATTTGTCTCACTGTGAAATAATGTCAGTTGACAGGTGTTTTGATATCACCAAGTTTCACCATAGATAACGTTGTACAACGTTATACTCGTAGAGGATCAATGTTAGATTGTTAACAATTTGTTTTTTTATACAGAGTGAGAGCATGGGCGCACAAATTGGGCTTCGAGCTGTCGCAGTTGGGAAAATACGTGACCAACGTGGAGAAGTTCCACGAGAGTTACAAGCAAGCAGTAGTGAAGCCACGTGATGGTAACGCCTTGGTCCACGAGATCGCCAAGGACATTAACGCTATGATGGAGTCGAAGATATCGGCTATCAAGGTATACGTACTATGGAAAGATGAGCAATTGGTTAGCGGATGGGTATAGTAATGTGCGACGAAGAGACACAGCGGGACCGAGTATGATAGAGCGATAACAAGCGTATGACCTCCTCAGTGGGAACGATCATGTATAGTACCGTTTGCTGTCACAGGGGAAATAACCGTTATAATTGTAATTATTTAGCATTTTGAACCCTTGCGTGCCTTCTAATACTGTATTAGATTCGTGACATCATTGGTGATCCCCATAGCAGTCAACTATTGATGTTAACTATTAATATTTGGAACGTATTAATATGTCAATACGTGCCTCGCTATGTCGATACGCTAATCCTAAACGTTCTTATTTTATCCTCAGAGAATCATGGACGTGGCAGAGACATCAGCTCAATCAGCTCCAGACGTGGATCCTCCGAAAACCTTCCAATTCATCGACGCGAAGAACAACACGATTGAACTGAAGTTCAGTGCTCATTTTGGTGGCCAGGTGAACTTGAACATGTCTGCGGTTCATGTACCAACGAACGTCTACGAGAGAGCATCGAACGTAGTCAGGGCAATCAGATGGTCCGAAGAGTTGGATAAGACCTTCATCTATAATTATGAACAAGATCCTTCATTGTCCTGGCAGTACTTTGGTAGTGCAACAGGATTCATGAGACAGTACCCTGCGATGAATTGGTTCATGGAACCGGTTGACCTTTTCGACTGCAGAACCAGGAGTTGGTACATCGAGGCAGCCTCCAGTCCGAAGGATGTCTTGATTTTGATCGATACATCTGGTAGCATGACCGGTATTCGCAGGGAAATTGCTCGACACGTGGTGAACAATATATTGGATACTCTTGGGAACAATGATTTCGTTAACATCATCACGTTCTCCAATGTTACCAAGGAGGTAATTAATATACCCTCATCTGAGTTGAAAAATTGTACATTATGCCTCCAGTTTTAATTAGAAGTCTAAAGCGATTAATTTCCAATCCAGGTGGTACCCTGCTTCAACGACACCCTGGTCCAAGCAAATTTGGCTAACGTGAGGGAGCTGAAGCGAGCAATCGCGAACCTGAACACCGAAAAAATTGCAAATTTCTCGTTGGCCTTGACCACCGCCTTCGAGCTACTCGAGTCCTATCGAACCGAGAGGGAGGGTGCCAGATGCAACCAAGCGATCATGCTGATAACGGACGGAGTTCCGTACAACTACAAAGACATCTTCGAGACTTATAATTGGAAGGACAATCTCGACGAACCGTTCAAAGCCGACATGCCTGTTAGAATGTTCACTTATTTGATCGGCAGAGAGGTTGCAGACGTGAAGGAGGTTCAGTGGATGGCTTGCGCCAATAGGGGTTACTTTGTACACCTTTGCACTTTGGCAGAAGTCAGAGAAGAGGTACGGAATTATCCTCGACAAAGGAAACACTCTTTTACGAGTTTCTAACATAGTTGCGCCACTTCTTTAGGTACTCAAATACGTTCCTGTAATGGCAAGGCCTCTGGTCCTTGGTCGTACCGATCATCCAACGATTTGGACTCCTGTATACGCGGACATAACTGATCCAAAGATGACCGACTGGCTGTGGGAACAGAGGGAGAGCGAGGAGCAGAAAGAAAGGTTCCTGAGGCTTCACAGAAGGAAGAAATTATTCAACACGGAAGAACGGGACCGTAGGTTCGTGAAGAAACAGAAGAGATCGTACGAACAGGGGGCCGATTTACAGGAATACAAACTGATGACCTCGGTCAGCATGCCGGTGTTCGACAGACGGGAGAACGCGGTAAGATGTTCCCTTCCTGCGTACTTCGATTTACTATATTTAACACCCTATGACATCAAGAAATAATATAAAGAATTCTATGAATAGCATTGTTTTCCATTATTATTATAAATTGCATTTAAAAGAAAGCCAATACCCAACAAATTGTATTTCACTCCAAAAGAGTTTGGAGACCACTAATGGAAGACAGTACTGTATTTATATATCATAGCGTGCAATGTCCAAGGTATATAAATACAAAATCGAACTTTGGATGTCTATAAAAATACACTAGAAGTCGCGTTATTACCGAGAATAAAACAACGTCCTCATCGACGTGTTATCATTAACCCCATGCTATAAATAACCATACGAGATACGCGTAGATACATGTTTGATCGTTGTGATCGTTTATTCGATGATCAACCGAATAAACGTTCACGGTATCATCATTTTATCACTGTCATTGTTTCTCATCCTCCGCAAAACCCGAAACTTTGATCACCGCTCGTCGCGAAACCCCTTCGACGAGTGAACTTTTCCTTTGGTTTTAAGTTCCTGTTTGTCCACAGAACATCACAAGGCAGGTGCTGGTGAACGAAGCGTACTGGGTGACAGAGACAAGAGAGGTTGGCAGCTAAAACAAAAAAAAAACAAACACAAACAACGTTGTTTCAATGCATAGAGCCCTGTAACCCTTCGCCCTTTTGTATTCGAGCGTGACCGTCGACCGTCTCTGATTTTCACGAAGAAGAAACAAGTATTCGAGAATTGTGAATTATGTTGAAATTAATTAATAATATGTCCAGAGACGCGTTCGAGGTCACGCGACGATCACTCGTTCCGTTTAGGTCCACGTTCGTCTCTCTGGTATCTTAATTTGATCTAACGCTAGTAATGAAACTTAGTTTAATCATTAGGTAGGTTTAGGTACATTAGTCTACCCTGTGCCCTGTTCGAGACGAGTAGAAAAACGGACATATCCTGCCCGCCTGTTGGATTGCGAACAGCGATACCTCCTATTGATATTATTATTATTATTATTATTGTTATTATTGCGATTGGTAGAAGAACTTCTGATTTTGCAGTGACTAAACATATTACGTATACACGTGTAATGAATTATGAGAGAAAATTATCTTGGTTGGGTATAATACAAGTATAAGAGAGTACCAAGCACACATGTACACACATGGTACGGTTTGATGAGTTCTTTGAGTGCTAGATTTCGCTAGACAGATTTATTAGTAGACTTAAATCGAGCGCTGTTCTGACAACCGTTTTGCTTTTTCTTTTTTTATTTTTATTAATTATTATGGTGATCGTACACTTAGTATTCTTAGATGTATCATTTAAACAATGACAATGGCACTATAAAAGTATATATTATTAAAAAAGCTACGATTGTCAGAACGATAAAGAGCGTGGCTAATTGTGATTTGATTATTAACACTTAGGATAGCCTGCGTCAGACGTTCATTGTTCTTATTGTGTATCGTTCTTATTATTATTATTATCATTATTATTATTGGGAACGTAGTTGAGCTAGTTATACGTTCAGTCGTAACGTTCAAACATAATGTTATTATTATTATTATTATCATAGTTATTGTTTCTTTAGTAAATATCATTATTTTTAATACTAGAACGTGTGTCATTAGACGAATTTCATTGTGATAGCGTTTTTTATATTCAAGAAGGTAGATACGCTTATGGTTATGCGACTTGGGATGATGATGATTCGTAATTTCGATTACACCAACGTTACATAGGATCTTGTTAAAACACGATCATGATTGTTTGCAGACGAGGATCGCCGATCTCCTCGGTGTTGCCGGTACGGATGTTCCTATTGAAGAGATACAGAAGCTGATGATGCCACACTTGGTAAGTCGATATTCTACTTACATTCTCTATTGTTAACAATTAATTTTTAACTATATTCTTCTGTTTGCAGCTCGGTGTCAACGGGTATGCGTTCATTGTGACCAACAATGGTTTCATCCTGATTCATCCAGACCTCCGGCCAGTGGTAATTTTCAATTACAATTATCTATTTATTGTTTTATGGATCAGAGATTTTTAAAATTAGAATAATTATAGTTCCAGGGTATCTTGAAGCCAGCGTACAACAGCGTCGACATGGCGGAGGTGGAACTGATGGACCAGGATAGAGGTCCAAGAGAATTCGATGAGGGAATCATTATGGTCTGCTTCGCTGTACCTGTAACAAATATATCAACGTGTATTAATATTTAATAATAACGAGATTTATTCATTTGTAGCTGCGAAACGATGTGGTGAATCAAGCAAATGGTAGCGTTACGCTGCACACGAAATATCATTATGACGATATGGTAATTAATCCTATAATTAAAATACCAGATTTATTAAATATCGATAAGAATTGTTCTTTTTCTGCAGAAACGCGTGGGCAGGGTAAAAAGGAAGTACGATTACACGGGCATACCAAACACGCCTTTCACGGTGGTGGTCAGTCTGCCGGAACACAACCACACCGGAAGTTATCGTGTGCACGCTACCGAGGAGATCCATCGTGCCCACGTTAGTGGTACGTGTCTCCATAAATAACCCAACGACAAAGCCGACTGAATATCAAAGAAAGTCCAAGTATGATCACATCTGTGGATGGAGAATTTTTGGTAATCAAGAGAACAGTGTCTGAAAAGTTTCCAGCGCATCTCTAAATGCAATTCAATGTTTTATTCAATGATAGACCTACATATCCAGCAGAGAAAACTTAAGGAAAGTTTGATTGCAAAGTTTCCATTGGGCGTATAAACATTACAGGGAAGCTGGAGTCTCTTGTATAATCAGAAACTTTTGAAAAATAAAGTTGCCTCGAGTGGTAATCGATGGAAATGTTCAAAGTTTCAAACTCTATCCAGTTCTTCAAACTTTCGAGCAATATGACGCGATGATACTAATCGCCATTATCGTATAACTTAGACTTTCTTTAGTTAAAGGGAAGTGTAGAGGAAGTAGTCTTACCCTGGATCTCCCAAGACCAAAAGAAAGCTCTTCCTCTGTATACCTAATGGGGTTCATCATTTTCAGGCAAGAACGTCTCAGATTATTTCACTGGTACCAACTGGCTGGTGCATCCCCATTGGTTGTACTGCAAGTAAGTAACCATTACAGTTTTAATATTAAAAAATAAATTCTCACGAATACCTTTAACTGCAGGTACCACTATGAGGATGAACGATCGTTCAATTCCTCGGAGGCACGGCTGTTACATTTCCTGGAACGTACGCGTCAACCTCGCTGGAAATGGAACGACATGAAACAACCATCCCAACCGCCAGAGTACTCAGCCACTAGTTCCGGCAACGATACTCATCGTAAATCAAAGCGTATGTATTCTAATTGACGCATCAACCACGATAAATAAGCGAACATGATTTCTTTATAACAGCTCCACCGTACAAAGCGGACAAAGATTCTTACTACTGCGACAGGGATCTTCTGTTAAGTCTGGTGTTCGACGCAAAGGTAACCGAGTGGTTTGCGAACCCCAGCACTACGCGCGAAGAAAAAGCGTGAGCATCATTATTGTTTTATTAATTAAAAAGACTCTTTTAAAATGTGGTAACACGTTGACTGCCATAGTAATCGACATGGATTCTTAAAATATTAAAAAATAACAGTTCTATTCTAACAGTTATGGCAGTCAAGGTGTTGAGAAATATTTGTTCTCACGTGATAAAGATCAAGAAAAATATATTGAAATGAGATTAATGTTAATATTCGGAATGAGAACGAAAAGAAAAGAACATCTCAGTTAGCCAATTCCGGCGTCGTTCCCTCTATATGTTTTATCCATTTTCTCTGCACAATTATTCTTATCTGGTTTCGTTGATTTTTTGGATTCTTTCTTCTGTCAGGATTAACGAAACGCACCCGTTCCTTTTTTACTAATACTTACCACTTTGACGCCATGCAGACCTTTAGCTAGGCTGATGAATCTGCTGCCCAGGTAACGTCCATCACATCGCACCTTACGTTCTTTTAAAAATTAACCGGTCTTCTACGATCGTCTCTATTGCTTTTTCATTCTCTCTACTCGCTTTCCTTTATGGTTTATTGTTCTTTCTTCTTCACCTCTTTTTAGATTATATATTTTCATAAGATGGTACTTCAATGGTACTCTGCTTTCTTTCCTTTCGTTTTAACGTTGTAATGATTTATGTATATGTAAATTATCCCTCTGTTGTTTATTTTATAATTTTAAAACTAGCACAAGATAACGCAGCGTCTGAGGTCATCGAAGAGGAAGAAAATCTGATAAATCTTTCTGTAATTGTACAATAGTCACAGTGTGGTCGCTCACTTGCAAAGCTTTTTATCAATCAAACGTAACTTCAATTTATCAGAATTATACAAACCATCAGATACCGCGAAAAAGCGACAGCAAGTGGGTCGTTAAGCTAATCGCAGCTTCCCTGTAACGCAGTATCGCCATAAAGCAGTACATCATAGTGAATCAAGGAATAATCATTTTTATCCGGATATCTAATTTAATCCTTCTTGTAGGAAAGAGTTCCAACAACGTTTCGGCGTGACACTCGCGTTCATGGCCACCCACAGCGGCCTGACAAGATGGCAAGACTTCCTCCTGGACGAAGAGGACACCATGCCCGACGATCACTTCAGCAAAATGTATCCAAGAGCCATCGACGAGGTATGGTACAAACGTGCCGTGGAACAGCATTACGTTGAACCAGAGAGCTTTGTATTCTCCGTGCCAATCGACGAAGAGGGTGCTGATAACACCACTTTGGTCACTGCCAGTCGTGCCATTTTTATCGGTAGAGTATCCTTGGTCCAGAGTAATTCTTCGTGCCCTATGAGTTTTCTTGAATTCTAATTTCCTTCGTTATTCAGAAACAAGGAAAGCAAAGGCGCCAGCAGCAGTCGTAGGCTTCCAGTTCCAGCATACAGCTCTTCAGGGACTATTTCAGAATATAACATTTAGCTGTGAAGGACTTGGAAATTGTCACACACATTGTGGAGCAGATAACTGGGCCTGCTACTTGATTGACAATAATGGATACATAATCGCAGCTGAAGACGAATCAGATGCTGGGAAATTCTTCGGTGAACTTAGAGGACCCGTTATGTCCAGCCTCGTTAAGGAAGGCGTCTTCGAGAAAATTAGGATATTTGATTATCAAGCTGTCTGTTTCAAGAGCACGCAGACCAGTAACGATGGCAATATCTTGCTCACTGTAAGTTTAAGTCAGCCCTCTTTGATTATTAAAAATATTAACGATCAGTTTTGTAACGTGATCCTTCAATTTTCTATGTCGAACTACCAACGTAGTTTCAGTAATATTTAGAACCAACGCGACAGTTAGCTCGTTAAACGTCTGTCAAGCACAGTCAATTAGCTTCATCCGGTTGCTCAATCATTCTAGCCATGGAAGAACGCGCAGAAGATGATGTCGTGGATGGTCAGCCAAGCAGTCTGGGCTTGGGCCAAAGCTGGTATTTGGGAATCCGAGTACGCGGAGGCGTATGCTTATCCGAACGAGGAAGAAGGCATGCACGAAGACTATCAAGAGAACGAGGAGAAACCTCCAGTCGATGCAAAGGATGAAAAACTGTTCGATCAGAAGGTCTTGATTAATCGGACACGACCAGAAGCCTGCGATCAAGAAGTACATACTTGGATACTTGAATATCAATTATCGATGATTACCTATACTGTATTCCTTTCTTCCAGGTGTATCTGTACCTGCGAAACGCATCCTTCAACTCGTACGACATTGAATCCGACGTGAACGAGAATTGTATGAGACCGTACATCGTTCAACCGGTCGAACTGAGCAACATGCTTCTGTTGGTCGTTAACACCGACTGCAAAGACACCGTGTCACCTCCTCTGAGCGTCATCCCGGAAGAAGTAATTTACGAGAACAACTCGCTGGTATGCCAAAAAGCACTGACCACCCTGAAAAGAAGGAGACCTCAGTCGTGTATTCGTAGCCATCCAAGGGAAAGCGAGATCAAAGATCTCTGCGGTTTCGCTCCAAACGTAGCACCAAACGTTTACCTCCTCCTCGTTCTGTTAACGACATGTACTATTGCTAGACGAATCATCGGTTTCCAATGAAATGTCGATTCCTCTGGCTCAATGCGAACGTCGAAGAACAGATGAGGAGATCAAAGTTCAATTTACCAAAAAGAATGCATTTCTTTTGCCAATTAAAGCTGCTAAGGAGGAAAAGTACAAGTTGAGAATGATTGTTTGCGGGGTAATCAATGTTTCTCTTGTTTTCATAGTTATTGCAAATTCGCAATGTTGTAATGTTCATAGAGAAGGATTATCAGAGTCCTGATCTCTGTTGAAGCCTTGATGATGGTGCAGGCAGGCTCTGCAGATCGTGATACAAGGATCAAGTTGTTTTTATTTAGAACTCTTGTTAGAACTTCGAATCAGATTATGTCTGGGTACTCTGTCGTCCTTGAATGCATGACTCTTAAGATGAAAAAGGAAGTCCGTGAATCGATGCTGAAGTAGTCCTAAAACAACCTTACTGCCTGAAACACAACACGGTGTCCACCCGGTATGCGTCTCTGCTCTATTCTTCTTTTTCTTTATCTACGACTATTGTTATTCTATATATCGTTTATATTACTTTACTCTGTGCAAAATTCAGATAATCAAAATTTTATAGACCAAGAAGAAAAACATACTGTTAACATAAAGCGTTCAAATACTGTTACTTGCTCTATGAATCGCGGGTCGACCAATCTAAGCGTAGGACGAAGATTTCAGTGGCCAGAATACATAAAACGCGTTTAAGATCTAGGTTTGAAGAACGCGGCGCAAACGAGGAAGTTGTTTCGTTTGTAGGTGGAGAACGCACCTACATTTCGTGGGATAATTGATAAATGGAAGTAACAGGGCAATGATAAAATCGCGTTACGTCGAGAACTCAATTCGACGTGGTCGCTGGTGTCAGTTTTTAGAACGATAAAGTAGTTAGGATCTTATAAAAGAGCATATTAAAGAACAGAGACGTATACGAAGGGCGTACCGTCACCGATACTATTGAACACATTCATATTATGCGCTTTGTACATTAACCGATGTAAAACGTGTCGTTTGATATTTATAGAAGATTACGGATATTAATTTTGTATATTAATGTACTATAATAACGAGAGTTACAAGGATGTGTGCCTTTGGACACGCGGTTAAAACAAAATAATAAGGTATTGTTGTATGTTTTTCAAATAAACAAGTAAACTCTCTACTCGGTTAGCTCTCTGCTTTCTTCAGCGAAACAGAAAGAACTTACATCGTGGCGAGTTGAAATTCGAAAAACGAATAATGTTAATTGTATATTACATAAAGTTTATTACAATTTCCTATGTACAACGGCTTGCCTATGTAAATGAAAAATCGTTTCTTATCAAAAAATGGCAAATGTTGAAAGAATCAATGTTACTTCAACTGACTCTCTGTTTTCTTTATAATTTCCAACAAGGTCTGCTGCTGTATATCCTTGTACAGTCTATCCTGTAGTTCTACCAGAGATGCTCCATCTTTCAGAAAGCCTTTTAAATTATGCATAGTACCATTTGATATTCTATGATCAGTTACGCGATCTTGACTGAAATTATACGTCCTAATCTTTTCATTTCTCATTCTTGTTCCAATTTGCTTTTTACGTAGATCACTAATGAAAGATACTTGCTTGTCTAGTTGCTCTTGATACAACTCAATTTTTAGCTTCAGCAATGCTATCTTTTTGTTTTCAATTTGTGATCTATTTGTTTGACAAGTTACACTTGTCCCAGTTGGTATATGAGTTATTCTAATAGCAGAATTTGTAGTGTTCACATGTTGCCCTCCTGCTCCAGATGCTTTCTTTGATTCTATTTTCAAATCCTTTTCTGGTAATTCAATATCTACATCTTTTGGCTCTGGAAAAATTGTCACAACAGCTGTACTGGTGTGCATTCGACTACCTTTTTCTGTAGATGGAATCCTTTGCACTCTGTGCACTCCACCTTCATATTTTAATTTTTCATAAGCCTTACTGTCTGATATTAATATTACAGCTTTCCTCAAACCATGTATATCACTATGTGATAATTCCATTACCTCGTACTTAAATTCTAAATAATTTAAATAATGTATGTACATATTAAACAAGTCCATTGCAAATAACATAGCTTCCTGGCCTCCTACACCTGCCACTATTTCCATAATAACATTCTCATAATTTTCTGCAGCTACAGTTTGTAAAATTACATCTAATAATTCTTGATCAATCTGTGTCAACTCTTGTTGATACATTAATTCCTCTTCTTTTGCAAGTTTCTTCATATCCTCATCTTTGCTAACTGAAAATAATTCATACAATGGTAATATCTGACAAGTAAGTTTGTATTCTTTTTTAAGACTTACCAAGATCAGTTAAAGTCTTGATATTTTCAACTATCTTAATCTTTTTGTCCAGTAATATTGGAACCATTCGTAACTTAAGAATCTCAGAAATGCTTTCATGTTCTTTTTTACCATCATTCTGATATGCATCCATAAGAAGATTCAAATATCTTTTAATACTTTCATTGTCAATACATAAATTTCTTTCTGTACTAAATAGCTTATAAACAGATGGTTTCACATTGAGGTTAAGAAGCAGTGGGGATAATGGAATTGATTTGGCTTTATTTATTATATTCCCATAATATCGACAAGCAGTAAATGTGCACCCTTTTATAAGAAACAACATATTGTATCACATAAATTCATATGTTTCGGAATAAAAATACACATTCTACCACACGATCATATTTACACCTGAAGAGAGCAACGAACGCACCATCCGTTAGCAGTTTGGAAACCATTACAGTATAAATTGTCAACAAATTTGTTTAAATAGTTATAAAACAATACACTCTTAAGGTAAATTTAAATTATTTAGTTTCCTATATCTAAAATTTATGTCGAAATATAAACAGGATATCCTTAATAAATCGAGAATAAAAAATTGTGTGCAGTATAATCTTGACATTTTTCTATTGGTAATGGCAGGTTGTATCATGATTTCGATAGTCTTTACAATCTTGATTCAATTAAGCTTATCCTATTTTATACAATATTAAAAAGCATGATGTTCATACATCTTCTTTAGTAAGTTTTATATTCATACTTGTAATTAAATTCTTATAATTATTTTCATATTTATATTAGTCCATACTAATTATTTTTAAACGTACAGAATAGTTCAATTTCACGTGTTCTAACGTTGTTTTATTCAATTGATGTTTAATTTATTAAATTTACACTTTAATATGTGTATATACGTGTAAGTACGATGTATACGAGATTAGAATATATAACGTGTAGTACCAATTGTATCGATTTCTCAACGAGTCTGTATAATTTATTCCAAATATAATCTCGGTTTTATCTAATATTATACGAGCAGCATCGTCAAATGAGATATAACAAATATTCAAATTCCCATCATTTATTAATAAATCCTGATAAATATTGTCATTAAACTTTTGAACTAAGTACGTATAAATGAGTCAACTCAATTTACGTATGAGAATAATTTTATTATTATTTTTATAAATAATCAATTTTATTATTATTATTTTAGAATTAATGAAGTCTCATATTTACGAAAAGGATCAATAGTGCTCTTTTTGTTTTAGTCGACAAACATATAAGAAACGTTGAAATGAAAAATACAATCTAAGGAATGATCGCGAAAGGTGTCTCTTGCATATGAAAAGGAAAATGTGCGAGCCTTATCTTCAGAGGGATACATTTTACGTTTATTGCGGGTAAAAAAGGATATAAGCGTTCGTACAAAGAACGTATACACAGAATAGAAGGACTAGTTGTTTCATGAAATATGATCGAGGGTAATACAAAATGTTGCCCAATTCAAAGTAAGTAGTTCTGATATTTGGGACGAGTGCGCCAAGCTTACCGCACAAGAGAGATAGCAAACAACAGAGAAAGATACGCACGGTAGACCAGTATAGAGCGGCACGGGCAGCTACAATTGACGATACTATTTTTCTTTAAAACAAGCATTACACAAATTAAAAATTAAGCGCTCACTACGAAAAGGTAAGTTGTAAAATGTTTATCAATTCATTGGAAATGTTTCGAATTATCTAATAACGTGCATTCGTTTTTCCATCAACGCGGTTCAGATAGAAATTGATTTTAATGTATTTATGTGCAGGCTTTATAATATTATAACGAAACCATGGAACCTTGCGAGAACCGATCACAGGAGAAAGTACAAGAAGGTGGTAAGATTAAATTAATTTTATTCACAATCGTTTCACGGTAGTTCGCACAATTTTTATTATATAACGTTGATGTTGTTTATAGTAAAATTATGATTTTTATTATTCGGTAACCTTTTTGAAGTTTTTCAAACGACTTCATCCATTGATCGTTGATTCTATTATAGGCATTACATACATTTACAAATGCATTTTTAATTTACAGTTTCTGCTGATACAGGGTTCGTGAAATCGTTGCTAAAACGCGCGAAAAAATTTGTTTTAATTCATTAATCGTATCATTATAATAATGATGAATCTTAGTATCTATTTCTGATATTGTTAGATAAGTAATTTAAAAAAAAAAAACATGACGTGCGATTTCGTTAGCGTTTATTCCAATTTTATAATTTTATTTTAATGATTTTATTAATATAAAATAAATGTTAAAAATGTGTCAAATATATTTAATGAATATTTTTATTTTTCGTATATGTAAAAATTTAATAAACTATAATTAAAAATAAATAATATAATTTATTTTTCATTTTATAGTTCTGAAAGATGTTTAGTATGTTAAATCATAATTAAAAGTTATATTTTATAAAATTTGAAATAAAAATTTATTTTTCAGAATATGGTTTCTTTTGGCAAGATTATCTTGATGCTACAGAAAGCGTGGAAGTACCACAGATTATGTTTCCACATGTGGAACTGACACTTCAAAGTGGTATTGAAATTGGCATGTCCCTTGAAGTGCCAATTTCAAAAAATACAAACGAAGATAATACTAAATATTGGGTTGCCTCTATTGTGGTCGCATGTGGACCTTTATTACGCTTACGGTATTATGGTGGAGATGATAGGTCATTGGAATTTTGGTGCAACCTTACCAAAGAGGCTGCTCATGAGCTTGGTTGGTGTATGAAAAATGATAAAAAATTAGAACCACCTGATGTTGTGCTTGAAAGATCACCAGATTGTATGGAAAAATTACCTGAATTCCTAAAAACAGTCCGTACTGTTCCACCAGAAATGTTATCAGGAGTTAGTAATAATTTATAAATGAAATTTTACATTTAAAAGAATTTGAATTTAATTTATCAACATTAATATTTTGTACATGTAGGAAGGTCTGAGTATGACAGAAAGGATCAAACAAGGCATGAAAGTTGAAGTCAGTGATATACTACATCCTTACAAATTATGGGTAGCTACGGTAAGAGATATCTTATAGATTTTATTACAAGTGGATTCTGCTTTTTATTTAACATTCACATTGCGTTTTCAGATTATAGAAAATGTAGGAGGAAGACTTCTCTTAAGATATGATACACCTGGTTCATTACGTAAAGATTTTTGGATGTTCTGCACTTCAGAGCACCTTCATCCGTATGGATTTACATCCAAATCAGATTCTAATTGGTTTTTAGAGCCTCCTAGTTCCATAGTGGATCTGCATACTTATGAAGAATGGAAAGATCTGTTAGAATCGATACCAAAAAATTATGATCTTCCAGAAGAGTTATTTAATAACAGTGTAAAACATCCCAAGCATGAATTTAAAGTTGGTATGAAGGTGGAAGCTCTAAGCCCAACCAATCAAATAAACATATGTCCAGCTACTGTTATTAAAGTGTTTGATGATACTTATTTTCTTGTACATATTGATACTTATGATGAATTATCAAAGGGAATGGATATTGAAACATGTATGTACAACAGTACAGAAAAGAATACTTGGCTTTGTACAGCAGAACACCCATATATTTTTCCTGTTGGATGGGCAAAAAAGCACAATATTAAGTAAGACTTCATATAACGTGTTTCGCGTAACATTTTATCAGAAACATTTATTACAATCTGAAATTTTGTTGCTTTCAGAATAGTACATCCAAATGGTTGGACTTCAAAGGAAGAAGAATTTGATTGGGATGAATATTTAAGAGACACTCAAGCAATTGCTGCAGAAGAAAAATTATTTCCTGAAAGGCAAAATGCCATTGAGGCTGGCTTCGAATGTGGTATGCGGTTGGAAGCAGTTGATCCAGAATACGAAAACGTTATTTGCGCCGCGCATATTACAAAAATCGTTGACAATCTCTTATGGCTAAAATTAGATAATTATGAAAACACGAAACCTGAACATATAGTTGACATGCATTCCTTGCAAATATTCCCAGTTGGTTGGTGCGAATCTAATCATTATCCGTTGAAACCACCAAAAGACTACATAGAAGTTTGTAAAAAGTTACAAATGCCTGAGAAAGACGACAAAAAGAATAATGTCCTCGATATACCAATATCTGAACCACGCTCTTCGTTATGGTGTCCAAAGATATATTTCAACTACCGTTGTTTCACGGGTCCTATGATTTCCAAAGGAAAATTAGCAACTTTACCGAAAGCAGTAGGACCTGGCCCCGTAATATTAGTCATGAGAGAAGTATTATCAATGATTGTATCCGTTGGCTATAGAAGCGCTCGAATATTAAAGGTACTTCAATGCGATTCAAAACCGGATCCTGGATATCATTTAGAAGTCTTAAAAGCAAAACATAAGAACAACACGTATCGCGCCAGCGTTGCTGTTGTAACGTCTGGTGATATGGTAGCTGATTTTTGTAAAAGTATTTGTCGAAAATTAATGGTATGCCCAAATTTATTTGGTCCTCTATATGTACCCGAAAATGAATGCCCGGATAAATGTCATAAGACGTCTAAAGCAAAATTCAGTAAGTAATAATTTTGTTGCATCGTTATAACTTTTATTGATTGGAAAATGTTTTTATTTTAGCAGCATCTATGGGCACCGGAAGAAGGGGAAAACCAAAGGGTTATACAAGTATTATGGTACAGAAACCAAAACCATGGGGTGGTAGACGAAAAAGGAGACGGGGTAGATGGGCGAATAGAGAAAAGGAAGCGCACGACGATTACGATCAAGAGGATGAAATGCCATTTATGTCGTTAGATCTAGCTAAACACGTATCAGGAATTGAAGAAACGCTCGATGGAAGACCACCGCTATCCGAAATAGATATAATGATCCAGAAAGGTCTAGAGAAAGGGGAAAAATCTGATGAATTTAAAACCGAACCACCTTCGAGTAACGCATCAGAAGATTCTGGAAGTTCGTTTAATGATAACAGAAAAACAAAAGATAGAGAAAGTCCTAGTAGTTTAAGTAACAAACAACATTCGTCGAAATATAATCAAAGTAATACCATTACTAGAGCAAGCAAGAGAGAACGTGATTGGGATACAAGTATCGAGTCTGATTGTTCGGATGCAGATGCAGAATATGTGAGAATGCAGAAGAAACAGAGACGGCCAAAAACACGGAAGCTTGATTCGAATCCATTATTTTGGACCGTGGATGATGTTTTTAGATATTTGAGAAAAACGAATGATTGCAAAGATTTAGCGTACCGAGTAAGACAAGAGGTAATTTATCAACTAAATGGCATAAGTTTTTACAATATTAAATATCGTGTAACACTAGTTAATATTATTTTGCAGGAAATTGATGGTCTGGCGTTTTTATTGTTAAATTTACCATCGCTAACGCAACATATGAAACTTCGGACCAGTCTAGCAATGAAACTTTGCCGTCACGTTGAACAGGTTAAAGTTACGTTCTTTTTACGGCACATCAATGAAACGGAACCAGATCAGTATCAAATTGTATAATTTTAACAATTAGGTATTCAATTCGTTATATTATTTATACATATAGTGTAATATATTGCATCATGAAAGATACTTGATATCCAGATGTTTATTGTATAATAATGACAAAACGATTTTTATTTATATAGAAATGCAAGACTGCATTACTTTTAAATAGATATATAAAGTATTAGTTATTGCCCTGTATATTTAAATTATTTTTGTTATATATTACATTTTTAGAAAAAAATTCTATTAATTAAGCTGATTAAGATATAATCAGAGAAAAGAGTACCTAAAATATTAAAGGATATTCTTTTTAAAATTATATAAAATTTGTACAAAAAACAATCTTGATTGTAAATTTCTTTCTACCATTAGTATTATTATTATTAACATTTTTATAAACTCGTTAAATTTTTATTTTGTACATTGACAATAAACATACGAATTCATAGTTGAAATGAAAGTTTAATGTAGCGTGTGAACTATGCTTTCAGTTCAACAAATAGATTTAAGTAGGACATTCGTTTTCACGTAGCTCAATCTAAATTTGCAACAATGCTGTTACACGCTTTATACACTAGACTGTACTTTTTGAAACTCTGCCAAATTATTCGTACTACAGATAGCATGTTAAGTATTTTGACTTATAAACCACCATTGTAACTTTCATTTTATAACTATAATGCAAATAAAACCTATGATTTTTTAAGTACATATCAAATAGATCATATTTAAATGTTTTAACTGTAAGAAATAGTAACTATAAATGTAACTTAATAATTGACTAAATTAAAGGATGAATTAAGATACAATATTTAGTATAAACCAAGTTCATACTGGAAGTCAATGTGAAGTCTCATCCAACTCATCCTAATGCATTCTATCCTATCAATTGTAACCAAAAGAAATGATGCGACAGGATATACTTTGTAAGCAATGCTCGTACGCTCATTAATGTGTGGTCTGAACTAACCCGAAGACCAAATATGTTTACGCGCGTAATTGTTAACATAATTTGTATTCGAAGTACATATACAACACGATGATTCGTGGATTTTAACTTCCTCTAATACTAGTAAGATATTTGCTGAATACGCTTCTACTTGTAGGATACAGCTTGACCTACATCGTTCCACGAGTTTTCGATCGAACGTTAAGTTTACACAGACGTTATTTCTTATCAGAAAAAAGATCCACTATTGATTCTTCAAGTATATTGAAGTTATCTTGTTAAAATACTTATATCTACTCAATGATTAGGATGTACTGTTTCCAGGCGACTATATCTATCAGTATTTTAACAAATATTTTGCTCCTGGGAAAGATTTATTTTTATATCAAACGTAAAAAATTTTTTACAATATTTGAAAGATTAAAATCTATTCAAATATTAATATAATTTTAGTCGGTTACGTGTTATATGTATCAAATGGTTGTTAATATTCTATGATGCCTCGTTTTAATGTCCTGAAAAAGAATTGATCGTACAGTTTCATAGTATTTATATACTGAAAGCAGATCGTACAGCTTGAATAACGACCCGTCGGTTACCCTTATTTAACCTGTGTCAATTTTAAAATGCATCCTCTTCCCCCTTTTTGCAAAGTAAATGCAGCTGCACTTTAAGATACTATACATAGAACAACATTTACTTAAGAGGGCGCGCCTTTTTTGAATCTGGCGCCTTGGATGCTTTCGATTTATCTCGATCGTTATTGGTAAAGGGACGCTCGCTCCAATAAAGGAACGTTCACATTGCTCGATGAACCTAATTAATAAATTGCTGCTTCTTCAATAAATTCGAAACAACGTTACATCGTACGAAGCATTCTCAACGGAGAATCTATTTCGCAACTATTTTATATTACATAAAGTATTTATAGTTACTTCCAGAAATCTTTGAGAATGTCAAGTTTTTTCATAGAGCAACTCTGGTGTGAGCGATCCGTTAAGTTCACTGGAGACGCGTTAGTGTGAATCAGTGTATACGTAAAACGTTTTTAGGTGGGGATTCAGCCTGCAACACATGCAACGTGCACATCTACAGTAGTACAGTACCGTACGGTGCGTTACGTGTACGAGTCAGTGGTTTTTCGATGATGCCTTGGTGATGATGGGATTTTAACGTTCAAACAGTTCTTAAAACGTTGAGATAGGTGAGCGTATTTAATACGAACGAGTATAAAATTTCGTTTTAGTGACGCTAAGTAAGAAATCTCGGTAAATTTACGAAACGAACGAACAGCGTCGTCGATCAATGTTGGTTCGCGGGTGTGCCCGTTGCCCAGCCCCGTGTGTTCCCTTTTTCCCTTTTGGTCCCCATGAGAAATCCGATTTCTAACTAATCGCCCGATCGATACAGTTTCTTTAAAGGACTATACGAAAAATATTGAAAGTGTCGTAGAAATGTGATCGAATATAAAACTGTGATAAAATTCGTAATTTCACTTTCGCCGTGTTATGATTTCGAAGGACAACTTTGGTGAGATCATCGTAGCACCATCACCTGTTCCGACGATCGTACGCGATCCGGAAAGCAACTTTGTTATTATACATCAATGTCTGTTCTTAATTCTTTAATTTCATTTTAAGATTAACTACAATTAACCTAGGCTCGTTATACGATAAGTCGGCCCGCTGACACATGCTCAATTTATTTATTATTAATTTTATTTATTACCGTCAGGAGCACGCCCATTTTTTCCGTCTCCATTGGCAACTGTGCATTAGCGCGTAACATTTTTACGGAATTCTGAAATTTCAATTGTTTGTTCCAAGTGATATAACTCGCGTAATTTCATACTCTTTCAAGGCTTACCCGTGTATACAAAGTGGTTCAAATGATATTTGACTCTTCGACGTTGTGTAGGAAAAAAAAGTCTCTTATGAACGCGATTAGGCTATTTGCAAAGGCTGTCGTGATTTCATTCGGCATATTCGTTTGAATTGTAAAGATTAAAGGAACGAATGTATAGAAGCGTGAATTATAATTTATGTAATGTCGTTCAAAATATCGGATTCAAAATAGAATGTCATAGCTGTATGTCATTATTTGATATTATGGCGGCATGCAATTTTCTATGAATCTTTTTCTATTTCCAGCTTAAGAAAATACCGGCCGATCATGAAGTTCATCGTGTGTGTCATCTCGACACTGATTCTGCAGGCATCGGCTATAAGTGAGTGCAATTCCGTCATCGCGCTTTATATCGGTCACGAAAATTCGAAGTATTATTTCATAAGATTAATTAGTTTTTTTTATAATCTTGTGTAATTTTTAATTATAGTCCGTATCGTGGATATTATAGGAGGTGAAAACAGTAGCGAACGCTAGAAATAAATAATTTAAATAAATTAATTTTAATTGCATAGTTTCACCTGCTTCTATAAAATTTCTTAACCGAAATTTGGCTTAATGCAATTATAGCGTATTTAATTAACACTTTTATTTTTGTTCAGCTACTGAAGTAATTGCAATATTTTAATATTGCATAGCGTATACTTAATACAAACATGTTACTTTACTATAAGTTCCAATATTATACCATTGTCATTTGTATCTTCATTAGTTCAATCTCCACCACGGATATCCAAACAACCCCCGACAGATGAGCAGTTATTTCAAGTGGCTCAGGCAAAGATTAATGAGAATGACAAACCATTTTTAATTGAATGTGAAGCAGAAGGAGAACCTGCTCCGAGGTAAAATGAATTTAAGTGGAAAATAAATGTACTCTACTTCATTTCTGTTTGTTCAAATAAAAATTGTCATCATTTCTATGCAATACAATTCTGGTATAAATAGGAACAGCTTTGCGCTTGAATTAATTATTGAAGAATGAGAAACATTTTCCAAGAAAATTTTCATTCATGTAATTTCACTGCACTTACATTTAAGTACTCTATCTCTATCCTCCAAAGAAGCCAGAGTAACTGGTCTTAATTACCAGGATGACCTCATAGCCTTAGGGGGTATAAAGTTACCAGTACTGATAAAGATACCTTACTTGTGGTGTAAATTGTAGATGTATGGGAGTGGTCACTAAGACATCAATAGACAATAAATAACGTAATTTATTATTTTTCCTTCATAAATTAATATATACCGTCTGATTTAGGTACCGATGGATTAAAAATGGAAAAAACTTTGAATGGCCAGCGTACGATGACCGTATATCTCAGCAACCTGGTAGAGGTACACTGGTCATCTCGAGACCGCGCGACGAAGATTTGGGACAGTACCAATGCTTTGCAGAAAATGAATGGGGGACAGCAACATCTAACTCCGTTTTCGTTCGAAAAGCCGAATTGAATTCGTTCAAAGATCAGAATCCTATAAGCCTCGATGCGAACGAAGGGCAGCCATTCAAATTAACGTGTCAACCACCGGACGGTTGGCCGAAACCGAACGTGTATTGGTTGATACAAGACATCGCCGGGAGTATCAAGTCGATCAATAACTCGAGAATGACTTTGGATCCCGAAGGAAATCTTTGGTTCAGTAACGTCACTAGAAACGACGCCTCCGATGATTTTTATTACGCCTGCGCAGCTACGTCCGTATTCAGAAACGAATACAAACTAGGGAATAGAGTTTTATTAAATGTTATTTCAACGGGAACGTCTGCTAGTCAAAATAAACACGAACCCGTCAAACAATACGTCAGTAGAAAGAACGAAGTTGCCTTACGCGGTAAAAAGATTGAATTATATTGCATATTCGGTGGGACGCCTTTACCGCAGATATTATGGAGTAAAAATGGGAAAATCATTCGGACAAACGATCGAATAACTCAAGGAAATTATGGTAAATCGTTGATAATAAAGCATGTGAATTTCAAGGACGAGGGAACGTATAGTTGCGAAGCATCGAACGGAGTAGGAGATGCGCAATCGTATTCTATAAACTTACAAGTAATGGCGGTACCATATTTCACTATCGAACCTGAGATCATAAACGCCGCGGAAGACGAGACTGTTGCATTCAAATGCGCAGCCGACGGAGTGCCTACTCCTGAAATCAAATGGATTCATAATGGCAAACCAATATCGGAAGCTCCGCCAAATCCGCGTAGAAAAGTTACATCGAATTCCATCATTATAGAGAAACTAACTAAGAAAGACACAGGGAATTACGGATGCAATGCAACTAATTCGTTGGGCTACGTATACAAGGATGTGTACGTAAATGTTTTAGCTCTTGAACCTGAAATTATACAGCCACCAGCTGATATCGCCACTGTTGACGGGAAAACAGTGAGAATTATCTGTCGCGTGTTTGGGGCACCGAAACCAACTGTGAAATGGATCCGGAAAGGTCAAGAACTGACCGGAGGCCGATACAAGACTTTGGACTCCGGTGACTTAGAAATCGAAAATGTAATATTCTTAGATGCGGGTGTCTATACCTGCCATGCGTCTAATAAATTTGGAGAAGTAGAAGCTACTGGTAATTTAATGGTAAAAGAACATACGAGAATCACGGACGAACCTGAGGATTACGAAGTTGCCGCAGGTTCTACTGCAACCTTTAGGTAAATAATTATGATACTAATGATATGATTTTCTTGAGTCCATGTATTAATAAAATATTATATTTAGGTGTAATGCCGTCACAGATTCAAGTTTAACTTTAACGATCGACTGGTTGTCCAACGGCGAGCCTATAGATTTTGAGATGGAACCACGATTTGTACGAAGCACTGATTATTCGTTAATGATCACAAAAACGACTGAATTAGATTCCGGTATCTACACTTGCGTTGCTCATACCGAGTTGGACGAGACGAAAGCACAAGCAACGTTGATAGTTCAGGACGTACCGAATCCGCCAAAATTAATTAGCGTAAAATGTATGGAAAACGATGCTTCCGTGCATTGGACTCCTATGGGTGATAACAGAGCTCCGATCTTGAGATACACCATTCAGCATAACACTACTTTCACACCGGATACTTGGGAAATAGCTAAAGATTCCGTACCAGCCACTGAACAAACTTATGTTGTTCCAATGTCGCCTTGGGCTAACTATACGTTCCGTGTATTAGCGTGGAACAAAATAGGTAAGATTTGAGAGATAAGTAATTTTGTAAGTTTATTCATATTAATTTATTCCATACAGGACCTTCGTTACCATCGCCGCACAGCGATGTGTGCACCACTTTACCGGACGTTCCTTACAGGAATCCGGATAACGTTGCGGGTAAAGGAACAACTCCGCAAAATCTTGTTATATCCTGGACCGTGATGCCGCAAATTGAGCACAACGCGCCGAAGTTCATGTACAGAGTATATTACAGACGAGACATACCAGGAGAGAAATGGACTATAGAGGATATACACGATTGGAAAAAGAATAGCCTGGTAGTGGACAATCAACCCACTTATCAGAGATACAAGATCAAAGTTGTGGCTATCAATGCGAAAGGAGAATGTAGAGTCGCTCCTGAAGAAGTAACTGGATACTCTGGAGAGGATGGTTTGTTTTGATTTTTCGATTAATTTTACTGAACATTTTTGAAGAACGATGTTAGCCAAAGTGTGTATAATGATTACAGTACCCTTGCAAGCACCCACTAACTTCACATTGAATCAAATAAAGTCCAGCACAAGCGCGCAGTTCTCGTGGAACCCGGTTCCCGAGGAATCGGTACGGGGTGAATTACAGGGATATAAAATTCAAACGTGGACAGAAAAGGATGGAGAAAAAGGATTACGGGAAATCGATATAAGAGGTGGTAACAGGTCCCATGCGTTAGTTACCAAATTTGTTCCATTCAGCAAGAACTATGTCAGAATCCTAGCATATAATGGCCGGTAATGATAACAGAACCAGTAACTAATCAATATTTCTATGTAACTGTGCCTATAACGTTGATTATCTATATTAGGTACGCTGGACCACCTTCTGAAACTTTAAGTTTTGATACACCAGAAGGAGTTCCAGGAACAGTTCTCAATCTTGAGGCGTTCCCGATGGGCTCCAGCGCTTTGTTCTTAGCATGGACGAAACCTGCCGAACCGAATGGTATTTTAAATGGATACAGAATTTACTATGAACCTGTAAATGGAACTAGATTAGGACCTTTATTGGAGAGGAAACCACATATTATGGACTCAGAAGCCACAAGCGCAAAATTAGCTGCGCTAGCACCTGACACTAAATATCGTGTACACATCCGGGCAACGACAAAAGTTGGCGAAGGAAATGAGTACGTATATCTACTGCCTATTAATCATCATTGATTCACATATCTAATACAAAATATTCCTTTGTACTTTCTCAGTTACTTCATCGAACAGAAGACGCGCACGTCCCAACGGCCGGACGTGCCTCAATTCACTTGGGAAGCCATACCAGACGAGAACGGATTTTCGATCGTCAGAATTATTTGGCAGCTAAATCTCAATGGAAACCCTGGCAGCCACTTTTTCGTTAAGTACAAACTTAAAGGCGAAACGATCTCTCTGGAGACTGACCCAGAATACCAATCGAACACGATCGAAATTCGTGGACTTAAAAGCGGCGAGGTTTACGTAATGTCTGTAGTTGCCGTCGATGGAAATTATTTCACGGAAAGCGAACCGCAGGAAGTAGAGACAAGCAGCGAGGGACCTATCATTCAGCCTAAAGAAAATGTCGCGACTGCTGGATGGTTCATAGGAATGATGCTAGCGATCGCTTTCCTTCTTTTCGTACTTATAATCGTGTGCATTGTAAAACGCAACAGAGGCGGAAAGTACGCGGTACACGAAAGGGAATTAGCTGCTGGACGCGGTGACTACCCGGACGAAGGTGGTTTTCACGAGTATTCCCAACCTTTAGATACTAAATCAGCGGGTGGTCGAGCGTCTTTAGCATCGTCGTCCCATCAAGATGGAAAGCATCCAGAGTCTGATACCGATTCTATGGCAGAATACGGCGAGGGTGATACAGGTCAGTTTAAAATATAACATAGCTTAATTTATATTGAGCTACAATAGTAATCATACAATTTAGGTATGTATAGTTAGATTTTAATAGAGTATGCACCAGTTCCCACGTATGCAGATGCAAAGCACACACTGAAAACTTTATGTTTCAGTTTTTCATTTTGCATATGTACGTTGTTACACAAATTTTATATAGAATAGAATATTTCTTTATACGTCATTCACTTTTCCTAATTTAGCAACTTTATTTATATATTATCTTTTATTTTCTATTTTATTTGCTTTATCGCTTAATTTAATACAGAAGGTATGAACGAGGATGGATCATTCATTGGTCAGTATGGTCGACATCGTAAGCCAGAACCAAACTCGCAAGCATTTGCTACGTTAGTTTAAGGTAGGTTAAACAATACATTCAGAGACACGAGCACGATTTACATTATTGCCTTTCATGTGTGCTTGATGTGTTATGTATTGAAATGTCAAATCGTGAATTGAAATTTTCATTCTGTTGAAGGACGTTTCACGGAAGACGGTTCTTTTATTGGACAATATGGGCCCAAGGGTAGACCAGAAGAAACACCGCCCATTCCAAGCGGCACTATGGCCACATACGTGTAACCTCTGCCATTATCTTATTCGAGCCGCATAAAAATTGTTTTTTCTCTTATAAGTAAGGTTACAGGTCCTTACTAACCGCAGCAGCTCTGCTATGCACCTTGCGCTGGGCGCAATGTCCAACACTATACTGCCAATTAGACTTTGGTTTTGGGTTTTATAGTTTACATAGAGAGATAAGTAAATGTTTCTATATTGAGCCAGTTAGGGATATACAAGTGAAGCACAACAATTTGTATATTCGTATCGTTTAGAGTGATTCGTCTTTTAAGTGTTTCGTACACATCATTTTAGATGCGTTACTCGATTATTCCAATAATTTTTAGTATATTCGAAGTTGACCTGCGATAATTATTTCATCTACTTATTGCGTGTATCGATGGATACATATTTGTTAATTAATCAAAAAATTATTTATTAACCGATACATTTGTTGAAGTATCTTGTACTAATTATAAAACCCAAAGACGATAGGTGTTTCATAGCGTGCAAGCTATTTACGAACATAAATAAAAGTAGAAAGTATTCTAGCATCGACAGTAAAACATTTGACAAAGCCAGATTGATTGATTGACACGATAATAATCACAGGGTATACGAGTTATGTTTATATTGTTCTAAGTATGTACGGCACAAAATCATGATGTACTTTTAAGGCTGCATATAGGATCACATCCACTTAATCAAATAACATTGATGATTCGTATTGCCCAAAATTAGTTTATACACCTTCTAACAGACTGATGTTGCTTATATGCAATCTTGAAAACGGAAGGACTGATATTGAGAATAGTGTCACAATCTGGCTTCGACTGAATCTAATTTTAACTTAAAAAAAAAAAAAAAAAAACGAGAAATTGTTCTAAAAATCTTTAGATGCAATCAATTTTTACTCTGCCGACAAAGGGCCAAATATAACGAATCGGTGACTATCTCTTATTCATTCAGCGAGAGAACATGCCTGTTTCACGCAGCTCAGGAAAGCCCTTAACTTCTTAATTCTAACATCAAAGGTACATACACAGTGAAGAAAAATATAGAGTATGCTGGGTACAATGGGTATGGCCGCTCATTGAATGAATAATACAATTTATTGTGCACTTGCACTTTCATTAACGATACGCAAATGACAAAAGATATTATTATTATTATTACTCTAATATTGAAAGGAACATTGTACATGCACTATAGTAGTTAAAAAAAAAAGTCACATGGCCTCTAATTGTTGCTTTTTGTATGTGAAACGTGCTTTAGCTAAAGAAAATGAAAGTCCTTTTATTTTTATTAATGTTCACTTTCCTTTTGGTAATTTTATTACAATATAATGAGTCTAGAGTATTGATTATTTAATATATAATATATTAAATATATAGAGACATATATTGATTATTAATTAGAGTCTTGAAAGAATGCGATCACACAAGGACAGCTATTATTGCGTTTTAGTGTATAAAAATGTTATTAAGAAATGGGTAGAGATTCGTTGATTTCTGCAAGAATAAATGTACGTTTTTTATTTACTATATATTTAAGTTTAGTATATTCAATGCAATGTACAGGTTGTCTGCAAAAGTGTCGTGAACAAATATATCAGGTACAAAAATAAAAAAAAAAAAAAAAGGTACAAAATATAGGAATACTTAACAATACACATAATGCGCGTAAAGTTCGTAAAAATATATATGATACTCTGAAAATAATGTACACAGCTCTGAATCTATGGAAAGTCGACATGCAATAGTAATTATTCTTCCAACTTGTCTTCTAAATTTTAGTATGTACCATTGAAAAACAAAAACGAAGGAGGTCTCAAAATTTCGTTTAGCGACAAACTGTAGATTTTAATTAATATTTGTCAGGATCTTTTTTGCCGATTATCCTGTACAAATGGCTTGGACGTCGCGTAATTTTTACGAACTCTATAAATAATATATATTATACATATACACGTACGTATATAGGCGCCTACAAAAAGAACGTATTGTAAATTAAAGAAAAATGATAATTTATTGTAAAGATACCGAGATATATAAAAGAAGATACAGAGACATATATGTAATATATTAAAGTATCATTAATGGTAAAATTATATTGAACGATATATTTGCCAGAATGATCATAGACGTCCAAGTCAATCCACAAAAGTATGCGATTACGTTTTAATGTATTTTTCTAATCGTAGTATCTTCAGTACATTTTGGAGGTACATCCGTATCCGTGTCCTTTTTAAGATTCGAATCTCTGTTTGGATGAAACGTGTTGTAACTTACGTGAACTTCCAATACTTTCGTACGTGTAACTGGTGTTTTGATACTTTTTAATATATTTTGATACATTTTTTTCTTTTTATTACTTTCACTCGTTATTAATATATAAATATATATAGACATTTCTTCGTATTCACGGTAGATGCGTAAGCGTTTAGCACGTACGTCGTGTGTTGGATCTGATTTTTTTTTTTTTTTTTTTTAAACAATGCATTAACTATTTTAGTTACAACGCCGGGAAGTAACCACTGTGTTAGCGCAATTAGCACCGACTAAGAATGCGATACAAATGACTTTCTACGAAACAGTGTTCATTTTACAACGAGAGGACAACACATGTTGCGCATACAAAAATAAAAAAAGAGATAAACTGTTGCAAAAGTAACGAAAAGAAAAATGTTATACGATAATACGAACATGTGTGCGCCTATCGTACTAGCTTTTCATTGTACATTATCTGATTAACTATTAAGATACTAATACATTTCCCGATAGAAAGATCCATAAAGAGCGTGCTCGTACGAGACCACCTTCTTGTGTATGTTTCTAGCGGTACCATCGTTTCAATATTTTTTCTACGGTGTAGAGTTTGCAGAAAGGTTTAGCAACCTTGTTGAAGGTTCTTTCATCTCCTCGTACCGCGAAAGAGACGAGAATATCCTACATTGCGTTACAACGTTCTGTCAAATGTCAAATGATTCGCCTTATGTTCGATCATTTATCAGTAACTACGATAACGCGCATTCCAATGCCTGTATAACATCTCCCATGTCAATAAAAACAAAAATTAAATAAATAAATAAAATCTATAAACGACAGAGAGACGATGTTTCTCAGAGTTCAATGAAAATGGCAATTTGTCTAAATCATGGATATTTCTTTCAGAAGGCCGAGAAAGATTGGATTAAAGAAAGAGAAGACGGGACCTCCTGCGGTTTCAGAGGAGTCCTTGTCGCATCGTCCTCGAGGATCGAGGCCCTGTACGCTGTACGGGAGCGCATTTGGTCTCAGGCAAGCAAGAGCTGCGCGGACAGAAGTCGAACGAGATGTGACCGATAATGTAATTATGCGGGACAGGTTTTTTGTGCTGGTACTCTAACTTGATCTCTCGTGAGTCGCTCTCCCTTTTTTCTACCTGTGCATCTCTCTCGCGTCACTGTCCCTCTACCGTTTCCTTTCTCTATCTCTTTCTCACCGGGTTCATCCCTTTCTCTCATTTTCTTTTCTCTAACTTTTCCTACTTTCATCAGTTCCTTTACCCTCCTCGCTAATCCCACGTTTCGGTGTTACCTAGCTCTGTCAACGTTTCTCTCTCTCTCATCGTTGCAAGCATCGAAGCATTTATAACGAGAACAGAAGAGAAAAAAGGACGAAAGGGGAAGACAAGCCGACGACGCAGAAATGTACCGTGCTGCTAACCGCCGTCAGCTATACATGTATCGACGTTAGCGCCTGGCTGCCTGCTGTAGAAGCTGCGCGCGTCCGTGTGGGTCGCCGGTCATGCCGAGTGTGCTGTCCTACGGGAGAAGGAGAGGTAAGGTCGACGCATGCGTGGAAGAGAGACGGCGCATACGAGCTGCGCGCGCCAATCGGACGCGCGAGTACGTTGCAAGGTAAGAGTTATAGCGATAAGTAGATATCGCGTACGTTAATAAAGTGCGTTATCTTGACCAGCGTAGTAACGAAACGGAATAATTTGAATTCACCTGGCAAATAAAAGAAACGAATTATTGTAATAATCGCATTTAACCAGGAAGTAAGAATAAATCTTTAATAGAAGATGGCTAAGTTGGATGCAAGAAATTACAGTTTCTGGTTATAGCCAATTTGGAAATTTCATTCCTTCGGTCCAATCGATGAATCAACATTTAAAAAGCCGAGGACTACATGATTTTGCGTAACGCTCGTACGACTGCTTGCGGTTTGTAGCGAATCCAATTAGGTTTGCGACGGTCGAGCAAAAACATTCGATCGGGAATAAACCGGCACTGGTTGCTCTCTCTCGGAGACGGCTCTCGGGACTCGCTTCCCCGTTCGTGAGCCGGGTATAATATACGTTCGGATCAATTGTGTCCGTTGTATCAGGGCGCAGACTTTCCTTCGGCGATTCTCTTGATTTCTCGTGACTTATCGAATATCCTTCAATTTCCCTTGGCTATTAGAGAGCCGACACACATGTACCAGCTTTTAAAAATTTATTACCCCGACGGAGATTCCGATACCCGTGAAATCGATTATCTCCAATTCCACCTTTTCTTCTCGTCGCCACTTACGGCGTGTATAAAAAAGAAAAAAAAAAAAAAGAAAACGATGCGAAATCACGATCATGATCTGCAAAGAAAAAAAATTCTTTAACGTGTTATTATACGATTCTGTTACCTCCTCGCGGGGAAAAAGAATATAATCTACCCGTTCTCTTTAAGCTAACGAAACGCCCGAGGATCCAGGCGTAGAGCACTATTATAAGCGGGGCATATTTTTCAATCGTGCTCGGAACCGAGTTAATAACAGTCCACCGCGTGAAAGATCGTTTCTCTTTTCTGAATTACCCTGTATAACACGGCCGAGTTTCGTGCGGCGCACAGCGCAAGAAGGAGAAAAAGAGCGAGAGAAAAACCGAACAGCCGTAAGAGATAACAATGGGCCATTTGTTAGATGGACCCGTCCCTCGACACGCGGCCCACAATGGACACTATTATCAACTATTCATTGAGCGATCTGTTAAACCTGTTGCTCGACGGAAACCAAGAACAGCCCCCATAGTCCTTCGGGAACCGTTCAATTTGACCTTTAAAAAATGAAGATATCACCTTGGAGCTTTCAAGACGGCGGGGAAAAATGTCAATCCGGTTGTTAAAAAATCGTCGACGATTAATTTATGTTCCTCCAAACGATTTATCTTCTGAATAAGAATCTGGTAAACACAAACCTGTTATAAGCAACCGGGTTTAAGATAGTACGATTGAAAGGTGGCAAATTAAACGTTTAGTTCCTTTCTCAAGACCCGAGAGGATCCATCGATGTTCTCGATCCATGGTTTCGCATCATGCATTATTCATCGTTCGGGCTACGTTCGAACCCCCGTAGTCGGAAATAGTAATGCAGTCGCGGAGTATCTCATTATTATGCGCTTGTTTTCTACTTTCGCGTTGATTTCGGATACGTCTGCTAACTCGGTTCGCCTCTAGAAAGACCGATAGTCTTCTTTAGTTGGAGCGAAGCTCCGCTATCGAACGGCTGATCGGGATTTTTGTGACTTTTTAATTGAAAATCTGGATTATCAATTCTGACCAGTCTTTGCAAGCCGATCACGAGGAAGATGTTCAGAAGTTTTCAATCATTTCTTTGCCAATCGTGTATCGTATTATGGGACACCCAGTACACGTTTCGAGTACCTTATGTATCTTTCATCACCTGCACCTGTTTGTAGAAAGTTTCTGATGATCTGGTATGTTCCTCGGAAGATCGGTCGCGTCGCGAGAGTTTACTCGTCTCCGTAAGGCGCGAAAAATGTTTGCGGTCCGATCGACCGCAAGTAGAGTGTAAAATGGTGCATGTCGCATATACCGTGGCACCTAACAAGCAGGCCATTGTAATGGATTGCAAAACGAGCATGAAAATGTGGTTGAACATTTGATAGTAAGAAGAATACCGTACCAAGAAGGATATTACCTTAAAATTCGTGGTATTCGTTCGGTAATATTTTATATTTGTTGCTAACAAAAGAAAGCTGTGTCAATATCGATCCCCTTCCTTGTCGCGAGATTATTCGTGATCTATAATCTCGTTTCGAGAATAATTCTGATCGATTTCTGACACCTCGCGGATGCCGATAAGTTAATGGCAGGCTGGTGTCAAGCTCGGGAACAAAGTCCAAACTGCAACGGTGAATTCTCTTTGCCGAATGCAAAGATAGACGGGGGAGTGACGCGAAGGGGAATAGTAGACGCAGTACGAAAGAGAATGGAAGAAGAAACGAAGAGGAGGACCCCGGCGAAAGATGTTTAAAAACTGGTTCCTTCCACCGATTTCTTTTCACCTTATTTGCTAATCCAAATTCTGATTTCCATATATCCGCGTATACGGTATCCCAGCCCCGGGGAGATCGATATATCGGCTGCTAGACCGTAAAATATGTCGACAAGGCGGCCTTTGATTTGCCTAAGATAAATACCAGATATTTATCAGAGAGAATCGTGTCTATCTTTAATGAAATCATCCGCAAGCTTACCCAAGTACCTTTTTATCTTCGATACTACTTGAGAAAAATTATATTTGCAATTCTTTAATACTTTATTAGGAAAGTTCATAAGAGCGATTAGGAGAAATGAAAAATACGATGTAAAGAGCGATCGATCGATTCCGCGAATCATTGTGCACGCACCCTTATCCCCGAACGTATCGGGACCCCTTAAAAGATAGAGATCTTGCTCGCGGTCCCACGGCAAGAAGACGACGGGCTGCTGTGGGGCCTTTTCTCATTGAGTCAGTCAGTCAGTCAGTCAGTTTGCCGCAGAGACGCGGCCCGTACGCACGTGTGTATGCGCGTCTTGTCGACTCGAATCTTGGTGCAACCGTGCCGGCTGCATTATCGACGGAGCGAACTTGGGAGGCAAAGAGCATCGGCAATTGGTCGTCGGTCAACCGGTCAGGTTCCCCGCTTGCTTCTTCGTTCGATCTCAAAGTTGATCCTTGTCTCGAATACCGCACCGGGTCTCCTTAGGGCCCTGTGTGTCAGCCTCGTTAGGTTCCGTGCGTGAGAACGTGCCCGTTTCGAGTCTCGAGTACCCCCTCGTGAAATCCGAAATTTCACGGGTCGAATCGCGGCGTGTTCCCTCGACCCGATACATCTAACGCATATCGAAACGAGAGGACACGCGCAGAAACGAAACGCAGCAGGACCGTGGAGAGAGATAGATTTACGTAGCGCCGCGAAAGGGGGGCTAGTCGTAAACCGTGCAACACCTGGCGGCAGGTCGTTAATTATGCAGTGGGCCGCAGCCGCCCTGGCCCTGGCCTCGGCGGCGATCGTTCTGCTCCTGGAAACGGCGGCCGCGAGACATCACCATCGTTCCGGCAATGGGCACAAACCGTCCGGTGACATATCCCTTTGGATCGACCAGCAACAGATCAAAATGTTCAGCGGTACGTTCTTTTTCCGGGTATATGTACTGTCACAATTATTGATTTTTTTCAATCTCCTGATCTTTGAGTATCAGTAAAACTTGAGATACTTTTCTTTCATTTTCAAATGTTTATGCGCTATCGATCTGATCTTATCGAAGATCGATTTTTATTTTAAACGGTGGATGATAACTTTCTATGCTTCGATTCTTCTTCGTGTCATATTTAAAATTTCCAAAGTAAATTAATAAATTGAGTTATTCCTAGAAAGTTAAGCTTTTTTTCTGTTTTAGGAGTTGAGATGGAAATATTCGCGATTACCGAAGGTAGAGTCTTGTCTTATCTCCTTGATCCTGATTTCGAAAGTAAACTTCCGATTATTCCGAGCGAAGTAACTTACGTGAATTTCACATGGAAATCTGGTGTTAAAAAGTACTATTATAATTTTTATCGGCTTAAATCGTTCGACGAGTCGATCCTTAAGACGCCGTCTATCACGATCAAAACTCAAGGAAGAGTACCGAAGAGACCTAAGGGTAATTTTATGTTTCTTTATTTAATTAATTATTTATTTAATAGATAGTCAATTGTTAAATGTATATGCATGATATTGTCACAGAATTCAGCGTCCTGATGCCCTGTTCCGGTAACAGTTCTGGCATTGCACAATTGGCTATCGGACTGATGATCGAAACACGCAAGGGGAAACCTTTAAACGGAACACCCCTTCGTCTTAATCTGAGAAAAGAATGCACCGTGCGCGGTGAGTGCATCAAACGCGCCCACGATCATCATTTCTTCACTCACACATACAGTTCTGTATCAGCAATAATTCGTCGGCTAATTTGCTGCATGCTTCGTTCGAAATATGAATTCTTCTATGAATTCACAGGCAAATGATTTATTTAAATGTTACAACTTTGCATAAACTATTTTTTCAACATACCGAGATGAACTCCTCGGTAGACATGCCTTTATTCCAATTAATTAATTGCCCTTTCTGACCGAACAAATGCATGACTGTTCCGCTTCGAAGATATCCCTAAATTTCTGTTAATAAGCAATCTCATATGCCCGAGGCATTTAATTTAAATGATGTTCGGTGTATCTAATTACGCTTATCTGCTTATATTTGAGGGGGCGTAGCGGATGAAAATTATTTCGTGCATGTTTTCACGACAGACGTTGATTGTAATACGAAGATGGACCTTAGAGTATATACACTGTACACATGAATGTTTTTGCATGTAACTATGTAACGTTATTAACAAATACATTCAAGTTCATTCTGATTATTTATGTTTAAATATTGGCATCATAAAAATATAATAATTTTCTTTGCAGAACCTAATCCTGGACCTTGTCCTGATGGATATCTGGGCCCTCCACACTGCAAAAAGGCATTGTGTTATCCAAATTGTATGAATGGTGGTAATTGTACAGCACCTGGTATTTGTTCATGCCCGCCAGGATTTCAAGGCCCGTATTGCGAAGGAGGTACATTGATTTCGAACTACAAAACGTAGAAAACAAACTATTTTACTTTATTTAAGTATTGTATACATATTTATATTACTTTAGATACCGATATAGCTGTTTTACAACCAAATTTAATAACATTTGTTAAGGCTTGATAGAATGGTGCTTGTTCTGCACCATGATCTATACCTGTGTCATGATGTTCTTGCTCTTCATCTCGAAATTTTTTAATGGTTTCTAATATTTCTTCATCTATTTTTTCATTACTTTCCATTAAAGCGCGTAATTGATCATTGTAATGTTCTGTGATCACCGTTTCCACTGCTACGGTACAAGCCATAGCTGCTTTTTCTCCCATAAGCGCCGTACCAGCCCCAAGAACAAAGCCAGCAACATTCCAAAGGGGTGTTAAAACAGTTGGTCGTACACGATATTTCCGAATTAATTCTTCGAATTTGGCACGATGCTTCTTCTCTTGATCCCACATGTGCTGAATAGTCGGACCAACAGCAGTCCTACCTGTCTTATGTATCCAGATGTACTTAAGCTTATTTCTAACATAATTCTGATATTTTTACATCATATTTATACCTAAAACAGCCATTTGTCCAGCATATATTCTGTCAGCTCCTAACTCTCCAGCATGATCTACCCTTATAATTGTATCTAATAATTTTCCTGATCCAGTTGCCCTTGAAGCTGCGGATGTACTAGCCAATCGAATTCCCAGCTGCCTTAAGCGCAGCATATTTGTTACAGACTTCAAGAAAATATCTCTGTTAAATCATCAAATATTTTTAGTGTTTTTATTCAAATGTTTCATTTTGATTTCAGGTATATGTGCAGAGAAATGTTTAAACGGTGGGAAATGTGTACAGAAAGATACTTGCGAATGTCCAAAAGGTTACTTTGGATTACGGTGTGAATTCTGTAAGTGGTACAACTCTATCAATAAAATTTATAATAATAATAATACTGTTTTCTTCATAGCAAATTTATTTTGCTTTAGCAAAGTGTGTAATACCCTGTTTGAATGGAGGAAAGTGTAAAGGGAATAATGTATGCAGATGTCCTGCTGGTTTCAAAGGAGACCATTGTGAGATCGGTAGACGATCTCCACAACGTTCTGCGTGTACAAGAGCATGCAGAAATGGGACTTGTCAACCTGATAACACGTGTCTTTGTGAACCTGGTTGGTTTGGAAAGTTGTGCAACAAAAATAAGCCATGGGCTTGAAACTAGAAACATGTTTCATTGGTGGTATTACGTCTGTTATCAATTGGATTAATAAGAAAGGGTTTCTTATTTGATTTGAAATTACAGGTCTTAAAATATTGAATTTTATTTCAATTGGGTTTGATTTCTAAAGATATATCTTTGTGTTAAAAGTTATTTAAAAATCCAATTGGTTAGTACCACTCAAATTAATATGTATAGTAATTTACCCCACCCCAAATGTGATATGTAAAGCTGCTTTACAACATTTTATACTATTAAATATTATTTTTAATAATTTACTTTTATATTGTTAGATTTATTGTAATAATTGTAAAGAAAATAAAATGTATTTTCTTCCTTATGATTAATCCCTTTTCATATTGATTTCATTCGATTGCGCAAAATAGGATTCATGTTTAAAATGCAAAATTTTAGATTTTTATTAATATTTATGTGAATTGCTCCTTGTATAATCACGATAACAGAATAAAATCAGATCACGCAAAAGAAAAGTGATTGTAATACCCAGGTAACGTTGTTCAATGTAAAACGTCAAAACAACGTGCAGGTAAGATTGTTCCTGGCCAGGATTCAGGTTGAGTTTAGGTTAGGCTGAAACTCGGGGCAACATCATTCCAGGAACACTGAGAACAGGAGTCACGTGTTTCAGGGCCCAATAAGAACGTAAATCGAGTGGACGCCATAACGCGTACCCCAATAGTACTAGCCAATCACGTTATTCCAGACCCGTATATATGTATATGGTGTTGGTGTTTCAGTGGTCGCTGGTACCTTTTTGCGGATTCTCACGGGAAATTGGTGAGTGCCGAAGAAGTATCCGTGCGTTATTAACACGTAAGTGATCATTGAGGGCCCGGGCGATGCGCGGGTGTTGCGCATTCGCAAAATAAGGGCAATTTCGCATCGTCTGCTTGGAGTGCACCGCGCAGGCTCGCTCAAAATGGCCGCCTCGCTGCCGCGTTTGTTGTGGTGGAGATGGAGAGCCGCGTAGCCGATCGATACGCCTGCTGGCGAAACTGGCCATGGTGTCTATGGCGGCTGTTGTGCGTGTTGTGGCGTGGCGCGACGTACACGCGAGTTACGAGCGGTGAGATAGAACGTCGCGTGCTAGCCTCACGGTGGTGGTGCTGTGCGGGTGAGCGTTTAACACGGCTGGCGGGATGACCGCGAGACGCGAGCGTAGGGCGTGGTGAGAGAGCGTAGCCGACGGCGGCCTCCCCGCAGACGCGAAACCCTGAGCCCTCCCTGATCGGGTGACCACTCACGGGACACACAAGGTGCGTACGCAACTCGCGATTTTCACTGGGCCTGCTCCATGGCTCCGCGGTACCGCGGTCATGAGCTTTGCGGCCCCGGAGGTGGTCTCTTTTGCGTGTGCCCTGCGCATTTTCATTGCCCCCCCAAAGTATCACCAAATAAACGCGCCGTGTGCGCGACTTGGCGCATCCTCTCTCTCCGTTCTCATATCAAGTCACGCTTTGTCAAGCCACGCTCTTACCAGCCTTCTTAACAGGCCGTACGCCGTATCTTGCCTGTCGCCTGTCAAATTCATCCTTTGAATACGGTGTGCTCGCTGTCATGCCGACTTTAACACTGCTCCACCGCACTTCCTCTGCAGCTAACGAATACCGTTTCTCTATGCACGGATCACAGAGGCAACCACGACGACAACGACGACGACGCCGACGAAGTTTATCTTACATCTTACCGCGTTCTCCGTTATCATGAGGTTCTCTTCCCTATCGCGTAAACTTCACGTTTCAAAAAAATACGTATTAATCCTGATCGTATGCGCGGGAAACGTTACCTACTAAATTCATTGTTTTTATTTTTATACTTCATTCAATGTATACTCTTATTATTCTGTATTCTTATCTACTCAATTCTTATCACTTATTGTTTTACAATTTTTTTTATATAAGAAAGATTATATAGGAGTTTTGTTAGTTACTTATCTAATGGAATTGTTTATAGATCACATAAGATAGGACTGTATGTATATGCTGCATTTATTGTTAATTATCAGTTAACAAGATATGAATAGTACCATTGTTTATTTTGATGAATGTAGCAGTTATTTGGATGTTTTTATATAAGTATAGAGGGTAAACATATATCTTCTCGTTACTTGCACCTAAAAAATGCGAATTTGAAGGGTTATTTTTATTACAGCAAATCAAGCCTTTTCATGCAAATTTGTATTTCTCAATATAGGTGAAGGTGATGTAGAAGAAATAGCCAAAATCATAGATTGACAATTGTTTCAACGGGGCACTGCAATTCAAAAAAAGGCAAAACGGGTGACGAGGATAAGAAAATGGTGTCTCTGCCTAGCGCAGAGTCTGGCACGATGGACAGAATCTCAGATGATGATGACGATGAGCCAAGTAGTGGGTCTGAAACGTACGAGGAAGGTGACCTCTTGACGGCTGCTATGGATGATGACGTGACGGCCCAACTCGCCGCTGCAGGTTGGCAAATCAAACACGCTAATGGTGATTTCCATTTTTTTGCTTTTTCACCTTTTCAGTTATTTATGTTCTAATCATTTTCATTTACAATGAAAAAGTAACATACAGGGTACACCAATAATGTTAAATGATTAGTTCAGATCATTGAAGGAGAAAAGTTAGCGAAAGGATTTATAAACTACATTTCTAAAATCAATTAGTATAACTTTGTTTGTAATTAGTTGTATCAGTTGTAAAAAATGTGAGTTGTCCATACATTGTGATTCAAGTTTCTGTTTAAATATAACAAGTAATAATATTAATATATATACAATATATAGAGAGCTTCTGAGTAGTATTGTTAGTTTTGAAAAAAATATTGAGAATAATCTATGATCAGCAGAAAACTATCCAAGTAAATACTGCCTGCCAATGATACATTTGATCTGGTAACTATTAATCAAATTAAACAGAGTTCAAAAGAATTGCATTAATCCTTTCAGTTTGTTTATGTTTTGTTATGCATTTAAAAGTACACACATTCGTTATTTTTTGTTATTCATGTCATTGACAGTGCAGCATGAATTTATTGATTTCACAATTATTTATTTTATTTAACTTTTTAAAGTTATAATGCAAAGATAATATAAATTAAATTAACAAGAGAGTTTATCATTGAATGCATTTTACATTGTTTGTGTGCTGTATTATTATTTGCTTTCTGTTTTTAATATTATATTTACATGGAAACACTGTTTACATATATATGTATTTTTTTTATTTTGCATTCTATGTGTAATTTTCATTTGCATATTTATGTTTAATGTTATTCATACATTCATTTATCATCCTTTTTGTATGTCTTTCAAAACATCATAGCTTCTATACATAGATCAAGTTTCATAGTCCACTTTTTTTTTTTTTTTTTTTTTCATGCAGTGTGTCTCTTTTGCTACGTTTATTACCTAAATGTCATAAAAACATGTAATACTTTGTAGATATTCATTTTCACCTTGATCAACAAATATCCAAGGGTATATTTTTGCTCAGTTTTTAAATACTTTCCCTCTTCTAAGCATTATTACAGCATTCAATTTCGCGCACGCGCACGTTCGTGTATCCGCGTGATACATATAAATTACATATTACATACCCTTGGACATTAAGCACGTTTCATACCACTATTGCTTTTGCATCTTTTATGTTATTTAGAATGTAGATAAAAAATACTTATGGTGAAATGTTAATAAAAATGAATAGCATAAAAATTGTCGTTAGCTTTTCAAAATTAAATATAACATGTTGATATTTCAAACGTTAAAGTAATATTTTATTGACATTTCATTTGGTGTTGGACGATGGAATTAGAAAACGTATTGTTAATAATATCCACATTTAGGCCCTGTTGGTGTAGCCGCAGCTGCCGCCATTGTCTCAGCAAAAAAGAGAAAACGACCTCATAGTTTTGAAACAAATCCTAGCATTAGGAAGAGACAACAGAACAGACTTCTAAGAAAACTCAGAGTAAGTACAGTGTACATTACTAATTAAAACTTGTATCATCATACTTTATTCGATAAATTGTATATTTTACATTCTGTTATACATATTTCAGCAAACCATAGACGAATTTGCAACACGAGTTGGACAGCAAGCAGTAGTATTAGTAGCTACACCAGGCAAGCCAAACAGTAGTTATAAAGTATTCGGAGCAAAACCGTTAGAAGATGTAGTAAAAAATTTAAGAAATGTTATTATGGAAGAACTTGAAAGTGCGCTCGCACAACAAGCTCCACCTCCGGTACAAGACGACCCATCTTTGTATGAATTACCACCCCTCATAATAGATGGCATACCAACGCCCGTGGAAAAAATGACACAAGCTCAACTCAGGGCATTTATCCCGTTAATGTTAAAGTATTCTACAGGCAGAGGTAAACCGGGTTGGGGAAGAGATAGCACACGGCCGCCATGGTGGCCGAAAGAACTACCTTGGGCAAACGTGCGTATGGATGCAAGATCGGAAGATGAGAAACAAAAGGTTTGTAAATTCAAAATTTGTTTTAACGTGTATTCTCGTATAATTATTTAATATTTATATATTCAATTTTACAGATTTCGTGGACGCATGCATTAAGACAAATTGTAATAAACTGTTACAAATTTCATGGAAGAGAAGATCTTCTACCTGCATTCAGTGAAGAGGATGATAAGTCGAACGTACTGATACAGCAATCGACGCCTCATTCTTCGTCACATCCGTCACATTCATCCGGTCAAGGGCAAGGCGGACAATCGCAACAACAACAGACGGTGGGAGTTGTTCGTCTGAGCAGCACGGATTCATCTAAGGGAAACTCTTCGCCAGCACAAATCATTGCCGCGTCTCCTACAGCTCTTGCCACTGCCACTCAGGTGGGAGTGGATGGAGTGTACAAAAATAAAAGAGAATTAAATGAAACAACATGATAGAAATGATATATATTAATGAACTGTATAAAGAAAATATTTTTTTAAAAATTTTCTTAATCAAGGTATCTATCGTGTATTACAACATCATGCTGTTTCTTTCAATTCGATTTTTATACATATACATACGTTAAAAGAATTTAAACTTTGAAATTCCTTTAAAGATGAATCGCGTTTATGTTCATGTGTTTGGTTTCCCTTATTTGAGTTTGATCTATCTTTATTTCTATACTTGTTAAACGTTCTATGCTATTACATCTTATGTATTTGATGTTTTAATCGTTGAAAAATGATGATTTTACAAACATTTTAAACCTTGTTTTATTATATATCGTGAAGAATTATTGTGTTGGTCTTTTATTTTTAATGTTTTTCTTTTCCTTCGAAGGAGTATCAAAAAGAAACAAATAAACATTAAAGTTAATACGGTTTTCTCTTTGTTATAGATGACGGCTCAGTATCCAACAACAGTTTTACAAACAATAACGAATCCCGATGGTACCGTTTCCATCATTCAAGTGGATCCTAGTAATCCAATAATCACGTTACCAGATGGTACAACGGCTCAAGTTCAAGGTGTTGCTACTGTAAGTGATCGCAAATCATTTGCCGTATTTTTTTTCTTTTTTCTTACTATGGAATGTTTAAAAACATGAGAATGAATTGTTCTGACGCATAGATCCATACAAGTCAAGGGGAAGTTCAAGCACTCGCCGAAGTAGCAGGCAGTGCAGAAGGTACTAGCGTCGCTGTCGACCTGAATAGCGTTACTGAAGCTACATTAGGTCAAGATGGTCAGATCATTCTCACTGGAGAAGATGGACACGGTAAAACAGTTTTCTATAGGCTCTGCACCGTCGCCGGCCAGGAGCTACTTGAACAGTGAATTCATGTTTACTGGCCCAGGATCCTTTGTTGTTTTGCATGCTGTCTGCTACGCTCCATTCAAGAAAAATACCTACGTGTTCTACTACTTTGTACAACGAAAGTAGAATATTGATTAGTTCATCTTTTTTTGGTACTTGTACATACGATAATTTCACTCGGAGCTATGCACAGCTTTATTTTAATTTTCTTCTTTAAGAATCCATGATATGATGTAACAGCTATCAGAGGAGCATTTGAAATACATACGACGTATTGATTTTTATTAAGTACACTTAACTGTCGTGTGAAAAAGGATACAGATTTATTAAATCAAGTTTGCTCTCGATTATGTGTTGCTTTGTATGTGTTTGTGTACGTTAGACTGTTCACCTTTTTCTGAGATGATATTGAATTTTGTTTAAAATGAGATCGATTATGATAGAGGTAAATCTATATGTATATGCATGTACATATTATTTTTAAACATTCAGTCGAAAACACGATACGTTTATACATCAGGGTGTTGCATGTATAATTTGTACTCCTCTGAATAACAACTAGATAGATTTCTTAATGTTTTAAAATATATCGTAACGTGATTACAATTGATCGGTTTACATGGATTCTTAAGATTTTAAATTTAACAAACAAAAAAAAAAGTAAAAAAAAAAATAATAAAAGAAAGTATTTCATGATCACGAAAGAACCTGTCCCCGTTCTACAATAACTACTTACCATTATTACCGAAGATTGGTTATTTACTTTAATTAAAAACAAAGAGAAATAAAACTGCTGTACATAGAGTATTTTTTGTTGATGTTTTTATTATTTTATAGTTGTATCTTAGCAGCCTTTGTTTAAGCTACTCACCATTGATGTTTCTAATTCATTCAAACCAATAAATTACATTAAATTTGAAGTTTGTATTTATACAGTTTACCACTGATCGGTTTGGTTTTTATGGAATGGCTTAAACATCCGTTGCTTTTTTTTATTAATGCCTTATTTTTCTAAAGCGTAGATGTGGTATGTTTGCGCATTAATGATATCACGTTAAAAGGGTGTGCCAGAAAAAAGATAAAATTATATGTGGAAGGAAACATATTTTGTAAGATTAGATAGTTAACATTTATAGTAAGTATATCTAATTTTCTTCAGCACACCCTATTAATATATATACATATAATTGTTTATTTCTATCGATTTTATATGATTTAGTATTTAATATAAATATATTTCAGTTTTAGAAACTACACTTATAGGCTGATCATTTTTTCACTGTATCGTAAACTGGTAGCTTTAAAGCAGAAATTTAAGGTACCCAAAAAATTGTAGTGTTACATTCTTGAAATAAAGATATGTAATATGAACGATTAAAGGACATGGAATCGTGGGCCTCTCATAAGATTTAGTTTTTATTCTTTTAATTCCCAGTTTACTATACAGAAAAATGCCTGGTTAGGGGGCAGAACACAGGACAGTTGCTTCTCTGTTTCAGGCTATCCCGTTTCTGTGTCAGGAGTAATAACAGTACCGGTATCAGCTAGTATGTATCAAACAATGGTTGCCAATATTCAGAGTGACGGTACAATGCAAGTAGTCACACCCATGGTTCAAGTTCCAAAGGTCGAGCCTGGAAATGGTGAAACTAGCATCGAGGCTGTTACTATTCAAGGGCATCCAATGACAATGATTAATGCAGCTGGTGAACATCAAGTTCTTCAAGTGATATCATTAAAGGATGCTAATGTCCTCACAAAGGCAATGCAGGCTGAAGTTGTAAAAGATGAGGACAGTCAGCAACAACAAACCGTCTCTAGTCCAGAATAAAGCGTTTTACATAGTTAATATAAAGCTTTTATGTCAAACACCAAAATGCGACAGGTGCACATTAGTGGTGTTCAAGAGAGAAAGAGTGAGAGTATTAAGAAAAAAAAAGAAAAAAAAAGGAAACAATATGTGTTATTAATATTAAGGCAAAATGATTGTGTCTTTTCTGAATCATTGTGTAGCGTGTCCTCTTGGTGAGAAACAGTAAACGAGTAGCGAAATATGTTTGAGAGTGAAAATGATTGAATGTTCGGTGATTTACATTGGACTTGAATGTAATCATATTTGTATTCAAGATTCATCGTAGACATTTAGAGTATTCACTTGTAATTCGATTTTCTCGAAAATAGTACTAACTTTTAGGAAAGTACTATTGCGACTCGATGAACGCAGATTTCATCGATTTATTTGTAGTAACATGTATCCGGTGACTGGAAATTAATCATTTTTTCTAGCGAACGATTACCGATACGAAATATTTTTGTCTAGTCTTAGTGTTGAAACTTTAAGGGCGATTGATATACCAAAGAATTTAAGATTTCTGTTAAATTATTTTACAAGAAAAATGATATGATAATTTTAATTCAACGAATCGATGTTATTAAATTACATAATTCATTGTGAATTTATTCGTCGAACTCCTCCGAAGGGAGATTAATTTTTCGAGGAACGAAATAATCTTTAAGCCATTTAGAATTTCAGAAATATTTATAGAAACATGCGTTACTATGTAAATGAAAAATCCCTTTCACGTTTGATAAAACATAATTGAAATCTTTTGTGGTACTAGGATACCCGATCTAAATGTAACGTTTGATTTTATCGAATTTGGCTATCAAATTAAGCAAAGAAATACGTAGCCTATTTTTATGATAAAAACAAAATCATTTTTTGTTAACGATAGAGACATGTAACGGAACATATTAATATACATTAATGATCGACAGTAGAGGTAAATGAGGGAAAAAAATTAAGCATTTCTGACGGGTACAAATAGGCTATAAGATATAATTTTTTGGAAAATAAGACATATGGATTTGAAGTCTTAATGCACACCCATAAAACATAAATTAATTTTATCGTATATTAATACTATGTTATAATAGAAACTTATTTTACATAATGCTTTAAAGAGCACTATGTAATTTTAACAAAAGAGAAACTGAATCCTTTCATTTCCATTCTGTTGTTATCTTGATAGTGTATGTACAGAATGTAGAAATGAAGAAACAATGTATTGTTCTTTATTTTTATTTTCCAAGTAATCTGAAATGTATTTATTTTTGTTATCAACTAAAAAAGAAAAGAAATTGAAACGTTTCTGTGCATTTAAATGCCAACTCACTTTTATACAATATTTATAAAGTTAGGAAAAATGTTATTTTTTCTGTGCAATCTTGTTTCAATGTTGCGGTATCGAGTTTTGTAAGGATGCGTGACTGACTTTGAAGAATGAATTTTTCTTTCTTTAACAATCTCACCTTATACATTTTTATACTTTTTAGTATCTTTACATACTAACTTGCGTGCATTATTAGTCGATATATATACACATATACATCGTATTATTTTCAGATAATCAGTTTGTGATACTTATTTAATTAATGTTTATTGGTACACATGCGTTTATCATGAATGAAGTTCCTGTAGGTATGTAATACGCTTTTTTCTTTGAAGCGTATATCAGGAGCAGAGTCGTAACATTGAAACAATAAACTGCCCTTAACATCAAGTATCAATGATACCAAAAAAAAGAAGTTTTTTATAACATTATAGAAGAAAGTAGTTAAATTTAATAATTATCAGTAGAAGAAATCACGAATATTAGATATTAATTGTTATATTGTTTTTTAAAAACTATGGCCATTACATACCAAATGTAATATATTGATACTCCCATGTAAGACCATGTTGTATTCTTTTTTTTTTTGTTCTTGTTTGTAACAAATCACACTGAGCATAAATTAAGTTTAATGTCATCTGAGAAAAATATGTAATACCATTTTAAACAATTATAGATGTACGTGTACATGACTTTATCACTGTGTATCTTATAATGTAATTTGTACATATGTCGTCGTTGTGTCACCTTTCTGCTTTGGTTACTTTTGATGTAAAAAGGAAGAAAACGTAAATTAAAAAAAAATATTAAGAAATTAGAAGCAACATAAAGAACCAATGGAAGTTGCAATTAAAATATAATGTATACATATCAGTTTGTTTTGTTAATCTCAATGGTCTTGACAAATATTACAATTAATTACTTTTTTATATATTCATTTAATTAATAGTATGTTTTACATATAAAACACGTATGATACAGAACAATAAGTATTTATTTAGACCAGTATTACATAACAGGTAATAACTGATAAGTTAAATTAAAAGAATTTCTATACATAAATACTATATTTTTCTGTTAAGCATTTGGCTTAATGGATATCCCAAACTGACTGAAGGGCTAATTCAGGTTTATCGTAACCAAGTTCCTCTGGTGTGTTGATACCTAATTCATCTAAAGTTGGCCTGATTTCTTGTATAATATAAGGATAGATTTCATTAACTCTTGTTCCACATTTGTCCTTTACATTCTCTAGGAATCTTATACAAAGAGCAAAATCATTTAGCCTTCTGCAAGCCCTTAATGCTGCACAAATGATTGAGGGATCAGGTACAAGATCTATACCTAAAAAAGAACATTATTTTTTCAGTACAATCAAAATTTCACCAATAATGTTAAATTATTAATATAGTGTGTCTGACACAATTTTAAGATCTCTTTAAATAAATTATAAAAGATATTCAGAGGTACATTTAGAACATAAAGAAGATATTTAAACGATAGCACTGTTAGACGAGGCTGTAAATTACTAACCAGCTAATTTGTTCATAACTTGCCGGATTTCCCAATGATCAATTTGTGGACGATTGAAATAATCTATATATCTTTTATTGAATTCTTCTTCTGGTTCCTCAGCTTCATCATGGGAAGCACGAATGGTCTGAGTAATAACAGCTGCGGTACGTGGTTTTATAGAATTTCTTGCAACGGATGTTATTCGTTCTCCCACAAATCGCAACATTTTATAAGAAATTTTATTGAAAATTTAATAAGTTCGTCAAGGATACACCGCACCTCGTTGCGTAAAATCGACGGCAGCAGTGACTATAGGTAGTACAAAATTGGACATGCCCTTGTTTTTAAAGGGTTAAGATTTAGGGGGTCTCTGATACCCCTGGATAAAATTAGGTCGGTATGCGAGACCGTCGGTGGGGTCCCAAACATCCCAGGATAAACTTAGGTCGGTATGCGAGATCGTCGGTGGGGTCCTAGACATCCCAGGATGAATAAGGTTTATATGCAGGCGGCGCAACGGGGTCCCAGGCACCCCAGAGACAAGTTACCCGCTCCAGAAAAGGGAACACTAGCGCCACCTATCCAGAGACGGCGGAAACTATTCGCCGAATAGTTTCCGCCTTTTCCTCATAGATGGCGCCACGAGTCTCGCTGGGGTCCCCGGCGCCCCAGGTGAAATTAGGTCGGTATGCAGAGACAAGTTACCGACTTCAGAGAACACCAGCGCCATCTATCCGGAGACGGCGGAAACTACTCGTCAAATAGTTTCCGCCTTCTCCTCATAGATGGCGCTACGGGTCCAGCGGGGTCCCTGACACCCCAAATGAAATTAGCAGCGGGGTCTGAGGTACCCCAGTATAACAGGGCCGTGTGCAGAGACCGTCAATGATGCCAGGGGGTCTCTGGCACCCCAGAATAAAGTCAGGCCCGTACGTAGAGGGCACCAGTATAATAATCGTCCTCTAATTTCTTTCCGGAGTTTTTTAATTTACTCTAAAACCCTACTGTGCTCGATGCTTGCCAATTTTATTGTAATCACTGAATTTTATACACGATGCTCTCGGCTGCATATTTATCTTTTGGCAACTCTGCATACGATGTTGTTTGTAGTATGTTGATTATGAACAAACCAGAGTATAGTAATAATTACTCTACAGTTAATTAATTTATAAGAAAATAATCGAAGTGCAACGGAGGCATTTCATCTTCACACTATGAATTTCGATTATGATCCTATAAGGTTATCAGAATATACAAAGTTTTGTAATTGTAATTCATCTAATTGTCGTTGCGGGGAAGACAATGGTAATGAAACAATTTTTGCTTGAAATAAATGTTGACATTGTTTTTATATTTTTAATGTTTTTGTTACAACATTGTTATTACTACAATTGCAGTACATGAATGGACATGGGACAAAGAACACACCACATATACTACTGTTTTATCGGAACAGGATTTAGAAGTTAAGTTTCATAATGGATTTAGTTATGGTACAGCAGTTATAAGAGGTAACAAAGCATTAGAAAAAGGAAGACTTCATTATTGGGAAGTTAAAATGCTTACACCTATCTATGGAACAGATATTGTAAATAATACAGATTATTTATGTACATATATTAACATGCATAGCTTTTGTATTTGTTAATGATGGAATATTTTCAGATGGTTGGACTTGGTACAAGTAAAGTGGATTTAAATAGTACAAAACATACCTTTTGTTCATTTCTTGGGCTTGACGAAGAGTCCTTTGGTTTCTCCTATCAGGGATATATACAATATTGTGGTAAAAAACGTACTTATGGCCCATGCTTTGGAGAAGGTAGCTTAGTAGGCGTATATTTAGATACATGGAGGGGAACATTAGAATTTTTTGTTAACAGAAAGTCTTTAGGTAAATATATCTAAATGTATTAATTCTATACTTTTTTATTCATTGTAATTCCGTTTCAGGTATTGCTTTTACCGGATTACGGAATATGGTGTTATATCCCATGGTGAGCTCCACAGCTGCCCACAGTAAAATGAGACTAACTTGTAGTTGTTCTGTACCAGTAACTTTACAAATAGAATGTTTATCAGCATTAAAGTCTTCTCAAAGAACATATTTATCAACAATGTTTCCTGGATTAAGATACCTTACTGAAAGCATTTTTGCAGATATTTTAAAGACACCTTTAGGTAAATGTATTACTTTATACACATATATAAGAACAAGTATGGTTTGTACTATAATATTCTACACTTTATTTTAGATGAGGACGATGATAACGAAATGGACGAATTTGACTTTTTAAGAGATTGTATGATTTTTGACGATTTTGACTTTGCACTAGTAGGTGTTGGCAAAAAAAAGAAAAAGAAGTGTACAAATGACAACTAAATCAGACAATATTTTTTATGTATATATAAATATATGTGTTAATTAAAAAAATTATTTAAAATAATATCGGTCATTGTTTTTTAAGACTCTTAGAACTTACAGTTTTTTTGTTTCTACTATTTTTACGTTTTTTGGTCGATGCAGTAGCAGGAGCGTTGTTAATTTTTGCACAGAAAACAATAGCTTGTGCCCAACCAGCTAAAGGACCCCATAACTCACGTAAATGATTGCTGATTTCTTCATGAATCTTTGGGGTAACTGTTTTTTGCTGTCCTAAGTGAGGTAAATAATTTGCTCTAGCAATTTGAAATATATGAGTATCTACAGGAATAGCATCTAAGTGTCCCAAAGACATTAAACATACACAGTCTGCAACTTTTGGACCAATTCCAGGTAAAGTAATTAATTGTTTTCTAGCTTCAATGTATGATGTATTGTTTTTCTTGTGTAAGTTTAAAAGCCACTGTGCCCCGCCATGTTTCAGTAAGCATTTTGCTGTATCTGCTATGTACCCTGCACGATATCCAAACTTTTCTTCCCTTAATTGATTTTCTATATTTTCTCCTGTTAATGGTTCAATGGATGGAAAAGTATAATAATCTTTATCATCAACTGTGCAGATTTTCTCACCAAACAATGCACATAATTTTTCTATCATTCCTGAAATCCTAGAGAAATGATACAATTAAATAAATGATATGTATAGCAAAGTGTCTTCTCTAACAAACCTTTGTATGTTGTTGTTTGAACTGCAAATAAAAGAAAACACATTTTCAACAACATCTTGATTTAAAATTCTCACACCATTTGTTTCATTCATGGATTTTTCAAAATGTTGATCCACTGTAGACCAATTTTTACACAAATCATTCAATGATACGTCTAATCTAAAATACTCTGACAGTGTCTGATCATAATTTATAGAATCTGTTAAAAGACCTTGTACTACATAGAATAAATGAGTATCATTTTGTTTAAGGGTCCAAACACATTTGTTAAATACTCCTCTGTAGCCATCATCATGAGAGAACCACCTTAAAAAGAGTGTTGTTGGTTATGTTCTTTTCAATGAAGATAAATTACATATTAATGATAAATTACCTAAAACTCTGACCTCCTTTTAAAGTGATACCTAAATCTAATTCTGACAGTGGACAAGCGATTTTACCTTGCTTTGTCTTAATTTCATTTTTCTCCATCTTCATATTCAACAAGTTCAAACTTATTGTCGAGTTACTTTTAATATCTCCCTTCAGCCTACAATATTTAGTAGTTAATGATATCGACTTATTCCATGAAATCTTTATCATTAACAAAGGGAGAATATCTTCAGATGTTAATCTTTAAGTTAACGAGAGACCGCGCGTTTTTACAGAGTATGGTGAAGACACCTGCGCGAATAAAACCACGGGAAAATTCAAAATTGATCTTATGTCGCTTCGTAAGATTGTATTCTAATCATTTTTGTAATATGTTTTACACTTTGTTAAAGATGATAGTACATCCTATTATACATATTTACAATGATAAACCTATTAGTTAGTTTCTTGATAGTTTGCAAACTGTGTGCGTGTTATTTCCATTTATACAATGTACACATAAATTTATAATGCAATAATACGTAAAAACAAACTTACTACGATAATATACGAGTTATGATATTTTTTAAGATATTGTTTTGTATCTATCCTTAAGTTTCTGAAATATCACGTTTCAGCCATATGATTCTGTTACAATATCTATCTACTTAGTCATCAGCATTTTACATATTCTAAGAATGTACCTCATTCATACATAAATACAAACATACCGAATACGTGGACGAACACAGTTAGCATGAAATAAATTTAAGTAAAAATGAACGATAAATCACGTACAGTTTCTAGACGAAAAATTTACTCGTTTTCATTTCTTAATGATTACCCTTGGTTTAACTAAGCTAGCGTTGATCCTGTCTAATTTTCTCATGCTTGAAAAATTATAACTACTCGATATGTACAAATTTCACCATAATTTATCTACAGAATAATTTATTTGGCATCTTTTAGGACGATGACGACTACACAATTAGCGTATATATAATAGAAATTATACCCTGTCTATTTCGAACGATTTCATTGTATTTCCTTTAATATCCTATCAATGTATTATAGATTAGAATCGTACAAAGATGAATCTATGAAAACTCTTACGACTGATGAATAAAATGAAATCGAATTAACATTCTACTCTAACGATTACGAAGTTGTCTTTTCATGATTTATGTATTGTCATTCGTGGGATCAGACGATGCAGCAGGATGATCGTTTCGTCTTCGTTAAACTATTACATCCCTGAGAATTGGTATTGACATCTCTAGAAGAAGGATATTCGGCTATCTCGTTACAGTTCTTCACGGTTTAGTAGCACGTTGACTGCCATACGCATGAATTTCCACAGGGATCTATCACCCATTTGATGGGAAATGATCTTACCCAAATACAATATAAATAACTTTTCTAAATACTTGAAAGTACGTCCATTAGATAGAACTAGTTACAGTAAATAGACTGGAGCTTTTCAAAATAAAATTACTCCTTGGAACGATTTTCGGCGAATCTAGCGTAGCAGGCAACGCGTTAATAAGGAACATTGTCGCGAATGTGAGCCTGTTTTCTATACTCGTGATGTTGGCATTTACCCATCCAGGACCATTTTGTGCACGTCTTCTGCGGTTTCAGGATGAAGCACTTTGTCTTCAACACGTCGAAGAAGATTTTACCGATGAAATTAGCCGATGACGTACCAGCCATCTTCAGACACGTTCGAAATCTGTAAAGATAGAAATAGGATCGGTATGTAATACGGTACCTTTCTTCTTTCAATTTTCTTTCAATCTACCGTTCGTCGCAGGCACAGTGCATCATGCTGGAGATACCCCAATTGAAGAGACCGTAACGCGTTTCGAAAGCTGGTATGAAGAAAGGGCACGCAGTGTCGTGTCTACGACAGCAGGCATCTGCTCTGCCGAAACCTCCTAGATTCGTGTATTTCGTGGCACGATGACCACGTCCGCACCATTGCGTTCCTGGGATCATCAGCAGATCTCTTCGTGAACGATTCTTGCCCTTTCTCTGCCTGTGGTTGCTGGTTGTTCCATTCAACAGTTTCACAAACTTCCTGCAGAGAAGAAGTTAAGATTCTTTAGTGGGTGGAAATTGATCTTATTATAACATGGCTATTATCCCTTTTACAGAAGATACCTGCGACGGTGCTGAGCAATGAGTTGATTCCTCGCCCTGGTCCTCACATGAGAGCACCGATGACGTAGTTCAGACGTGGAGGATAGCCAGGAGAGACTATGCGGGATCCTGGAAGGATTCTCCTCGTCTACATCGAACATTTCAACGGACGTATCATCGTCGTAGTCATCGGAGTACACACTCGACGAGCAGGATTCCTGGTCATCGTTGTCATCAACCTTTTCATCCAGACAATCGGTCAAACCACCAGCCTCGTATATCAGTTGCAATCTTCTGCCTGTTTCCTGCAGCCAGACTTGCCTTAACGCCACATCGGTGCCTCTATCAGGAACATATATAAAACAGAAAATTTAAGTTTCAGGGCCAATCAATCGCACGATGAGAAAATAAACGAGTGGACTTTGATTTGGAAGAGGGAAGAGAAAGTCCGAAAGGGTGCAGTAGATCGAGGGAGAAATTCACGGTAGATTAGTTATGCACGCGTTGCTCCTGATTAACGTGCACTTATGATCGATGCTCCCCCGCCTTATTTTCGACGCGTCGATAAACATCTTCGTGCGTCATGTTCTTCGAAAGTTATCGATGGATAAAAGTTTCATACGTGAGAAAATTAATCCTTTAAATATTAATTCTCCTACAATCGAGATACATTATTTATAGATGATAAAATCGATGAAGAGACAGGGGAAAAAAAAAGGATGGGTTCGTTCGGAAGCGAAACGAGGCATCGCCGATGAAAAATTGATCGGATCGAAATCATGAGAACACGCAAGCCGCGCTTTTCTCGTAACAGCCGAAGAGCTTTCACCGATTTAAGTGCAAGGTGACGTTTCGCGGTCGTGGAATAGCCTGGTATCCTCGTGAGAGCATCCGCAGATGAGTTACAACTACTGGTCCATGGACAGGAACAGGCTCTCGTTCCAGGACACAGTGCTGCTCCTGCCAGCAAGCGCCTAATCCTTGCTTACTTAACTTGCCGCTTTTCGGCTTAAGGCCTTGCTTGGCTTAGCGGTCACTGTCCACGGCTGAACACGATAAATTCTTCTTCGATCCGGAAATTTAACGAGACAACGATAATTTGAATCTCTTGCAAAATATCAGATGTTATTTGACAATACTGTAAATGAATACTCGACATTTTAACATAAAGCGTCAATAACTAAAAGTGGATTCCAGGTCTCAAAGCGACCTTTTTTTTTTTTAAAGATAGTCCAGTGACTCGATTTAGCGTGTCGCTGTAATTCTATGAGCTTCCCGCGGCTTGACAAGGACGCGTCCATCGTGGCTGCAAACGGATGGGCTGTATCAGTGATACGTTCCTGGTGAAACGACATCGTTTGAAAGAGGTAACCGATGTTAAATGCATACGCAGCAGCTCCCACGAGTATTGGCAATGCTCGAGAAAGGCAGCATTGTTTTCCCGTTTGCTAACACCCAGACCACAAGCGCATCCTCTTGCTCCTCCTCCTCCTCCGCTTCCATCGGAGGGTTGGTAGGGATGCTTCCAGAGATTTACTTCCAGCCGAGAAAATGTTATTCTAACAAAGGGGGATAGGGCCATGCTGTTGTTCGTCGGTGAAAAAACACTTGGCAGATGAATAATTTCCATCGAAGAATCTTCCTGACCCCGTTTAAAGTTCGTTTAGATAAACTTCCATCCTTCTGGTTAATCAAGGGACACGCGTTGTATGGGTCTGATAGATGATTAGGTAGAAAAAATAATTTCAAGAAGCACCGCTGATCTTTTACCCCCAATCGACGATGGTTTCCTTGGCGCAGATTCCTGGAAAACGAACGATCCGTTCGAGTTCACCGTCCTTTAAGATCCTGGTGACCGAGATGCCACGATTAGAGGTCCTGCTGATTTCTAAGGAGGAGTTTGAGAACTGGAGGACGTTCGATTGTTGATGAAGAGCTCTGGCATCCGACAGCACCAGGAGCAACCCTAATGCCAGCAGCATCGAGTACCGGATCCAAACGATTCGTCTTCTTTCTCTGGACACACATGATATTCATCTGCTTGGTATTTGACTAACAAACTGAATTTTACTTTATTTTTAACTATCAGAAGAATTTCAAGTTTACATTCTCCTTTTACCATTCAATTTTTATTTTAATGTTAATTAAAAATTGAGAATAGATTGAGTTACAGATTAATTATTAATCAAAGGATTATTGATATAGTGGCTTTTTCGTCTGCCACAATTTCACGTATCTGTTATCGGATTTGACTGATGGTTCGTCGTAAAGCAACCTCGTCAAACGGAAGAACGATGTAACCAGCTATCAGTTTCCGGTATTCTGTCGCGATTTAAAGAAATTAAAGTGTCGTGTCTTTGACATACACCGTACGCCGATACCACCCGCCTCGATCCTCGTCGCTTACAGAGAACTGTTTGGCATTTGGCCATCGGACGTTTAATCATTTTCTTTTCATCGCGAAGATAAAAAGAAATCGTATCCCTGGATAACTCTTACGTAATTAACACGTTTGATATCTATAAAAACAAGTTTAATTAAAAAACTGTTTGGTATTTTTCGAAAAAGCCGTAAATAAGAAAAAGAAACAGGAAATTATCATTATCATACACGATAATGTAGATTATTAACAAATTCTAAGAATCGATATTTAAAAATTTGCTATTTCATAATTCGTATGATATTCAACGTTTCTCTTTTTTATAATTATCGCTTAATTTTATAAGTTTTTAATTAACATTATTTTTGTTTCGTTTAAAATCATTTCGGTTAATAAAGATTAATCTTTTTACCGGCTTTTAATCGCAACGTCACAATGATTAGTTTTCATGCAGTTCCTCGCAAAAGCGTTATCACCGTTACTCGTGTAATTCAACAGAATAAAAAGATAACAGCAGCACGTATCGGTATCGTATTTTTTTGCAATTTTTGGTGATTCTACTTTTTCTGCAAACCTAATCGCTCATAAACGACTTATTCATTTTTTCATGATAAAAACGGAAACGAAATACATACACGCGCTCTTTGATGTCTACGGTAAAACTCTAGTCTCATTAAATTTTTAACATCTTACCGAGAGAAAGTCTACTCAAAATAAAAAATGATAAACACCTGGTCGGTGATGATTCATCTATAACTCAATCGAAATACGAAAATGAAAATCTGCCACGTCGTTTTAAAAACGAATTCGTGTCAATCCCTTCGTACCTTCGTAGCACCCTCATCTGCACGGTTCAGCAACGAATGATCCAAAAAATCCTGAGCGTTCAAACTCTTCCATAAATCGTGCACTTCCGTGGACCGTGACTCAACTCTTCAAAAAATGCACATTCGTTCATGTTCAATGAATCACGGTTCCTCTTAACACTTCCTATCGAGTACCACTTTTTACCCTCTGCAATATTAAACGTCTGGTCAGAGTTGAACTTCCGGTTCCAAGGAACACTGATTCTACTCGATATTAGACAGAGGAACACGATAAAAATAAGGGTAGGAAAGAGTGGATACGTAGGAAAATTTGCGAGAAAACAAGCCACGTGGGTGAAGACGGTCTCTTTCGCGCCCTTTCTTTCGGACTCTGTACACGTTGTCTCCTACCGGTGTATCATGAACACCTCGTGGAGGCAATCGGCCGTAGTAACTGGCGCGCTACGCTCGCGACTCTCCCTTAAATACTGGCAGAGATAGAGAGAGAGAAAGAGAGAGGTTCTGGTGGTTGTCCAGTTCACCTACACCACCACCTATTCTGTCACTTTACGTCTCCTTCTCTGGCGCTCTCCCTTCGTCGGTGCGTTTCCCATCTGCAACCCCACCACCACCATTCGGACACCAACCAAAGTCTCTTGCCTCCCCTTTCCTCCTCCTTCTACCTCCAGCACCTTCTACCACCAACAGAGCCGCCTCTGCCAAATCCAATCCTACCCACTCACCCTGAGATCTAATCCTTACTTTCTCTCTCCATTTCTCCCTTTCTCTCTTTCACCTCTTTCTCTCTATCTTTCCCTTTTTCTCATCCCTTTTTCTGCTTCTGAATTCCGCGCGCACCTCTCTTTCCCTTCCTTTTTCTTTTTTTTTTTTTCCTTTTTACCTTTCTCTTCCCCTCTGGTCGTCTTTGGATCTCGCCTCCGCCTCCCTCGCGTTTCTCTTTCTTTTGTCCTTCCTCCCTCGCTGTTTTTTTACACCCTGATCCTTCTATCGTCTAGGCGACTCGAGCGAGAGTCGCGAACGACTTTGGTAAATGCCGGTGCATCCATCACCGTGCGTCACCAACGTCTCGTTTCGAGGGCGAACAACCACGGTACCCTCGTCTCTCTTCCATCTCGCGGATCGCGAATGGTCCGCGAACGACTGCTGCCACGACGAACCTGGTGGATCGGTGTGGATTACTGATAACGTGATCTTGAATTGCTTAAGATCTTAAAATCTACAAATGGAATTTAACATAAAGCAACTTTTACCATTAATCAAAGGCTTTCCATCCACTGTGTAATACTTTACAAATGAAAAACCTGTAAAAGGAAATAGTTTCATTAAAGAATTATTCAATCATGATCACCTGATATTAAAATTTTATCTGACGTACCATAAATTCGACTGAGTCAAGTGCAATGACACGTTGGAGAATCGTTCGATGATCGAATGACGCTCTACGTAAGCAAACGGAACTAGCAAGGTCAGCGTTTAATCGTCGGCCAGTCTGCGAATTTTTCGTTACCGAGCGCAGGCATTCGACGTTTGAAATCGAGGAAAAGTTCGTCGATAATAAATTATGCAAGTCCGTGCGACAAGAGTGGTCCTCGTCATTGGCCATGAGCCCCCGGAAGATCGTGCCGCGATTGGCGACCAGCCAAAGGTCGTTTCTCGCGAGAGTCCCCTGATAAACTTTCGTTCCAACGTGCTGCGGAGGCATTGTCGAGTGAATTAGCGCGGCTTTTCAATTTTTTCCACCGGCTAGACTTTCTTACTTATATAACACACGAAAGGTGTTAAAAAAGATTGCTTAAAAAAATCATCTTCCTCAGGCTTCCAATCGTGATCTTCGTTCAAAGGATGCCGAAACAGAAGCAGGCACGGTCGCGAAACGAATTTTACGAGGCAGTTTGGCATCAGTAGGGGGATGAGTTTCGTTCAGGACTTCTTTATAGCACTCAGAAACGTGCATACAGAGACGGTGGTTTCGTCTACGAACCCCCTCGAGGGTCGAACAATCGAGTGCCCCAAGAACTACCTACTCACTTACGGACTCTCACCTCGACCAAGTCCCTCTCTTTCTCTTTTTTTCTCTTTCTCGAGCCTGTCCTACGGCACCAGCGAGTCATAACCACAAGGAGTACAATGGGTGGAAACCAGTGACGGCTTTTCACTGCCACTTCTTCGTCCCGCCAATTAATTTCCGTGGCGGGTGATCCCGTTCCTCGAGGAGCCACTCAAGACCTGCCGATGGATGAGCATAAATCTTCAAATCGTCCGACTAGCTGGTACCCCTTTTCCTTTTTCACCCCCACCTTTCGGTGCTATTAATGCGTTTCGCTTGTGAGGTCCTCCACCTGAGTTATAAGCTCCATCGAGTGTTTACGATGGGGTAGTCATTCATCTTTTATTGTTGCCTCTTTTCAGGCGCCGTTGATTATCTTTGTTTTATAACCATTCTTAACAGGTGACCTTTTTCTCATTTTCAAACTGTATTCCTGCAAATGAAATACTAAAATTAGTTGGATCGTTGTGAGAAATTTTTAGGACCGAGGATTTTTCAACGTTCAACTGGACAAACTTACCTGGACCTGAAGAACGGTTTCCAGAGGTGTTTCACTCTCTCACGAATGGTTTTATTGTTCCGATGGTGAAGGGCTCTCGTGCTGGACGCCAGTGCACACAACCTGAACCTTCACTGGGTTAACTTTTGCAGACACCTTTCAAATCTTGGGAAACTTTGGAAGAAGTGTCTATTACCATTTACAAACAGTGCAAGAATTCATTTAAAAAATCATTAAAGTTTTTGTAATACACAGCCATCGAGTTACCTTTAATCGATGTAGTCCAAGCTTTCAAAATAACTTAGCCGAGAAGAAGGATCCATGGAAAGACAAATAAAGAAGCAGCAGAAGCAGGTTTAACATTAGCTCCGATGACACGGGCTTCCTCAAACATTCGACGAGGCAAAGTTTGCCTTTACCAGAAGAAAACGGTGACATTAGGACTTGGCTGGTGCCCGGCGTGAATGTGCTCGATCAACCGTCTCGTAGTTCCCGACCAAGATCCCCGGGTCTATAACTAACTTGCTATTATAGCGGCTGAAGTGTAATTATCTCGCGATAGTTCGACCGCAAGATACTCCGGCTAACTAGAAGGCAATTTGTGGATACTGGCCATAATCGAATTTCCCTTCGTCCTGTATAATACTGCTTCGAATCACAGAGGCTCCTCTTTCATTTTCGAATCGAACTGGATTGCTACAGTTTTCCTGGAACAATAAAGATGTCTTAGCTTGAAATTTTTATACGAGAAAATATTTAGTATCTCTATACAATCAAGGATCATAATCGATTCCATCGAGCAAGGAATAGGATGGTTCAACAAATCGTTCCCAGGATCTAGTCCAGCAATCATCGACGAGGCAACGAATCGATGACTAATTATACCTTGTAACAACGTCCGGGAGGGAAGGTTGTGCATCGAAAGCAGTTCGAAGGGTATGGTATCTATCATCCATTGGAAGATCCATGACAAGAGGCAGCTAACTGGAACCTCCGCTCGGTTCGATCCATGATTATTTCTACTCGTCGCCTGAGGTTGGTCTCTCACTCGTACAAGCTTCTAGACACCGGTCGACCTCTCCTTTCAAGAGCTAATTAATTTTTATAGCTTCGACCAAAGAGAGAGAGAGAGAGAGATAGACTCGACGAACCGTACGTTCCTTGCTCGAATCCTGCTGCAGGAATATTAATGGAGCGGCCCGTTTGCCTCGCTCGTGTTTGCAGATTTCGTTCAGGTCCACTTTATTTGCGAATCGTCTCGTTGTTATAGTTCCTGGCATGGTCATTCTGGCTGCTTCGTATTCACGTAGACATTCTTCTCTTTCGAATAGACTTTTTAGCCCTTTGCGGACGGCTTCCGGGTTAAATATATGCAAGCTATTATTTATGTAACTATTTCAATCGTCATCATCATCAGTTTCAAAGAGGTAATGAGAATGAAGAAGGATCTTTAGAGAAAGAGTTCCTCATCCAACCATAAAATTTATAGATCCCATGATTTTCAATCGACCCAGCTGCATATGAACTTCTTCATCGTTTATTTTCTTGAGGGGTAATTAAATTTCAGGTATCCAATATCAACAGTTGAATATTGTGACTGCTTGTCCAGGGTTGTATATTCAAATCAGAAGTTCATAAATCAATGGCTCTTAATTGGACTCTGTAACAAGTTTTTGATTGTTAAAAAACAATGACAGTAATCATCCTTTTTCTATAGTAAAGAAAACTAGATAAAGTAACAGCTTTATCGTAATAGAAACTTATTGATAGAATGAATTTTTTATCAAGATTAAATTATATACTTTCATTCTCTTATCCGTTTACCAGGAGACCTTATCGAACACTCCAGTTCTAAAAATCAGAACAGTAAGTTATTCAAAACGGATTATATAATGAAGGCATTGTTCGAACGCAAAATCTGTGCGTGCAAATATAGGATACCATTAAGAAGCAAGTAAGAATAGTCTAAACGGCCACGTTCAGCTGGGTCTGTATATTTGTTCGGCTAATCTATATTATACCCGCATTCATCAGAAAGCATAGATTGGCATCTTTATTAACAGTGGCAGACTCGATTCCTTTTTTTATGGATCAAACTTCCACGAACTCTCCACCTAAAACAGAGATGTACTCTTCAATTGTTGAAGAATGTTTAACCATTTATCTTAAATTCCAAGCATTCACGCAACGCGTCAATTTGATTGATTAATCGATGGCACGAGATGCGAGACTTTCTCCCGGAGGATCTTCAAAGACGCATACTGAAATCAAAAGGATTCCTGATTTACAGCGACATGCAAAAATCCTCCATCTTAGATTCAACTCAGCATTTTAGATTTTCATTTGAATTTAAAGTACAATCTTAGAAAGTCAATTTTCCTATTCTCTTTCGTTCCTATAATCAAGAAATTCTGTAGCTCTAAACAATTTAGAATTGAAAGAAAAAGTGGAGTGGTTAAACATCCTTTCATAAGTATTCATTGCGAAGAACGTGTTACGACCGCGTTCAGACGCGATTCTTCGTCTTCAGAATCGGTTTTCGAGGGATGAATTAAACGGGGAACGAAACGTACGAGGTACACGGTAGTAAATCGACGAGGAAATCCCTGCTTCTCGCCCTTCCCCTTTCCCCGAGACACTCAGGCCATTCAGGCAGCCGTCGTTTTCCGCGACAATTGTCGGGCGCAATGCAATAATTGCATAATTCCCGCCACACTTGGCACTCGGTAGAGGTTGGTCGGGCCACGAGTGGTTGAGCCGACCGCGCGAAAGGGTGTAAGCTCGTTCCTAGCCACCGAATTGTAGGCTGAAAGTTGTAGGTAGAAGTAGAGGAACCTTTTCTTTCCTTCCACGAAACTCTCCTCGTAGGGGGATGAAATTTCTGGATGATGCATGCTTCTCCTCTTCGACGAATCATGCATCGTGGATGGATCCTGATGAAAATAAAAATTTAAATCAAAATCAGCTATTCATCTATACAGAATGTCTCACATAAAGTAGGTCAAATTAGAAAATAAGTTTTTCGTAAATTAACTTCTTTTAAGCCGAAACAATTTCACGTCACACAGGTAGCACCACTGCTAGTAATTATAAGTGAAAACGACATAATTCATCACCGAGGATGGTTGCATTTTCTGGGCGGTAAAAGGCGAGGTGGAAAAAGTAAGAAAGAACAGATAGGCAAGGTGCAAACCGCTCAACGAAGGAAATAGAATTCAGAGGAGAACTTCCTTCATTTCGACTTTTACCGGCTCTTAACCAAAGGAACCCGTTGCGTTGTAACGGGTGACGCTCGCACAAAGCCCTGTCAAACTTCAACAGACTATTTCTCTTCAGAAGCTTACACAATTCTATACTATTTTAAATAGCGATAGCTTAGATTAAAAAATTGAAAATTCTTCGGTAGAGTTTCAACTTATTAAATGTTTAAGAAACTTCCTATTTTTTCTCATTCAAGATTCCAAGTATTCTCAGGATTCTGTTCGCTTCCTATCCTGATCTTCGATTTTCGTGAAAATCGCTTAGCTTGTAAACACGCACAATGCGTTGCTCCGTCACGGGGAATTTGTTCGATCGGTTACGGTATCGGGGCGAAAGATTTGTCAGCGCATCCCGATGCGAGGGTGGTTGGCTTCGTGGAATAAAGGCGAAGAAATGAACTGGCAATCTCATCAATTCACTAAAACATCCGTCCTGGTGTCTACCTGATAATATTTACTGCACGCTCAAACGGACGGCAGAGGGAGGACAGTCGATCCTTTGAAAAGGCGAACCATTGTTGAGGCGACTTGAATACAACTTATGGGAAACTTTCAAGTGGACCAATATCACGCTATTAATTTCTTTGTTCGTTCTGAAAGAATAAAGCGGTACTTCTATTTTACATGATACCTGGCGAGAAAAGTATCACAAACCGATGATCGAGGAAGATCATAGGGAGAAAAAGAAAAAAGGAAACTTTACGTTGTACACGATCCGGGCTGCGGCACAATTCGCCGCTAATTGATTTTACGACGTCCGTTATATTGACCGTGAAGATCGTCGACAAGGGCTGGTAGTAGAGGGTGCAGATGACACCCTGGTGCGAGCCATGCATGACGCCCTTTTTCAGTAAAGCAGATACACCCGAGGAATCTCTTACGTGTACCCTGATCATCGGCAACGAGACGCGATATATCTGTGCTCTGTTCTTTGTCCCCTTAATGCCCCACTGATAACGACTCCATCGATTCGATCAAGAACTAATAACGTAGACTTTAGGAGAAAATCGCGGTTATCTTTCATCTGCAAACAGAAAAGCATAGTATAAATACCAAGAGATTATTGATCAATTATATTCAAGCTTGAGAATCACGAGTACCTGACACGGGTCGTCAAAGTGTTACTATCTTCACAGGTTCTTTGACAAGTAGGTCACCGCGGTGGCCCAGGGTGTTTAAAAGAAGCAGAATTTTTTATCAAACGCACCTCAGGTTTTTCAATAAGACACCCTGTATAGAAAAAGAAACAGAATCAGATGCAGCAGGTAGTTACAAGTTGACGATTATGAAACTAAAGAAATAAATCGTTCGCGCTTTAATTAACAGAGCGAACGAATAAATAATAGAAGAGAAAAGAAAAGCGATCGAGGAATTGAGTCTGGATACAGGTCATAGCCTCGATTCTTTTCGTCTGGTGGCATTAGTTGGCCATAGAAGAAGAGAATCCCCTTGGCCACCAATAGGATCGAGACGATCTGAAAAGGAGGCAAGATAGGAACGAAGGAAAGTCATCTCTCCTTCTCCGCTCCTCCTTCGGCTATCTCTCACTCCAATGGACAATGAGACAATAGAGTGACGTTTGCGAGACGCGATAGCTAGTCGGATTAATTCTCGATCGATTCGAAGGGAAGTCTATGCTGCTCTCCGTCCTGGGACCTCTGTTACTTTCACGTTGAACGGTCAACTGTTTCAACGTTAAACACAATTCACCGTTTGTAACGGTTTTCAAGAAAATCTCCCCTTCCAAGTATACTGTTTAATGCGTTTGCTTGATCCAGGAAGCAATTTAAAGCTGTCTCCTTATTATCTGATAATTTTCAATTCTGAAAATCAAACCATATATTAATAATAAAACCCCTAACAATATAATGTTATTAAAAAAAAAAATGATGTACAAGATTTATGTTTTGGTATGCACGTGCGAAAGGCCCACTGCGTCGAATTATCGTTATCGTATAACCATCTGCTCGTCACTTTTACGAGCTTAAAAGCTGGAGCGCTTGGCGTGCGACGGATCAAAAGGAAGCCGACGCTTCCGTTGGGCGAGGATCGAAAACATAACGCGAAACTCCCAAGTGTATAGATCCCAAAGTGAACGACGAACTGTTCGCCAAAGTAACCCCGGGGACAACGAGAATTTTATACGAAGGGGGAACAAAGAATGTTCCGTGTGTATTCGTTTCGACGTTATTGCATCGGCCTTTTGGGAACTCAAATATTCGTTGCATCCACGAATCGAAGACACGGATTGAAGATCAAACGATTGTATTCGTTTCCATTGCTCTTCCAAAGAATCCAACGTGGAGTCTAGCGCTTGTCGTCGTTTGCAATTTTTCTTATAAAAAGTTGTCGAAAAATCAGCTCCGTTCCTTGAACCGGGATGATTTTTCAATTGTCATTTCTTTTTCATTTTTTCGTGTAGGACATTAGCGAACCAGGATGCACCATTCTCTCCGACGATAAACGGATGAATTGTCGTTGAACGCGAGTTGATTTTCGGGGTGGCTCGAAAATCGATGAACTTCTGGCAGGTCCTAGGACTAATCGTGATCGATGAGCCGGCCTGGAGCTAGCGGCACGTGACTCGTGATCTATCGCGTGGAAACGGTTGATCGCGATATACGGACGAGAAAACATTTCGCCCTTTCGTCAGGGATCATACTTTTTTTAATGTTACGCTTCAAATGCAACCCCATCGTCCTGTCGTCTTGCTAGTTGGCCAGCTTTTTTCTTCCATAAACTGAAAAAAAAAAAGATATTGAATGAGAAAAATTGAGTGATTTTATAAATCAAAGGAATTAGGCTAGGAATGCGGACCAGCTAATTGCTTGGAAGGTTTCAGCCCTCGAACACGCATACCCGATGCGCTCATTTTCAAGAAATCCCATAGCCAGAAACGGTGCGGGCCTTTAGATAGAAATCTTCAAATTATAGCTCGCTATATAGATGTCGAACGGCGACAGCGTGGCTCGTTAGCGGCTGTGAGTATCGATGACCGTCATTAGGTAATCATCTTTTAATTAAGCCAAGGATAAAAAGGCACCGCTGATAGTCTGCAACCACGTGTAATGATTACCTTGCTCTACCGGTTCAACGGAGACAGGTCCCCGTGTCTTTGAATGGGAACTGACATACAACTTGACGCACTCTAGTCTCACCTGTACGGATAAGAGGCATGATCTTGCGTTAGATGGATTTCTAAAGCTTCATTCACACTACAATATACCTGCCGAGGCTTCCTCCAATTTTTTCCTTCGATAAACAATAGGACCTCCTGTAAAGGGTGAACGCAAGTGTGAATGAACTCTTTGTAATCAGCGACGTCTTACCTTCTTTAAACAATACATAACGTGTATCCTTCTGTTCAAAGCGGCGGCGTATATCAGCGACATTACGCGACTTGTTTATAAATGCTTGCTCGTAATCGCATCGTATTCTATTACGAGTAAATATTTAAACTGTAGATTATTCTGTTATGCAACCACAAGCAAACGATGCGTATACAATGTACAATAACTTTCTTTCCTATTTTATTGCTTTCTACCTGAATAAGAATTCTAAAAGAGGCATTGTAAGATTGTTTCTGGTTATAGAAGTAACCGTGAGTGATCAATTGATTCTTGATAGACTACAGTGTTCCTTTGATACCTTTGTGGAGGCTGTTATAGGAAGCCTGGCTGTGATGGGAAGATCTGCAGAAAATGATAGCTGTTGCAATCATTTCAATCCAATGGAGAATTAATTAAAGTTGCAACCGGATACCTGTTACAAACGCCATATACGTGTCTATGAACATTTACAAGATGACGGAGTGTATCGGAGGTAATTGATAGACAGAAAAATTGCAACTGACCTGCACGATACCGTGCCACGAGGGGAATAGTCGACGAACGGTTGTTTGACGGCACCCACCCCCATACCGAGGCACGGCAAGCCTGGTATCGCATTCACGGTCCACTGCTTCAGGATTCGGGTCTCCACCCTGCATCTACGCTGTCTCCTCCTCGTAAAAAAGAGAGAAGGAGAGAGAGAGAGTATGGTGGAGACTACCCGTCATTGGCGATCCGTAACCATAGATCGTTGAATTCGAACGTATCACACGGCGAAACATGCTTTAACAGATGGTTACGGGAACAACGCATTCATCTTACAAATTGCCGCCTCGACACGAAAATCCTTCGACGAAGCTGTGCACGTAGATGAAAATTTATCATAGGAATGTATCGTATAGGCTTCTTCTATATGCGTCGGATGTAGAATACAAAAGTTTCCCTAAAAATTCATGAGAGTAAGCAAAATAGGCATAATTTTTATTTTCTTGTCCGTCTTTTCCAGTACGTAGCTTGATCGTGATTCGAAGACGGTAACGTGTAACTCCGCCACGGAAAGTTATCTATCAAGAGGACATAAGTCGTCGTCGTCGTCGTCGCGTGGTTAAGAAACGGCTAGAGCGATATACACAGCAGGTGCGCGTGCAGACAGCTCGAGGCGCTTACCAGTTAACCAAGGGGGTGAGCAAACCTTTTTCTGAAAGGGTCGAGTAAGAAGCTGCGGGATTTACTGTGCCAAAAAGAGGTCACGCTATCCCTAAAGCGAGCGTGCAAGTCTTTTTAATCATCTTGTCAGGCAAGTATAATCCGTGGAAATCGTCCGTAAAAATTCTCGCTACTCGCTGCAACAGGCATCAGTTCTAAAAGAGAAGGAAAAAGAAAAAGAGATCATAAGTAAAATTGAAAGAAAAGTGTCTTAAAGTCAAAGGGTTGATTTTTAAATTTTACCTTGAAGAAGAGAAAAATAAAGGAATAGTAACGTAGTCGACGTTCATTACCGAAAACCAAGAAGGCGAGGAAGAAAATAGATGTTGAAGATGCGTAGTTCAACCGAGAAGATAAGTAAAAGTTTGTAAAGATAGCGTTTAATGTGACGTATATGTCCAGCACAGAGGGTCGTCTCAAGTGAGAAAAGAAAATGAATGGATGTTACTGTAAGATTCTCGTTTCACCATCACGCATTGGCTTTTTGCCAAGTCGTGAGCGCGAGCCATTAACGGTGCGGGATTGCTTATCAGTTGCTGAGTCCGCGTTATTGCGTCGACGATGACCAACCGAGCGGTAGCGGTGTTTCTGTCCCCGTGCCACCTAGATGCCCCCACGTCTCATAACTCGCCAGATATCGGCTATAAATGATGAAAGCGATCGCATTCGCGGGAAAGTACGTCCGTTGATATTGAAACCCTCCATCGATTACGAAACTATTTTGCGCGCGTACTGAAAACGCCGCGCAAACATCTCGCTTTCCTTTTCGCTCAATGGCTACGTAAGAAAATATTAAAATACTACTTTAAATAAATGAAGTAGATAATAATAATAAAATGATTAAAAAAAAAAGTTTGCAATATACAGTAGAGCATTTATACGCAGTTTGATGTTTATAATAATTTAAAAAAAAAGTAATAGAAACAATAACACCTACTTTATGATATGACAGTATGTATATGGAAAGTATACGTATAGGGATTGCTATTGTTGACATCCTACTTAATCGCCCTACACCTGTTTCACCCCTTCACATCCTGGAATAATTGATTACCATGGAACCTGTAATTATAGGTTACCGCATATGACAATGGAACTGTGATTTTTTTCTACGTATTCGTAGAAACCGATGGCAAGTTTCGTATGACTGAAAACAATAATTTCATTAGAAAAAAAAAAAAGATGTAAATAGTTGTGATATTGAAAAATGAATAATTAAAAAAATACTGTTAAAAAAAAGAAACAGAAATAAATCGTAACCTGTGAACATTTAAATATGGTGGAAGAAACGCGTCGGCGGTACAGTGTTGCCAGTACGGAAGTACTCGATGACGCTATTGCCAGCTAGCTATGCTCCCTCCAAAACCGCGCGTGCATTGGCAGCATTGTTTTTTGGTAGTTTACAAATAAAATGGCCGATATATGAGGCTATTTTGTATGGACAATAAAATATACAATTTTGTAAAATTAATGACCATCGGCCGCTCGTGTATATACGTCAAAGTATAGGTTCAGTGGTGTGAAATACGAGAAAAGAAGGTGAAGTGTAAGTGAGCGTGTGGGAGTGCCGTGAGAAGAAGGTGGAGGTTGCCTTTCAAGACCCGTGGACGCCGCGGGCCCGAAGACAGAAACGAAGAATCACTTACAGACTCTAATACATAGAACAGTGTACCAACCACTGTATCTTTTACATTGACGCGCGGTGGCGCGGTGGCAACTATACAAGAACCGCTGTAGATTTATGGAACCTGGTTTACAGCGCACAGGCCCCCTCTGCCGCCTGCTCTAATTCTTCAGGCACTCTTGCCTCACCTCCCAAACATTGTGTGTTCCTGAGCACTAACAAAACAACACTTGGGAACACACTGTGCATTTATTTGCACTTTATGTCGCACACATGATAGAAAGCGCATGGTGTTGACTGCCTTGGAAATCTTATGAATTCTGGTTACAGCCTTTAGATAATACAACAAGCCTAAATATTATTGTACCTTGGAGCTGCTTCGGGCAGATATGATTTCTTATTTTGAAATCCACGGCCAAGATACTGGAGTGTGACGGGTACGTTTATTTAGAATCCCTCAAAATATTTCCCGCCGATCAATTTGTTGTAGTGGAAAGAAGTGGTACAGACAATGCGTTGACAGAGACGGAGGGGCCAACAAGTACTGCGTCCAGCCAGCCCACCCCCTCCGTTACCCCTCTGTCAAACATGTGCACCACTCCTGGCAACATGGGCACAGGATTTGGGTATACCTGGTCCTTTGGGGGGCCTGGTGCGGAAACCCGAGAAAACGCACAGGGTGAACTTAACACGAATATCAATTACGCGGTGAACAATAATCAGGACCAAGGATCCAGTCAGAAGATACAGGTTGACATTAAACCTGCTAAAGTTGCCAATAGCACGCATCGTAGACCAATGTTTACTATGAATGAAACTTGTCAACAGACCCCGACAACCCACCATGGCCATACAGCTGGAGCTCATAATCAAACACATGGTACGCACGTTCGAAATAAAAAGCATCATGATGTATTTTCATTAACGTGTGATAAAGGTGGTTGTAATTGTGATGCGGCGCATCCTACACCTCCACCTTCCCTTTTTTCGAACACTTTAGTTTTTACCACAGCCGATAAGCATGCTATGAGTAAGCATTTCATGACACCCCTCGGACCGCTACAGCTTACAGCAGAAGAGTGCAATGAAATTTTAATGAAAAGAGCAGCAGCTGCCTCGAATCAAGCAAATGTAAACAATGTGGCAACCAGCCAAACGGATACCAGTGCTCACTTTGGGCATGTTTTAACGCATGTTAATACCGCTCAAATTGAAACAAAGGTGAAACAGCAAGATATGGGAAGTCAGGTTCGTGTACCAAAGGAACGACCGTATTCTTGTTCAGAATGTGGGAAGTCGTTTCTTCTTAAACATCACCTCACAACACACGCAAGAGTTCATACAGGAGAACGACCCCATGTTTGTGTGCATTGTGGCAAAAGTTTTGCACACAAACATTGTCTTCATACTCACCTGCTTCTGCATAGCGCGGATAGACCCTATCAATGCCTTGAATGTAAAAAGTCTTTTACATTAAAACACCACCTTGTAACACACACCCGTGTACATACGAGAGATCGACCATTTATTTGTCAAGAGTGTGGAAGAGCATTTCCATTAAAGCGTCACCTAGTGACACATAGTAAATTTCATTCAGGAGAAAGACCTTTCGTTTGCGAAGAGTGCGGAGAATCGTTTTCGCAAAAGGATCACCTCACGATGCATTCGCGCTTCCATGGCAGTTTAAATCCATTTGTTTGTCAAGATTGTGGGGCTACCTTCCAGAGGAAGTTTGAGTTAGTGAATCATGGTCGCTTACACGGCAGGGTTCCACATTCGTGTACTGTTTGTGGGAAAGAATTTTTACAAAAGAGAACATTGTTGGCACACATGCGTTTACATACAGGAGAAACTCCATTCGCCTGTACCGTTTGTGGAGAAGCATTTCCTCGGAAAACGGACCTGGTTGCCCATTCAAAGATTCACAATAATAAGATGACGGCGGATGATAAATCTCTTATGTGCAGGTCCCTATTTATATTATACTAAAGAAATCATTTCTTCGATCGTATACTAATGGTACGCTTATTGTTACAGGGAATGTGGATTGGATTTCTCGAATCGAGAAGCTCTAACATTGCACTTAAGGTTACATTCTGGTGATCGTGCGCTCGTTACGGATCTTTGCGGCTTAGCCGCTGCCTTCCAACAAACTCCTGGACACTTCCTTACGCCCAACACCACGGGAACTCATCAGGTATTAATCGCATTACCTTGAAATATGGGATTTGCATGATACAATTGAAGGATTTGCAGATGAACGGACCCATTGGGAACCCCGGAGTTAGCCACATGCATGGTGCGACGCAAACATCACCGCCGGTAGGGACGGCCCCGAAACCGAAACCACACATTTGTCCTGATTGCGGTCGTGGTTTTGTACAGAAACATGGTTTGTCTCAGCATCAGCGGCGTCACACGGACGGCAGTTGCCACATAAAGTCACACGTTTGTGACAAATGTGGTAAAGCCTTCTACCAGAAGAACCATTTGTTGTTACATCAACGCCAACACATGGATCCACCACCGAGTATACTTCGGCAACAACAAAGGCAAGCTGCCCAAGCTGCTGCCCAACAGGCGCAACAGCAACAACAGCAGCAGCAGCAGCAGCAAACCTGCACTGTAGATACAAAAGCAATACAACAAGTGCAACAACAAGTTCAGCAGCAAGTACAGCAGCAACAGCAGCAGGTACAACAACAGCAGGTACAGCAGCAACAAGTGCAACAGCAGCAGCAGCAAGTGCAACAGCAACAACAAGTGCAACAGCAACAAGTGCAACAACAGCAGCAGCAGCCTCAGCAACAACAGCAAACGTGCACTGTAGATACAAAAACAATTCAACTTCAGGCAATACAACAAGTGCAACAACAAGTTCAACAACAGGTACAGCAACAAGTACAACAGCAGCAGCAGCAACAACAACAGCAACAAGCGTGCTCTGTGGACACTAAAGCAGTACAGTTGAATGTTATTATGTGAGACGATATAGAAAGTGGGGATTGGTTAGTCCCTGGAACAATAGCACTCCCAAATGCGCACCCTGCTGCCACCCTCTGCACGCACTTCTCTTGTACTAACATTACACATTAGATATATTTATTATCTCTAGAATCGAATACGAAATAATCAATTTTATTACAAGAGTATATATATTATATATATACATACAAAGTATACATATTATATTCTAAATATGTAAGGCTTGTAACAAGGAAATAAAAATAACCATATATTAGTGTTTTACATATACTTTATATATCATTTATTCTAGATATGTAAAATGAAACTAAACAAATTAGTTGCCTTAACGAGATAAAGAATTTTAATGAATATATTAACTATCGTTTGGTGAAATATTTTCTCTTTTTTTTTTTTTTTTCATTTACTTTTAATTAGTAGGACATCACTTTATAAGAAAATACATATTGAATAAACAAACATAACAAAAATAAGTTTTTTATGTACTACTGCTTTGTTGTTATCCTTCATGCTGTGCTTGTATGGTGGAAGTCGAGAGAAATGTTTGATCGTATGAGTGATTTATTAAAAATGAATATGTAGAATGCATCAAGAAAGAGGGAGAGGGTGGCAGACATTAGCGCATTTATGGAGCATTTAAATTATAAGTCTGCCCGAAAAAAAATGGTGTTTTTAAACGTATTTTTACGTTATACGACTCGCGCAATTTAACAAATTTTAGAAAATTAAGAGCGCAAAAATATTACAAAGTTTATATTCCATTAAATGGATATTAATAATCTTATAAATTTAAAGATTCGAATACATTTCGAATCGTTAAAAGCGTTTTGTTCTTTTTTTTATGATCATGTAGCGTTTCGATTTCTTAACTTCCGTACTTTACGTTCTCGACTTTGACTTTTTTACTTTATAATACCGTGATAATGTATGCGAAAAGCGTTTCGCTGGTTTTCACAAAATCATTCAACATACCGAACTTTTGTAATAGTTTTGTCAGAGATATGTAATAGTTAATAGAATTGCGCAAAGAAATGAAAGAAGTAATAAAGGTAGCTTTCCTACATAGTTTAAATATACATATATACAACTTTTTTTCCAGAGCAATACAAACGCGCAGCACGAAAGTGAAGCACGCATTTAAACGAGAACGAAATTGTAAAACGAGTAGCTTTCCTTTTCCCGCATTTCCTGCCTACGAGCTGTGGATACAATTTAATATTCCTGTTTATAAAATCATTAAAAATGTGAGTATACGGTTCAAATTTACATTTACATACATCGGTTCTGTCTATATAAAATATTTTTATTCAAAAATTCTTATCAGAAATCATTCTTTATTGTTTATACAGTTTTAATATCCTGAAAATCTCCCGCGTTGGATTTGATAGCGCGATGAAAAGGAAACGGTAACGTTGTCGCGAGCGACCTCTGGCGATGTTGTCCGGAAAGAGACGAAGCTGAAATGGCGCATGCGCACTGGTCATCGTATATCGTCCCGCCTGCGGACGAACCGAAATAAATCGAACGACGCCGAGCCGATCAGCAGTACGGTGCTCGCTGGATGCGACTGTTTCGCGTTAGTGATGATCAAAACGAGTCGTCGTCGTCGTTGTTTGTGGCATTTCGCGAAGACGAAGAAGCCGTGATCCGTGATCAAAAGTTTAAGGCGGAGAAGAGGCCGAGGGCACACGTCGTCGTTCGTTGTCGCGGCCACGGATGCATATGGAGGTGCGTAAACCCTTGTTTCGATGCACCCTCTTCTTGTGCACGCGTTCTTTGTTTATTTTGACAACACCATCGAAACTTTGGTTAAACTTTATTCATGTTTTTCATCGCGTGTTATCGTGTCTCGTTAAAATTCGACCTCTTAAAAGGGCAATTGAAAGTGCAATGATCGTCTCGTTTACCAACGGGAATTGTTATTGATGATGTCCGTGTTCACTCGAAGGATCGTTACTCGCAAGACCCCTTTAATTTTTCACATTCTCCTTCTGTTTATCGAGCATAGTGTATCGACGGCTGTCGGTTTGGAAACGTAGTTTTAGGAATCCGTCCGCACTTTCCATTCGGTCTGTGCATCGAATCGCGTAATACTATTTTTTTTTCTTCTTCTTTTCTCAACTCTGTGTATTTTTAATGTGCAATCATTTAGAGCATCGTAACACAGCATCGTGCGTGCAGTTAAACAACCTTATATCAGTTTTTTTACGGTAGTGAGTTCTCGCTTGGAAACAGGCCGAAGATTAAGATTATGTGCGCATACGGCATCAGACTTTGTGTACGCTCTCAGCTGACGGGAGGCTGTCAGCTGCCTTACACGAAAGATCCAGGGCCGTCGTTTCGTGGCGTCTCCGAAACGATTTATATCATCTTCGCGTTATTCGCATCGAATCTCGTGCGATAATTCGTTTAATTTTCATTTCAACTCGATTCTCTATTCTGTTTAGACCATTCACGCTTGGTAACAGTGTAAATTCTGCCATATCGAGTAGCTGTGTCGTCACGTACGCACGTGTATGTGTAGGAGAAAAATCACGTTACTTGGTTGTAAATGAAAAATCTCCTATCATGAACTTACCGGTGTGTTTATTTTTCATTTATACTCTTTATTTTGAGAATGATTTTTAATCAGTCGCAATGTCAACGACACCGGTGTTTTACACGCCGTTTCCGACGATAAATTTTCACTGATACTTAACGACGCCAATGTCACCAGATAATACACGCTCTCTTGTTTTGTACACACTCACAGCTGATTCAACCGACGCGTCATAAAAACGTTCGAACTGTGTTATCTTTTAACGTGCCTCCTCGTCGTAGTACCCTTGCGACGTTTTCTTTCTCCTCTGTATACATTACACATATGTGTGGAAGGCTTCGATCGCATTAAAAAAAAAAACAAAAAAAAACACCTACATACATAATACTCTCGCATAGAACGGTCTGTGGTAAGGTTAAGTGGTAGACAGAGAAAGGAGGGAATTGACGTAACGCTACTTGTCAGTGTTTCCGACCGTCAAACTTCCATTGATTTTTCTCTCGTAAATATTTGGCGAGGTTAACTAAACACGCTAATTCAATAAGATCGACCTTATCGACGAGAATGCCTCGACTGTTACCTCGGTTATTTTTTACCATCTACATATCGTATCGATCGCAATTTGTTTAACCATCCCGGGCTTTCTTCGGTCTATGGCGCCTTTCGAATTTAATAGACCGAGAACCGTTGTACGAGGACGCGGGTATACAAGGTGCATATTAAAGTGCAATTCGCTTTGAAAGCGACATCCGTCGCGTCGTCAGGACGCTTACATGGAAAATTAAATATGCGCGACGAGTGACGAAGGACGATGACCCGAATTAACTAAACTCGAAGCGGCTGTGTGCGCGCTTGTTCCTCTCTCGGCTGTTTATTTAAGTTACAGTGGTGTAGCCTCGCGCGATTCCTGTCTGACCAGCGGAGCACGAGTCCCCGCGACGCCTCGCCGCAAGGAAACTCTTCCTATCCGTGGCATTATACTTGGATAGATTTACAAACAAGCTAAAGTGAATTAGAGCGACAATCCTTTTTCGGTCATTAGTTGAGATTTTCACCCACTAAACACAATTGCGTAAGAATATTTTCGATAACTCTTACCGTTTGAGATTTTCAAGATTTTCCTTGTTATCTAATTCAACAAAGATTTCCGAGATATAAACTTTCGACTGAAATTTATTTATCATCCATACAATGTTGTAATAGCCACGCAACGTAATTTGAAAATTAAAAAAGGAGAAACTATCTTAATTATCACTAATTAGCACCTAATTGTTATTGGTAAATCAGGCTGCGTCACACTTGAGCGCGGAAAGGAAACAGTATTGTAATTAAATGCTATTTTCTACGCGCAATAAAAACGATATACATAGTTCGGTTTGTAAGAACGCGTGGACCTGTTGGACGACGCTTTTGTGTACGTTTACAGCTGATTGGACTGTCAGCTGGGCTGTGCGCAATAGATAGAATCGTCGGCAGGCTGGCCAACGCACGTTCCAGAACTCTCAGCTCTCAGAGGAGGCCTTGTTTTTCTACAATTCTTTTTCCTTTTTTTTCTTCTTCTTCTTTTTTTTTTTTTTGTTCGTCTCTTCACTTTTTCCCTGCAGAGGCTGTCGCGTTGTGCGACGCCAACCAGGGCAATTGCTCTTGCAATCTTTAAACTTATCCCTCCTGTGTCGTCCGCGAGATGAGGTGAAGGGTTACACGTCGAGTGTATAAATACGTGTGTACAGAAATACACTGATGTGTCTGAAGATCCATAAATGAACTGCTTGAAAGCCGCACTGATCGCTTCCACCTATAATAAAATTTCTTTTGTCGTTCGAATATTCAAGAATCAAATAACATATTTTTATGATACTTACGTTCAGTGAACAATCATTGTTTATTCATGTCTAGATAGTCTTCTTCGGTTGGAACATTCTGTAAATACACGAATAGATTTTTATTCCTAATAGAAGGTGTTTTATAATTTACGATATTGTTTAAGTGCGCAAAAGAAAAAAAAAAATTTATAAACGATCCTCAATTCCGGGAATGAATTGGTTGTTAGTCACGTAGGCGCGTGCAAACGTGACAAACTACGAAGAATGCCATTCATAATTCGTAAAGAGTCATACGTCGCAGGTGAACTTCCGTTAAAGCTTGCTTTATTGCCGAGCCCCGGCAAACTAACGTATTATTTTCTTCGCGCGTACTTGATTAAACTCGGTGAACGATGGTGGGGTTTGTGCGATCAAAAACCTCGCTATCATTTATCACTTTGCGTCTGGTTCGTTGTACGTGCGTGACCTACGCAACGTGGTTTTACTTTTTCTCTTCGAATTCCTTTTTTCTTCTCAGCACACAAACGCGAGTTAAAAAAAGAAACGTAAAGAACGAAAAATTCGTGACCCTGGTCGTTTATTACACGCTACACATTAGCGGGTAGATATTAATTTCCTTTTTCCCATAAATATTCATTCTTTCATCGGTTTTCTTCACCCGTCAGACAAATGGATTAGACCCCGTTTGTATTCTTCTTTCTTCTTTTTTTTGCTGATTCCACGCTCGAGGATATCCTTTGCAATGCTTCGGTATAGATCGGATTATACTCTTTGTCTTGGCTTTTAATAATGGGACGTGAAAACCCATTCATTCCCACGTTGTTACCTGAAACGTTTCATTACAAGATTAGTATTAAATATCTATTCTATCCGCTCAATTTTTAATATTATTCAAATTATAAAAAAAGCTACCCCTTTTCTCTTCGGTGCTACATTAGCGGTGTCTATAAATAGTAGAACAAGGTTGAAAGAAAAATTGTTTCTTTCAATCTGTGCATCGTACTCGCGTAGAGCGCGCCGGCAAGTGTTTTTGTTTGATTTCACTCGCAGTTGACGAACCAACAATCGAAGCCGTACATGCTGTACGTAAATATATCCGTGGGCAATACACATGTACACCACGCACCCGTGTATATGTTTACCCGAGTCTGGAACACGTACGCAGAAGCAAGAGAAATAAGGCTATAGGTGGGACGTGGATAGAAGAAAGTATGAACCAACGCGGAGGTACTAATGGGAGAGACACATACACACCTATACCCTTTCCTCTTTGCGTCGCGTCGCCTCGATTCGATAAGTTTTCCTTTCGTTGCATTTTCGAACGTTAAACAAAGATAGAAATTCAAGGCTTAGATTTCCTGTTATCGTCGTTATCTCGTGCACTCGGTACTCGCGGATCGCCAATTACAACAACGTGCCTCGGTGTAACGTAAATCGGTAGAGCAAAAAGAAGATAAAAAAAAAAAAAAAAAATGCCACTTGGGTTATTGTATCGTCGTTCAAACGATTTGCTGCTTCGAAGTATGAATCATTCGCTCCTCCTGCACGGAACGACTGTGTATGCTACGCAATTTGCAGCGGTCACGAATTCAGACGTGTTTTCTCTTTGTATTGTCTTTAGTGAGTCACAGCTTTATATACGAGAAGAGGCTTGATCATCGGCTAGGCTTAAATTGTAGGGGATGATGAGTATAAATAGTCTGATCAGTTTCAATGCATGGATTAAAAGTTTTAATTTGTATAAAGCCGATGGTGAAACTGCGACTTCTTGCTACAATCGCGAATAAGTTAGAAACTTTTATATAACGTTACAGTATCAAATTAATGTTCAAGCTTATAACTCGTAACTTATACTAACGACGAAGCCTTCGTAAATTGAAACTATAACGTTGTATAACATTTTTGAAATGATTTTTTTGTTTCCGTGCTTAGAGCGCGTTACGATCGCGAGTAGCATAGTAACGTATTCGGTGAAAATGGTTCCCAGCAACAGCCTATTCATTCTTATCGCGGTTCGTTTCTTTTCGAGCGTCGTGGGCACAGAACCGTTATATCGTATGTAATTACTCGATGCTCGTGCATGCAATGTTGCCTGTGGTTCAACAATCTTCACTCTCTCTCGAGCTTTTATAAGTCGCTCGCGAATTATCTATAAAACGGTGCCTCCTGCACCTTGCTCGAAAGTTTCGCCGTGCATGCTAAGCGAACGCGTCGCTGGCACGTCGTCGATCCCCGCAGAACTTGTTGCGAGGGAAAAATAAAGACGACACGTCCGCTTCTTCTTCGAGTCATTGTTCTCTCTGTGTTAGGGGAACACACACACACACGCACGTAATCGCGTGTGGCGGATGCGTTTATGAGATTTCTCGGCTGCTGCCTGCGTGCAGGAATATATTTCGGTTGCTACTCTCGCGATCTTAAATTTATCGTAACGCGTACACACACGGTTTTCTTCGTTCGCAGAACGTGGAAACAAATCAACGGAGCGCGTTTCGAGGAAATAACTGCTCGCGAGTGATATCTGGATTGCATTACCGTTTGCTATTTCACCGCAAAATGGCTAGCAAAACATTTTGCCGCTAAAATAGACTTGAACTCGTGCGGTGGTTACGAAGCATCCCTTCTTGATTCTTCAAATTCTAAGCAGTCGTTGAACTGAAAGAAAGAAAGAGGATATAAAATCTGATATTTACGAGAATATTCGATGCTCCCGATACGACACACATGGGATCCTTATCCGTAGAATAGTGTGCGCGACTTATTGAAGCCATATCTTCTCGGGCATTCAATGGAAGACGGAGCGGAAAAAATATCGTCGTTACTCGGCAACTAACTTGTAAAAAAAGCTTACGTATACTAATATTTTTGTGACTACCAGTTTAAATATATCTTTTCTAAGTGGCATGTAAGTACCTCCATCGACGCGCATTGTTTGCGTTTCTGAGCAGACGATATTATTTCGGTTGATGCATAAAACGCGTTAAACCTGTGCAGAGATAAAGAAAGAAACGACGCAACGCCACTCGTTTCTTTATCACCACTGTTTGTGTTTACAGTGCACTTCGTATTCGAAGTACATACATATATATATATATTTGTTATTTACACTTACCGGGGGAGGGGGGGGGGGAGATCGACGTATTTTTAGATAGAGCATTTGCGCCACCAGGGCGAATTTTCATGAAAGTGTTAAGATCCTTCGTTGTGCCACTTATTGTTGATTCTTTGTATTCCTCATTAGCCAATGCAAATTCCTGGATTTTTATCTTGACGCAAAAGCTGAAATGCAAATGAAATAATAAATATAACTTAATTGATTTATCAATATTTTTCTCTCTATAGTTTCTTTTTTGTTATTGTTACGAGATCTGGTTCTAAAAGCGTACTACTTTTCTTTAGAGGAATATAAACACTTTTTTTCACCTGATTGCATTATCTTAACGCGTTGGAAGTTGTATTTCTCAGTGATACCTAGTAGATCAATTTAAAAAGGGTCAACAAACGTATCGCGCATTCGCGCGCAAAATACAAACATCGTTCCTGAGAATTGATGCGCAAATGTTTACGAAATATCTTTCGATCCTTCCGTTTTTTTTTTCTTTTTTCTCAAATTTGTTATCAGAAAAGATGTTGATCTACGTTAGTTCATGCAACGCATTAAGGCCGTATCACCGCGTACCGCCTTGCATGTGATATGCAATAGAAAACATTTTGTCAATACACGCGATGACGTGCGCAGAGTCGTGACTGTATTGCATGACCCGCGATGCGTGTTCTGTCGAACGTGGGTCAAACACGTGATCGCCTTCTCGTGAATACTATTCACAATTATATCTATTTAACCCTTTACGTACCGAACTTACCCGTTGAAAAGAGCTATCGATTGTCGCGCAAACTGTTATCGATTGTTACGATAACTCGCTTCCGCCGTCTTTTTCACTCTGTTGTTGAGGTTACAGTTGTTTCGCTTATCGCAGAGTATTATGATCCTTAACACCATATGTCCAATCGTCAATAGAATTATGCAATTGAAAGGGTTAATATGAATTTGTTGAACAAGTAAAAGTTGTTAACTTCAGTTGACGCGTTGCCTAACCTAAAATACTTGATACTCGGCATTAATTTTTTGTTCGTGTTTAATATTAGAAATGTTGCTTATATCGTTGCACAAACATGTTTGAAACTATCATTAATACATACCTGATTGTCATCTAACAATTTATATCGTATATCGTAGGTGGCACTACTTAGAAAGTGACATTGGTGAATAGCGGCAAAGAATGCATACCATGTCCGTAAAATAGGTTCTTGCATGTGAACTATCACTTGCATCTAGATTTTTGATTATTTTATGTTGCGACAGTACTTTTATCCATACAGCCTAGTCTCGCCACGGAAATCATTATGGTTTTACGTTGTATCAAGTAGAAAGTCTTGACAAATTTCGAACTGTGCGATTAAAAAGTTGCCGCCATGATACATGCGCAGTGCGTTCTGCGCACCCAATATTCGTTGTGTTTAATTTTGCAAATATTCGAATTTTCATATATTTTATCTTTCCAATCGCTTATTCTAATCGATCATAACTCTCTCTGAAATCGTTTGCTATCATCTCCAATCGAGTTTATCTAAAAATATCTAAAGTTATAAACAGTGAATCGCAATAAATTATATCGATCCTTCTTGAAAGTGATAGTACTTTTTAGGTTACTTATAGCAACTTCAGTGTCATACTAACCTTATCCGTTGTAACTAGTGGAAGGTTAAGGGGAAATCTATCATCACTAACCTTTACTTTATTCAGTAATCTTACTCAAAGAAAGTCGATGCGCATCATCGTGTAACGTGTCAGAATTTCTAAACAATCGAATTATGTAGTTTCCTGGTAGAAAGTCAAGTGGCGCTATTTACCGCGTTTATTTTCATTTCTCGATACAGGTGTCATACGACTCCGTGAATTTTAATAGTTTCAGCTTAATCTGCCGGTATAGAGATTTCGCTGTAACAGCGTCTTCTTGGATCGCTCGTCACGTGTTTGTATTTGGTTACCGCATGGTGTCTAATAGTCGACCACGTTGAATGGTACATAGTTCAGTCGAAGACAATCGTATCTCGTTGTTCAACGGAAAAGGACAATGATACGAGTTCGAAGTGGAAAATTTTTACCCGCCACCTTCGAGATGAAATTAGACTCGAGGAGAATTTTTGTAACGTTGGCCGACAGCCATATTGTCCGCATGCTTTTATTAACACCAATGGTCACATTTCTACGATCGCGTTCCTGCACATGTGTACGCGCGCGATCATTAACATAAGTGTTATTTAACGACGCTTTATGAATCTTTACGATCGCCTCAATTTACAATTCCGACAGGGTAGCCTATTTGGTAGCACTTGGAATATAGTGGTCAATATAAATTGACGAAAGAGAGTGCCAAAATGATCAACTCGGTCAATAGTTTAAATTGGGTAATCGATAGTTATCCCGTCCGTCGCAACTTATTTACAAGTATACGTATAAATAACCTACGTTCTGCATGGAACTTTTCAGGGACTTCAAATCTTATCTTTTAGTTGAAATAATCATTTGTCAAGCGCTTTCAGTGTCATCGATTAAGCTCAAAGGTGATCGAATTTGCCGTGCAAACGCGAAATTATCGATAGCGCGATCGATAGGAAATGGATGGTTAACCAAATTTTCCATTTAACATCGTTACCTTTCCCGCCGATAAATTCTTCCGCGGAGAATATTTTGCGGTAACGTAGATGGGAAACTGCATCGACGATTGATTCGATCGACTAGTTATTTTTATCGAATCGCGGAAGTCGATTCTTTGGCAAACTCGATTGAGCAATTAATATCGATTGTTCGTTCGATCGTCATTCGAAGTCTTACGAGAACGTTCGTCGCCTGACATTGATACTGAGGTCAATCGAAAGAAATAGTTGCCACGATTGAAAAAAAAAAGAAATCAATAAGATACACAATATCCATATCGATCGAGTTTACTGCTAACCGCTAGCCTCTGTGGAAAAGTAATTTTAATCGGTACACAATCTAATCATTTATTTGGATCTATATTACGTTCATTTTGACACGACGTTTACTGTACGGTAACTTGTTTTTTGTCTTCTATAAATGTCTCGAGTATAAAGTTTTTGATATCGAAGATTGATTTCTTGAATAATTACTGTTAAATACATTTATACGTTTTTTTAGGTTAAAAGATACTCTAAGCATGTAAATCACAAATGAATATAAAATATTGTTTACATGGGAGCGATTTATGAATTTAAAATAAGGATGGAAATGAAGCAACAGGAAAAGCAGAACAATTTTTTATTACGCGATTGCGTTGTGTTCGGTATCCAAAAAAATAAAACACCGAGTGTTTTTGATTTTCCGCTCAAGCCTCGATAAACATTGAAAATGTATTGAAATTGTTTCTTATCTGGTGTCCACGGAAGCGCTGAATTTCAGATGTCAATATTTTTGTTCGTCTTCGTATCAAAAGAAACCGCGTTCTATTATCTTATCGTTTTACCAAATAACACATTCATATTTTTCCACTTAGCTCGACAAGTTCAGGGACGTGAGAAATTTACATTTATCTTCAACGAAAATTGGAAAAGATAAAGAGACCGAACCGTTTAGGTATCCTTTGTTTCGTCCTTTGTTCTGAATATCAGAGGTAGGTAAAAAATTTTAAAAAGAAAAAGAAGGTTTGAGTTGAGTATTCGTCGATTGGTAGTGGGTTTCGCGCGAAATTCAAATTTGAAGGTTAGAATATTTATTGTAAAGGCAATTTTTTTATTTTAGAGCAAACTACACTTTGCAATCGTACTGACGCGACATCTGTTCCACGTGCTTCTGTTGCGCGCTTCGTCTGGATCAGGTACACAACACACGTCACAGCAACGGCAGATGGAAAAACAAAGCGTCTATTGTGGCGACAGGCTTTCACCGGATTCTTCGTGTGTTCGTCTCTTTATTCATTGGGGAGATAGGCGTGCACCGTCTGCACGGACCGGAAAAAAAAAGGATGGACAAGAAAATCGGAAATTCTGAGGATGCGTCGGTGACGGAGGTAGCAATGACCTTGGGCCGTGTATTGACTCGAATGTTCCATCTCTTTGTTCCCCTACGATTCGTTGGGAAACTTCATTCCGCGGCTACTCCGCGGATTCGCCGTAGAACCTGGCGGCCGACGAACCGCGCGCCACGATTTCAACGCGTTTTATTGTACGCGGTCGTTGCTATCGCCGATGTTCGAGGCGTGGGAATTGAATTGAAGCAAAATCTTCTTCGTTCTTATTTCTGTCTTGCGAAAATTTATTAATGCGCCTGCTTCTCAGTAGGAATAATCCAACTTGTTAAATTAGGTATTCTGAAAATTCCTTCAGACATAAGAGGTACTCGTGAAACGATGAAATGTTTGCACATTTTTTAAAATGGAAATTGTTGCGTTCTATAAATGTGCGTGGTTTTAATCTGCCAGACCGATTGGTGCCTTGACACGTGAAAAATACAACGTATGCAGATTGGTTCGTTGTTTCAATTTACATACACCGAGTTTCGAGTTAACTTCTGTCGACTTCTATCGTCGTGAAGTTTTCATTGACTCCTTTTCTTTTTAGAACGATGCTTAAATAGAACTTTAATCAAATTCATTTTCTTTTTCTTTTTATGATCTTCAGAGTGACCGACGCGTACAGAAATAATACAGCAGGAAACTTGGCCGACGGTTGTGTCACACCAAGTGTTAAATTCCGCATTGTCATAAGCCTGGAAAGTGAAGTATAGTACCGTTATCGCAAGGCCGTGGCGAATCGTTGTTTCGATTGATTCAAGTTGGAAAGGAAAAGAACAAGAGGCAGAGAGGATACGTAGGCCTAAGGAAAGGAAACGATAAAGAAGAAGCGAGGAAGGAAGAGAAACGAGGAAAGGGAAGGAAACGGAGTTAAACTCAGAAAAACCGTCTGATGTCTAAATCCAAATAAGAGAAGGTTGCCGTTCTTCTTCCATCCTTATAAAGAAGGAACACGCCCTCTTTGCCGTATCAAAACAAAGGCCTCGTCTTCTCTTTGTTTGCACATATGTCAACCATGTGTCTTGCAATGCACGAAGGAAACGAGAGATGATTACAGTTATGATGTATTCCTCGGTCATCGTAATGAATAATACATTTTATTCTTGAAGCCTTGAACTGAATTGTAGCATTGATATTCTTATTCGTTTCCATGCATACTTACGCATTGTTTTGGGAGGACAAAAGAAAATTATTCTTTATTTATATGCCAGCAACTTGTTCATTCACGATTGTGTATTGGTAAGGAACAGATACGTTTAAGATTATTTTAAAGATTTTTTTTTTTTCTTTTAAATTTTTGTTTAACGAAAGTGTATTTTTATTTTTATGTTACGAAGGTATGAACAGCCCAGGGATTAGAAGAACAGAAAATTGAATGCAATTATGCCTAGGGACCGAGCGTTACAATTTTTCCTTACGTATTTTGAAGTAGTTTCGAAGGAAAAGTACATTTACTAATTCAACAGGGAAGAGTTTCTATACCTCCTCGTATCTTTCGTCGTTCAACAATGATTTCATGCAACACTTGTTTTGAAACTCCCTGCATATGCATAAGGTAACTTAAAGGTTAAAACCTATTATTTTAAAGGCAGGTCATCTAGTGAACCGAAAGGATATTTATATTGGACCTATGAAAAATTTCAAGTTAAATGATCCATTCATTTTTAGTTCTATAAATTTCTTTGAGAATGGGAATATATACCCCCTTAAGATCAAGTGTACTTCTCTTACGAGAAAGAAGAGGTAGAGGAAACCGGGTTGGTGCGAACGCAACTCGACAAGAAGAGAGACCGGGCCGCGTTTCCTCTGTTCCTTATAAAGAAGAAGCCTTTTTCTTTAGATGCATCATAATAAAGACCTTGTCTCTTTTCTTTGTTTGAACACGCGCCAGCACGTGGTCGCTCGATATGGAATAAGAGTACATTAATGCTATTGCGCTTTAAAACGTTCGAGCAGCAGTTTCATTATTCCACCACCACCACCACGTTTGCTCGCGACTCTTATTTTTACATATGTTCATCACGCATCGTGTATATGTTATCTGTTCTTCTTTCCTAATCGCGCCAACCGCATCGGGACTGTTTTTCCCTTAATAGCAATACAGTATGCTACAAAACGCAGTTTGATGGCACCGAATAGCGAGCGAAGCGCGCGTTATTTAACAGACCGTTATAAATAACTCGGAACTGATAGTTGTGGAACAAATATACACGATAGCGGGTAAAATAGTGTGAGCGGATTCCAAAGAGAACGCGCAGGAGCGAATGTTTGTTTTATTTTTGATATATCACCTAATATAATTTCATTCCTTTTCTCCTGTACGCGATGGAATCACATAAGAGATTAGAACCGTCCAAATATTTGGGAAAGTAAATTTCCTCTCGGTGAACACGTTTCATATGTATCTACGAAATATTAGCGATCTCACTCTTTGACATTATTGTATCTGCTTCAGGAGATTCGCGATCGGCTTGAATCTATCACGAGGCGGGAACGACTACCGCAAAGCGTGTATGCGCGTGTTAGCGTGGGCCAGGCGTTCTAAACGCCTAGTAATTTTAAGTTGCACAACAGAATTGTGATCTTCGAGGAAGGATAGATGGAATTGAGAGAAACGTTTATCGGGTTCACAGGTGTCCCCGAACCGGCGCTGTCTGAACCAGCTCAACAGCTGATCGGAGTACGAAGCGGCGGTGAACGGGGCCACTATTGCACCACCACCCCGCGACTGGAAGAAGAAGATATTCGATACGCTAATCGTTGCTGGTTAACGGCCAGACAATTCTACGTAGAAGAGAAGAAGAAGCGTCCGCTGCTGCTGCTCGACACTTGATAAAGGGAAAGAGACAGACGGCGAGAGGAAGAGAGAGAGAGAGAGAGAGAGAGAACCGACTAAACTACTATCACGACAAGGGCGAAAGTATCTTTTGCTTGTTTGGACGCGCCATCATGGTCAAAACTTTTCAAGCGTACCTGCCCTCGTGTCACCGCACTTACTCGTGCATTCACTGCCGTGCTCACCTCGCCAACCACGACGAACTCATCTCTAAGGTGAGCCGTGCTAGATCAGGTAACGGACAGACTTCTCGCATTTACTTCTGCACAGCGCATCAACAAAACGGCGCTGTTGTTTTTTACAAATCGACACGACATTAATCGGCGTTTTTTTTTTTTTCCTTTGCTTCTTTTGATTGCAGTCCTTCCAGGGCAGTCAAGGTCGTGCCTATCTCTTTAATTCCGTGTAAGTATGCTGATGCCTTCGGAGAGAGAGAGACCGAGAATCGGAGTCTCGTGAACGGAAAGTAGGACGCGTTTATTTTATCCGGGGAACTAATGCTTCTCTTGTGGTACCCCACCCTCTATCTCTCTCTCTCTCTTTCGCTTTCTGTGTTACGATAAACTGTTTATCTAAATGACTTCATTGTAATAAAGATCGTTTTGTTATTTTAGGGTGAACGTGGGCTGTGGTCCTGCAGAGGAGCGAGTTCTGTTGACTGGCCTTCATGCTGTTGCTGATATTTACTGCGAATGTTGCAAGACCACCCTTGGGTGGAAATACGTAAGTTCACCAGTTGCTGAGAAAAATTATTCGCGAATCAGAGACCACTGGTTATTTCTGGTACAACGTTGTCCAAGAGTTTGCCCGCATGGTAGGCGCCATGAACCACCAGGGACAATCTAATGGACAAGCATGAATTAAAATATAAAAGTGTACAGATGTTATTTTATTATGATATTTTTCAGGAGCATGCGTTCGAGTCGAGTCAGAAGTATAAAGAGGGCAAGTTTATCATTGAGCTTGCTCATATGATCAAGGAAAATGGATGGGAATAAATGGTCGAGGGGAACAACAAGTAACGCGTTCCCGATACAATAACAGCACCACCCATCGAACATTTCCTGATAACGTTTTATGCCTACAATGTTGTTCTAATTGCGATGTGCGGCTCCCCATCCCTCTGTCGAACCACCAACGAAAGTCTGTGATTTCATTTGTGATTTGTAATCTTAGTAACTTTTTATGTTTCGGACAATTCGATGCTGTTTTAAGTTCTTTCCGATCGATTGGTTGTCGTGCGAACGATGACACCGGTGATCCGCGGCATCGCGGATCGATCACACGAAGAAGTATTGTAAAGAAATTATTTTTCAAAGAAAAGCAAAAAGAAAAAAAGAAAATAAGACGAAACAAGAAGATAAGTAAAACGATATAAAAGTAATACAAAAAAAAAAAAAAGAAAAAACAATTAACAAAGAAACGGGTAGAGTATAAGAAACAAAAAAAAAAAAGAAAAAAAACATTTAAAAAAAAAATGACGATGTTAATAAGCGATGGTGAATATGATGACGAAGGTGCCATGGTGGAAATAAAGATGGAGAATTGTTCTGTTCGAACAATGGGGTGCCCCCCTAATTTTAATTCATTATCTTCGTAGACATTTCCTTCTGGAGGTATGCCAATGATACATGGTAAAAATTAACGCGCGGGGCACCCCGATCGAGATGAAGTTTTTTAAATCCGTTATTGCACCGGAGCAGCGCGAGTGCCACAGACTTTGCTGGATTGACTGCCTGCCTACCGCGTCTATCATTGGAATTTCACTGCCGATATTCCTAATATTAATTATTAAGATAGCCGCGTCGCATGTTAGGTGACGTGGTTGTAGTTTTTAGTATAGCTTACGATATAGCATACTAAAGCCTATGTTACAATATTATAGGACCTCATGGATATAGAACATAAGAATACGTAAGAGTACCCGATGTGGTGAGACAGGAAAGGAAGATACACTTGTATATGTCCGTGAGCATGTTTTGTGCGGGTGGTGTATGAGTGTAAGAAAGATGGGGAGAAAGAAAAGGAAAAAAAAAAATTGAAGATTCATTGTGTCCGTATGTGTGTAACATGTTTGATTTTATGTTCACCATGCCTGCCAAACTGTCTGTTTATCTGCCAGTCGCCATTACTGTAGGTGAGAAAGAAAGAAAAAAATTTAATAATACCGTATTCTAACATGTTCACGTTTTCGTCGGCTCTGCAGGGTGTGGTATGACTGAATCTTTTACGTTGTGAAATCATTGGACTGCGCCTTCCTATGCACGCACTACGAAGGTATACATATTATATGTATTGAAATGAGGATAAAAAAACGAAACAAAAGAAGAAAAAAAAGTATGGAACAAATTAATTGCTCATTACTTTTTAATATCGATCTCATTTGTAAATATTGAATAGAATTCAGTGACATCACAGAATCACTACTATTTGTTAGAGCGAACTTTACGTGTTCGCCATCTCGAGACCCGAATGTACGATCGATTTTCATCGTTCATTACACGAGAACAAAATTTTATCGTTCATACTAATTCGTCTATTATCATTTTCTTTTTTTTTTTTTTTTTTTTTTATTTTCCCACGTTATACCGACACGTATAACGCAGCGACATTCAAGTATAATTAAGTTTTTCGATAGGCTATCATATTTCCGAGACTGCTTGTATAAATTAAAAGAACATTACTAACATTTAGGCGGCTTTTTTGTGTTACCTTCGTTATCAATAAACTTTTATAACAACGTGATAATTAAAATTGAAATTTTATTTAAGGATGTTTACTTGTGCGTATTTTTAATTATAAAGTTATATTTGCTAATTGTTATTGATTCAGATTCAAACATATTTGTTACTTTGTTTAGCATTAAAACGAAGGTAGCAAAATATGTGCAGGCGTGAAAAATATGTTTATTTTAGTACAGGTATAATTGTGAAATAAGTGTACAAAAATTGATCGGTTTTTTCATTTAAGCTAGATCATTTTTTTGAAAAGCATAGATTGAGTAATGGATTTAAAAATCAGGTGGAGTCAAATTAACGACGTTTTAAAACACTGAATTGTATGTTCATTATTTTAAATGCATACATATGAAAGTGCAGTATATATACATGGGTGTATTTAGAAATATGGTGAATGAATGTGCCGGCCTAAATCCTCATGCTATTTCTTGAAGAGTACTTTTTATATTACTGTGCCGATGACCCTTTATCCGCACTCACTCTTCATGAGATCTTGTTGAAACCCACCAACACTGGTTCTGTAGTTTTTCAGCCTCCACCAACATCCACCATTTCCACCATTACACAATTTTGCTTTGTAAAACATGTTCATAATAAAAAAAAAATACAAGATATTTAATCGAAAAAGATTTCTTTATTTTGAATGTGAAATCAAAGATAAGGTATGATCTAGATCAGCGCCTTATGGAAGTTGTGTTTTACGTTCTGAAATACCGACATTGCAGGGGCGGCTATTCCAGGCACCCTAGAATGAGGCTTTGTACAATGTCGGTATTTCAGATCGCCAGACACAAATTCCTATAAGGTGATTGTTCTGTCTGCTACCTGGTCTGTGATGATACGATTAGTGCACATCCAGAGCAATCCAGAGTGTGCGATGGATTCGTAGAGGTTGTTTCTTGGTTTTCTGTGGTTCCTTGTTGATTTCCTTATTTTTGTTTACATTTTAGTTTAAAAATGTTATAAGCTTTTATTTGTTTCCCTAAAATTGTAGAGTGTTGATGAAACAGGGTGAAAGATGAAAAACGCGAAAGCTAAAGCAAGGTAATTGACGCTTTATTAGGTTTGATTTGATTGTACTTGTTGCTTCTGTAACTGGGAAGGGACTTTTATGTTTATCTATCTTTATTAATAATATTGTATCTTTATTCTTTTGATTAAAAAAAGCAACGTCTACTGTTTGAACAACCACAATCTCATCAGTATTTTTTTATGATAAACAGAAAACTTACATTTAATCTGGAAGAGTATTGATTTTTCTACTTCACTTACATGTAAAGAGACCTGTGAATTTACTCGTTCACGTTTGGTTATTCCTGTTCATTTTTGTTTTATATTTATGATTATGTAAACTAATTCTTTCAAATATATTAATAATATAAAATATATTGTTCAAGATTTTTATGTTTTTTTGTATCTACATTATTATATTTATTTTTAGACAATGTATGGAACGTTTTGGAGATCAAGGAGGATATTTTGATGTTGTTGTACGTCCGATGTTACAACAAGGACACGAGGGAGAATTATGCGGATGGTTAAAAGAAATGAGTTTAATTAGGACTGTTTCTACTTGTCCCCATCCTGAATGCAAAGGAAGGAGTCTGGCTTGGAATCAAGCAAGAATTGTAGATAAATATAGTTGGTCTTGTCCTAGTTGTACAAGGAAACAATCTATTAGGGAGAATTCATTTTTCTTTGGAGTTAAATGTGACCTGAAAATGTGCCTTCAATTGATATTAGGATGGTGTCAAATGATACCTAGCGAACTCACTGCCAGTTATCTAGGTTTGTAATAGTTGGATTAACATTTTATAGTACATATAATTTAAAATAACTTTACTATCATTTTTTTTTTTCAGAAATAAAGAAACATGTAGTTAAAAAAGTATACGAAAGATGCGACGAAGTTTCTGAAAATTATGTAGCAAGTCATCCAGAAGATTGGGTTTTAGGAGGTCAAAGTGCAATATTAATTGTAGATGAATTTCCTAATGGTTACATGACTGAGAATCCATCTGATATAACTACCGCTAAAAAACGCAATAATAATTCTCATACAATAGTATGCATAGCCGAAGCGAATACTATACCAACTCGCATGTGGCTGCATATGATTGAAGCACTTCCAGAGGTATTCATAGAAATATTATTTTCACTTTATCCTTTTTTTCTTTCTAATATTATGCTTTATTTTAGCCAGTAAAAGTTGAGAAGATGCAAGGAGATGGTGGCAAATGTGACATGGTTAAAGAAGCTTTAAAAGAAATTACAAAACATACTGCTCCTGGTAGTTATATTGTGGCAAATAGCCGAGCACGATGTTGTAGTTATGAATCATTACAAGAATTAAAGCAATACAAAGTGATTAGCGTAGAACAATTACAAAAGTTCGACCCGCCTGGTAAAAACAAACTCCTTAACAATCTAGGTATGTATAGCTTTTGTTTTCTCAGTAGTGCATTAATATTAATAAACTGATTTGTATGTTAAGAAACGATTTGGCAAACCGGGGTTGAAGTTTGTGAAGAAATTCAAGAAACTACCCATACCTTAGGACAACGTATAATATCAAAGCATTTATGGAGACAGAGATTCGGTACGTCTCCTTCCATGGCATTTCAATATATGCTTAATCATATTGCCGAATGTTATCGCTTTGTTTAAACGATTTTATCGTAATATTTTCGCTAATGGTATATTTTTCTACTTTGACAAGCAATATGAAGTGCTAGTGAATAACTTTTTTCTGAAAACTTTTTAAGGTAATATCTTAAAATGAATTAATATTCTATAAGGTAGGATGTTATTTACCAACGGTATCGATAATATCCTAACTGCACAAGTTGCACAAATGGCCTTATTAAAGTTTAAAAAAATGAATTACTTATAAGCAAAGTATAAATACTATAGAAAATATTTTCATATAAACGAAATGACGTTTTATTGAAACACGCATTTTGTGTCTTCCAAATATCAGAATGTAATTATTTCTGAAGTTAAATGTTTATAATAATCGTTGATTAGTTAGAGCTATAACATTATACAAGATAAACTCAATTCTGTTAAAGCACTTTGAAAGATATGGGTTCACTTTTCATTTTTATATGAATTTAAATTGATAAACTAATTAATGAAAGACTGACGGTGATATTGATATAATATCAAGTTGCTAATACATCTAAAAAAGAATCGATAACGTATATTATAACGTTAATACTCAGAATTTTTTCATAAAATTGACTAAAGATTCTTTTCTTACTTGAATCTTAATATACGAAGCAAATGTTACCCATTTAAATTGTCTTGTAGAAAATGAACTAATTCAAAGAGAAGTACCTAATAATACCAGGTGCAATTAGTACCAATATCGTTTTGTAACAGTTGTAATATTTAGCACTGAACTTAAATTTTATTCAAAGGTTTATGACAGTATTACTCTGAATAATATACTGCAAATCAATTATGTTTTAATGAAAGTGCACGTTTATAACTTGTTCAGATTGTAGTCGGTTTTCTTCCTAACTTAAGCTGAAACTCACCGAATCGGTGATATTGAGCCTAGCAGTTTATATCAGCTTGTGATAAAACCGACTTTGTGATATACAAACGTTAATTTTGTTCGTTTCTCGAATCATATCAACAGAAAGAATAGACTATCAAGGTTGTAAAATTTTTGAGAAGTTTTTGCGAACAATGTGATAATTACGTTACTTCATACGGTAAAAATGGTATATTAGAAGTTGAAAAGATAAGGAAATAATCTCTACGTTATAAGTACGTATATTGAAATTATAACCGCGTATACTACGTATTTTTTATTTAGGTAGTTGATAATATCGTTTTTATTGCATTACATAACGATATTGAGAAATACAAATTCTTCATTCAAAATATTTTGATTATGAAATTTTTCATATTTTTGTAATTATTAATCATATAGCAATATTGTTATTATTACTGTTAAATAATTACAATATAAGTGAAATACATTTCATATCAAATTGTAATGAAAGAATTATAACTCATGTATTCATTGAAAATTGATATTTAAGTACCAAATAAATTGGTAAAACTTAAATCTCCTGTTTGTATCGGGATAAGAACTGTTTACAAATATTTTCGTATGTATCTTTATTTACAACAGATAAAGATCAAGAATAAAGTATATAACAAAATATTTTTCAACAATTGTGTACATAAAACTTTTAATAAAAAAAATCATGTAAGAAGTATCGGGCTTCTTTATATTAGTTTATTCAAAATGAGATTCTGTACGAAATTTCTCGGTACATTTTATTCTTTTGTTAGTATTACATCAGAGGTTTTGATATTTTCGTTCATAATTTGCTTGTAATCGTTCTGATCTTGCACCATTCTTCGAAAGACTCGATATTTCTGATTATGATACCTTAAAAAAAAAAATAAGAATAGTATATTTTACGTTGCACGAATAATAATAGAAATAATCGTTCCCTCGCTTACTTGTGACATTCATTTTTAGGTTTTACAATATTTGCTGATCCTCCCATTGTTTTAATAGCATCGTAAATAGTATGAAATTTTCTAGCTGCATAAGATCCCAGGATCGCAGCTCCTATCAATACTGATTCCTTTTCAACCGGGCAAAGTACAGGTAAGCCTAATACATCCGCTTGTATTTGAATAAACAGCGGATTTTGGCTTAGACCTCCGCAAACTAGTAAGGTTTCTATTTTATGACCGGCATCTTCTAGTGTTTCCAAAATATATTTTGTACCATACTGTAGAGGAACATAAATTTTACTATGTTATTATCAAAAACAAGTTAAAGACTTAAATATCGCAAGTATTCGTACCGTTAATGCTTGTAACGTTGCCAAATATAACAGTGCCAAATTTTCTTGATCAACAGACAAAGACAAGCCCGATATCTACACAACATTCAGTTAAAGACAAATAACAATCAAATAATTTGTATGAAACATAAGAAACGTTTAATGTTTTTACCATTCCTTTAAGCGTTGGATCAGCTAAAGGTGAACGATTTCCATGAAAATCAGGCCAAACATGAATTTCTTTTGTTAAGTAAGAAACATTTTTCAAATTTCTATGATCTGCCATTGTTTGTAACAATTCAGACAAGTATTGTTGTATGTGTCTAAAAACAAAGTTGAATAAGTTTCTTTTTATCGTCCAAATTTTTAATGAATCAACTTACTTGTTTCCACTTAATCTTTTTAGGATCCCTGGTGTCGCGGGATGGGTATCAATTATATGATCGAGTAATTTTCCAGTAGCACTTTGTCCTCCTTCATTCAACCATAATCCTGGAATCATAGCACTGAAATATGGTCCCCAGACACCTTTTACAAATAGTTTCTTTTCATTGACTATCATGTGACACGTTGATGTGCCACATATTAATGCTGTAAGTTAAACAAAATGTACAGTCAGAAAAATATACGTATAAAGAATTATCAAATGAATGGTACAAAGAGAAGAAATTACGTGTACCTAATCTATTTTGTAAATTAACGGGTACACCAGGAACAGAACAGCCTATCATACCAAGTCCTCCAGCATGTGCATCGATAAGGGAAGTGCCCACAGCTGTTCCTTTTAGAAGTCCCAATTCAGACGCAGCTTTTGCCGACAAACCATGGTCAACCGGATCACCGGGAGTCCTCACATCATTACCTTCGTATCAATAGTTCTCTTTGTTAAAATAAAGTAATTTCATATTATCTGTCTAAACATAAAAGAAATCTTGTTAACTTGTTAACGCAAAATCTACGTATACACAAACGAAATAATTTCCGTTTCATTTGTGGAAGTTAAATTAGATTTACCTGTGCAAAGATAATTTTCACTAACATGTAAAACTATTATTAATACCTATTTTTCTCCAGTTATCTTTTTTCAGATCTTTCAAGTTAATTTGCTCAAAGAACTCGTCGTTCCATCTGTTATTACCATCCTGACTAGCACTGTAGTTCCACTTACACACCAAAGAGCATAGAGATCTGAAATGAGAGATCAGAAAGTTATATTACAGTGTACAAATTTTACATTAGTTTATAATCACACATGTACCTGGACTCAGAACCTGTTGCCTTCCATGTTAAGAAATCAGGCAGATCAAAAAGCAACGCCGCACGATTCCAAGATGAAGGTAGATTCTTTTTAAGCCATAGCATCTTGGGTGTTTCCATTTCCAGTGATACTTTTCCACCAACATACCGAAGCATTTCATGACCTTGTGCATTTATAAAATCTGCTTCCTCCTGTGCTCTATGGTCCATCCATAATACAACATTTTGTTTATCTTCACCTATATGAAAATAACAGGTAAATATTCAAGTGTAATAATACCTTCAATTTCATTCCATACCTGTTGGACTAACTGTAACTGGTGATCCTGTCTTGTCTATTGCTACCAGCGAACAAGTAGCATCAAAACCAATACCCTTTACATTGTCTGCAGAGATATCAGCTACAACTGACTATAAATCAAACTAATTACTATATACCAATATTTGATTACAATGGACACAGACTTCTAAATTTACTACCTTTACTACATGGCAGACAGCACTCCAAATATTGTCAGAAGATTGTTCATAGAAATTTGGAGCAGGGTGAAAAATTTCAAGAGGACATGTTGCTAATTTCACTATCTTCCCTTTTGAAGATACCAAAGCAGCCCGAGCACTTCCTGTTCCTACGTCTACACCCACAAAGTAATCCATATTCTATTTTTTAAAACAGCAGCTTTGATGTGTATCGTCAAGAGAAACCAACTGAAGGCTGAACTTGGAATAGGATCATTATGAGCTGCAAATAAGAGTACGTAACTGTTATCAGTAAGTCTTTACTGTAATCATAGGCTTATTCTTTTAATATCACATGACCCTGAGATAACTCTTGTAGCAATAAGAAACAGTGGGCTATGAACAGCTTATTGCTGCATAGTTCTTCTAATTCTAATTCATAAATACAGGGAGAAAAGTAGATAATTATTAATACAATTTTTTTATATAAGTAATTGATTAAATTTAGGAATACATAATACGTTAGGCACTATACGGAAACGTTAGATCGATAAAATTATAACGTTAAAAAACGAACTGTATTACGTAAGGATAACACGTAGATCCGTATAAGGAACCATGTGTGCATAAAAAATTCTAAATGCGTTACGTTGATTAATTATATCACACGTTCGATGGATTTACTGGTCTTTCTTTCAAAAAATTCCATTAATCTTTTAAAAAGCGAATCAGAATAAAATAGACAAGTTATTAAAATGTTATCGATATATTCAAAATAAGAAATTATTAATTACATTGTTAAAAAAGAGTGTTAGAACAATGTTGTGTATCATACGCACGTGTATGATTGTATTTGACAGCGACCTAGCTGAACCGTATGTATTGGGTAATCGAAGTTAACGCACGTGGTAATAATTCGCATGTTATATACACATTAAAACGTATAATTGGTACATAGTACATAATTAAAGGACATAAAGTGATATTTAATTTGCATAATTAATGCCTGTTTAGTCTTCAGGTAACATTCTTCAGGGGCATTTGTACTCTTGCTTTACATAACCTAAAACATGGTTCGTTTTAAGAATAGGTAATGAAATTTATCATAGACATTTCTATATAGGTATTTATAATAAATGTACGACGAACTGATCTTCAGTTTATTTATTTAAAAAATTTACAATCTGTAATATTAATTCTCGTAGGTATATAACATTTGAAATAACTCTTGGTGATAAATCTGATAAGCCTTTCCCCCTGAAAGTTACAACTTTACATAATGCTATTCAACAAAAAGTTCAACAATTATATGGCGATTTTGGCACTGCGGCAATAAAAGCCGGTTTTAATGGTAAACAAAAATTTGCATATAAAATGTTTCAAGCGAAACGAACAGTTCTTTCTATTTTTGTAATCTTTTAGCAAAATATTGTAATGCACGCACAAAGATTGCATTGGTGAAAACCAGACATGGTCCACATAAATTTTTATTGAAATCAATTCCAGTCATAAACGATATTGCAGGACGTTTAGTATCGATAAAAATACTATATGTCGGCGCGACATTAAGGCATTGTTTCCTTTTTATCAAAGTAAGTAAAGAATTACTTTTATTATCAAAAATACAATTATCAATTACACATGAATCTTTCAGAAATATCAACAACAAAAATTAGAACAAATATGGTATACTTTAAAAACCGATATGGAACGAAAAAAGATGGAAGAGACTTTAATGACATTGACTCCAGCCATGAAAGATTACACATGATAAATTATAATCAAAACATTCTGTATTTGTAAATATATAAATATTAGAAATTTAATAAAATAATGTTCTTAATTTAATTTTCAGAAACAACAGCGCATCGTTTATCGTTTCGTATTTCCACTCGTTCCGCGGTTTAAAGTAGGGCGGGAACATTTTAAATTTTCAACCACCACCAAACGCGATGGGCGTTCCGTCGTTCCGGTCCTTCGAGCGTCGCGGTTACCAGTTGATGAAGGGTGCGCGCAGGGGTCGTTACATCCCGTCGCCAGTTGTCGCTGGCTGTTGCTGGAGAGCAGATCGCTCCCGTTCCTTGAGCAAGGCGACGGTGATCTGTATGGATATAGTTTGCAGTCGATCCGTGAAGGTGCTCTCAAAGTGGTGCGGTAGTCGTGTGTAGATCGTGTAAACTCTGTAAATCGTTACACGAAACTAAATATATTTGTGAATTGAATTTCATCGAACGCGAAACGTTCTATCCGAGGGGTGTTCGATTGAATCGAGGGAACCGTGGAATTTTGTACGAGAAATCAACCCGATACTCGAACCGATCCGTCCTCGGCTCCAGAATAAATGTGTTTGCATCGAATTCGAGGAAGAAGCATCAACTAGGAAATTGAGAGTTTCTTTCATCCCGTGACGAGGATCCAACGTTTTGCTTAAGGTAAGCGTGGGAGAAAGAGATAGAGAGAGGCAGTGCCCTTCTTGTATAGGTTATCGATTTCGTTCCGTTCCGTTCAAGGGGATGCTCTTGGAATTCGCTCGTACAAATCCATTCTTTGTTTGCGTTTTAACAGACTATCGAATCTCGTTAAAAGACGTTTCCTCCTCATTGCTTCGAATGAAATGATCAATTCGTGAAATTAGTAGCGTTGCATCCTTTCTAGATTAGATGTTATCTATTGCGATTTGAACAAGCGACAAGATCCTCGAGTATCCGTAATTATTTCTATTCTAATTATTAGACAGTTAAGATACAGCGATAACGATCTAAGTGTACTAGTTTCTTTCCTGGAGCGTTAATTACGATTCAGTAGATAACCGTATCGGAATCATATCAAGCGGCTATTTGAATTTAATCTTCAATTATTAGAAACGGATACTTTTGAGAAATCATTTTTTATGCACCATGGCGGGATAGAAATTTGAAACGGGCCCGCGACACAGAAATAGCGAATTTCTAATAGCTCCGAATCTCGAGTATTTTATTTGGAATTCGTTTACGAGCGTTGCGCACGTCTCTCGGAAGCTGTTCTAACAGATGTCATTCCCGCTCTTATGCGGTAGTCGCCTGGGACCAGCGAAACCCTTTTTTTGTTCAATTCCCCTCCCGAATTACAATACTCTTCGTCAGAAATAATATCGCGGTCATGCTTTCAGCCGGGGGTCGAAATATTTTCGTTGTAATTATATTAATCGTACGAGCGTAATTCGTGCAAACACGAGGGCTCTTTTCTGTCGCACGCACCAAGTGATGCGTGAAGGGTTCCTTCACCCGATTAGCTCGATGTTCGAGACGACTATCGATTTGTTAATTAACCTATGTTCTAAGTTTGAATGGCTGCGGTAATGTTTTCTGTCTTCTTGAATTTATCCCTAGTTAACCCTTTGCACACTTGTATCGGCTGTCGGCTTGAACGGCAGACTTACAAAAAATTGAATAGAATAATTAATCATATTAGAATTTAAGCTACATATACGTGGAAATGTGTCTGGCTTCGTTCACGGGAAGCTGGGATACGCGTTTTCACGCGCACGAGTAATTCCACGATCTTTATGGAGGCCATTCGTTAGACCAAGTTTACACAGTAGGACGAGCTGACCTACGGAAAGGGTAGATAAGCTCGTGTAATCGTCAGCGATAGAGTTCTCTAAAACGACTTAATAGAACTGATGTTCTTCTCTAAACGTGTCCGGAAACGAAACATGTATATAATTCATATTATTCTTTTTGAAATAACCTAATCATTTTACCATACAAATTATAGGTTATGTGATTTATGACAGATCGAATGAGTATCGAGATTAATCGATTACAAAATTGATAATCGAACGGTTTCAAAGATGGCGCGAATTTTTAAATTCCTAATAAGATCGCGGTCACGTGATCGTGACCGTAGGATATTTAATATACTTAACTTTTTTTTTTTACCATTTATTACATAAACCCTAGACTTTCGCAATGGATCGTAAGTAGGGCATAAGGATGAATATTACGTAATCTTTAGGAAAGCGAAGTTATTTGCAGATTATATCGTTTATTTCGATCGCAATTTCAGGCCATCGAATATAACGAGACATACCTTGCCTTCAGTTGAGCGTTCCAAGTTTTTAATTACTTTTTTTTTTTAACATGGTCGAATTTCCGAAAAAGAAAACGTGTAGTGGGGTTTAAGAAATATTTCAAATAAAAGTTCGTCAGACACTAGAGAAATTTAAAGATTATTATTGGGATCTTTTCTTTTTTTTTAATAAAAAGTGAAGGTTCCCCTTTTATTTTTGTTAATGTTCGATCGGAAAAATAAATTCTATACACACGGAAAGGATGACTTTCCTGCGAATCTATTTTGAGAGCGTAAATCATTCACACTGTTGAGTAACTGGGACAGAAATAAGACGAAGTGGTAAAATATATGTGCGTAAAGCGGTGTATGACCAAATTGCTTTCCACTTTCAACGATACAACGTTTCATTGCTTTCTGCGGTGAAATCACTTAAATTACGTAAATCAATTAAGCATAATTCCTCAAATTCCTTTAAAAAAATATATATATGTAACCCGTATCATATCTATACTTTCTATAACGAAGGAGAAAGTGATACAAAAATTAAAATATTAGAAAATCGTTCAAACTTAATTGTAGTTTTTTTAATTTGATTATAATTTTTAAAAAGACGCATATCGTACGAGGCGCTTTAATTATATTGACCCAGCAGAATTTAATTGAGGCTCGAAAGCTCGGTCGGAGTAAAAGGAACCGCACGGTAAAAGTAGAACTTTCTTTCTTTCGTTCCTTCTCGAGGTCCCCTGTCGAGTGTACGTATAAACGATACTTGTTTAATGTTTACTCCGGACGAGAATAATTTACGGGTTGTGCACGGCTGCTGCTGAATACGGACTTCCCTGCCTTAAACGTTGGACTTCGGGATCGTTTCTTCAAACGGATAAATTGCTCATCCGTACTTACTAATTATCTACTTAATTTGAATTAATTTTCTGATTTCTTCTTTTTTATTAGCCTCATTAGAAACACCGATGCATACATTTGCGCGAAAGGGAAAAAAATGCAATCCCATTGAAAAACAGGTCGATCGTTAAAAATGAATAATAAGCATTGATTATTAACGACGTATGTATACGTCGTCCTTGGAACGATTAACAAGATAATACAGGAATAGCGAGGGTCACCGTGTCGCCAAGAGTGTAAAACTCTTGTACACGCTCGAAAGGGTTAATCTACCCGTGCGATCCGTGTTGAAACGCTTCCCATCCCACGCGATCGGTTCGTACCCTCCTCCTACCAATGATCACACTTTCCATAAATTAATTATTTTAACCCAGCCTCCTCTCGAACGTATCCGGCAATAATTCGATTCCGTCTACACGAGCATTGATACCATCTTTAGGATGTGAGAACACGGCCTAAAAAGCTGGGAACAATGTGCAATTATTTAGTCGATGTTGATCTGTAAGAAAAGCATGTGGAATGCGAAGGTGGCATTCATACTTGTGTACGATTCCCAGTATCTTTCTTCGATTATTGTACCAGAAAGGATAAATCATGAAAGTACAGTTTCTTTCGTTATTGTTCCCTGAGAAATGTACTAAAACGTGACACCGTGAAAGCTTGGGCTACTTTAATTATTCCTGGACGAAATTAAAACGCGCGTGGTGAGTGACAAGCGAGACTAATTGCACCCCTTGCAGTTAGCGCATAGGTACAGCCGCGGGCATGGGTGATTTCTGGAGGTACTCTGGAGTTTTGGTACTCCAAGCTTTCATATTTGAAACTTTTATATTTCGTACTTCAGGCTTTGCTATCTGAAGCTTTCGTGCTTCAAGCTTTGGTATTTGAAGCTCTAACACTCCAAGCTTTCGTATTCGAGGCTCTGATGTTCCAAGGTTTAATACTTGAAGCTTTGCTACTCCGAGCTTTAGTATTTGAGGCATTGGTATTCGAAGCTTCGATCGTCTTAAGGATAAAGGAATCGTGATTCTGGAATAGGATCAAAAGAGGAAGCGACTGTACTCGGGGTCAGAGGATGGAGAATAATTTGAACAGTACGGTAAATATATCCGCGAGCCGGACGAACCCGAGTGCATGCCTAATCTTGAGCCTCACTTTCAGAAGGGAGACTACCGCCTTCTTCTTCGTCAAACGAAGAAACGCGACTCCGCTCGGTTTGGCTGGCTACTCTGCATTCTACAGAGGCCATTTACCGGAGCTTTCGGCCTCGGTTAGGCGAGGTTAGGCAGCTCAGGACCGGCGTACTATTATTCATCAGCCACGTGGCCAATAAAAATAGACGATCGTAAACGGTTGGCACATCGAATATCTCTGGGCAGCTTAAATATCGTCAGGTAGCGCGACAAACTCGGTGTCTCGATGCATTGGTAAACTAAACAAAGGGCCATTTTCCACAAAGGATCTAAGAGAAATCGAGCAGCTGCAAAGTAAGAACGTAAGGAAATATTGAAAAAACCACTGGTATAAAAATGGCAAAAGTTGAACAATGGAGGTGAAATGCGGTTAGTGTTCAGCTTTATAACGCGGACAATGGATATAGGCCCGTGACGATAGAAATAATCATTAGACGAGGGCCCGCAAGTGATCCTGATTGTTAGATACCAAGACTCGAGCGTACATCCCGCCCCCTCCCACTATTCATGAATTATGCAAACTACTTTCCGCTCGTATTATCTTCAGCTATTCCCTGCAGCATGTTCCCATCGTTGACCGTAAGAGAAAGCGCGGCAAATTGTTTCGAAGCAATAAGAGAACGGTTCAACATCATTTTTTCGTGAATAGCTTAAGTTACCAAGGTTTTGGAGCATTCGAGATTAGAATATTAAAAGTTTGCTGTAACATGAAATATCGAAGTCTGCTCGTGCGAATCGAGCCGAGTGTATGGCGTTTAATTATTCCCTTCTGCGTGTACGATGACTCAATGACGGCCACATGGTGGGTCACCCCCAGGGGAACGATCGTCGTGGGGATTGCATCGAGGGTGAACGTATGGAGGGCCACGTGTGTACTGCAAGCCAGATAAATCTACTCGCGTTAATCCTGCCACGTATTCGTTCTACACGCTCGTAACGTCGGGTTAAAGTAATCCCCGACTGTAATATAAGCAAAAACTTCGACGAAAGGCATTGCGAAAATATTCCCTCCTGTCTCGTTATTCGAGAGTAAACGCAGGGTTTTACACGTGAGACGGCAGAAATCGTACCAGCAGTCGATTCGCGTATTTTCTCGACGTTCGTTCGAAGCGTTTCTGCTTTTAACGCTTCCAGATTTACGCATCGACCGACGCGTAAATCAGTCTGGAATTTCTCACTGGTACGAGCTGCGAATAAGAAGCTTCTCCCTCGGTTTCTGGGTTTCGCGAATCAATCTTTCATTGTTTATTAAGAGGAACAATCAATGAACTATTGTTGAGAAGGTATTTTGCAATTGGTAAATATTAAATAAAATATTCTGCTTCAATTTCTGGTCCAACCATCTTGTAGCTCGAATATTTTCTCTTCGCTTTGAATTTCAATTTACACGTTGGCTAAAATGGAAATTGGAAAAGTCGGTCGCGCGCGTCATTTATATAGTGTCACGATCAGAGACCAAGTCCCTCAACAACACTTTAAGACGATCCGCAAATAACTCGGAAGGAGAACCGTGCCAAAGGTTTGGATTTTTTTCAGTCGTGGCACGTGGAAGAGCAGGCATTTTTATCATGGACTGATAGGAGACTTCCATGTCCCGTGCTAATAATACCGCCTTCTTTCCGCGTTAACGAACCTTTGTAGCATCGACGTTGAAGAATCGTGTCGTTAGTCGTTACGTGGATCACCTTGAAACATTTCATCCGATGAAAAATGTTGTTGGTATCATTTTTATATTTATCGGGTATAAATATTCTTCAGGGGGAAACATATTTAACGCGCTCCAATAAGATCGAGTACTCCAAGCTTTGATAATCTAAACTTTAGTATTCTAAGCTTTGATACTCCAAGTTTTCAGGTTCTAAGCTTTAGTATTCCAAACTTTGAGATTCTAAGCTTTGTATTGTAAGCTTTAGTACTCCAACCTTTGAGATTCTAAGCTTTAGTACTCCAAGTTTTGAGATTCCAAGCTGTAGTACTCCAAAGTTTGAGATTCTAAGCTTTAGTACTTCAAACTTGGAGATTCTAAGTTTTAGTACTGCAAGCTTGGAGATTCTAAGTTTTAGTACTGCAAGCTTGGAGATTCTAAGTTTTAGTACTGCAAGCTTTGAGATTCTAAGCTTTAGTACTCCAAGTTTTGAGATTCCAAGCTGTAGTACTCCAAAGTTTGAGATTCTAAGCTTTAGTACTTCAAACTTGGAGATTCTAAGTTTTAGTACTGCAAGCTTGGAGATTCTAAGCTTTAGTACTGCAAGCTTTGAGATTCTAAGCTTTAGTACTCCAAGTTTTGAGATTCCAAGCTGTAGTACTCCAAGTTTTGAGATTCCAAGCTGTAGTACTCCAAAGTTTGAGATTCTAAGCTTTAGTACTTCAAACTTGGAGATTCTAAGTTTTAGTACTGCAAGCTTGGAGATTCTAAGCTTTAGTACTGCAAGCTTTGAGATTCTAAGCTTTAGTACTCCAAGTTTTGAGATTCCAAGCTGTAGTACTCCAAGTTTTGAGATTCCAAGCTGTAGTACTCCAAAGTTTGAGATTCTAAGCTTTAGTACTTCAAACTTGGAGATTCTAAGTTTTAGTACTGCAAGCTTGGAGATTCTAAGTTTTAGTACTGCAAGCTTGGAGATTCTAAGCTTTAGTACTCCAAGTTTTGAGATTCTAAGCTTTAGTACTCCAAGCTCCAGAACACCCAAGGAACACACACCCACATAGAAAAAGAAACAAGGGGATCACGTACAAAAGCCACGCAAATGGTACGCTGCGTACAAAAGAATCGTAATAGAAAGGAAGTGACACGTGTTCCATCCATTATCACGTGCCACTAACATACACAGTTCATTTGATTCGATTAATATCTCTGTCGCGTTGTTGTTGTTGATCGCAGGGAACGAAATTCGGCGATTTTGAAAGGAAATCCTCCGGTGACTAATAATAGAAAGACGGTTGGGTAGGTCAGGCAGCTAGACGTCTTATGGAACATGGATTAACGTGACCGAGGGTGACCAAATTTAATTTATTCGAGTAATTAAGCAAATTTTAAGACCCCAAAGTTTTCACTTTTGACTCTTGGCTGAATTTTCATGGCAAAGAATGCAGTCTCGTTTAGTATTCGCCATGGCAATCCCATTAATCGTCGAAAGGGAATCGTAAATGTGTATTCGAATCTTTTGATATCGAACAGAAGAAAAAATATGATAAATGTACTTGCTAATCTAATACAATAAGCTTCATAGAATCTCCAATTTGTCGGCGGTAACCACAAATAACGAACGTCATCGATAAATCGTTCGCCAGATTGAGGCAATTAGTTGCCTCTTCGAATACAAATGAGCCGGCACGGAATCAAGGGAGAAAACAATATTCCAAGCATCGTATGACTCGGCGAAAGCGGCAATTAATCAATGGGTACGTTCGAGGATAAAACGGTGGAGTTAGGTGCTCTCTGCTGGTACAGGAACAAAGAAGAGGCAGAGCGATTTCGTGGAGAACGCCATATGTTACTTGAGGGAACAGGGAACTTCCGTGGCGACCAAAAGCTACTCGAGACTATCTCGAGTGTCCACCAGCTTAATGCAAACTCGTTGAAAGCTTCTCTTACCCTGCCAGATGGCTTCGATTTTCCTTGCCTGTTATAATTAACTCTTTTTTTATTATTATTGATTATGGGAATGTAGGGGAGATCGGGGTGAAAAGTAACATTGTAAATAATTCAAAATCTATTACAGCTATTATCACAAATTTTGGATATGTGATGCAGAATTACAATTAAAACATGTCTCATATTTTAATTAAAAAAAATATATATATATCGTGTTACTATCGACCCCTAGTCGTGCTGTAACACTTTCTGCGGTCTTCATTTTTTATTAATAACTTCAATATTACTTTTCATAAAGCAAAACTGCTGTAATTCAATGTAAATATTATAATTTTTGCGTGATCGTCGTTCAAATTGAAATTATTACTTTTCACCCCGATCTGCCCTACGATTACAGGAGGGAAAAGTGGGAAGGTTTGCAAAAATAATTCCATTAGCCTTGACGTGTTATTCGTCGCTCTGTTTATTTGTAATTCGATAGGTAAATCGATGCTGTTGGTCGGTTGTTGCATGAAAAATTGCGCTACTCTCTTACGTAAGATTCAGCTCGATCAAACATCGAGACTATTCTTAGCGAAGGAACCTCGTTATTGATAACCCTTTGTCAGGAATATCGAAAGGTAAGGTCATCGATCTCTCCGCGCGACGAGTCTCACCCTGTTTCTTACCGTTTCTCTCTTTGGTATCGATAGACGCGCGGAGTTCATTCCTCGTCTGTGCAGCCGCGTTTCGATCGTTCGTTGCGCACCATCGATCCATGTTTGTTGCCTTTTTTGGTCACCTTCTCGCGTGGTTGGGAACTTTCGTCGACGGATGATGTAACAGTGAACCTCGCATCATCGCGTTCGCGAAGATCGTCCGGGGATCGTTGACTCATTGGGTTCGTTTGCTCCTCTTCGCTGACGCGATCATCTTTCGCCACTGATCGTTAGAAACTGGGTGAAAGAGCTGGGTTAACCCTTTCAGGGAAGTTTGTTGCACTTTTTAGACTTTTGGGGTTTCAAATTATATCATTTTCATGGAAAACTGTATAATTAAAACACAAAAATCTCAAAATTATTGTATTATAACGAAGAATCATTTGATGTATTAGAGATACCATTTCGTGACAGAGAAGATTGACTTTGAACGTGGCCTCTGATAAGAATAGGCAGACTAGTAATACTATCTGCGAACCTCCAGGTGCGAACCACGTGTTCACTGGGATACGTTTCGTCTGCATTGCGGCTGCCTCTTGTTTTATACTTTGAAACTGTAAACTTCGCAATTGCAGTTGATAAAAAGCCCCCTTTGGACAAGGGAACTTTCGTCCCAGACAATTTTCGCTTCCGTTTCAGAGTATTGTCTGCTCGGAGATGCACGTGGCCTCGTTAACGATCCACCGTCTCGTTGAGTTCGGGGAGAAGTTTAGAGAGCCTTCTATTCATCCCCTCTGCATTTCGTTAATTGCATCCGCGCCGATCGACCTCCCTCTTTTTTTCCCCTCGTCCTTGCTCTTTTATTTATCGAGCTCCTTTTTTCAATTTTCAGAAAATTATTTTTATTGCGAGTTCGCGAATTTTCTTCACCCCAGGTGCGCTCACCTGGTACCGTTAGGGACGGAACGATAATTTAGGGTGGTCACGCTAGGTTACTATCGAGTTGGTACCAGCATACCTAAACCGGTGATCATAAATCTGACAAATTCTTCCGATGGAAATGGTGGATCGAGTTGACTTTTCCTCCTTTTCGATGATAGAAACGAAGCAAAGTGAGTTTTCTCGGGCAAGAAACTTGGCTAACGATCCTCGTTTGACCTCCATTACGACTGGCGACCTTTGCGCCGACGAAAAGCTGGGTCAGAGCCGGATGAAAGGGTTGAATGACGCGGCTTGAATTAATGAAGGAACGAACGTATCCGTTCGCGGTGCATAATACCGTGACCATCTAAGGCGTTCGTCATGCGGACGGAAACAGGCGCGATGGGCTTCCCCGAAATTTCGTTACTTTTACTCGGACATTGATACCTTATCAACGATTATCTGTCGATAGATTCTCTTTTCTTTTTTTTTTTCTTAGTGTTTGTAGAACTCTCGATTCGTTTCAATAGCGATACGTTATCTGTGGCTTTTAGTTTTTATTTAAGGGAGTTCCAGTGGGACTTGAATTTTTATAGAGATCAGGTTAGATAGCGAGTTAACGAGGCATAAGTAATAATAAATTAATCTTAAGAGGAAAAAATGGAAAATAGCTTGTTTTGAAAAAGGCCTTGAGCCGGCCCTGACTGGGAGATTAGTGACACGAGGAACCCTAATTTTAACTAATTGGGCCTGAAAGCACTTTAGGTCTCCCGGGAATTTTCTCCAATTCCCCGATGGCCAATTCGTCCCCAGAGGTTTCTCATTTGAAGAAATCAGTTCGCAACAGTTTCGGAGATAATCGCGTGGATAAATTAAAATAGGACACACTGTATATTCGCGACCTAGTTCGACGAAAAAACCTTTGGTAAACGTTCGACTATTGCATGCTCCGAACGAGCCACTCGACGAGTTTGTGGGTATTGGATGTTTGGAGACGATTTATGGTCGAGATGCGTTTCTCTATCGATCACACACGGTTTCCATGGAACACGGATTTTATTTTTAACGTTCCAATCTAAAGTTACAACATTGGGTTTGTTATTAATGTTGCAAAATATTTCGAAGGTTAACGTTTAGGAAATTAGAGGCGGTTTCAATGTGTTCTCTTCGATATTTGTAAATTTTTTATTTCACAATCAATTAAATAAATTAATTATAGGACGCGTCGATCGATAAGCTCGACGAAATACTGTCTCGTTATTAACTTAACTAATGATGTAGAAATAAATAAAATATTTAATAATTACTAACCCATTTCATTATAGCTTCACAATGCCGACGTTGATTATGTGAGAACAAAAAATACTGCTGAATCGTGTATAAATATGGCTGATCATCGGCGTAATGAACTTTTAAATAATCTAGAAAATACATGTAACATTGAATATGTTATCTCACGCTCAGGTTCATTAGACACGCGTTTCCTTCGAAAGCAATTGATAAATAAGTACATACATAGCGTTTTTCGCTAGGATTTTTGCAAAAACTCAAAATGGAAACACGTGTTTTACAATAGGAACTGTAGTTAAACACACGCCTCTAAAGCATTACAGCGTTGTTTTAATACTTGTTATTATAATTAAAACAATTCACTTGAAAATTTCTCAAATTGACTGAAATTCACTTTTAACATTTCATCTTTCAAATTTTTAGAATTACCAAATGGCAATAGTCTGTTTTTAACTTTGACCCCATTCCAAGTCCCCAATATAATTATTTCTCAATGCATATCTCTATTCATCAAGTCACATTCACTTTCATTTAACCTCGATCGTGGTCTTCCTCTGTTTCGGCACGACCTTCACGAAAGAGGCACCATCGAACGACTTGACCACCTGGTTAGGACTCGCAAACCACTTCTCTATAAGTTTCTCGTCAAATTGAAACGTGGTGACGATCCTCGCTCTCTTCTTCTCTTTCCCCTTTGCTTCCTTTTCGGCGTTCAAAACGTTCTCCATCTCTTCGGCACCCTTCGGACACCCTTCCTTCCCCCCGTCCATTTTATCAAATTTATCAAAGGGTTGCTCAAACTTCCGACCCTTGGTCCTCGATTCACCGTCGAAGGTAATTCTTCCCCCATCGCCGGTGTACTTCACCTTGTCCTTGATGGATTTCGCACCCAACAGCACCCGCCCACCGTCACCGGTGTACTCCACCTCTCCCGTGTTCTCGTCTATCCTCAATCGACAACCATCGCCGATGATCTTCACGCTTCCAGAATTTTTATTAACACTGATGTTGCATCCATCACCGGTGATCTCCAGAATTTGTTTATTCGAATGGAGTTTCAGGGAGAGACCGTCCCCTGAGATCTTCTTGGTGGTTGCCTCTTCCACGCCCATTGTCTCTTATGTCTTTGGATAGACTGGATGATTTTATGGAAAATCGTTAGACTTTCTGCAGATTTCCTGGTTAGATATCCGCAATAACGAGAACTTCTTGGTTCTTGGAATATCTTTGAAGCTTTATCCTTCCGATTGAATTTCTTTTTCAATATCAAAATAACACCCTGCGCGTTTCGCGCTTCTTTCAATTTTTATTTAACTCTCTGACGATACTCCGGTTGCTGTCGCAGCGAGGAACCGAGCGATACAACATCGGTAAGAGCGTCGCGACGCCGTAATAACGCTGACGGTGCTGGTTTGCCGGCCAATCGGCCTCGTCGCTTTCGGGACTTCCCGAGACCTTCCAGTCGCTAGAGTGTTTTTAAAAGTTCTCGGTCGCGTTCCGCAGCGATTATCACGGTCAGGAACGATGATCGCGGTGTCGTGAACGTTCTGTATCTCTCCCGTCGTCGACGAGTCTTTGAAACTCTTATTATTCGGGGACTTCCACTCCCATTCGAGTATCGTTCACCGAAACACGAATGATAAATATCGTTGGTATTTGAATGAAAGTTACGAGTACTCCGATGTAGATTAATCGGTATGGAGGGGATAATTGTTCAATGACGATAAATGATGATAGCCAACACTCGAAACGCGCTTTGCGCGATTGAAGAGTGTTAAAAAAGGGGAAGACCACCGCTCGGTGACGCGACGTTCTTCGTCAATTACTATCAAAGTACGTAACGACCTGCGAGAGAGATAGCAGAGGAGGGGAAAGTGCGTGGGAGAGAGAGGGAGATATCGAAAGATCAAAGGCGGAAGTACCGTCATTCCGAAGCTCTTCAAACTATTTTGCAAGCAAAATTAACTGAAAATGATGTAAATCCTTTTTAGCGGAAGTCGCAGAACTTAGGACCGACCCTGAGATTTCGAGGGTCCGAGGCGAGCTCCGAAAAATATATGAGATAAAAGAAAGTAGCTGAAATAAAACTCTTTCTTGCATTCTTAGACGCAAAATCGTGTTATGGGGGCCTTGGACCTTGGGGGGTCTGCTTCGATTTATGTTTTTCGCGACTTCCGCTAAAAGCAATTGGTTCCACTGAAAATAATTGTAGTAATTGTTGCATAACTATAATAGCTCACGTTGGTGTACACGTGTCTCGTCTCATAGCAATTTACCGATCGAGTAATTTCGTTTATCAGGAAGTTGGCCCAGCGATTGGATCGTAAATGAATCTTTCATGGTCCGTGAAGATTGCCAGCCTCCACCGCGTGTATTTTCATTTCAGCCAATTTATAGAAGGATCAACGAGCGGATATTATTCCTGTTAATCGAATATCACGGTGATTGCTGTGCCACGGTGAAAATCCGGATTTTAATTGCTTCATCGATTCGATGTTAGTCCATCGTCGACCGGTCAATTCATCGGTTGTAATTTTATTTTCAGAATGGCCCCGAAATGAGCGTTTCGTCGAACAAAGAGCCAGCGAGCCTCGAGATGGACACCCCTCTCGAGGAGAATAGCCTGAAGGTGTCACCGGTGCAGAACGTGGCCAGACAGGATTCGGGTGTTCCGGAGGATCTAGCCTCGCCGATGGTCGACACCAGCAAGCTGTTACCCGAGGAGGATGGAAACTCGACGATAAACAGCGACTGCAATATCACTGTGATCCACGTGACCGACTCCGAAGCAGCGAAATCGGATGCGGCTTTAAACGGCGACAATAGGAAGGATTATGCAAACGAGGGGAAGGACAGCAAGGATGGTAGCGATAGCGGAGTAGAGGGATGTGCTGTTGAAGTTCCCAGGGTAAAGTCATTTAGAATATAATTTAAAATAAAGAATTTTTCTTAATTCGTGGGATTTCGATTTCAGGTACGAAGTCGAAACAGTATCGACTACGCGAGTAGTTGCGGAGGCCTGGATGAAGCTTCCTGTGACTCCAGTTTGGTCAGTTGTTGCTCCGTCTACGAGGATCCTTGCGCCACCTTACCAGACGACGTGAGATTGACAACCGGCGAAGGTACCAGCGAGGGTGGCAGCGAGAGTTCCTCGATTGCCGGCAGCGTATCCGCCCGTGCGAACAGAACGAACGTAAAGAGAACCGTAGCCGCTTCCGGCGCCAGCAAGAAGAAGGCTACGGGTACTGCAGAGGCTCAGAAGAGCACCAGAGCGAAGCCGGTACCTTTGAGTACCACCTACGCGGCCACTTCTCAACGATCCAAGCCGCGAACCACGACTCCAAGGAGTATCCTCGGCAAATCGCAACCCGCGACGAGAGACAGGGCCAGATCCAGGGAGAAATCGACGGTCAGAGAAAACTCGGGGGAGAACTCGTCCAGTAATAATCGCGTGCCGATGACATTCCGTGCAGGAGCAACCCCTTTGCCTCCGAGAACGAGGACCAGACCTATTCCCGATTCACTGCCATCCATACTCACCACAGAGATCAACAAGGACCTGGCGCAACGTGGACGAGGTCAAAGTAGTAGTTCCAGGTCTAGAGGGGGTTCCAGCACCCGCGGTGCTCGGACACCGAGTTCAACGCCGTCCGAAGAGGTACGAAAACCTTTGACCGCAGCCAGAGTACCTTACACGGGTCGTACAGACCCTGCGAGATTCTCTAGAGTCGACAAGATGACCACGAGTATGGATAACAAAGCCTTGGACACATATGCAACGTTACCCAGAAGGAATAGGAACAAGATTGGTATTTCTAAAGTGAACGAAAAAACGGATGCCAGCACCAGGAGCAGATCAGGAAGCAGGGACGCGAGTTTGAATAGATTGACAGAGAAAAAGATGAGTGGGAAAGAGTCGTCCGCTCACAAAAGTCTACCGCCTTACCCTAGACACAAGATCGCGGAGAGGACGCGTATTTATCACGAGACGAGCGTGCAAACTGGTCTGACCGGTCACGACATCGAGAACGCTTTGTCTGGGATACCCAGTGCCGTGCCGGGGCCGGAAGTGGTGGAGAGACTGCACGAGGGCTGTCAAACCGAGGGCACGTGGGAGGACATGCAGACGATGCAGACCGATCTGAAACGATTGAACGAGGAGACGTCGAGTCAGAAAGTGGAGAACGAGAAGCTGAAGACTGAGATCACCGAGGTGAAACGTTTGCTCAAAGAGGAACAGGCTGATCACGCATTCGCCAGGCAAGAACTGGACAGAAACGCGCAACGTGTCCTGGCCATGTTGGGAACACCGCAATCGGAACACGCAGGTGATTCATCGTATCTGTATCTAATTAGGTTGTTCCAGGTCAAATAGTCGATTACGAAAGGGGTGAAGTCTGATATGATTTCATGGCATAAAGGTATCTTATGCCACGCCCGTTTATAGCTCGATGTTTTGGAATAGAAAGTAATATTCTGAATACAAAGGGGTTAGAAACAATGGGCGTCCCACAGCGACTATTTCATCTGCAACAACACCATGGCTTCTCTTTTAGTTGAACATATAATTAACAATCATGGTTTGATCGCAGAAGGCAGCGATAGTTTCCTAGAACTCGAGTGTCATTTGCAATCCTCTGGACAAGTGGTCGCTAATCAACAAATAGAAATAGCTGATTTACAATCTTTGTGCCGTATGTTGAGCAGGGTAGGTTACATTTAAACCGTACTTATATGTAACATATAGTGAATATTACTGAATTATAGGATTTGGAGAAAAGCTTAGCCGCTCAGAAAGCCTTACTACAACAACAACAAGAATTAGAAGCAGAATCGGCTGAGATGCAGGACTTCCTTCAAGAGGAGAAAGCTACTTTGGCAGATTCTTTGAAAGAAGCTGAAGCAGAGGTATTCTTCTTCCACGGATTCTTAATAACTCTTTGAAACATCGGTGCAATTAATCCCTCTGATTTCTAGCTTTCGAAGAAGGAAGAGCTGTTAGTGAAACGTGAATTAGAATTAGAAAGGCAAACGGAGGAATGCAAGCATTTAGTAAGAATAAGCGAGCAACGAAGGTAAGTGTACAGGATGTTTGAATAAACGCTAATCTTATCGTTAATATGATTATTAATTAATTTGTAGGCAAGAAAATTTATCAATGGGCATGAAATTAAACGCGGTCGAACGACGAAGCAGGGAACTGCTACTCACGCAAGGTGCTGCTGTTTCCGGTGCTGCGGTTGCACTTTCCGCTCTTGGAACTAGATTAGAAGGACTGGTAGACCAATTAATTAATACCTACAATATCTCAGTGAAGGACCTTGAGGTGGTGGTTAATAATTCTCCTTCCTGTCCGTCGTTACATTCGTTTTTTTGAATATTATTTTAATAACATGCAGTGATGTTTATTTACAGGATGTGATATATCACAATGAAGCGTACAGCAGAAGCAACAGCAGCATCGAATCGAGTCCTGTTAGTTCAAAGCACAGTCTGAAAGAGTGTACTCCTAGTCCTAAAAGCGGTTCCTTCGTTTCCGCTGTGATCGGGGCAATCCGGAACGCGGCGACGCATCCTTTCGCAACGAAAAATACCGATAAAAAATCAACGATAGACTCGTCCAAACAGATATACAAAGGTATATAGCGTAAACTCCATTTATCTTGAATTGTTATTCACTATATTGCATTGTTCTTCATAGAATTGAGCATGGAATCATCGTCCGACTTGCTCGACTTCGAAACCGAGCCATGCTTAATGATGGAAAGCGTATTGGAAGATGTTCCTTTGCCTGATACGTATTCGCACAACATGGTATCGAGCAGCGATTCCCTTCGTAGAGCTTTGAGCTTCCCGGAAACCGTGGACGAAAGTAATCTTAAGAAAACACGAACGAACGACGAGTGTTCTAGCCTTACGAATCTAACGCAAGCTATTCTGCATCGTCGTAAGGTAGTAAAGAAATGATGAAATGCGAATAACAGATTATTATTCATTGTGTATGTTTTATAGGTGGAAAACGAAGAAGACGAAGATTGCGATTCCATTAGCGAATCTGATACCGGTACCAACGATGGTCCTTTGGCTTCCGATTACTGTCCTGCCGTTGGTCTTGTTGATCAAGTCATTGACGTAGATAATCTTGTTACAAAATTACTGAAAGTATTACGAATAATACAGCTCGATAACGATACGTGTATACGGGAGCTTAAAGAGGAGAAGTGAGTTATCTTTATTAAAAATTGAATCAAGGGAACAGCGACGCTATACGATGATACGTTAATTTCTAGATCCGAATTAGAAGCGAAACTGGAAGAAACCATTACGGAGTTAGAGAAACTACGGAAAATCGTGGACAGTTTGCATCAGTCTGAAGAAATCTTAAGCAATACATCGGACAGAAGGCGTAGCGTGATGGAGAATTGTCGTCTGTTGATCAAAGAGGTAATGGCCGGTGATGTTACCGACACGTATCTATGAAATGTTTCTCAAGTGCCGATCTAAGAATTTTTTTAATCAACGATTGACTTTTCAAACAAGATGTCAAATGGAATAATTCCTCTGTAGGCGGGTAAGGAGGAATTAAAATTTGACGAGCCCGCAGTTGGTAATAGTAGTGGCCCCGGAGGAGAGTGCGAAGATCTCAACGCGAATGCAGCGGCTCAACTTTCTTCCTGAACAAATATTCCTTTTCTTTTCCTCTTCCTATTTTCTCATTTCTATCATTCTTTTCAACCATGTACACTTCTCGTTCGCATAATTATTCATTGTCGCGGGTGAAACGAGACAACGTTAATTAATTTACGTATCGTCTTGAGAAACAGCTAACGGCCTTGCGACCTGATGTACATGAAATCCTCGTCGAATCATGCCAATGCGATTAGATAAATATCGTAGTCCGTAAATTGTAGACATTTTGCTTGTGTCCAAGTCATGTACAGCTTTCTTCGTTCCGTCATAAGGAAGTTATTTGTGCGCATTGCTTTCAGTATTTTATCGTTCAAACGTATCTCGCGTGTATACATGTGTAACAGTAAATTCGTCATAATTTTCAAAATTGAATACGTAGCCTATGGGTTCGATCATGGTCTTGGTATTCAATCCTTTCATTGTAGCATTGATCATAATTTAAATCATTACCATTATCCTTGCATAGCGTTCATTAAATTGATAGTTATTTATCCAGCGTTAGAATTAATTGCGAATATCAATTGCTTAATACGTAATAGAGAACAGCAAGGAATTAATTAATTGCATTCAACGATTGAATTTCTTCTGCCCACCGAATGCATTTCATCGTGCTATTAATAAGGAACGTTTACGAGAGTATTAATTCCTGTATTATTAGAGAGCGGATAGGTTGTAATGTACCTTAAAAAAAAAGAGAACAAGTCACTCGAACTTCGCTTCATCGTTTGTTAAACGTTAAGAGATCACCTGTAATCTTCTAATGTAAAACAACAAACAGGGTACATTAGTTTTACGATATATTGGCATATATTGGCAAGTATGAATCATTCGAATGATCATTTGTCGATATTCTACATGTTTTAACTGTTTGAGTTAGAACAGGTTTTAAATGTATCGACTTTTAACGAAAATTATTGCCGTATCGAGAGTGAAGATTAAAACAAAAAAATAATAAGAGAACACAATACACATACACGTACACACAGAGCTGCTTTCTATTTTAATGGTGAGATATATTTGAGAAACATATTCTTGTACACGCTTCCATGATTCACAATTATCCGTCGTGTAAGTTCTCGAGGCATTGTATATAAGTGAACATTGTGGAACTTACTTTTTTTAATCTAATGCGTTTAAAAACGATCTTTTTTTTTACATAACGTTTCCTTCCTTTCTTTCAATGTTACTTATTATAAACTGTATCTGTATAGTTCGCGTGAAAGTCGTCGTTTTGACTCCCTTTTTTGTTTCTTTTCATTTCCTCCTCCTTTTAATGAAATAACGATTCCACCCAGATGATATATATTCTGAGGATTATAGTCCTAAGCATTTTTTATACAAAGTATTGTGATGATATACCAAAAAGGAAGTCATAAATAATGTATTTTAATTTTTAATCAAATAAATTTCGTTTCAATAAAAATTTATTTTACGGTATATTTTTAGCCAAGGTCTTACTTTAGCTAAAAATATTGAATATCTAAGGCAACCTTTGACGATCATCGAGTTCATGACAAGCAACATTGAAAATAAATGCTACCCTAAACCGACCAGTTCATTTTAATGAAGTAGATAGTTAAGAGCAATGGTGTTAAGTGGGTGAGAAGGAGAAAAGGGGTATTATGCGATTATTTCTTTAATAAAAAAAATCAAGGTCCTTTACTCGTGACGAATACGACGCAGCAACGGAATCAGCATATTTGCAAAGCGCAGACCAGCCCTAAAATAAAAATATTCCTCTATTAATTAGATAAAAAGTTTATTAAAAACAGATTCAACAGCGTGGGCGATATTCAGTAGCACCGCGTACGTATGTGCGCGCGGCACTATCGTCAGAATGGAGAATTTAAAAATGGCGCGTTATGTATTTGAAAAATGGCGCGTTATATATTTGAAAATGAACAAAGAATCACGTGACTTATAAATACCTGTGTGCTGACTTGGGGGCAGGCGACGGTTTAGGTTCAACATCCGGTTTAATCGAGGTCGGCTTCGACGGATCAATTATCGGTAAGTTAGGTTTATCGTCGGCGGCTGCACCGGCTAGAAGAAGCGTCTCGACAGGAGCTACGACGAATATCACGCCGTCCACGTGGATACGATAATTTTCAGTGCCGTTTTGTCGTTGATCGTAATGATCGTATGTAGAATTGTAAGGAAGCTGCGTCGTCGATTCCACGATCGATGTCTCATTCGCAATCGGTAAACACTGGACTCTATTAGAAGAGAACGCGACGAGTAGCAGCACCGCTTTGAAGATTCGCATGTTGATCGATAGCATCGATGCGTTTCCGATAATCGCTACCGATACCGATGATATATGTATATTCCTAACTGGAAACCCTTTTGTCCACCCTGTGTTAATTCGTCGTGTCACGAATCGAAGCCGGTGTTTGAATTTCGAATGCTCGTCCCGAGGTAAGGTTAACGCGGTAAAACGATCGATCGAGGAACGATCGAGAATACGAAAAGGACTATGGTGGATTTTGATGAGAAAAAACGAGCGCCCGTGGCGTGGTTACGTGAGCAATGAACGTCTTGACGATGCGGAGGATGAGCGAGGTGTGACGACGTCTCCTGCCGACCGGCGATCCCGGTCCCCACCTGGCATGGAAACAGATCGTCAGGCAAGTTCAAGAACCTGTGGGCCACTCTGCGCATTCTGTTGCATATATAGCACGGTAGAATGTAATCTTGGATGGAATTGATTTTTCTATTTAAACGACATTCATGTTTCATTTAACACATTTTTTATTATTATTCAAATCGTATACATTCCATTTTAGGTACTTTGAGGTTGGATTTTCATTGGGCGCCAAATACATTAACTGTTGCAATACATTCCTGTATAACATTTATGTCACACACATGTATAACAAGATACAAGAACTGAAAGGTAAATAACGAAGAAGAAGAAATACCCATTTATTAGGTAATTAAAGAAATAGAGGTAATAATGATATTCTATTTTTAGGTTTGGTTTTGACCTTTAATTAAGCCAGTAATTCTATTCAAGCCGAAGGTAAAAGAATAACACGACTATGGTAGCCGGTTTATACACACTTGTATGTTCGTAAAAGATACTAATAATGTGCGTGGCTCTGTTAATGCGCGCGCGAGCATGTTCTCGTACACATTCGTGGGACCGATTTGTAAAGGGCAACGGCCTCGTGTGGCCCCACCGAGTTCATTTCCCCGTTCCTCTGTCTCAGCCGCCGCTTATTACCGTAACCTTGCCCTTGCTCTTACATTTCCGCCACACTCGAACCTCGCGGATTGTCTTCCTGGTTCGCCTTGAATGGCGCCTTCTGACGGGACGCATTGTAAATCGAACTTCGGTTCCACCGAGACTCAGGGATTTCAATACCGTCCAGATTTGGTAAACCGATAAAAAGCTAATCATCGATGCCTGCTCATTGGGTAAACAGAGATAAATTCCATGATATTCGAGAAGCTTCTGCAACTTGAACGTTTCAGAAGATTTTTAAGAGATGTTTTATTAGGAGAAAGGTATGGTACAGTGATACAACGGGATGAAACATAGTATTCCTTTCGGTATGCTTGTCATTTATTTCTCTACTTATACGTGGATACAAATGTATGAAATATATAAATAGTATAAATGTAAAAAAAAAAAAGATAGGACACGCTTTAGAGTTTATATCTAACATAAGTTTGATTACGAGATCAAAGTTCGCGCGGGAATTTTGAACGTATCGTTATTACATGCTTAACACACGTGTGGTTAATTTAAAAGCACCATCGTTTAACTTGCAACTATGATGTAGAAATATCACAATTGTCATATACATAGTAACCGGTATGCAAGGACCGCGCGATAAGATAAAAACAGTCTTCACTGTTGGTAAGGAATTTTAATTGAAATTTTTGTCGTCCTGACATACACCTAATTTATCCCTGTATCTTCCAGGTCCGCAGTTCTCGATACCACCTCCGAGAAGTACTAACTCCTGGTAATTGTTGCCCAATTCGTTTCTCTCCTCGGATACGGAAGATGCGTTCTCCTCTTCTTTCTTGGATAGCTGCTTCTTTAAAGATATCCCTGGCCTTGCCGCTTTCGATATCTCTTCCTTAACCGGCAGATCATCGGATTGATCAAGATTTTTCACGTGTGAGTTCCTTCTTCCGCCTGCTTTTTTATTTTCTTTCCAAAGACTTCTTGCTCTTTTGCTCCCTTTTTTATCATCGGTACTTGAACTTTCTTCCAATATTTTCTCAGAGTTTTCTGACTGAATTTTTTCTTCAGGTGTTTGCAACTTCTCGGACAGTTTATCTGTGACGTCTCCTTTATCTATGTGAACAATTTCAACATGGTAAGGCTCTTTACCGCTATTTGCATCTTCCGTTTCGTAAATCATCGTCTCGGATGGTTTCTCCTGAGTTTCCTTGCTACGCTGCGATATCAATTCGTTAAGCTCTAACGCTTGCGTTGCCAGGTTGTTGAACAGACCGGTGGTACCGGAAGTGGCGACGATCACCAGGAAGTTCTCCAACTTCGCGTCCACATTGAAGTCACCGGTCTGTCGTTGATCATAGGTGATTGGCGCGGCGCTGATGAACGATCTTGATAAAATATCTGTAAAATATTACAAATATTTTAATATATATGAAACTAATTACTTTAAAGTAATCAAAAAAATTAAAATTTATACAGAAACTTCACGAATGAACATGCTTTGAAAAAGATAATTATGAAATGTAGTTAGAGAAGAGAAAAGCAAGCGATAAGAAAGGACTTTTATCTCACGCGAGGATCAATTAAGATCGTTGTACCTGGTAGCAAGAGAAGGCACACGGCGTAAAGTAGCATCTTGCTAAAGCCCTCTGGAAGACTCCGCTCCGAATCGGCCGAGCTGAACGAAGTCCGATGCTCGACTGTGGGCAGAGATTCGTTCGCTTTCTTGGCAGCTTTGGATCGCGACGACTCGTATATAGATCGAGGGAGTATCACTGCTGGAGAGGGTAAGAACACATGGATGGGCTGGCAATCGACTTAGATGATTAAGAACCGCGAAGACAGTTTATGATGCTTCTTTCAGCTTTATTCTTCCCTGACTGTCTTTATTAAACGAAAGACACCAATGGATCTTTGCAGGAAGCAATTCTATTGAATTCAGATAGAGCAGAACATGTCGTAAGAGCATTATTCTAATTAACTTAAAACCTTTGAAAATAACGAGCCAGTATTTATCCGTGTAAACGTAATATTTTTTTTCTAACGTTCACCTTCTTAATTTTTTCAGGAGACGAAGGGCAGAGGAATGGTTTCTCGAGGTCAAGGTCATCTTGGAGGCTTCATCGTGCAACACAATTGATGAAGGAAGTAATTAAATCGTTATTATTGATACTATTCTATTGATTTATTTGAAAGATCGTTGAAAGACTTATTTATACGTACAATTGTACATGGGATGATTTCAGAAATGTGTCAATCTCTGTTCTTCGCGTTATTCGTTGCGAATAAAAATGCAAGACGGAGAGACGGAACGATTCAAGCATACGTAACCTAACATAAAGTCAACGAGGAACATAAAGCAGCCTTCTGCACGGCATCAAATATTCATGACACGTTTCAATTCGAGTGCATCCGATGAACTTCCTGCTGCGCCAGATTCTTCGTACTACGAGCTAGATCGTCCAATAGTTTGGGCGCCAACTTAATTGCTAGCCTGAAAAAACAGATCACCATTACATCACCGATATCTGTACTAAATCTTCAATCTAAAAATTGCCCGCCAATTATCTCAGTTTAACAGTTATGCAATAGGTACTATATATATTTTTTATCAAATGAGTTAATACTCACGGTATTAACGATAATCTTCTTTGACTTAGACGACGGCAACGACCTTTTCCATCCCGTGTATATCCATTTCTACATCGTTTCTCTGGCAATTTTGTCGACGGACCTCTCGTGAATGTTTGCACTGCTGAATCTTCATCGTTATCATCAAAGAAGTTCTTATTTTTGTCATTAACCCTTGTTTTCAAAGTATCGTTTATTTTAATTAAGCCTTCCGTACTCTCGGTCGATAAAATCCCTGTAGTTACATTTATTTTTTCAGCGATCATTGACACAGGAATCGTGGTATCTTCGGTGGTTGCATTTGCATTTAAAGAACCATTTGTCGAGGAGAGGAGCGTGGAATTTATAGAGGGTGAGTCAGGTGTTCCAGAGACATCAACCCTTTCGGTGGTTTCATTGAAAGACGGTAAAGCTGATTCGGTGGTACTTGTGGTGGGTTTAACGATCGGTTTCACCGTGAAATCGGCGTAATCGTAAAAATAATCGTACTCCTGAAATTCATGATTGCGAGATGAAATATTTGAAGAAAAATCTTTTGCGTATTAAATCATACGATAGGATACTTTCGTGAAAGAATGAAAATCATTTTACAGCGGTAGCAGAAAAGATAAAAAAATAAATGATAATAATAGTTCTCGTTATCTCGTTATCTCTCGGTTATCAAGCTACGTTTACAGCCTCGTAGAACATCGTGGCCGATAGTCGTTGTTTTACCGTGTAATCGTCAAGTAATTCCGAGTCCAGCAATGCCAACACTTGTACATCCTTCAGGTGGACCTGCACGTTCAGATCACCGGTCTGTCGTTGATCATAGGTCGCTGGTAATGACATACCAGTCACAATGTGATAAGACAACAAGAGGAGGACGTAACGTAGATACATGATGGAAAAGACGGATCTACTTGAACCGGGAAAGGTTTGGAAAAATGTACGAGGATCGTCGACAGGATTCAGACTGAACGGATCCGGTTAAGAGGCGACGTTATACCGATGCTCTTCCTTGATATAGTGGTCAGTACACCGAGAAACCGGTATTCTTTGTCGTCGAACGGTCATGAGGGCCTCGAGCACAGTGGCCGGACATTGGCCCCTTCGTATACCGATACAGAAGAACGCGTGTACCTGCTGACCGATACAAATCGATTCTGATTTAAATACCAAAATACAATTCCAAACGCGTCCCCCCGAACCGTAGGATCGCTTTAAGACGATGCCTGAATGACAAAGAATTGTGGGATTCTTTTAGGCGATCGTGTAACATTACTTTGATCAAAGTATTTCGAAGGGAAATAATGTAAGTAGGGAGAGGAGCCATCCATCGATTGCTTTTAATTTTCGGAGAATTTTAAAAAAGCCTATTTCAGAACTTATTCTCAAACTTAAAAGACATGGACAAATAAAGTAGGCGGTGGAATAACTCCTTCCCCTACACTCGCTTTTAACCCTTAACATACCAAGAGGGGCCCAGAGAGTGATTTTTGGTGATTCTTCCGTAACTATACCAACAAATTTATTCTTGATTTTTATACGTGTCCCGGATCCGTTTAAGATAAATATTACATAATTAGACTTATAATACGTTCGCTCAAAAATATTTAAAAAAAATAAAAATACGCTTGAGGTTTCGACAGAGGCACGGTTGGTATATTACATTACATATTTGGATTGATTTATTTCTTATTGAATGCATTGGCATTTATGGCATAATAATGTGGAGGTGAGCGCGGGCCCGCCCGTTTATGACCAGACGGTTCCCTTGATTTCGAAATAAAAGGGAGCTGCTTATTTTAGGTCCACAAAAGCGCGTTCGCCGCGGCCAACAATGCTTATTTAACTTAAATATATTTTTAGACATCCAAAGAACCTAATTTCAGTAACCTTCGACGCTAAAATGTTGAGAAATTTTAAAAATACCATGGGGCTCTCAGAAGACCCCGCTTGGTAAACAATGTTGACGACTTAAGCTTGGTATGTTAAGAACAAATTGACAAACGTTAATGTTTAGCAACATAGTTTTTATTCGTGATTACAAGTTTTAATGTTAATTAATTAATTTCCTATGGTAACAGGGAAAGATGCACCGCGCATTTTTCACTGATCTTATCCATTGCGAAATAGCTTAATCGTTCTCTTATGAATATAGTAAAGTTCCTACGAATCGTCGCAACATGGCTACAATATATAACACACGTTCGAATGTTTCATAAATAAAAACAGTTTGTTACGCAAGTTTTGTATCATCGATGAATCTTCGTTGTTTTGATTTACGATGATTTCATAGTGTGCGCATCGAATCGGCAAATGTCGCAGAAATGCTTGTACGGATATCGATGTAGAGATTTTAAACCGAGCAGCGATGACATTAATGACGTCCCGCTGAAATGTCATGTACCGTTTTATACGTATAATCAAGAAAGTTCATCGTGTCGTTTTCCTAAATTAGTGCTGATTACCGTGCCGAAAAGAAACCCACGCTTAATTTTTGCCTCACGCAGGAAGAGACTTGTGTCAGGCAATCAAAACATTACATTTTTCCGCGTGATTACCCTATCGCGTCATTTAACATGTTTCGTTCTCGCGTAAACAATGTTCCAATTTTTTAAGAAGCCTGGTAAATATTTCTTTCTTTATTTACTATGACCTATTGACCTATTTTATATATGAAAAGCATTCCTGTTGATCATACCATGGTTAACCTAAACACAAAATATTTATTTTTCTGTCATACCAATCCTCAAGTTTCATGCTTAGTGGAACGAATACTGTCATAGAATAAGGAATTTTGTCTAATGTACATTTTCTAATAGAATTATCAATGGTTTCAGGACAGAAAGACAGGCCCAGATCTTTACAAACTTCACCAACAAAATCAACTAGCTCTGGGAAATCATTTGGAGATGTATTCAATAGCTGTTCATCCATTCAGACACCGACAAGTACATTGTGTAGCCTTGAGGAGGAAGAGGAAGACGAAATTCTTAATGGTCAAACAAAAGAAACATGTTCCTTCGGCTCTCAGCTCTCTAAAACGCTTCCACAGATACTTGCAGACAAAGGTGCTCTAGGTTATTTCATTCAATTTATGGAGACTAGAAGCAGTATAGCCCTTATTAAGTTTTGGCTCGAGGTGGAATGCTTATGCAGTTCCTTTAAGGATCTAGAGGCAAAGATGGAAAGTACCGAATGTGTAAATTGTATAGGTAATACGGATAGACTGTTCAGTTCGATAGACAGTAATGAAAATTTCCATTGTGAAGCAATGAAAAATAGTATAAATGATGAAGAGAGTGAGAATGTATTATTCAATGAATATGTTAGTAGTAACAATGTAAAATCAAATTGCAAAGACATGCCAAAGACTAGTCAAATGATAAGCAAAACGCGACAATCAAAGCATAATTGCAAAAGAGGAGATATGACGACTATTAAACAAGATGCGACAAGAATTTATAAAAAATATATTGCTAAAGATGCTTTGGGTATAAATCAAATTCCTGAAGATCTTAAACTAAACACGGAGAAAGTTCTTACGTGTGAAAACATTGAGCCTATGTTACAGTGCCTATCCTCTGTGCAAACAATTGTATACCAGCTGTTAGAAAATGAGTAAGTATACAAATTGTTTGGAAAGATTTTCCTCATGAAAATTTCGGTCTAATTTATTCCAGACATATTAATGACTTCTTAAGAAGTGAATTTCATTGTAAACATCAGATTGATGTTCTAACCAGTGGCAATGTACAATTAGCCGATATATTATACAATGAAACTGCATTCTTTTATTTCATGGAGTTTATGGAACTCGAAAATAAACGAGAACTGTTAGATTTTTGGATGTCTGCCATCAGTTATAAGCAGAACTTGTTGGAAAAAAAGGATGCTGCGGATCCTGAAGAAGCACAAAGCGACGCTCTAATCATTTATGACAAGTAATTTTCTATGAATCCTATGAAATATTAATAATGTACCAAATTTTGTTAATACCACCATTATGTACATTACTATAGGTACTTTAGTTTGCAAGCAACGATGCCTCTCGGTTTTAGCGATAAAATTCGTTTCCAAGTAGAACAGAATATTTGTCGTGAAGATGGGGAGGGACCACAACCTGATTGTTTCGATAAACCTTGTAAAATTGTATATAATTTTTTAAATAAGGTAAAATATTATTTCAACTTCGTTCAACGTCAATAAGCAATAAGACATTGATAAAATTTAAAATCAGGGTTAGATAACAGTAGATATTTTTCCAGCATTATCTACCTACTTTCTTATCATCGCAATTGTATTATAAATACTTATCAGAATTGATCACTACTATACAAAGTAGTCCATGCTCGAGTTTACACCCTAGGCTGAAAAGAGCTGGTTAGTATATCTTTATTATACTTGTTACTTTGAAAATAATTATTGCAGGAGTGTCTTACAAAAAGAAAAATTTTTTTAATTATTATAGGTTCTGATTGTAGTAGCGAAGTGAGTTCTGTTAGTATTAGTATGCAAAGTACCCTGCAGGCAGGGAATGAGGGAAATAAATTCATGAAGAACAAAACAAATATTACTGGTGGTATGAACATTGATACCAGACAGCTTTATGATCCAGATTCTTTATGGAAACGTAATAAATATAGGTAATTATGCAATAATGATCTCGTGAAGTAAATAATACAATAAATACATTATTTATTTTTTAGTTTGAGCGTTGGTTACATCGATGACCTAGGCAGGTTTGTTACCGAAATAGAACCAGATCCTCAAAGAAAATATGGTATGTTATTAAAAGACACTTTTAAGATACACGAATTGAATGTAAATAACTGTGGGCAAAAATTACAGAATCTCGATTAACACGTGCTGTAAAAAGACTTGTAAATATGGAACAAGACAAGGTAAATTGTAAATATATTTATTGTATATGAATATCATAAGTTTAAAATATAACAAATTGATGAAATTTAGGCCAAAGAGGAGTTAGCATGGAAAATTGCTGAGATGATTGTTCGTGAGATCACCTCTTTGACACTAGGAGCTTCGAATTTCTCATCTTGATGACCGAAATTATACCTAACGACTTTAATCTTACTTTTTGTATAATATACTTCAGACTTTAGGTGCTTAGAGGTAAATATTTTTATTCGACATTAATTTTTAATTTTCATAGATCGACATTGCATCTTCTGCCAAAGTGCCAAATTAAACGAACGTAAAATGAATTATTTTAATACATTTAATAATTAAATTTAATGTTTTCAAGTATATGCGGCGCATACATTTAAAATTGAACTTACAATAAGATTAAAATTGTGATTAATATAGGGTTAATACGTAAAAATGCATAAATCTTTTACGTTTTGATCATAGATCTGTGAAACATTTAACAATTTCAAATTTAAACAAAAAATTTATAAAGCAGTTGGCGAGGTAACAAAAAAAAAATTAATATCAATGTACATACTAAGCTTTCCTGTTTATTTAAAGCGTCGTTGCTAATCGCATAAACAAAAACAATAATTTTCAAGTTTTATATTCATTTTAATGTTCATGAGATTATAAAAGTATTGATTTCTATTATAACACAATGACTACTTTTAAGACGGCGATATTACACGATATAGAGTAGATGTTGCTTTGTATTCAATAGATGCTATTATTTTTCCAGTTATTGAACTGCCAAGTATTTTCATAGTTTCGTATACATATTTTATGCTTCGTCTTCTAAGATATTGAGAAAAAGAAATGCTTTTTAACCTTTTAACGAAAAAATGTGATAAATGAACGGTTCACGACATATCGCAAAACAACGTGATTAGGATGTGGTATATGTTTTAAGATTTAATAATTAAACTGTAATTTAGACGCATTTGAAATTTTCAGTTGGATAAGCTTTACATGTAATTAAAATTTAAGTACAAAATATTGTTCTGTTCATTTTTTATGCAGTGAGATTTATATTCTTTAAAGTATTTTTAAAATGTAGGTGTCTACTTGGCAGTATTTATTATAATATAGTGCCTAGATTCATAAGTAATGTATAAAAAAAATAATTCATTTTGTTATTGTATAGTCAAATAGTCTTTATGTATGATCAGTCTTATATAGTTAATGTTAGTACGTAACGTTTAACTTTTACATAAAGATTATTTTATTAAAATCAAATCTATTTTTTAAAAGAATGATGTATATTGTTGTACTAAAAACAAAATTTAGATGATAATATGTCAAATGTAATATATGCAGTCCAAGACTAATTTTGAGGTATTAGTCAATTAAATTTAATGGTGCACGTTGGTTCTTTTCAAAAGTGAAGAAGCAATTATTTCAGTGTCTTTTTCTTGCACTTGCAAACGCAAGTTTTACAGTATTTCGGCAATTAATACTAATAGCATTATTCGTGTGTAAGTATTACATTTTTTTAAGTATACTTCTTTAAAGCTAACAACAGCATTATTATGATTATGTACTGCATTCCAAGTTTAATATAAAACAAACGAATGAATTTGCTCCAGTGGTACTCTTCACATTTATGTAGAATTTTTGGTGCTAATCTAAATAGAACTTGTTCCCTGAAAACATAGTCTTGATCAAGGCAAGCGTTTCTTGCCTAAACCATATTAATCAAAATATCTATTCGAGAATTCTGCACAAACTATTTTTTCAGGTACGAATTTTTTAAAGGTGCTTCTTACTGATTGTGAAAAAAAAAATTCAGTTATTCATACTGAAATATCAAAATAAGAAATGTTAGATGTATGAAAGAGTTGTATTAATTAAACAGTAATATTTTGTACATGTGTTTTCTTTTTACGTGTTTAGAAAATAAAATCTTTTATATTTATAACAATTAACAAATATGCTTATTGTTAAGTATTGGAATGACAAATACGTCTTTAATAAAGCTCTTTAGTACATACTACTCTTTAGAAAATCATATTCTACTTATATCTAAATATTAACTCTTCTAGTTTGTTCTTGCGAATGATTGAGCACGTTATCTCTTTCAAGTTTCAAAAACTTGTAAATGTTAAAAATATAGCTTTACTTAAGAATTATTTAAGGCAGTAAAGTATTTATACTTTGATAAATTCAATAAGATTGTATGCCTATAACTAATGTCATGTATCACAGTTGTTTAAATTGAAGATGAACCGTTAATACTTGTATGTGGTGGACAACCGTATTTAGGATCTAACAAAGGTGACGATTCAGATAAACGCAATCCTGAATCCCTTTTTGTAATTTGATTCAATTTAAAGCTTCCTAACTTTTGGCAACACTCCAATCGAAATTTCTCTCTTTTACCCCATCTTTGATAAACGAGTGCATTGAAGAATGCTTGAAGGGGATTTGTAACAGCCTGTTGATAAAACATTTCTATAGATTAAGTTTATCTCATTAATATCAAATGGTATACGTACCATTATGTACCAAAGAGTAATGATAGCTTTAGCAGGCAAGTGGAACCATAATGTCCATAGTAAGATTCCATTGATCAAATTAGGTAACCAGCACACATAATATACAATATTAGTTAAGGCAAATTTGACTTTTATCGCTTGCACCAGTTTTCTTTCTCTTCCTGTAACTTGAGCTAAACTGCAAGTAACTGCAGTTTGAAGGTCTCGCGTGGACGCGAAATACAATACGGGATTGATGATCATAACTACTGCTAAAAGCACGTATGTAGCGCAATAATTTGGCAAAATGCGTAGTATGGCAGTGGAAAGAGATGTTAAATTATGGCAACTGAAACAGATTATGTTTTCTGGTACTGTAAAAGCTTAAATTGCTATCACATTAGATATACTAACTTTGCATCTGGAACATATAAAATTGTTAAACCAAAGGTGGTTAAAATTGCTGGACAAATCCAAGCAAAAGCATGATAACAAGCAGGATTTCCCGATCTATCTCCAAGTAATAGTTTCATATCGATGGCATAGCAAAGAGTCCAAATCCATGTTGCCATATAAAAGTATTGGGTCCAAGCCTGAAAGTAGAAATCTTTGTTACTAATTAGAGTAAATTGAACTGAATTTTCTGATACAATCACTTTACCGATGAAAGTGCACAAAAGAGAACATTTGAAGTATCATCTTCCATTGACATGATAGATTTAAAGTTCATCCATAATGCTGATCTAATAAATACACCTAAGGAAAACAACATTGGTAATTGCTACTTTATTTTTCCATCTAATATCAAAGAAAATTAAAAATTACCTAATGAAGCTAATAGATCAGCAATTGCAAGCCATATAATAATCTCTCTTCCTCTAGATGAAGAAAAGCTTTGCCACCGGTGAGGGAGACTAGATGTTTCTCTTGGCAGTATCTGCAAAATAATTTGCTGAGTACCTTGATGTAATACATTAAAATTTTTCTTACCTGATACACTGCACCTAGAATACCTATTGTTGAGGAAAACATGCAAACTGCATTATAAATATCTGTATTAAATTCCTGCATTATTACAATTGCCATATCTGTTCTATTTGAGTGGTGACAACAGAAAGTTTGTATAGTTGGATCAGCCATAATTATTCAATTTTAATTTCTTGAATATCGATTAAAATCGTGATTAAATGAAAACAATGATCGATAAGATATTACTTATTTTATAACTTATTTTATGAATTAAATTTGTTTCGACACGTTAACAAGTACGATTCGTTGCTAATAGGATTTTGTTTCTGAAAAATCCTTTTGAAGTATCAATAAGATATACATTTTTTATCTTTATACGAAGCCATACGAGACTTCTGTAACATTAATCTGTACGCCATACTTGAAGCTTTGTATTTTAATCACCAACGAGAAATAGATTCAACAACAATGGACATACCTTTTATAAATCGTGCCTATTTTATTAGTCCCTTCTTACTATAGTTCCCACTGACAATTAAAAAAACCATTTTAACTCCTTCTGATCCCTTTTGTTTTATAAATCAGTTCAAATAAGCACAAGGCTGACGAATTATTAAAATACTTGCTTAACAAATTTTCATCAACTTTAATTGTTTTAAAAAGACCGCCATAAATTAAAATTTGGTTTTTTATTACCTCCTTAGAGGTGCAATGAGGAAAAATCCCCTCAAAATCGCCACACAGTAATAGTTCAAGGGGTCTTTGAAACCCCGACTGGGGTCCTCGGAACCCCCAGTGGGGTCTTCAGAACCCCGACCGAATTTGAGAGCGACAGCGCCATCTATCAGCAAATCGCTGAAACTCCTCGCCGACTAGTTTCCGAATTACGCTGATAGATGGCGCCAGCAGACCTGCAGCGGGGGTCCTCAGAACCCCAGCCGGGGTCCTCAGAACCCCGGTCGGCAAGACTACTAGCGCCATCTATCGGCAACCCTCGGAAACTAGTCGGCGAGTAGTTTCAGCAATTTGCTGATAGATGGCGCTAGTGGTCTTGACGACCGGGGTTCCGAGGACCCCGGCTGGGGTTCCGAGGACCCCAGTTGCAGGTCTGCTGGCGCCATCTATCGGCGCACCTCGGAAACTAATCGACGAGTAGTTTCAGCAGTTTGCCGATAGGTGGCGCCAACAAACCTGTAAGTGGGGTCCTCAAAACCCCAGTTGGGGTTCTCAGAGCCCCAATAGGGGTCCTCGAAACCCCGTGCTTTTAGACCTGTGTCCCTGTTCCAATGGCAGTCTTTTTAAAACGTAAATTACAGATATTGTAATACTTTAAAATGCAAAACTAGGGTATAAGTTTATAAAATAACAATTGACATTTGTGTACTGTAAATTGTTTTTATTATATAGTGCTGTATTATACATAAATTCAGTTATTTATGCGCATTTATCCTTACATGTTTATACACTTATTTAGAATGTTTTTATTTACTAATATTTATCAACTAATTCGCATTATTCAACAAAACATTTTAAGTTCTGTATAATAACATTACTCCTCAACATCCTCCTCTTTGTTATCGTGTTTCCTCCACTTAGATGCTTTTGCTTCCGGATATTTTTCACTAAGAAAACTACAGATATCTCCAGTCTCAGCTCGAGATCTGATTCTCACGTCATATTGACCTCTGTGACGTTCCACTTTACGCAAATGTCTATCCCACGAAGGTAATTTCGTATAAAATTGTACATATGGTTTTTTACGTAAAAATACTCTTCCATCCAATAAATACTGTTTATAATCTAAATTTTCACTTGACGAAATTTCTGTCTCTTTCCTGCTCTCTGCTGGTGAAGCAAGTACCGTTGGAAAATAACTGCTCTCCCTCCTCATTTCAACCACATGTAATTGTTTCTCATTTGCCATCTCTTGAAATGATTTCTAAAAATAACAGATATTACTACAACTTGGTTTAATGGTTAAAGTAGTCGTTCGACAAGAGAAAGATTCGATGATGTCGGTATAGTAATAATTTATTTGCTACCTAAGTAATATTACGTCTTTTATGATAGTACCTGTTTTAATAAACCAATAAAAAAAGCTTTCACGATGTGTGGAACATTGATAGCACCTTCAACTTTAGCATACATATCTTTTATGCCAAGTGCCTCGCAACATGTTCTAATAATGCGATGACATTTAAGCCCATAGCCTTGATGCTTCTGTTCCACATAAATTTTTGTATGTCCAAACTGAGTGAAAAAGTCGTGCATTACTGAAACAAAAAAATCCTTACAGCTTTTCACAATTTTAGAAATGATAATACTTAAATTAGTACAGAATTTTTTACCAGTATGTTCGTTGTATCTTTCAATGTAAATTAATCTTTGTCCTGCTTTGTTTTTTGCTGCTGTTATAGCAGGTTTATTTTCAGGTGCACCTGCCATTGCAAATCCTGCCAAACCATTTTTATTTCCAGTTATAACCATGGCACGACACCATCTATTGCGACCCATACTACTTGTCATGACGTTTCTCATTCTGTTAAATAATACCCAACTTTCAAAATTCTCAAAAGTATCTGAAATAAAAGAATTTTATAAAATGAAATATAATTACTTATGCATTCAGATACATCTAACAGGTATGATACAAACCACCCTCTACAGGATCAGGTGCTCCAAATGTTCTTCCACATATGGAAGCTCCGGTATAACCACGTTTTAAAGCTGGAATTTTGTGTCGCTTTGATCCAGGCAAGTTTATATCTGAAGCAGCAACTGGTTGTGCCACTGTTTCCTCTGAAAGTTGTTGTTGTCGAACTATTGTATCTCCTTTCACAACTGGAGCATTTAATCCAGGAAATACTATTGGAATTTTCCCATAACCAAGCCTTTGCCCTTTATTTAAATCTTTCATTTTTGGTAAATTCTTTCCTCTCCCTCTTCTTTTACCTGCATTACTAACGCTAGTAACAGATTTCCATAAATCAGCTGCCGATCCTAGATGTAATATATTCATAAATTATTAAACTTCCATTAATGTTTTATAAATATTTTCTAAAGCAATTAAATATACTTACTCTTCATGAAAAAACTGGTAGTACTTCTTGCATTTTGAATCAATGGATTCTGTGGTATTAATAAACCTACAGTAGTAACTGAAACATTTGACACAAAATACTTAAGAAACTTAAGAAATTGAATAAACGGTTAAGGTTATACTTAATTAGATATCATTAATAGTAAATAAATTGTTTAAAGTACCATTATTTATAACGTAGTTACTTTTTGTGCAACTCGTTATTATTTTACAAACACGAAGTATTCCACTCGCCATTTCAGTTTCAGACCATTTCAGACTAGTGAAACTAATTAGTAAATATAAATATTTTGTCGTTTAGGAAAGAGGTTAGGGTTTACTGTACTACCATTGGAAGAGTACTTACACATATAACATTTTTCTGCCTTGTTTTCGAGCATGCGTACAACGTCTCAGCGTTACTTACAGACATGTTTCCGCGTTATTAAAAGGAAGGATTTGCTGTATTTATCTTCTTAGCTTATTGAATAAACTCATTAAGAGCATGAACGTGTTGATTCTATTACATCTGTGTGCCTCGCCTATTATTTCTCGTATATTATTTTTTTGTTTTTAAGGGCCTCACGAGGCCCAACCCTATATCACTGCATCCCTTACATGTCTGCATCCTTAACATCCCTGTATCCCGCATATCACTACATTCCCTACATTCCTGCATCTTGTATAAGCCGACATTCCTTATACATCTCTGTACCCTTTATATCTCTGTATCCCTTACATTCCTGAATTCTCCCTGCATCCCTTATATCCTTTCAACCCTTACAATAAATATATTATAAATAAAATACTTATGGCCACTGGTTCGAGTAAAGGTAAGTACAGGTAAGTACAGGTAAGTAAAGTCTCGTAAAAGCTAATTTTAAATTTAAATATTTGCAAAATTTAGTTCCCCCCTTTGCCGCCAGATGGCGCTGATTCGACGTAGAGATTTTAGTTCGCATTTTTCCCGCTAGAGGGCCAAAATTCCGGCAAGGTTTAGTTCCTTTTTTCGAATCCAGATGGCGCTGATTCGACGTCGAGATTTTAGTTCACATTTTTCCCGCTAGAGGGCCAACATTCCGGCAAGGTTTAGTTCCTTTTTTCGAATCCAGATGGCGCTGATTCGACGTCGAGATTTTAGTTCACATTTTTCCCGCAAGAGGGCCAAAATTCCGGCAAGGTTTAGTTCCTTTTTTCGAATCCAGATGGCGCTGATTCGACGTCGAGATTTTAGTTCACATTTTTCCCGCTAGAGGGCCAAAAATCCGGCAAGGTTTAGTCCCTTTTTTTGAAACCAGATGGCGCTATAATAGAATGCTTACAAAAGAGATGCAAGGATGTAAGGGATGCAGGGATGTAAGGGATGCAGGGACGTAAGGGATGCAGAGATGTAAGGGATGCAGGGATGTAAGGAATGCAGAGAAGTAAGGGATGGAGGAATGTAAGGAAAGCAGAGATGTAAGGGATGCAGGAATGTAAGGAAAGCAGAGATGTAAAGGAATTTTTTTTTTTTTTTTTAACGTGGGGAAATCTTGCATATGACCCCCCGCCGACCTCTGTGGGAGGGCGGCGGGGGAGTGTCAGATTCTTACTGTCTAAAACCCCACGGCGACTGACACAGTCGCTAATCAGGTGGTCATCATTCAACGAACATCTTAAAGTTAACAGAAATAATCTTTACTTTGAATTTTTAACAAAAATTTGATGCTTTGGTCATACAAAGACATTAAAAAATGCAACTAACGTTACGTTGCATCGCAAATAAAATTATCGCATGTACGAACGTGACCTCGGTGGCAAAATGCTAAAGTTGATGATCCAGGACATGCGGTAGGTCGGTAAAATCGACGACTGTACGGAGAGATTGAAACGATCAGAGGGAGAGGGTAACGTGGGATGGTGGATAAATTTTTTCCAAGGACAAAACCAAAAGCAGGGCTAGAAAGCGAAAGGGAGATAGGTGGTTGGAGAGAGAAAGGAGGCGAGGAAGGTGGGCTGTCTCGAGACCGGTGGCCATGAGACGCAGCCAGATTAGGTAGACGAAGCGGTTGTTGGCAGGGGAGCTAGAGATCAGCGCGTGATAGGCGGACGCGCAGCAGGAGGTCTGTAGGTTTCACCAACGGCATCGCGTCGAGCAGTAGGGCGCAACCCCGACGAGAAGTGGAAGCAGCTGGAGGGCGATCCAATGAAAGCGCATGGGCTAGCTGATTGGCGGAGTTCGTCCAATGAGAGAATGGTTTAGGTAGTTTCGACGGGCTGGAGGTCGGTTTAGGTAGCCCCGCGAACCCCTCTCTTGGTAAGCGAGTGGGAGCCCCTCTCTCACACGCAAAAGGGGACATCTCATCACGACTCTTGGTAGCAGGCACTTCTCCGTAGTGGGCACTCCACTCATCGTGTCGTCGTACGGGTTCTCCGCGAGAGGCTGTGGGGCCCGAGCCCGGACGAACGAGCGAGCGAGCGAGCGAGCGAGCGCGACCGGCCGAGCCGCTGGTCGAGTGGGTCTAAGCGGCCGTGAGGACCTCTCCAGGAGTACCCGACAGTCCTCTTCATTCATTCATTCATCCATCCATCCATCCATCCATCCATCTATCCATCCATCCAGCCAGCCAGCCAGCCAGCAAGTCAGCCAGCGAACCAGCCAGCCAGCCGAGCCATCCATCCATAGACGCTCTCTCCTCTCCTACGGAGAGAGAGTGTATCCTCGACGAAGGTGGAGGCGAAGCGTAGAGTGGTACATCTACCATCGTCTCTCTATCGGCAGAGTCCAAGGACTCGAAGACCCCCCGGGTGATTTCAGTCGGCCGCCGGCCGGCTCTGGCCGGCCACTCTCCTCGACCACGTGTGTACCACTGTTACCTTCCGTTTCGTTACGTTCCATTCCGTTCTCTTCTCGTGCCGTGCCGATGTTGTGACGTGACGTATCGTGGCGTGTCGTGGCGTGCCGTGACGTGCCGTGTCTACCTGGTTACCTGGTCTCGCGCGAAACTCTGAAGGAGGCTCGTCGCAGCCACGACTCGGCGGTTACGACCAGCCATCGAGAAATTGTGCCTCCCTTTCTCGGTGATCCGACAAGGTCGCTTAGTTGTTTGTCAGCATCGACTGGCAAGAGTGGAGGGTGTCTTTTGGCCTTGTCCCAGTGTACCTACCCCGTCGGTCAGTGATCCCCGCTCGACCCGATACACCAGAGAACAGAGGAATGTGGCGAATGCCGCGTTCTCGTTGCTGGACGCATCCAGCAACAATTTATCTCGAGTTCGCAGGCATCAGTACGATGGACGTGTTTCGTGAACTGTATCGAATTGGTTGATCTCCATCTTCGAAGGATCAAGATGGTTCGGTCGAACGGGTTGCAGTGATCGTGCGTTTGAGGATTATCCGGTGTGCTCGATGAATCTAACGAAGTGTGACTGTGAAACCTTTCAGATGCACCCAGTGAACTAAACACAGACGTGAATTACACAAAGTTGAATCACTTTGAAGGAACGAAAACTGTTCGTGTATCGAGGTATCAGAGAACGATACAACCTGAGACGAGTATACTCGTCGTAGTTTTTAAATAAAGTTGAAAATCGGTGCGATACGCAGCGGTGGGAGGTCCAGTCATGTCGGTTTCCCGCGGCTAGCGCCGGCCTCAGGATTCCGCGAAGCGCGAGCTTCAAGTACTTCGAGGGCGCGGGCCTCGTCGAGATGAGCGGTGGCAGCAGCGGGAACAACGCCGGCAACCAGGGGAACGGCAATGCCACCAGCTATCACCAGCATCAGCAACAACAACAGCAACAGCAACAGCAGCAACAACAACAACAACAGCAGCAGCAGCAGCAGCAACAGACACAGCTGGAGCAAGCTAGCTTGCTGACAGATCTGAACGGTATTGACCTGGCTATGAGCTTATCGCCTAAACAGCATTCATCCCACGTTCAATCCGCTGGTGGCGCTCATACAACTCCGTTCAGCGTCACAGATATCCTGTCCCCCATCGATAACGAGTCGTTCAGGAAGCTGGAGCAGGTGATCGGCGTCGGCGTGGTCACGCATTCTCAGGTCTCTCCTTACGGTAACGCGTGTGGCGCCCGTGTCGGTGGCAATACCGGTAGCTCGAGCGCAAGCAGCGGCAGTCCACCGCTTCACGGAGGTTCGACGCCCGGTGGCGGCACTCCTGGACCGGTTTCCGGTCCGAACGACGCTACCGGAGGAGGCAGCAGTGCTGCCGGTGCCGGTGCAGGCATGACTGCAATGGGGAATCCTTACGCTACCATGCAACTCACCTCGCAATATCAATATTGCGCAGCTGAGTTGTCCTATCATCACGCGGGTCCAGGGGTTGCCGCAGGTGCCACCGCAACTGACCCGATGAGGTCCCATCATCCTTGGTACGCTCCGGCTCCACCGGCTACCAACGATCCACGATTTGCCAGTGAGTATCATTTACCTTTATTCTTCTCTCATCTTCGATTCCTAAAAAGTACAAGCTCATTAAAAGATTCTAGTACCTAAGTTTAGCTAGTTAGACGCAGAAAGAGGGAAAGCTCGTTCATAGAAAAATGGCAAAGTAATGTAATACCAGTATAAGTACGCTTAGTACGCGATCATCCCTTTCGTCTTCGACGAAGCACGTCTGTCCTGCTTTTATTGACCTGCATCGAGAGTAGCTAGCTCGCACTTAGTCCATTTAAGTATCGATGAAGCGTCGGACTCGTGTTTCAATGTCCACAATAGCCTGGCCCTTCTTCGTGTCGCTGCCTCGTGACATGGACTCATGAATTCTTCCGTCGCTTGTAACAGTATAGTATACCGAGGATACGTTTCGATATGTTCGCATCTCTTCCGTCGGAAAGGATCCCAAGAATGGCACCTCCACGACAGCCGTTCTCCAGCTGCCCCGAACGTCGCATCTACGATTTCCTGAAAAATCCTACTATTTAGAAATTTAGTCGTATTTCACTTTTACTATCACCTATACATTCAAATAATCAATTCAAGTAATTAGGCGATAACCCGGATACGAGTTTGCCGAAAGTGAAATAATCAACGATTCTCGCGGCCATCCGCTTAAGAATGCTACATCCAGATAGGATCGAACTCACAGAATCATGCTTAAGGGCATCGAGGAGGTTTTTCGAGTTCCTCGCGTTTCGAGCTTCTGAAAAGATTGTCGACCAACAAAGCCGCGTCCTTCGGACTTGTGTCAACAGATGTTCGTCTCCTTGGATTTCTGTCCGCCGCACGCGCCACTTTGTTCAACCGCTAGACAAGTATCGATCCTCGGCCCCGAAATGCGTGGCTACCGGACACTACGGGAGATTTTAGTTAAACAAATAAGCTTGGACGACCCTCGTTGGGTGAGAGGCTGCCTCGATGCGCATTCAACGCGAAGGACGTTTTTCAAATTCAATTTCTTCGGGGATCTTAGGATCTACGAGATAGAAATATACCAACGATTTTACATTTATTCCGATGACGATGAATTAGAAATTGATACTGTTTCGTACCTTTGTCTATATCCCGCGATGTTATTTTCAACTTGTAAAATAAATAAAATTGGTCCACGTTTAACAAAAGTTTGTCTATCATTCGGTGATACCCTGTAATTATACCTACATGTCAGTTGGGATCATCCTAATGGGACATTCGACTTCGGTGGTCAGGTAGGCGGGTTCGACAACGTCGATTTGCTTAATGAGATTCACGGCTTCTCGACGCGATCCACCCCCGTGTTCGGAGAACTTCCGTCGAAACGTTGGTTCTCTCTATCTTCGATTGCTTTCCATTGTCCTGGTTCACATTCTTCTCAAAGGAAATCTTCAAACGTTATTGAAAGATACGTTTCATCGATGACTCGGAAGTTGGACGTTCGCTAGGAAGCTGCTCGACGAGTCCGTAAAACGTCAATTGGACCAACATCTTTCTACCTTTCCAAAGGCTTCGTTGTCAGCCCAGTTTTAGGTACTTAATAACATGTAGATGCTTTAGAACAAAGTAAGGTACATCTTTTCAAGATTCACGAGATCTAGCAAAGAATTTTCATCAATTTTCCAGACAATTTAGTCGCGGATCGTCGCGTGCAAACAAATTCAGCGCCGTTTGCTGCCGGTGTCTCGAGTGGTATGTCTTTCCCGGCCAGAACCGGCCTGACAGGCCGAGGATACGTTCTCACAGACATAATAATAATTCGGGACCTCATCGTTGGACCTCCCGTGCTCGATGACGTAGCACTTTGCGCGTCTAAATCGCTCCTTTTGTACGGGACCAACGTGTCCGTTCTTGACAGCCCTTCGCCCAACTGACAAGGGATGAACCGCTCGTTGGCTTTCAGTAGCTCGAATTCAGAGGCTCGACCTCTTCGCTTGCTCGCTGCCTCGTCTACGGATCGCGTCACCATTCTTTTTATCTCTCCTCGCTCGATGTCCTCGCGTGCCTTTCGACCGTCTTTCCTTTCCACGCGATCCTCGACAGATCTTCGCGTAAATTATCTCTCGTGCGTTAGATGGAAATAACGTGGACACGGTGTGTGAGTGACGAGGAACTCTTGTTGGGTGTCTGGAGAACGCGGATGCTTGGTGGTAGCGGTAGGAGCGATGGTTGAGAAGGGAGAGACACGTTGGCTTTCTTGTTCCAGAGATTTATCCGACGGCACTGTTGTACCGAAACGGTGTCGAAGGTAAAGAGAAGGTTCTCAGTGGAAATATAGCTATATTGGTTAATGATTAACGCTTTAAATTTAAATAGAATTAAGTTGTATATTTAGAGTAAGGATAAGGGATGATAAAAATTGAAAGTGAAAGAAAGAAACAAAATACTACCGCTGCTTTTCTCCAATATGTTTTGCAGTCTCGCGGCTGATGGGCGCCGCGGCGGCGGGCGCCGGGACCAACATGGCCGGCTGCTCTGTGGGCCAGTCAATGGGCGACGTGACGAAGTCGTCGGGCATGGGAGTGGGCGTCGGCGTCGGCGTCGGTGTCGGCATGGGCGTCGGCGCGATGCAATTCCCCCACCTTCCACAGAGACGAAAGCGTCGCGTTCTGTTCACTCAGCAGCAGGTTCACGAGCTCGAGAGGCGGTTCAAGCAGCAGAAATACCTGAGCGCGCCCGAACGAGAACACCTAGCCGCCCTAATTAACCTTACGCCCACTCAGGTACGTGTTAAATGTTTTTCTTGTTAGCCTGATCGATCCAGCGTTCGATAAACTCATGGATCATCGCGTAATAATCCTACAGAGAACCTGAAACGTACACGGAGACTCAGCTAAGTTAATTTTTCAAGCAAATTGCTTCCACAAACTGGTGGTTGAGCATTCAATTGATCCGAACGAATAAATATGTTCCATAGTCAATTTGTAATCAATGGTGATTCAAGGTCACCTCGTTCACCTTGATCTACTGTCCAAGTGCAAAGTTAGGATGTCCTATGCGTTATCTAGGGCTTCATTTATTTCCATTGCTTCTGGGATAACTATGTCCTCAACAACTATATTTTAACTTCATCTTCCAACAAATTCCATTAGTCTACATCTAAAAGGAAAGAAATGAAAGTTTATTTATTATGTTCTCATCAGCAACATCGAATCTCGATGTTCGCTGTCAGAGATCAGGGTCCGAGCGATGGGTGGGGATCATCTAGCTAACATGCCTAATTACAATGTAGCAGCAACTCGATCCATCTCGATTTCCCTTCGATCAGCCGGATCGGTCCACCTGCCTGCTCCTGCTACAGAACACGATACTCGAGATACGCACACGCTGCTCTCTACCGTACACACGAACACGACGAGGATTAATTGCTGAGAGGAGATTAATTGCAGGGAGCAGGTAGTGGGTGTACGCGTGGGTGTATCTACGTCTCTCGGCCAATCGGATCGATCGACCTCAGGGGCGTTGGTTGCCTCCGCACTTGTTAGCATCAAACGTCAGGGTGATTTCTGTCGAATCAGCCGTTCGATTATTCCTGAAAATTATTGTACAGTTTTAGTCTACTCTCAGGAATCGCTACTCAACTTTGAATACCTTAAGAAGAAGAAGAAGAAGAAGGGAGTTGGGAGGTCTAAGCCCACTCTCGTCTCTACCTTTGATCGCTATTGGTCCTTGCAACGAACAGAGAAAAGTAGACCGCAGCAGAAGTAGGTGTCACTTGTTTTCGAATGGAACCATGGTCAACGCGTTAAAATTGTACAATCTGACACGTTCACCTTTACTACCGAAAGTGTTAAGCAAATGATGGTGGTGCGTCAGAAATAGAGTCCTCGAAGAGGTGTATTTGTTCGAGGCACGAGAGATAGAATTCGACCAGGTAGGCAGTCAGAGAGTCGTTCCAGCTGAACTACGTGTCAATATTGTCTTAGGAAGCCGAAATTTTTCTCTCTTGGCCTTCGATCGGAGACGATTAACGATACGAGATTTAAACGCGTCTTTTGAAAGCAAATTAGCTTCGAGACCGTGGGATGAAATTCACGGTACACGTAATGAGAAGCTACGAACACATCTTCATCGGCTACTGTTAGCTACCTACTTAATTGAAATTCCAATTTTTTCATGGAGGATGAAGTACATCGATGCCGCTATTGTTTCCCTTGCACGTACGTTCATTTGGCCGATTCGAGCGGGTCGTTTTGGCGGTGGCCATTTAGAGCAATCGACCCGGTCAGAATCAGATTTTAACGAGCAATCTTCATTGGGCAGACAAGTCTGCTCGGCTCGATGCGGCAGTCTGGCAACAATAAATAATTGTTGCGCAGCTCATTGGTTGCATCCTGGTCGCTCGTCCCCTCGTTCAGTCTGCCGTTTCGTCTACCGTGCGTCTCTCCGTTCAATTCGCTCGTCGACGCATCTTCTCCATCTACCAATCGCTCTGTAATCGTACACAGACTTTCATTGTTACAAAAAAATCACTCACGATCGCCGTTACAAAATTACGAAAATACAAAAGAAACCATACCGCTGCGTGTCGCGTTAAGTTACATCCAGAAAACGTACACTCGAAGAAAAGCAATTGAAGCAATCAAAGCATGCTCGGGAAACGAGTGCCTTTATTCAACAAGAAGAAGAGAGAAAGAGTTAGGAGACGAGACCTTAAACGCGCTCGGTTGAAAACGGAAGGCGAGCGGTTGCCTGTGGTCGCCTCCCTAAACCGGAAGTCGTCGGGTTCCCCCGCGTCTGTCGAAGTCAGAGTAGAATCGAGCTAGCGTGGAAGTGCGCAAAGAGGGCTGATTGCAATCAGCCGCGGATTTTCGTGCACATAAGTTTCGATAACGAGTTTCAGACTCGATGGCACTCGGATCTCGCCGTAGCCGTCGATACTAGCCGCGAAGGCCAGCCTCGGGAACGGCACGTGGAAAGAGAAATTCGAAGGAGAACCCGGGAGAGACAGGGAGAGACTGGTTGATCGTGCTACATATACACGCATAGAGAGCGGACTCTTGAACTTCTGGGGACGAATAGAGACCAAACGAGCTCCCGGTACGTTGTTCACGCGGCCGCACCGCCACCCTGCGGTACCATCCACTTACGGCCACTCGAAGTCTACGTACGAAGTCGTGCTCCGTAGGTAGCCCGCGACTGCTGTACGGGGAGACTAACGAATCATTATGCGAGAGAAGCTGTGCGAATCTTAGGCGGCCTCGGGACGCCTTGAAAGCGGGGATATTTACGCGCGGAAAGGTCGAAAGAAGTGGAGCACGAGCGCGTCACGAGGGAGGATGCAATCGTTTTTCTTCCCCGTGGAACTCGAACGCGATTTTCTTCTTCGATTCGTTGCGTGCGTTATGCTAGTCTCTGGGAGTACTCGATTCGAATACACTTGAAGAAATTTTGAAAAAGAAGAAACGATCCGTTTTTAAGTTCTCTTAAATTTGGATCGAATAGCAAGTATTTTCCGCTTCGAAATGAAGGATTCAATTTGTAGCGGAAGTACGGATAATTCACGGTGTGTCACATTTTGTAATGGGTATCGAGACGATCGTCAGAGAGAGAGAGTGGCATTAAAGACAGCAGGGATTTTTCATCGCGAGGAAAAATGGCTGTTGCAAATTCGACGGACCTCGATGAAAATGCTTTAGGACACGATCGAGAATCGATACTGAATTAACCAGCCGAACGACCTAACGAACGAAGAAGGTATACCGATCCGCAACCTCTTCGAGACACTCGAGTCTCGAGTTTGACGCGAGCACACTTTTCGAAGGCTTGTAAAGGATCAAGAGACGAGTAAAAGTAAAATGAAAAAAAAAAAAAAAGAAAGAAATAAAAATTTTCCGCCTATCGTTTGCCCGATCGACGAAGCAAAGTGTTGCATCGACCAGGTAGAGCGTCACGCAAAATCGACCCCGTTTCCTGTAACGAGACCTCTCCAGGCAACCTCGACGAACAGCCACGATTCCTTTCTGCTCCATCAGGCCAATGATGGATGACGCGATTCGTGATGGAAATATGGTTGACTAGGGAACTCGAACACTCACTGACTATAGCTCTTCTTCACTCGCGAGCTCGCCATTTTGCTTTCATGCTTGAAAATGGCTCCATCAATTGCTCGATGGTTTTTTTTCCAGATTCTTCTTCTCTTCCATTTATTGATCTTGCAGTTATGATTGGAGTTCACTTGTTTATTAATTCCTTGTTAATCCATGAGCAATATAGACATCTGAAATAGCAACAATTATTTTAATTATTATAAATATAAAGTGTAAATTGTCGTGCAACATTATCCATCGACTTTTACGTATCCAGTAATAAAGAAGAATTTGCATAAGGACAAAACGGAATCCCTTAAACGCAAGAAGATATCCGCAAACAGTATTAAGGGCTTCTTTGGACGAGCAAATTTGTAGCAAGCTTTACCCGACGCTCAGTTATCCACCCTTTGAGTATGCATATAGAACCACCTAATATTCCCTTGCAAATACATGGCTGGAAGGTTTATGCGAGCTAAAGATAAAGCAATATTTGCGAAGCAAGCTTTCTTCAAGTATCTTCCTTTTTATAGTTCACCTAAAAATTATTGAATCACAATTTTCTCTTTATACATGAAAGACCAAGATTTTTAATAAAAAAAAAAAACGGTAAAGGGAAGGTCGAAGGAAACGCGTCAACTTGGAACGGAAACCTCGCGATTCAGTTATGAGGATAATCGTAATAATGGGTTTGCCTACCACCGAATCTACCCTCTTCGACCTCGTACAGCGGCAACAACCCCGAAGAGGGAGCACTGAAGAGGACCGTGCGAGTTCAATGTCGTGCAAACACGCGAGAAGTCTCGGTGGTTCTTCAAGGAAATGATCGACAGGAGCCCGTGGATCTCTATCTGATTTTTTGACACGCGACCTCGTTACTTCTTTGTAGCTCGGTTTATCAAAGTCTCCCTAAGACGTTAATAAAAATAATGAAAGTCTAGAGGTTGTTTCCTCCGCGCTCGAGACTTCTACTGATTTTTCATTAATCTCGCTTGAACTTCACGCTTTCTATTAATTATTTAACTTTTTGATCAGACTCACCAGGTGGTTTTGCACTTTAATTAATGTCTCCCTTTTTATTTATTTCTTTTTTCGCCAGTCGTGGCAGGGCCGTCTAAATTCCCCTTGATATTTTTCCCTCTCTCTCTTTCTTCTTTACCGTCACAAATTTTCTCTCTTTCTTCTTTTTTATTTCTCTGTCTACTCCTTCTAATTAACTTCTTCTCTCTCCTTTCCTCCTTCTCGCTCGCACCGGCCGATCTTTCGCGTTTTTAACGAGCTTTAAACTCGTTGTAACTCAACGGGCATAATTTACGGAGACCCGTAGTTGCTGCCTCTCGCGATTAAATTGTTGCGATCAATTTCGTGCTCCAAATTGCTCGTTTAATCCGTGGCGACCGATTAATTACGCGTCCTGTCGGCCCCGACGTGTTTCCTTTCGTAATTCAACACTTCTTTGTCCCATTGCTCATCTGCAAATTAATACAGAGTATCAGAATACTTTTAAACAATAGAGTATTACATAAAATTCTTTAAAAGCATCCCCGTCGCCCATCAACCCCTTCTACAACGACGTCCGTCAACGAAAGCCCCCCGAAAAAATGGTTCCAAAGGGGGGTGGGTACCAATCGGCGGTTACCAGGCTTGCCGAACCGATACCGATCGAACGTTTGAAAATTTTGAGACTGCAAAAGGGGTGGAAATGTATATAAACAAGAGAGATGGATAGATTGATATAGTGTGATAGATAGAGGGGGGGTTAGAGAAGGAGAGAGGGCGGACCAGAGGGAGTGTAATTTGCCTCTAATGCGGCACTCGACGAAGCAGCTGGCTCTCCTCTTCTCCATTCGCCGTTCGGCCGCAACCGGTAACAGTAGCGATAATAATAACAATACCGGTAACAATGCCAGGAGTGGCCAGCCATTGTAACAATGGGGAGACTGCACTTGGAGTAACAATGCGAGCGCAAAATGGAGGGACGCATCTGTGTGTCCTGTGTGCCAAAGCGACACGACGGCTACAGGGATGATGCGTTAGAAATGGGGAGGGCTGGAGAGTGGTAACCTGGTCGTGAAGAAGGGAAATACCGAGGCAAGATCGTGGAAAAGTGTCGGACTATGAATTATTCTGATAAGAAAGACTAGTTTAGCATAATACACTACTCTTCGAGATGATGATGATTTCATGACATAAAAGTATTGCAAATACCACTTATGGTACATCAATTTGAAATTCAAAGTTTCATAAAAATTACTGTGTAAATGGCACATTGACATTCCTAATACAAAGTGACTGATTCTTCGCTAATGTAAACTATGGAAACCTCGCAGACATAATGAGACATAAATATTCAATAATTATTTTAACAAGACACAGCTTCTTATACCTTTTGAGATCATTGAGATCAATTTGATCGATGACCGATAAGAATCGAATTGGAAGAATAGGCGAGGGCACGCGCGCGTTCCGCGTGAAATTCCTTTGGTGTCGAAATGCGTGCGGTTAATTGGACGTCGTGGAACGCGTGCGCGTATCTCTCGAGTGCACTCACGGCTCCCTCGCATAATAACGCACGCATGAATATGTCGTCGTCGTCGTCGGCTTTTGCGGCCTCCCTGCGCCGAGCCGCGACACATAACGCCAAGCACACGGCAGTATGTGGCCGGCGTAATTGCATTCCTCTCTTTTTTACCTCGTCTTCGCGCGGTGTCTACAGGTCACCGCAAAAGTCGTCGAACCTCCGCCCATAGCTTTGTAACATCATCCGGAAGAAGTACCTGAGAGTAACGATTTAAATTAGAATTAAGGAAACTCGGCAACCAAGGTTTTATAATTGAAAAATAATAGGTAGTTAAACATAGAAAGTCTGACAGGAATTCGTAACATAAAAGTATGACAAAATGGTCCCTCATTTTAAAGCTTGAAAAAGTTCGAAAAAAAAAAAAAAATGGTAGAACAGCCCTTTTTGGCCTTTTACTCGATCACACTACTCTCCTTAATTTTTTCGTCGCTTCACGGCAGGGATGATCCAATAGGGGTGGAAGGCGAATGTTTGCGGTGGGAAATATATGCACCCTTCGGGAGCATGGCCCCGAAAGTGCAGCGGGATTACAAAGAACCACCTCCGCGGGTCCTACAGGGTGTAGCTGGAAGAAATTGGTGGCGTATTACTCGACAGGCATGTTCGAGTGTATTTACAATACACTCGTAAATGCTGCCTCCTCGTAGCGATAATTGACGCAAACATAGTGAAAAAGTTATGAGATATACGATTGTATCGCGTTCAGTTTGACGATCACTAATGATGATTATTTTCAAATAAAAGAAGCGAACCTTCTTTCCTCTGTAGACGTGTTATTAACTTCGGGACAGAGTATGTAGAAAATTACGAGTGCTTCAGAACTTGAATCCAAAATAAATGTCCTCTCTAATTGCAAACGGGGTTGGTTTGAAAGTCTGCAACATTAAGAATGTGAAATTGAATGATTGTTGAATGAACGAGGTTCTGGTAGCTCGTTAAGAAGAAACTGGAAAGTCATTTCTATTTGTCGGACCGAGGAACCCTAGGTTTTTAGACATCCTGACTGGTAATCGGTAAGTCATCCCCGAGCCGATGGTATTGAGTTAAAACAACAAAAGGGAGGCGGGAATCGTGTTTGCCCACGGGCCACCACTCAGAAGGGTCAACACGGGACAATTAACAGCCCTAATCATAATTTGACGTTGCTTGATCCTGGTATTCGCAAGCTCATCGTTGCGGTTCCCTGCACTTTGCAAATGGAACATCTGTGGTTAAAATAAACCCCAGCAAATGTAATCCCATTTCTCTTCCTCATGATTTTACCTCCGTCGATTCTTTTTCCAAATAATTTCAATCTGAGTGATCCGGGGGATTCCGGTGTCGATTTAAAATGAAATTCCTTTCCTTTGAATTGAAAATTCAAAGAAGCGAAGCTCGTATATGAAAAATAAAATAAAAAAAAGAAGCGGAAGCTTTCTAGAAAGCAAGCGAGTGGTCGTAGAAATAGAAACGCGAAGCAAAGATTCCATTCAGGTGAGCCTGTTTACCTTCGATGGGCACGTCGAGCCATGCAAAAAGGCTGCAGGGCCCGCGGGGGTCCTGCCAATGTTTACTCAACACCAAGGAAAAGGGGAGCTTAGCTTTAACTTCCGATTAACTCGTGGTTAACTCTCGTTCAGCCAGGTAAATGAAACGCCTTCGGTGGGCATTCGAGCGGATCTATGGGCTTGTCTTCTCTTCGCAGGTCCTTACGAGTCTTAACAAAGGCACCTGTCTAGAAGGTACTTCCGGTTAATTAAGGAAAACAAATTTCCACCATTTAGTAATTCTATATATACCACATTTTGCAACGAATACATCAAACGTTACCTACTCCTCGCTTTTCGTGCTTTGAAACATTCTACAAAATAACTCATCAATCCTCCAATTCGTTTTGCCTCTGCATTTGATTAATTTATATATTTTGATGTTTTCATGAAAAAATATGTAACTCGATAGAGATTCAGCGGTCGGTCTTTGATCATCCTTCGCTTTGAAACATTTTCCAAAATACTGCATCAATCCTCGAATTTGTTTCACATCTACATTTAATCGTTTGACCGATGCCTTTGGATGAAGGATCATCCAGATGGACACGCGTTTCGACCATTCATTCTGAACGCTAATTACTGTATCGGATAACGATAAATCCACGTAGGGCAGTTCATCAAAAGCCGCGCAGACACGCGACATTTGGAAGGAACATCGAGTACCTGTTCCCGTTTATGCTCGACAGAGACGAGTTCGTACATCCGTCCTGGTGGAGGGGTACAGGTTAAAGTGGACGATTGATCGAGTTAGCCGTAACGTCATTACGTGGCGTGCACACCGAGGGTTGACGCAAAATCAACGACAGCTAACGCCACCCTTCGTAGGTACAATCGTTTCCTCGGGCAATTTCATTCGACACCAACTTTCGTCGGATGATTATCCGGCGGAAAGGCTGGTGTAACAGTAGCGCGGCCTCCGGCTACCGGATGCTTCGTCGGGGTTCCTCTTTTCGAAAGAAAGACGCGTGTAATCGACCAAGAGAATTGCCACTCGAGGTGTTCCCAATGCTTCCGGCTGCCTCTGGCTCCATCCACGATTTCCTTATGGTGTTCTACCATCGCTATTCCTTTGTTTCAATTTCGAACTTCTGTTGAGTGAGAAAATAGGGGTTCCATAGTTAGAATTAATTGCGTAACAAAAAGATGACATAAAAGTTTGGTAAAATAGCACTTATGGTATCTTCAAATTAAAGCTTGAAGTTCAATAAAAATGATGTTCTATAAACATTGCGATTTATTTCTTCAAGACTGACCTGAATTTTATCTATTTTGTAATCAAATTAGCATAATGGAGTGCGAAATCGAATTGGCAAAACATAATCCCGATAATGAATTTCGCAAAATTCTTCGAAAGTCCGCAAAGAATATTTGGAGGAGCAAAATGAATCGTACGATACTCGAATCGTGTAGCTAGGCCAAAGTCTGAAACCGGCTACGGTGAAAGAACCGTCGGAAAGAATTGTTATTTCAAGGGAACGGGCCCGTCAGTCCGTTTGTCCGTCGTTCCCGCAACGATGCGGTGGGTAAACAGAGAAAGTTGAACGAGATAGGGATATAACTGGTGTGTACTCGCGGACCGGAGAAAGAAATTCGAGGCGAACGCCGATTTCCGACGAGGAGAGCAAGCAACTTTCACGGATGAAAGCGACGCCCACACAGGATTGCTTGGACGTCTACTCCTGTGTTGGAAATTTTCTCTGATCCTTCTTTTCATTTAGAAATCTACAAATTCATGATACTTTCGATAATATGTAATGTTACAATCGATAGTAATTTCAAGATTAAAGATTTTAATACCTTGCGTATCGAGTACTGTTGGAAATTATTTGAGTATATCGTATATATGCTTGGTTTGTTGAAAAGAAGAAAGCAAGGAGACGTGGAAGCAAGTAGCCTGTTTGTAGACCTCTTGAAATGGCCGCACACCCGAAACTTCGCTGGCTTCGATGAGTGGATTATCGGTAGAAAAGGAATTAACGAACGGGAGCGGCAAAAGAGTACTTCCCTCGTCTAGTACCTCTTCGTGGCTTTTAGATAAGGTCTCTCAGCCCTACGCATCAACCCTGCGACACCAAGCACATGTAGAAAAGTCGCGAGTTCGAAGGGCTACGATACATAAGCGTTGAATATTATAGAAAATTTGCAGCAGTGACCACTGACCACTCCATGATATTCAATGTATTAACTTAGAATCTCCTTTAATTCATTTTCTCTTAATTTGTTACAACAGTCAATGCTAAATATTCCTCTGATGGAGAAAACCTGGAAAATAAGATAATAAAAGTATAGTAAGGTAACGATTGGTATTCAAGGAGCACACGTGAGGTAGCGAAGGGTGGCGGAAAGAATTTTCGAGGGTGGCCGATCCCGCTAATATTCAAAGAATTAGACAGACGGTGGTAGGCTCTCGAGACACGGTCTACTGAACGGGGGGGCCCCTTAAAGTGCTTTCGGTTGCATTCTCAGCGTGCATAAGTTCGACAATGGGGAGGTTACGTGGGGGGATTGCAGCGGGTTACAGCCACTCGAGTAGGAGGTTACAGGCAAGCAACATATAGGTCGGACGCGCCTTTGATTCGTGCGATAAAAATCGGGCTTACCGTACCTTTCACACATCCCTCTAATTTGCCCTTTTGTACTCTTCTTTTAAAACGTTCGATCCGCTGTTTCCTTCCTCTATTCAGACCTTCTAATCTCCTCGTGTTCAACCTTGAAGCTGGAAGAGAAACTTGGTGTAAGAGTTGGGTACTAAATTCGTGTATTCACAAGCAAATCAGAAAATTTTATAAAATTAATATTTCTTATATAAAATATTTATAAATAAAATTTGGGGCCGGAATGAAAATCTTTGGAAGGCCGTAGTTTGGTGAGCGCTGTTTTAGATCATTAGATTATACCTTTCTTCTAGTGTATTAGGCTTCTGATTGCTGGTCAACCATCTATAGTCCACGGTGCAAATTCCTGAAACAAAGTTTCGCATATTAGAATAAGAGCTAGTTTCAGTAGGTCTGGGTCACGACTGACCCGGCCATCGCCGTTAATACATCAAAGAGGATATCCTAGGGCAACTAGCTCGCGTTAAGGGTTAAATCAGCCGACAAAGCGTGGGCCATTGTTTTGGTCGGTGAACGACAATGACGGTGTGATCGAAACGCGCCCCTGTGCACGCGGCATAATGCACAATGCGGATTATAACGCGGCGCTGTCATAAGCAGATGCCGATCACGATCCCATCCGCACAGCCTGCCGGCTTTCCTAATCGCGTTCAATTGCCGTAAAAGCGGTTTCGAGCGGTCCTTAGCTGCGCACCATTGCTCCTCCAGTGAAAATTTCACAAAACACTCGTGTTACTCTGCTTTCCTATTATCCTACGCTATACATATTTAAAATAGTAAAAAGAAAACAGCAGGGTAAGATGGTATAGGAGTACGCGCTTAAGCTTTAAAATATCGTACAAAACAAAGTAATACGTTTCATTAATCAAAACTTCTTTGATTTGAAAGAATATTGATTTAGATAATTGTGCGTACTCTTATCGATTGCGTGCTATTATACCACCTTACCCTACTAAAAAGTATAAAGTAGAAAACGGATCGGCACGATAAACTTATCTTCGAACTGTCGTTGAGAATTGAACGAGGCGTTAAATCCCTCTCGAAGGAATAACAGACTTATAATAATCGTTGGATTATGAATTCAGGGGTGCACGAATAGGTCCCGGGTTACTTAAAACGTACACACGCGACAAAAGACTCGCGTTCTCCCCTTCTTGTAAAAATATTTCACTTCCTACCTGACGACAGTTCGTCCACCGAAAAATGTGTCCCTACCTCTCTATTTGGAGAACAGACAGAAAGAAGAAAAATTTCTGAATTCTAGACGATCCGAACAATGTCCCTTTCAAATTCCATTCTAATGTCATCTTTTAGAAAGTATAATATACATATCTATAATCATGTTTCAACGAATAATTACGAATCGTTGTTCGTGTTGCAGGTGAAAATCTGGTTTCAAAATCACCGATACAAGTGCAAGAGGCAAGCAAAGGAGAAAGCGATGGCCGAACACAACGCTCAGAATCAGGTAATTACTAGTTAATCTCTTGTCCTTAAAAAAAAAAATAAAAGAGAGAAAGAGCAAGTACACCGAAGAAAAAACATGGAGTAGTGTACGATACAGAGGAAGGATTAAATTAAATTCTGTCGTTCGTTCGTCTCTCGTGTGATGATAATATGTGTGTCCTTGATAGATCGGATTGCCCGAGGGATTTCGAAACGTCGAGACACACGACAAAATATCGAGCGTTTCGAAATGAAATGCTTTTAAATGAAAAATATTCCGAACGCCACCGTGCCGCACCGGATCTCCTCGCATCCACATCGTATTTCGTTTCGAGTGGCCCACTCGACCGGCTCGAAGCGATTCTGCATTCATTTCGTTATTTCAGCCGAAATTTTTCAGGGATTCACGATTTCGCGAAACGTAAAATCGTCTGTGTTAAACATGTAATTACCGTCGATGTTGCGCCACCACTGACTGCTCTTGTAGCATTTTTACCTTCCCTTTATCTCATTTTTTTTCATCTTTGAACGAACGACAGAATTTATTTGAGTTCCCCTGTGACTCATTTACATTTAAACACGAAATAAAGTTCTAGGAATCATCGAATTTATCTACAAGTTATTTTTGTGAATACTACAACTCTATATTATATTTTACTTACAGAGAAGCTTCTCCCCCAATAATGACCCTTAACTACAGAAACCTACCTTACTTGGATTTCATTTCTATCTATACGTGCAAATAGGTTACACGTTATGCAAGAAAATCACACTAAAGTTAGGTAGAATCACTGGTAGCTATTGCAAAGACTCATCAAAGATCTCCGTCTACCCTTTCTTTTACGTTTCGCTCATTCTCTCTCTCTCTCTCTCTCTCTCGCTCTTTTTATCGACTCTAATAATGACACGCCAGATTCCCGAGATATCGTAATTGCGAGTTCGAAACGTGCCTTGTCTCGATCTGGTCGCACGCACTGACGAATATGAATCGCTCCTCTAGCCGGCTCCCTCTTCTTCTGGAAGAATAACATTCAAAAGAGACGTCACAGGCTAGCGATCGTTCCGATACACACAGATCCATCTTCTGAATACATTAGAGAGGACTGCGAGTATGCGAGATCACGGAATGTCCCGGCATGCATTAGCGGCAAATCGTTCGATCCCAGTTGGCAAGAATCGACGCCGTGGCTGAAAATCATTTTCGTGTCAACATCCAGCGATTATTTGCTCTACCGTCAGTTTCTTACGATACCGTAACGAACCATTCCCAGAAGTGTTTTCGAATAATTCTATCCAGCTACTTCATTATTATTTTTTTTTTTTTTACCTTCTACATTTGTACGAAATATTTTTGTAAAAACGTACTATGCGTATACGTACCAGGATGATAGATACTCGACGGGGAATACCGTTTCGACATAAGCGGATTTTCATAGCGTATTTTTCAGCCACCGCTGACTTCAACGTTTCATCGAATCTCGATGAAAACTAGCACACGGGCCGCGCGATTTTCGCGCAAAGCCACTTTCACGGGTGACGAGGATCCAAGTCATTCTCGTTTCTGCTGTTTTCGCTTGCTATATATTTGAATGACACCCACTTGTCCTATATAGGATCAACAAAATTTTATAATCTATTATTTTCCATTTAACCCTAGGAGGATAGATTAGTTAAATTATCTTTGAAAAAGTTTTAGAAAATAGGTGGTTTTATGTATCCTATCTTTTACTTAAAAGTAAGATATTAAAGATACAGGTTGATCCAGTTTATATACCTACACGGTTGATTAATCAGTGTCATTACGTAGGCGCTTTAGTTTAAAATGTATCGATCTTTGAAAGATGTAACAATGATCGATGTTGTCTTCGAATAGAGGCCGGCATTGTAGCCGCCAAGCGGTGGCTCGTAAACACCCATAGAACATTAATGGTGCTGAAAGTTATCCAGTGTCCCGATCTGTAAACGATCTACTCCCCTCGATTCGTCCACGCCAGGACGAACAGCCGCCCCATAATTTACTCGTTAGTTTTTCGTGGCCCTCGTAGACACGGCATCCCATTCATCTCTCTCTCTCTCTATCTCTCCCTTCTCTTTTTCTTTTACTCGTACCTCTATTGCCATGGTCTCGATTTCAATTCCGTGGCTTGTTTACCGTTCCTCCCTATTCTCAGTGCAGGATTTTCGTTCCATTATCTCGATCTGTGCGGTGATACGTGTAATTGCGTGGCCGGGTTCGCGTGCACGCTACGACGCGAAGTAGGTAACAGAGAGTATCGGTAGTGGTAGTTGTTGCAAGCATTGTTAGCGTTTCGTACACAATAGGATTTGTCCTGTAGATAGATCTTGCGACAAAGAATACTGATCTTCCGTATAAACGAGACAATGTTTCCACTTTTTCTACCGTGTTCATTCTGAAAATAAAATAAAAATGCATTAGTATCAAAATAATCATCAATCATCCCCCTGGCGATAAGTATCAAAGAATTGAAAGTTTTGAATCTTGTGCTTAATCGTTTCTCGAGTTAAAACAGCGCGCGACGAGGAGGCAGCAGCCCCGACGCCAACGTCGTCGTCGTCGTCGACGTCGTCGACGGGTTGGCAGGCAGAGCTCTGATTTTTTTTTTTCCCTTTTTTCCCTTTCTTTCGTTTTATTCCATTTCCTCCCCTCGCGGCGGTAAAAAAATTTCAAGTGGCAGCGCGAGCGAGCGAACACGGGAAAAAGAAAGAGAAAGAAAAAGATTGGGAGGGAGAACGGGTGAGAAGGAGAAAGAAATAGGCGAGGAGAAGAGAGAAGAGGAAAGGGGGGGGGGGGAGAGAGAGAGAGAGAGAGAGAGAGAGGTATCCTGCAGGGGAGCACGGAAACGGGTGCTCGAGGACCGGTCGCCATCTTGCCGAGAGTACAGTCATGCACAACACCTGGACGCGAATCGGGGTTACCAATACTACTATTGATATCGATTAACCCACCCCTCAAGATACCAGCCGTCGATCTTTCGACTCGTTGATTGAAATTTTACAAGTTACAAATCGTAATTATACTTAAAAGCTTCTCTCCCTTACCATTGTCTTCCAAAATGTAATCGTTTTTGTTCTTAACTTTTTAATAGTTTTTCAAAAGCTGGATGATTTTTAATAAGAGCCCGAAGATCAATGTTTCGTTTCCTGAAACGAAAAAAGAAGAGATTACTTGAAAGAAAATCTGGCCTCCAAGTTTTTCCCGCGTTTTCTTTAGCGAAAGCGCGAAAAGCTGTTTGGCGGGTATCGAGAGACCGCCTAATGTAATTACACCCGCGGTAAAACATCGGTTATTAGATTTAAAAACCACTTCCTCGTTTACGGAACCCATTGAATTCCATTCGTCGCGGAAACGAGAGGTCCCGGTAGAAATCTTTTAATATCTCTTCTCGGTGTTCTTTGTTCGGCCGAGGCTTCTGTAAAGAACGAGACGTAGACGACCGTCGGAGAACGATGGAAAGGCGAGGCGAAGAACGGGGCAGGGTGAGGCTGTGCCACGGGAGGCCAGCTTTTTAGTTAATTACATCAGTTCCGAGTGTTTTTCCACGAGAGATGCATTCGCGTGGAAGTCAGCACGGTGCATTTGGATATTCGATGCGGCTGTACCTAAAATGAACATCGTGGCGACCGCGCAGACGACGACGTTTCAAGTACAATTTATTTTGCAAATATCCCTGCCCTCGTTCCACGCTCGTCATATATTAAAGGAATTAAATGTACCTTTAAAGGGAGCCCTTTTTAAAAACCGAATCTCAGCTCAGGTAATTCTTTGATTGCCGTCTCTTCGTTCTTCATCCCTTCCTGTAAACGCGTTCTTTAATTAAAAATAGAAATCTATTTGAGTAGAATATTTGAAATAGCGTTTTACATAAAATTAAAATCAAGTCTAAGCCCGATCTCGGTCGAGTCCTTAACCCAAAAACCAGAAACGATAACGTTCGCTTTTCGCAGAAGAAATATTAACGCCACGGAGAGAGCGAGAGGAGCCGTGTTCCTGGGAGAGCTAGGAGGGAAATCGACGCGTAATATGCTTCCCGAGAATCCAATCGCGGCCGCGATCACGGCAACATTGAGCCTCATTACGCGTCGGTGGTCGGCCGCTCATAAACACGTACTACTCCGTTCCTAAGCACGGCCATTTTCGCCGGAAATCGCTTAACGCGCGTTGAAGTGGCTAAAGTGGCGTGACGCGTGACGCGCGCGCCGACCGTCATGCGTTTAGCGTAATCGTCACTTTGTCAGCGTGAAGTGCACGGCATGCCCTGCACTTATGTTCGCGGCCGCACCGTCCACGTAAGTTCGTGTCGGCCACTCGAATCGAATCACCGTTACACACGCTTCGGACCCCTCGCCGTTTTCATCCGTGAACAATTGGCCCACGAAATCGTCGAGCCTGAGGAAAACTAGGAGTTTTCTCTATCGTCCAGTTAGCTAGGCGTTATTTCCGAGCGGTCGCGATTATATTATTAAAGCGTTGCTGGCGTTGAGATCGAAGAGGAATGTCATGTACCGAATGTTGATACAGCTGAGTGGTCGTCCCGGCAGGTACTCGGCCAGCTTGCCTCGGCTTCTGTTTGGCATGCCGTGGGGTCCTGCCTCGGCGTACCGAATCCCCCGATAGAAAGAGACACGCGGTTGAAGGGATCCGTGGTACGGCAGCAACTCCTCGATGTTGACGCGACCGACACATACCGGAACCTGGTCCACGGTAGCCGGTACTGTTTATTCCTAATGAGAGAGAGTCAGAGAGTCCAGCGAGAGTAGGTTCGAATGATGATCGTAAGTTATCGCGCGGGTTAAGTACCTGTGCCTACCAAGCCCACGGTGTTTGCTCGGAACACAGAAGCCTTCCGCAGTTGAACCCCCCAGCTACGTCCCACGTCTCCTTCGTCGGTTCGTCGTACGCAGCTCGGGACGTATGTACTTGGATTTACATACTGGGATCAGGTATTCTAAGCCGTGTATTTTTTACTTTAGAGATGAGGTCAGAACAGGAATCCGAGGTTTAAGCTTTCTCGAATAACGATGGAACCTGTAGAAAGATGAATTCGTTAATAATCGTATCAATTTTTCATCGTGAAGAAATACCGACATAAATTCTTAATCAAAACGATGATATCTTTTGTTGCAGAGCGCCAGTTCGCCACGACGGGTGGCCGTACCGGTGTTGGTGAAGGACGGCAAACCGTGCGGAAGCGGCGGCGGTGGCGGAAACGAGGGTAGTCGCGGTGGACCAAGCGCGGCCTTGGCGAGTCCAGCCCCTCACATGACAGCGGCGTCGAGTCCTCACGGTTCCCACCACGCCGCCTCCTCCGTTTCTCATCACTCGGTGGTCGGTGTCAGCCACGTGATGACGTCCAGTCAAAGTCTTCAGCATTGCTCGTACTCGAGGACGGGAGCTCAACAGAGCATGCAGCAGCAACAGCAACCGCAATGCGGCGCGTACCTGCCGTTCCAAGGTCGGGCTTGGTAGTACATGCCCTCCGCGGCGGGGGCTAACCCCTCCGTCGCAGGTCCAGCTGCCTGGTACCCCGTGGAAGACAGCCCTTAGACAGAGTCACGTGTCCCATAGTCCAATTTCATGAACGATGCGAGGTTCTTACCTCGAAACTGGTCGTTGGAGGAACACGGGTCACGTGCTAATCTAGAAGAGTACTGTCTTTCCCTGGTGACGACGCGAAACGCAGACGCTGGAAAGCCGGATGAACTGTTTCTTCATTTCGGTGTTTGAGAGAAGATCGTCTTGGACGATGGACAAGTTAATGGAGAACACAGGGCAAAGAGAATCATACGATGATTTTTCTTTGAGATGATTCTGCGTGGACCGCAGGACGATTACTTGGAGTCGATGATTGTGCCAAGGTTTCGATCGCTTCGAGAATCGGTTAAATCTATCAACTCGTCGTGGTCAATAACGAAGCTGAGGAAGTAAAAATTGTGAGAAGTCTTTGGACACTGGAATTTCTCGGGCTCTTGAAATGTCAAGTACTTACGCGTTATTTTTCGTCGTTCCTTTCAACGTCCACAGAAAGTGATTCGCCCGTTAAACGTTTCAACATCCAGGAACCATGTTCGAGATCCTCAGACTCTGACGTTTTCACGATCTACCATAAAAACAAGGAGACGAACAAGTCCAAACTTCTAATGGGATTCGAAGCGATTCGAACGCACCTCCGTCGCTAATCGATTCCACCTTGAAAGAAGAGTCTGATACGAGAAGAAGAACAATCTAAATGTGTTACACGTGAAAAAGGAAAGAGACTCTAGAAATTTTCTCATTCACGAGTGAATACTTCTGCAAAGTATAAAGCAGTTATTGCAATATCTTCCCGAAAAAACGACTAGATTATCTAATTAACGACCATTTACTACTTAAAGAGTTTTCGAGCATTACTCGATGAGAAAGATGAAAGGATCGTTTTACTGCACCTGCAAGTTGGCGTAGGTGGGTAAATGCAGGTGTTGGAATAATCTGATCGGTCCACTCGATACGAGTCGATTCCAATTGTGAGAAACCGTACACCGTGTGTGACATTCGAGACCCACTCTGCCGACACTGTTGCCTATCGCTGCAACAACGTGAAAAGCATTGGAATTTCCGGTGAATTGATTTTCCCCTGGTCGCAGCTTAACTCTGAGAGTTCGAATTCAATGTTGTTTCATTTTAACACTTTGTCTTCTGGTTAAGTTAAAAATACTTAAGAAAAAAACAAACCAATGAATCGATGTTGGTAGTCGAAAGAGTCCTGATATTGAAATGGCCAAGTATTCTACAGTTGAGACATTCGAATAACACCAATCTAAAAAGAACTAAAGGTAACAAGAGTGTCCTTAATACACATAGCACATTGTAACAATGGATTCTTTGGATCCGAAATTACTGTATAGTAATTTTCCAATGGAAATAAGTTTCTACCGAAATAGAATATCAATCTAAAGCTTGCCTAAAAAATCCTAAATCCTAAATTTGAAAATCACGAACCTACTTTTTTCAGATCCAGAATCCATTCTTACAGTAACTTGTAATAAAAACGAACGCCTAGTTACGCGAATAACTGATGCGGGCAAAGAACCGTAGCCAAACAGACGGCAACGCTAAAACCTCATCGTTTCCACGCGATCCTCCGCATCCGTTCGCCAGCTTCGTATCCGTTAGAATTCTTTCATCGAGAATTGAAAAAACGAGAATCTATTCAGGCCGAGATGTCGACCAATCGGCTGGCGGTGATCCGTATCTAAAACACACACACCCGTAGAGAGAATAAGTATTCTTTGAACTGGTGCGACAGGAAGTAGGGGGTAGGCGTATCGCGGGAGAAGGTGAGGAACAGTCGAATACACGGTTCGTTCAATTGAGCGACGCGAATCCGAGGTTTTTTCCAGGGAATCGTGTCGCGAGCGTGTTTCAGGCGAACCACGTCGAGCCGGGACACGCGTGTACATAGTTAGAAAGATGTATATTACAGCGTTTTTCTTGTCGCTCGTCGAAGAAGAGAAGGAGGATCGATCGAAAACCGCGAACCTTCTCTCTTCCGCGGTCGGCCACGGGGAACAAAGAGGAGTCGAGCGAGAGAAAGAGGAGATAAAACACGGCGGTGCCACCCTGTGATAACGGGGTCACAGCTGTGAATCCGATGGTGTAAATATAAAACGCGTGTTGCGCTGGTGTTTGGGGGCGTACACGTGACACTTGGTTGGCGGAGTGTAAAAGAGGATGCCACCAGAGACACCGACGAAACACGAAAGTCGGTGGATTTTCGATTGAAAACCGGAGCGTTCACGTTCTACTGTGTAAACGATTTAGCAAACTCGAGCATTATCGACATTATGTAACACACACACACACACGTACATTTACACTGTCATATAGACACGCGTACAGACATGGAACACGGTACACAACACATACACATACAAGCGTAAAAATATAACGATTGACGAAATAGCGAGTAGCGTGTGACGGTGAAGAAATTAGAGATTATTACAAAAATTTTGTAAATAACGACAGAGATATTAATAAAACGATACTTATTCAAAGGAACGAGAGTGCAGCGTGTAATTTGGAGAACCTGTCTCGCAGCCTGCTTCACCTTTCCTTCTACCCCTCGTTGCTACCCTTTCAGATTAGACAAAGGATTGATTACGCTTGAATGATTTAATACAGTGAAATCATCGGTGAACATCGGCGTGTTAGTTTCTCTTTCATTATGTTCATTGAATTCGTATATCTTTCATGAAAATAAGCTTCGAATCATAAAAGGATTCTGAGAATCGATGCAAGTTACATATTTAAATAAATAAGTCTAGCAATAACTGCTACAGCTCAATAAAAAAAAAAACCAGGGCACTCGTTTATGACGTTCGCGTGGCACGGAGACTAAGAATGTTTCATTACATCTCTCGCGATTTTCCATCGCCCCGTTTCTCTTGATGCGGAACGAAACGATCCCACGACGAGCGCCATGGAAACACCCTCCTTCTATGAGTTGCGCCGCGTTATTCCTGGCCCCGTAACGTCGTAACCCCCATAGAACGCGACGGTGTACCTACGATTATTAAGGTAAGCCGATCTCCTCGATAGGTGAAGGTTAATGCCCGGCATGCAGGTAGAGTAGAAGCCAGCCACCAGGAGTCGGCCGGCTGTTATTGGATATTTGCCGGGGGAGTTTGTAGCTGGGGCTAAACCCTGGGGGTAGAATTCCGGCGATTTATCAAGAGTACCGTGACTAATTGCTCCTGGAAACGGCTGCAGGTACACGAGTACGATTTACCGGATCGAAACAGAAGAGATCATGACTCAAAAATATAACGTAAGAATTTGAATCTAAACCGCGGGAATAATCGAAGGGTATAAAAGTATGAAAAAATGATCGCACGTGTTTCACGCTCGATGTTGACGCGCGCGTGTCGTGCGTCCACGCGGATGCATGTGTATGTGTCTGTGTGTGTGTCGTATGACATACGAGAGGTCCTGATGGTGACAGGCGACCGCTTCTGGTGGTCACTCTTATACACTGGTATCCCATATCGCACCCCACACACCCCTCTCTTTCTCTCGCTTCGCCCGCCATTATCATATTTATTAACTGCCGCTCGACGCTTATATCTACACCTATTCGCTGCCATTCCTATATAATATAATCTGTGCCAGTGACAGCAGCACGTGGCTCCAGCCTCCATACCTTCCCTTCACCCTCGAACGCCGGTCCATCTTCTCTTTATTTCTCTCGTTTCCCTACCGCAACTCGCGCCCTTATTAGACTGGCACGACGGATTTGTTGCAGTTTGTTTGATACGATTATAGGATCCACTGGTTTTCTCGTGATTTCTGATGGACGTCATGGAAACAGAGGATTAGTACAGGACATACAGTTTGGTAATGGAAAGATTATGTTTGTAGGTCACTTACTGGTATACTATTGTTAGAGAACAATAAGCTTTGGATATTTTTTTCAAGGTCATCGAGGACTTGTATTATCAAAGCTGTTGTTTCTTGGAGAATGGCACGCGTAAGCTTTCGTATTCGCGATTCCTCTGGTCGATTGTAAATTCATGAAGGAAAAGGAAATCGAACGCCCCACGTCGGAACCCTGTTCATGAATACCGGGCCGACGAAAACATGGGGCTGTTTCGATCTAAGACGCGAGAGCGAAGCTGGGGTGTCCTTAGCCAGGATGCTAATGTCGTCTTCTTCAGCCTCTCTCCCTTGATAGCTGCTGGATTCTAATGCATTGCAAAGGGTTACCGAGCAACCACTTGGCATTCGTCATTCATGGGTTCCTGTTCGAGTCGAAGGAAGTTTCTAAAGGGAAACATGGATCATTGTTTAAGTTAAATGAATTGAAAGAGGGAATTGAAAACTGCTGTAACATTTTATTTTAATCATAGAGAAGAAGAGTGGATATACTGACCTATAAGCTAAAGTGCAATTGGCGTACATACTTGTGAATCTACAGGGGCGGTCAGGTCGAGGATTAGAATGAATTAAAATTAACGCCTTCTCGACACGATGACAGAGGAACTAGAGAAAAACTTTTCCATCTTCTGCAAGGCGGCTTTCCAGTTCGTATCAGTCAATCAATCGTTTCTGCAACTACACCTCCCTCGTCCTCCGGCGCGTTATTGAATTGGAAATTTCCGGCCAGGGGACAAAGAGTCGATTTCATTTGAAATCATGCCGCGTATTTCATAGACTTTCATTCGAACAGGTAGAAATGCAGATTGCCGGCGACACAAAGCATTCCAGTCGGGATAACCGAACTGGATAACGGGTCCAGATATTGCTACTTGACTCCCTCGCCCTGCTGGTAATTGCTACGCCAGAATGCCTTTGCCATTCGGTGCCGTCAGGGAATTTGCAGATATTCGCTTGTTCGCCGTATGTAAGATACCTATGCGTTGCCGCTTGCTCCACCTGAAATTGATATTTCATTGATACATTATTAAATTCGAATTAAAAAAAAGACATCCACGGTTAAAGGGTTGTTCGCGTCGCTCCTTCACATCTTCCCATGGATTTTCATAGCTGTTCACTTCTTGAAATACCTTCGATCAATAATAAAAATGTTATAAAACGATAATCCAGAATAACACCGGACGACGAACGGGTTTGTTAAACGTTTGCGTCACTTGTAAGACTTTGCTCTTTGCGTAAGCTCTCTCTCGCTAATGAAGCGCACTTAGTCGCGAGAAAGAAGAAAGAAAATATAGCGTCGACGCACGGTTTTCATTGATTCTGAACAACTTGCACCGTTCAATGTCTCGGCATACGAAATCGTTTAACCACCGATCGGATGAAGAAAACCCGGCAAAGTCTACTGTCTGTGACCCGTGTCCGAGCGTACGTCACTGTGTTACTCACACGAGAAGAGAACGAGCGACACGTGTATACACATACGACATCGGGTACGAGTATACGTTTGAGTCTGGGAGCAAAAATCGCGCGTTGGAAACGGTGGGGAAGCGACTCCGCCTCTGGTCGACCCTACCGTTCTACGAACCCGCCCTATGGGTACGCCCCTGAAGCGAAGCCGGTTGCGTGGGCGAGCTTGACCTCCAGAAGTAAATCGTTCGAAGACGATGGAAAATGCTTCTTCGTGGCACAACCAGCTTTCCACCTACTGACCGAGACTTTTTTTTTCTTCGCGCTCTTTACCAAGTCTCTTAGATTTATTCGTTAAAATGTTGCCAGTGAAAGTTGGTCGTCGTCGTTACAGACGCTTGCGCGTTTGCTATTCTAAAAATAAATAAGGGTTGCTTTATTAGTGTTGGAACGGAAAAATTTGCTCTGTATTATTTTTTTATACGAACCATCAGCTTCGTTGACGCAACGACGCGTTCCCCGTTGATAGGAGCCGCAAGGCACGTCGGTCCGTTATTAATTGTCGATTTCGCGTGCGGAGAACAAAGGTTCGCGACCAGTCCCCGGACACACTTAACCGACGCCTGAAAAACAGTTGCTGCGACACAAAAGCTTGACGCGGCGTGTATAACGAGCACTTAAGCACTCGACAACAACGGTCGAACTCGAAAATGTCATAAGATGGTATTGTACAGGGAGGCCACTCGTCGGCCCGTTGGCGCGTACACGATGGTATATTGTTTATCGAGCAGAAGGTAGACACAGGGTGCAAGGGCAGAGCTTTTGTAAAAATTATGCTCGCTATATACTTTCGGTGGACGAGAGGTACGCATATGCCTACCGGCTATTCGATGAACTCTCAAGAGGTTATGTACGAACGACGAAGGAAAATCGCGAAATCGAAAGTTCCCACACACGGCGAGGCCACCAGGGGCGACGCGCTCGGTTATACTCAACGTAGCACCCCACGACAGGGTGACGACGTAGGTCTTTTTTTCCATCCGAGCGTATCGTTATTTCCGCGAGACTGGACAACCGAAGTCAAGGAGTCGACGTGACGCAAGCGGGGGGTCCGATTCGCACGGGGGGTCAACCACGGAATCGAAGCGCGACGCAGGTGAAAGCCCCTTGTCGGTAACTGGTACGAGACATTATCGACAGGCGGGTGCCCCGCGCGGGAAACCTCGCGGGGGGTCGCATCTCGTCACCTTTTTCCTATCAGACTGCTCACTCCACCATCGAATCTCTCGATCTTACCTTCGATCTTATTCGCAACCGTCGAACGTTCGCATGAAGCCTGCACCGGTTGAAAGGTTATGTTACTTGGCCTCGGTAGAAGCGTCTACATTCTTCATCCTAAATTAATAAAAATATCACAATAAAATTCCTGCCAAAACAAGATACAACGTACCAAGTAAAATTACGACCCCGTTTAGACAGGAAAGACGTGTACAGGGCTAAAAGCACGCGGAGGGATCCGGGCTTCGAGGAAGGGTAGCGATCGAGCACTTGAGCACGAGCTGAGAAGAAATGCGGGGAGAACAATGGCTAGAGGTAACCAGGAGCCGGTGCTGCGTCATCCCGGTGTCTGAGCCTGTCTCCACCGACGCGGTAACGAGGTGTACGTCAACCAAAGAGCTTACCTTCCTGCGAACTATCACGAAAACCGACCACCCACGGTTTCTCCGGAAGCACGATCACATTACCCAGGGCTGGCCCCTAGGGCCACCATAACACGATTTTGCGTCTAAGAATGTTTACTTGAATATTAATCTATGTAAATGCAAAACTAAATTAGTTATAAATTTTATTTGAGATATATTACATATGTAAAGGAACCCTTTTTCGGAGCTCGCCTCGGACCCCCGAAATCCCAGGACCAACCCCAACGCAGCGTTAATTAGACAGAAATATCTTACCAGTTGATTAATTATTCTCCTCTGCCACTGTTACAAAATGGACTCCAAACAATGCAGTTTCCTATAATAATTCAGAGATGGCTCTCAGGCGGAAATTTTCTTAAAGCACGTGACCGATGCGACAACCATCTTTGAATCTAGTTCACTTCCGGTTCCATCAAAGAAGAGGGCTTCCAATGTAAGTACAAAAGTTTGTCCGCAGCTGTTTGATCTTTCCGCGTGGTTTCGCGGCGTATTAGCAACCGTAAGACACTTATCGAAGGCAGGAAACGTTATCGGTACAGAGAAGGACGGAGCAAGGTAAATCACGGGAGATGAAGCGAGAGAGGAGACGAAAAGGTAAAAGAGGAAGAGAGAGTCGCGTATACTTGGCTACTTAGCATTTACATCCGCCATCCATTTTGCACGCCGGTACTTTACTCCCTATTCTTTACCTTTAGGTGCCTGCACCCATGTACCAACACAGGGCTCGCAGCTACGATACGCGAACGTATGTCACATACATTAACACGGATTGCTGCGTTTTCACGTTGCCGAGCAATGCGTGGTCTACATCGTGGGCTACGGGAAAGAAAGGGGGAAGAATGGAAGGGAAGAAGCAAAGAGGAAGAAGGATGAAGAAAGATGGGAGAGAACGTAGGGGAAAAGAGAACTCGGATGTGCTGCGGAGCAGAGTCGTGTGAGGTGAGGGCGCACCTGGACCTTCTTCTCCATAGGCGTACAAGGGCTCTCACTGCCTTCCACTCCACGATTCAACCACCCAACGGACTGCCTCCAGTTACGTGCACCAAAGTTTCTTCTTTCTCTGTTTCCGACCTTTTCTTTCTCTCTCTCTCTCTCTCTTTCTACATTTTTTGTTTTTTATTTTTTTAGCCGCGTAGATCGCACGAGTGGGTGCGTACCTTTGGAATCTGCGCCCGCCGAGGCAAATGCGTTTTACATCGGCCTCGCGAGAGCAACGCGATGCTCGGTATTTTGTAAAAAAAGAAAGGAAAATTTTACTATCCCGGTGTCATGTAAAAAGAGAAGAGCAACGTAATACCAGGGTAAAACAAACAAAAAGTGGTAAAAGCGTAGGTGATACTTTATGAAGGATCGTTCAGAGAACGGTGAAACAAGGGAGAATTGAAATCGAATAAGTTGGATTAAAAAATATTGATATTAATTTCAGAATTGTAAAACGTAGAAACGTAAGAAACGCAGAAGAGCTGTCCGACGAAATTCAGTTGATGGTAGGAAATGGTCGGGGCGCGTACCCGTATGGAAAGCAGAGTGAACGCATTACACGCAAGCGACGACTCGTACTCGATGAAGATGTAAGGGCCGCATTGTGTCCTGCACCGTCGAGTGAACTCGAGGATAAAGAGAGACAGAGAGAAAGTATGCACGTCCATAGAGAGCGGGACCGCAACTACTAACGGTGGGGTAGATCTCAGCGCGGATAGTGCTTTATTTCATCAAAGGGACAACAAGGAAGCCGAGATAACGCCGCGTGCTTCACAGAAAGGAGCACTTCGGATAGAGGACGTATGCACGGCACGCACGACGCGCTCGATCATCCATAATCGTGTAAACTCGCGATAACCACGCTCCAGTTGCATCCTTCTTGAAATTCTTCAAAAACAACAATCCTCCAGCAAAGTCAAAAATCTTACCGGAGATTAATTTTTATAAGTAATTCTAGAATAAAACACTCGTACCGGAGCATGGTAACATAACGAGAAGCAGGGCCTTAGAAACGAAAGGGTTGTTTACAATTACCCATGCGGGCTATCGGAAATATCGGCTTGGATCTCCGTACGAGAGAGACCGGATAATTTTATGCGGGCAATGCAAATTACACGAGCCGTGTAGAATACAATACGTCCACGTGATTTTACAAATACACTCGTGTAATTAACATTCTCGATTATTAATGAAACGAGTAAAATGATGTACTTTTAATTAAGTTGTAGGTCAAGAGATTGGTACCAGTATATCAGAGGCAGGATCGAATCGGTGGACAAAGTTTCCTGTGCCAAAAAGCATCTACCGTTGAAACGGTTCTACAATATGGGTTCCCGATTTCAGGGTGACGATAGAGGAGCCAAAGAGAGGAGAGGGAAGAAAAAGAGAGGAAAGGAGAGAGAGAGAGAGAGAACAAGAGCGTTGCTCGCTATTGTTTTCTCGAGTGGTACTCACTGGTTCAATGCTCGCCTGCTCTGGTAGACCGGTACCAGATGTACCCCGACCGCTTGGTTTCAACTGTGATACCACGCCACGCCATTCCTGATCACTACGTTCCCAGCTTACCAAACATTTTTTTCATTCTTCCAACCAGATGCTACGTGTTATTCATTTACACTACTAAGTGGAAGGATCCAGGATGATTAAAATCACTATATGGTTTTACAAAGAAGTAGGTATTGTAGATGATCCCTCTGTTGGAGTAAAGTATGTTGAATTTAAGATCTTAAGACTGATTGCAGTATTCAGTTTACTTGGATGGATAAGAAAATTCAGCTAACACGAATCTGCAACCAACTAAATTATATATTTTTTTTTTATCATTTTAAGTGCGTACAATATGAAAGTCTCCGCGTGTAACGCGAGAAAGCTGCGAATACAATGGAAATTATTATGCTTGTCACCTTTTTGATCGATTGTGCAGTGATGATATGTACGAACAAGTTTGAGGTACAATCAAGACGTTGATGGGAAAGAAACGTTCGGTAACTAATGAAATTTTGTAAGAGGAATGTCTATACTGTCTAGTGAAAAAATATCTTCGTTTAGCAAGTTAATTAAATCATATGTAAGTGTGATCTTCGTATCAGTCATCGTGTTAACAATTCTATCTCTTCCTCTGGCAAAGCCCCAATTGTTCCAATTGCGATAGGAATGACGAATAATTGAAGGAAAAGAACGGCAATCGATGTTGTTTAAAAGAATACTCTGTATTACAACTGGTGATGGTATCCACGACGACACTGTAACTCAGAATACCAATCAACTGTTCTACCAACACCGAATGAAAGTTACGATTCATTATGTTATATAATTAAAAAAAAAAAAATAGAAGAAAACTTTATAAGAAATAGAAAAGCGAGTTACATATATCTCGACTGATCATCTACTTAAATTATGCTAATAACACGTGTAACATGATCTTTTTTAATTCACGATCGTTCACGTAAAGTATACAATTACATTCCCATTAACAGATTGTGCTCGCTCGAACGTTGCTTCTCTTGCCTGTGTTCTGCCGCAGTCGAGGAACAACCTTTTGCGATACCATTTAATATCATACAAATTCTTTTTTTTTTTTTTTCTTTTACAATGCAGTTCATATAAAATTACACTTGATATACCTTTACGTCACTGGCTCGTAAATAATAATTGCCATCACGTTTGCCACTATTGCACGTTTGTAATATTCATGCTTGAACCGGTGAGCTGACGTTCAGGAGACTTTTTAAAACAAAACTGTGGATGTCATTTTGTGGCTCATTGAAAAAAAAAAGAAAAGGTGAGAGCTACCTGACTCCACCTCATCCAGGATCGTACCTAAATTATATAGGTACAGTGTAAATAAAAATAAAAAATCATGTGTGATTATCCAGAAAATGTCCTAATTCTCTTTCTTTTCGATTTCAGATAATGAAGATAACGAAGACCGATGAATGGGTCTCGTGATGGCATTAGTCAAACGTAAGTGAACACAGAGAAACACGTCTACAGTCTACCGTCTCCACCCTCCTCGGTTCCCGCCACTTCCACTGCTGCTGTTCCCTTGGTAATTAGAGGAATAATTCTAGAACACCAGAAGACACGTGATTAACGATCGAACCTACCCCGAAATCGTACTCGAGATGTTCTCCAGTTTCTGCTACTTCAACGCGTTCACTGGTACATTGAAAATGGTCATGGACTAATACGACACGTATTATCAAAGACTATGATACAATATTTTAATGTAAGCTTTCAATTTTCTATAGATCAGATAGTCTGTAATGGCAAGTATTTAACACGAGTATTTTCTAATTGAACCGGACTGACGTGATTCTAAACCATTGATTAATTGTTCTCAGAAATTGAAAGACCAAGATCTTACCCGTTGCTGATTGTACTGCTGGGATCCGTAGTTGTTATACTGTTGATTCTGGTACTGGTTCCTTCCATACTGTTGAGCACTGTAGTTATTCCTCTGCTGGTACTCTGGAAAACGCTGGTAATTAGGTGGTGTACCGTATCCCCTCGCCCATGGTCCGGACATCAGTGAGACTTGACTGGAACCAGCGCTCTCGTATCCTCCTTGATAATCGCTGCTCTGGTAACCTGAAATCAATCAACGATCTATTCAGAATCTATTCCACGTGACTATACCAATTTACGCTTTTAGACATCCAACACGTATAACGCTATAGACCCAACGACGCGTCTACCATCGATGAACCTGCCAGCATAGCCGCGTTAATCGGTGTACCTACATATCGCGGTACCTCTGTCTATCATCGGAGAAAGAAAGGACGGAGGAGACCGGGTTCCCGGCAGGAGCACAATATTCGCGTAGGTGAATGGGACACGGAGCGTGGCGGCGCGTGTCACGCGTTCCCTGGAATAATATGTAAACGCGCGTGCAGGCTGGCTACGTCGAACGGAAGACAGAAACGGCGGGGCCAAGTGTTTGTCAGCATCGCGAAACGTCATAATGGAGCTCGATGCTAATAACGGATTTTCGAAAGGGCAATGCGCCTGGTGCAGGCGCGTGCAACGTAGCAGAGAAATCAGGCACGCACGCACGCACGTACGTACACGGGTCGACCAGTGAGAAACGAAGAAAGACAGAACCCCCCCTACCCCGTTATACGATCGTCGTTCACCCCCAGGAAGCCGTCGAATCCTCGCTCCGCACGCCCACGCAAACACGACTCTAGAGAGACGAGTAGAGAGAAAAAAAAAAAAAAAAAATTGGAGGCACACGATATAATGACGACGCTGACAAAAGAACAAAACGGTTACGCCCTCTATACTCGCAGTTACCGTCGTCTTTGACTCCCGTTGAATATTTATAACTCGCTTTCGAATTGCGAGATCATGCTTTTTACGGTAGTCAAGGGGAGAGTTCGAAATAAGAGACTCCGTTTGTTTGATGTATCGTGACGAGTGGAAATCAATTTTAATTGAATTGATTATAAGCTAAACGCGGAGGAGGTAGTGCCAGTGAAACGCAGCAGGTCGGGCGCGAGTGTTTCGCGAGATTTCCAACCACCGTGGAAACAGTAACGAACTTCGCGAATCTTGTATTCATGTATTCCACGCGCGGCTCGTCTCTCGTTGTCTGCCACCGATGCATTCATCCAAGGGACCATCGATCCACTTATTCTACTTAAAAACGAGTCGCTGAATCTATGCTTAAGCGTTCGACCCCTAATTACTTTTCTTCTTCCAGGAGTCTATCTATCAGCATAGAGAGACTATCAGTGACGCATGATAATCGTATAGTACGGTTCAATCGAGCTCGTAATGGGAGGTGGCAAACACCGTCAATATTATCGAGGGTCGAAGGGGTGGTACCCGCGGATTCGTCTACCAGTTTATAGATTCCTGTCTCTATTCCAGGAGCTGGCACGACCGCTTTCTCTGTGGCAAACAATAACATCCCCCGTGGATTCCAGCCGTGGACCGACTACGAGGGGACCCCCACGGTAATCCTCACCCTCGCCGAAAAAAGGGCCAAAGGGGGAGGGTTTAACAGTTTACACGTCGGATCATCCCTCGTTATTGTTGCGTTTATGATAATAGCAGCCGACTGGCACGCACGCAGACCCGGCTGACCGCTTCAACCCCATCCCGAGGGTCAAGATCGTTACCACGCTCAGGTATTTAATTAGACAGGTCTGCTGACGCTGAAGCTCGTTACGGTATTAATTTCACTGTTTCTACAGGAGCTTTTTTTTGGATGAATTTTGATACCGCCACACCGTACGAAAGATTCCGAGCAACATAATCTCACTGGAGAGATTAAATTTAACGATATCTCTAATGTCTTCGACAATGTACAACGCGGACACATTTTTGTCCTCTTCCAAAGATGAGTATTTTATACGATGACGATAGTGATTTAATTGGAAAGTCTCGGTCGTTTGGAAAAATATGATTTTTCCGATATTAAAATGGCGGACAATTAATTACAAAATGAAAGCTCCGCCTGCTCGATGCCGAAGCCCGCGAAATTGTATTGGAAGACAGAGGAGGGAAAAGCGACGCGGGGAACACGATGGAAAGAGAGAGAGGTTCGTTCATACGTTAGGTAGTATATGCGCTGTGCGTTGCCTATCCGCCATGGGTATTGGATTGGATTGGATCGCCGCGTCAGCAATACAAACACTCGAAGCCTCGATGTGGGTCGGCCTCTCCCGTTCCTGTTTCAAACTGAAATTACACTTTCCCGTCCGACCCGGCCACCCCTCCTCCCCCGCACCCCATCTAGCTCCATTTTTATTCTTCGCGTTTGTCGTTTTTCCATTCGTCATAAAACGTTTCGCCAAAGTTCACCGTTAAAAACCAATCGCCATTTTCAACAGTTTTAACAGCCGGGCTACTCTGGTTGCGTTAAGTTGTTGCACACGAAAATGGACGACTTTGAAATATTTAAATCACAGTAATGTAATATATATATGTTTCTCCATTTCAGTGATTCGAACGATGCCTGAAATTTCGTGAACCGTCAAAAGACTCGGAGGAAATTGGTCGGAAAGTGTAAAAGCCGTGAGACGATTTTCACGGAAGAGGAAATCAGAGGAGGCCGACGGGGGAACGGAAGGGGCCGTTTCCGTTCGAAGGATTAGAAAATTAAAGGCGGAGAGTTCGAGGCGCGTATAAATTCTCTTCGGCCGCGAACCGAGCGGAGAAAAAGACCCGTGACGGGCGCAGCAGGGAAATCGAAACCCTTTAGCCGCGCTTTCCTCGAGAGGCGAGACCAACCGACTAACTCGAATGAAAAGGCACCCGGTGCTGGTAAGAGACACTTCGTGCACGCTCCTGCTGGCGTGTATCCGAGCACGAGAGAAGGAAGAAAAAAAACACGAAGGAGAAGAGAAGCAGCGAGGGAGGGAGGAGAAGACGCTTATTTAGCTTACCTTTTACTTACACGTGCTGTACAATGTTTACCTACACCCATCTAAGCGTATAAGACTGGAGGGACTGCTCGAGAGGAATAATGTTTGCGTAAGAAGAATGGATAGCGATTTCGATATTTAAAAAAAGAAAAGGAAAAAAGGAAGAAAGGGAAAACGGTACGTATCAAGGTTGACGTGCTGCCGACTTTCTAACGCGAAGGATAGTCGAACGGCATACATAATTTCGATAAGATAAGACTGTATTCGTAGAAGGAGAACAAAGTCAGCCTTGATTTAAAAGTTGCATCGCGTCTGGAGACATTTCTTACGAGAGCCAGAAGAATAAGAAGAAAGGAAGAGGAGGTGTGTTAGGTTCGAAGGTGGACGGCAACTACCTGACGACAGAAGAAGAAAACAATGAACAGCAGCGGGAGTAGCGTGCGTTCCCTATCGTGGCTGTTGGCCTGTACAAGATGGCGCCTAGCAAGCCCGGAGTACCACTCGGGCGATTTCCGGTGGCTTTGTTCCGCGCGCCACTCGTACACGGGGTGTATTCGATGAAACTCGAGGTTTAAAGGCGCGTTTTTCAGCCGCGCTATGAGCTTACGTGCGTGCGCGAGATATAAAGAGGTTTTTCTTCTATGAAGCCAGTTAGCCAACGAACCGGTAATTCCTCCACCGCTTCTACACGGCTCTCCTCTCTTCGTCAACTTCCTCTTTGCGGCGGTTCCTCGCGTTTCGACTTCAACTTCCTCCTTCACTTCTTCGTCTTCTTCTTTCTTCCCCTTTCTTCGTACCCTTTGCCGGGCTCGCCAGCATTCATTCTCGCCTTTGCGCACTGCAGAAGAAGAAACGAGCCGGGTGCAGCTCAAGATCTCTCCCCGTTCTCCACCAACCCCCCAACCCCTCACCGTGTCTTTCTCTTTCTGTCACCGAGCATTTTCCTGTTCCTCTTTTCAGTCGCCGGTAATGGAGGCCCTCGAAGCCGGTCCTTCTAGCGCCTCGACGAGCCTCCTGCCTCGACGAAACGAAACGAAACGAAACGAAACGAAACGAAACGAAACGAAACGAAACGAGAGACGAGACACGTTTACCCCCGTCGACTTTTACTTTCTTTCTCCCTCGGTCGCGCCCCGTTTCCCCGTTTCCTTCCTTCCCGCTGATTCGCTCGAGAAGAAAATGCAAACCGTCCTCGCTGTTCCACTGGCGAACAACCGTCTTCCTACCGTCGGCTACTGGCTTCACCATCGATGGAAGTTAATTTGTTTATCGGTATCGATGGACCTGTACTTTAAAACTCTTGAAAGGTTTTTAGACATTTTTAGTAGATTTTGGGTGGATTTTGGTTTTATAGGACTCTCTCTCTCTCTCGATAGTAGAGATTATTATTGGAATTCGCTTCACCGCTTTAGACGTTTGCCAATGCTTCCATGGTCGTCCGATCGTTATCGAAATCCATCGAGGGATTCGAGGCAGGTTATGACGCAGCCTTGCGATCATTATTACTGAAAATTTCTATCGTTGCAGGTGGAAAACTGATCCTGTTTGATATTGCTACCGATTACCATGCGATGTTGGTACTCATCAAGAAGATGAACGTAAGATGACCTCGAGACATCGTACCCTTTCATCAGACGCGAAAGCAACGTCACCGATAAAATGGCTGTAAGTGGAATCGCATCAAGATCGCGATCGTTTGTCCCGAATTAACAATCGGCACCGGAATAAAACGCGTTGATCGAGTGAAGCGTGGCCGCGAGCGTCGTTTCGTTCTCCGGGTATTTCAGCTTCGTCGAAACTACGGGGGGTGGTGTGCGAGGCGCACAGGCAAGGGAAGAGGGGGATCAGAGGGTGAGGAGAGAGGTAGGCGGGTGGTTGGGAAGGTAGGACAGGGTGTACGGCGGAGGGAGGAAAAGCTGGAGGATAGAGAAAGAGATGGGTAAAGGGCGACGATGGAAGAAGGACGGAGAGAAACACTTGACCCTGCCTGGCTGGTTGCCGCACAGCCGATGCTGTGCCAGCAAACCCCACCGTGCAACGTGCGTTAATAAACGCAACGGCGCTGTGTTGGTCCCTCGTCTGTGTGCTCCTCCCGTACCCTCGACTCTTTCTCTTTCCAGACCCTCGACAAACCTCACCCTCCTACCCTGTCCCGTCCTTGTCCGACTCACGCGGGACGCACGCCCACCGGAACTGTTCGCTCTCGGTTTGGTGCCGCGCATGCGTTACGTCACAGGAAGACCGAACGAAGACACGCGTGTGTGGCGCTACCCCTACGCACACGTGTGGGTGGGTTAGATCGGTCGCGCGCGAGTAACGTGTTGACTCTCGCGATCGCGCAGCTCCTAATTTATTTACAATTTCGCGAAGGGGGAACCGGATTGATTCGAGCCCCATCCAACGACGAGATCCAATACCGGGGCCCCGCAGTTAGCTTGCACGGGCTGCGTACACCGGCGAGCCGTAATTCGCTAGGCGTTTAATTGCGCACCCCCTACGCGCGACAGCCTAGACCACCGCCGGCGCGGCGTGCCGTCGTTCGATGCTGATTAACGGCTGCCTTTGTTTCAGGATTTCTTATGCGACGCGGCGTACGGTTCGATAAGCCTAACCGACGATGCGCTTGGACGGCACTTGGCCGAATATCTACTCCGAAGCCCTCGAGGTAGGCCGCTCGGAAGAAAAGGAGATCAGCGACGATCGAAGAAGCATCCTCGGCGAATCGAGTAGTAACCGAAAATCTAAAGGGTCGCGTGACATTTCGCGAGGTCCCGCGGCCGAGCATCGGCCAAGAAATGTCGTCCACCGGGGTAGGAGACAAAGCGCGGACCAAGAAGAGGACCGGTATAAGACGCGTAACGCGAAAGACAGGGAGAGAGAGAAAGGGAGAAAGGAAGAAAGAAAGTATGCAGAAGCACTCGTGTCAGAGGCGACCAATAAATTTATCGAGCGGGTGTTGGCATGGAGACTGCTGGACAGAGTTCGGTTGGATGGCCCAGAGGGCGATGAGAGGGCACTCGAGAATCCTCCAGGAGCCCGTCACGGGGAAATTGGAGGCAGCCACGGCGGCGACCAGGAGGAGGAACACCGAGAGGAAAGAGGAGAGACGCGTATCCCCCCCTGAAGAAGGACAAAGACAGAGATCGTAGAAAACGAGGAAGGAGAAGCTCGTGGAGGAAACGAGGTGGACGGGAAGAGGGGTACGAGGTATCGATTTCTCGCGGTGATCCAATCAACGATGGTGCCTTATCTGACGCCTTTGCCACCCGCTTTAACCTCTCAGATACGGTACAGAATTTTGCTTTTCTCCTCGTTCTTCTCCTCGTGTGTCAGCCAATCGTTGCGACCTAAACGCTCTTTCAGGATTCACCTTCGGATTCTGCGAATTTTCAAACGACTACTAATGGTACCGGGGCTGAAGGGTTCGCGCGTTCGGTACGGGACAACCGTGCCCCATAGAAGCGAACGAATTACCCAAGAAATAGAACGATGTCTATATCGATGAAACGAGATTGAAATATCAGCTGAGCATGTAAGTGCTGGGACACAATCGATACACCGATGATGCGAGACAAGATGCAGCCAATATTTAACGAGCCAGCCTTGCCGAGCTGGCTTTCTTTAACCTCCGGTGATCTTTAATTCATTAACGGCATTAATTATTCATCGTCGATAACGACGACGGAATCGCTGATCTCGTTCCCCCTTGTGGTTCAACGAGACGGGCTGTGCCCTGACATCGCCGGCATTCGGTTGACATTTTTAAACTCGTTACTGGTCAATTAGGCCATAGGCTTGATCGTGTGAAATTTCAGCACACGGACAGTTATTTGTTTAAGTACAAGCCCGATATCTTCGTCATTATCTTGGATAAATCATCGGTGCAATAATCGAGGAAAATAAGTATCAGGAGAACGTTTTCGCGTGGACGTCCTCCAGTGTGTACGGACTGGCTAATCCTTCTCTGACATTGTTCCGAAACAATACGACATCCGTCCCTAATTTGTACTGTCATCGTCCTATCGTTTCTCTTTCGCGTTGTAACGCTGGCTGACAGAGTCAATATTTTCGCTGCCTCGGGAAAGGAGACGGAAATTCGGTGCGGGTAAAGTGTTCGCCAGCCACGAGAAAAGAGAAGAGAAACACGGATTTCTGCATAGTTTGCTTGCCTGCCGCGAGCGACTTGCTTGCTCAGCCGTTTCCGATTAACTCGTGTCTCGCGTACAACGCCGTCCCTCCGTTTTCTTCCCCGATACCGTCTTATATTGCTCCACGATATTTTTGGCAAAGTCGACGATTTTAAGACAGGGATGAAAACTTGTTAACGAATCCCGGTATGTACCAAAGTTTATTGGAAATAATTTTCTTTCAGGATCACCAGGAATTCACCGATATTTGTTTACGGAAGTTTGCGAAGAGAAGACGATCCGCGAGAAGAAAACGGTAAATCACTCGGAGGATGAAAGTGGCGGACGACCTAGTGAGTGTTCGAGTCGCACTCGTGGGACCTATGTCGGTTCAACTGGTTCTACGTTTGATTTGATGGAGCAAGAGGGATGAAAAAAAAAAAGGGAAAGAGGGAACGAGAGCAGAAGAGCGAAAGAGTAGTGCGCTCGGCGTTGTAGGACTCTCCGCTGGAGAGCCCTCCCTCTCTCTCGCCTGCTTAAAGCCCTATCCACTACTCATTTATCAAATAAATCAACACAGCTACTTGTGCACCTGTGAAGAGATTCAACCTGCGGCCCGTGCCGTCCAAAAGACCGTTGGCAATCTCTGTAAATCGATTTCTTCGCCGAACAATCGACCAACAAGAAAGTTTATCGATCAAACGTCAATTTTTAATTAATTTTAATTTCTAACTCTGTAATTCGCGTCGATTTACGTTTTCCTTTTAATGTGAAAAAAATCATAAAATTTCAGATTACTCGAAAGAAAGCCGAAAGAGGAAGCTGAGGAAGGAACGTGGTAATTAACGGGATGAAAGAGGAGATTCAGCTGTTTCCTCCCTAGGCGAGGAGTTGCTACGTTTCGCGTGCAGATGGAGCATTGGAGAAAGTGGAAAGACGCAAGGAAGAAAATGGAATAAGAGGTAGGGAACGAGGGATTACGAGGAGTGGCTAAGGGAGCTGGAAAGAGACGAAGGAAACGAGAGAGAGAGCATAATCAAAGAGCTTCGAAAAATCAGGATGCACTTAGAAGCACGTACTCGGCCTATAGAGAGGCATTCAGTTATACTGGTGAGTTTGGAGTCAAAGCAAGGACCCTTGCCTCAGCCGGCGCATTACCTCTGCTGCTCTCGTCGTCGTCTATGCCCCGCGTTTATATCCACCAGCTACCTTTTCCTCGGTAACCACCACCTCGTTCTATGTATTTACGATCACCGGATTCAACCAGCCTTTCCTTTCAGCGAACCAACATCGACGAGATTAGAAAGCAAACGTGTGTCATGATTATTGGACGAGCCATCGTTACAAAGAACGGCGAGACACGAGTGAGATACGACTTTCTTTTCATCATTAGACTCCAAAATGAATACGATTATCTCAGTGCGAGATTCAATTAAATATCTCAGTTCAGTGAGCCTTATCAGCCATAATTCTTTTCGATTGACACCTTCGAAAGGATCGGTTCTGTAGGCCGATATCCTACAAGAAATGGACATTGTTCTTTAAAATAAAAGAATAGTATCGGTACACGTGGTTAAACGTACCAGCCAAGAACCTGAAGAGCACTGATAATCGACAAGTATCGTTTCAATGTCGCGGAGAAAACAGTGGCAGAAGAAAAAACAATCACGCTTCCCTGTCTGTTCGGTTGGGCGTCGAAAAGTCGCGTTGAAGAGTCTTTGGTCCTGGTTGGAGGATCGTGATTAGGCGATATCGAGTCCTATACGCGATCACTCGACGACCGAGTAGATTGAAGAGGAGGGTAAAAAAGGAATCAGAGAAGGTGGAGGTGGAGGAGGAGGAGGAGCACGCGAGTAAGTAGGAAGGAGGTCGCGGGACGACACCGATGGATCCCTGAAAAGCGTTGAAAAGCTGGCTACTCGACTTTTGTAACGGAGTTAAGAAGAAAGAAGAGAAAGAGAAGAGGTAGAAGGACGCGTAAACCGCAGGAAGGAAGAAGTAAGTAGAGAGAAGAGGGAGGGTAAAGAGGAAAGAGTGCGTCACGAAGAAGAGGAAGAGGATGGTCCTTGTACACCGAGGACCCCAGGATACCGGCAAGGAGTATCCTAGAACTGTCGAGGATGCTTCAATCCCATCGTCCTCTTCCTCGTCCTGCCTCCTCTCGCATCGCGTGTCTCTCCTTCTCCTCCTCCTCCTCCTCCTTTTCTTTCCACGCTACTCTTTTCTCCTTGGAAATACTGGGTGTCTCCAGAATCTTTTCTTTTACATTATCAAATTTCATTTCCAGCCTTTTCAATATTTTTAACTTTCAATCCTCAAGTATCATGGCTAGGTAAGATTTAATCTCTTTCAAAGATATATTTATACCTTTTCTATTAATATAAGTAGATCACAATGTGTCTATTACAAATAGAATTTTCTATTTTTTTATTTCAGACGCTACCCTTCCTGAAACTGTGAAATATTTCTGATGCCGTTCAAATCAAAAGGGATACTTAGGCGTTTGATCTTAGCTGAGACACCCTGTACGCGATCGCAAGTCCCATCAGGATGTACTCTTGCAAAGGGAACCGTCGTCTCCTTCAAATGCTACACCAAGAGGGATATCGTCCTCCCTGCCAACCCTCTTTCACCTCGTTCGCCATCTTCTCTCTCTCTCCCTCTGCTACTTCTGTCCCTTGTTTTCTTCGTATCCTCGGGACAACGCGTGTGCGTGTGCGTGGATGTCGTCTCTGTTCCCCCTGTGTTCCAGCCGTTCTTCACGGGGGTTCTGTGTGCCGCGAGAGACTTTCGTACGGATTGCGAAATCAAGGGCTCTTCCGAGGGCTCTGAAGAGCACGGGCGTGAGAGAAGCCGCCAGGTTTTCCGGCCGAGGCGACGATCAACGAACGATCCATCCTTCTTACGAAGAAGTCAAATCGGCCAGGAAACGGATTCTAATCGGGCAAACGACACAGAACGATATCCAAATTTCCGGCTTGACCGCGAAATTCGAGACCGCATCCCCTGAAGAAATTCCGAAGGAGTCGGTGAAAAGAATTCCATGCTGGACGATCGGTCCTCGAAAGCAGTGAAATCGGATCCTTCGGGGGCGGGTAGATGGGTCAACAAGTCGAAAACGAGATCACTTTGAGGGAGGAACACGGGGGTACAAGGTAGCCGAACATTCGAAACCTGATACTTTCCGCAGGAATCAAAACGTGTCATGGATCCGACCACTTAGGACGTTCGCACTTCCGATCAGGAATGAAAAGGAAGAAAGGGATTGTTTTGGGCACTGCCAACCTGAATTCGACTAAGCTTATGGTACATGAAATATCGTTAAAATTTGAATTCTACCGTCCTATTCATGAAAAATCACTGAAAGGTTCGAACAAACGGTTGAGAAAAGAGTTTACCCTGATCCAAGAGGGTGCAAAGCCGAAGGAACCGGCAGGACCAGTAAAAAAAAAAAACCACGAGTACGGCGCCTGTTAAAATCCGATTCGACGGATGATCCTCACCAATGACTACGGAAAGGCACAATAGAGGAGGATTGAAAGAGGAAAAGAGGAACGATCGGTGAAGGAAGAGAGGGTGGCGGGTTCGTTCTCTTTCTCTTGCCAGAATCGTTGTTCCCTCACTTCGCGCGGAAATGAGGTGGAAAACCGCACCCTCGGGACCTCGACTCACCTTTTCTTTGCGTTTACCGGGATACTAACCGCGGATTTCTCCGCTCCTGCGGTTTCTTGATATTACAAACGCGCGTAGAATAGCGCCGAGCGGGTTCTCGAGATCAGTCGAGCGCGAAGAAATCGTGTGCCAAGGGTAAAAAAGAAGAAATGAATTGAGAAAAGAGAAAAAGGGAATACGAAAGCCTCGTTCCGAAGCTGGAAAAAATATCGACTAGTTAATTTGTTACCTAGTCCTGTTACTTACGTGAAGAAAAATCGATCAGTATTTCTGTTGCATCGAGAAAAATTTGGTCGGCGGTCAAAATGTGTTAAAAAGGGGGAAAAATACTATTTCTTTTTTTCTTGTTTCAGATGATAAAGGATAATCGATGATCGATAAACTTATTCCATGGTGTTGTCTTTTCTAGAAGAAGCCACGATGCATCATCCGACATGGAATAATGGTGCGTACGCAAGGCAGGGAGGCAAGAGCTCGTCGTCATCTCTGAATTAATCTCATTCGACTGCCCCCTTTATGTTCTCCCTCGCATCCTGCGGCGTGCCTCCTAGCCGTTTCGTGGCTTCAAGGTTAATTGGAATGAAAACGAAGAAAGGAAAAGGAGTATAAGTTTCTGGAGGGCACCGGACAGAATCCCACGACAACGCCACTTTTCTTCCCTTAACCCAGCATCGAGACTCCGTATGTATGTGTCCTCTCTTTAAGAAATGTGAGAATTAGCGTCGTAGTTTGCTATTTTAAAATTTTTAAATTGACAAAATTACAGCATTCATGCCGCTTTAGAGAAAACTACGAGGGAAAGAAAATAGGTCTAAAGAGAAGAAAATTGAGGGTTACGGCACAGGTGAATCGATGATCATCCCCCGACAAAACAGAATACCTTTCTTTCCTCGACGGACCTGTGTCTAGGATATGCGCACCATTTACTTTTATGTGGCATTACGTGAAAGAGCCTCGAGGAACATCCATTCAGATCATCCCCTAAATCTGGTCGAGAAAAAGAAGAAAGAAAAATTCTCTTCTCCTTACTCGGAGACGTGATTCGAACAGACACGCGAAGGTCCTCGACTCTTAAACCATCCCGGAAATCAACTTAAATTAACATTTACAATGGTTAAATTACTACCAAAGAAAAGCCAACCTGATATCTGATCGCGATTTCAATTAAAAACGAAGTCGATAGGCTGATAATATCGATCTCGTAAAGGGAACGGGGTGGCTGGTTGGTTTGGCTTTAAGTAAAAGTCCAAACGAATCGACCCTTGCCCCCATCGTGGTAGCCGTAGGGTAGGAGGCCTTTCTATTAGCCACTAGAAATCGCACGAACCCTTCACAGGGACAAATCGAAGCGACGTGCAAGACCTGCCTGGCCCTTCGACTCTAATGGAGTTTCACGCTTGCCGAGAGAGAATTGGCCCGAAATCGGGGAGCGACGGAGCATCCAGCAGGATCAGCGAGCTGGTCAAGCGAAGAATTGATAATCAAAGCGATCCTGTTGGTGATCTATTTCTCCTAACGAGTTTAACCAAGGAATAAAATCGAGAAATTTCTCGGTCGCGCGATCCTCTCGAGAGTGGCGGCGTGGCATGCAGGAAAAGAGTAAAAAGAAAATTAAGGTGGACAGGGTAGAGGGTAGATTTAATCGCGCTATTTTTTCCGCGAGAAGCACGAGCCACGTAAGTCGAGTTGAAACGTTCGTCGGAGGTGTCGGCGAGCCGCGGTTCCTTCTGTGTACCGCTAAGAAATCGTGAAACGGGTTGAGGATGCGTGGAGTGTAAAAGGGGTGAGAGAGCGACTCGACGTCGAGAGGGATCCGCCCTCCGGTGAAGGGTCCAGGCCAGTAGACAGTCTCACTAATTACGCCGCGCCTCATTAGCGTGGAAGCCTGGCAAGTCGCTTAAGGACACGTACGACGACGACGACGACGACTCTTCTTCGGTTTCGTCAAAGATACGGATACTTTTTTCCCTTTTCTTTTTTTTCTTTTTTTTTTTCTTTTTCATTCTTCCTCGAGGAGGACACAGAGAGGGGAAAAAAGGGGCGGTCTTTGCCCGTGACTCTCTCCTCGACTCGCTGACGGAATAGTAAAAAAAAAATATTAGCAATGAGAGAAATCCTCTTGTTGAAGCAAGAGTTTCCACGAGAGGAACGGGTCTTCCGTGTATCAAGGTGTTTTTTCATGGGTATTAATTAACAGAATGAAACAAGAATATTTTTCGAACCGTCTTTAGAAAAATATTTATTTTCACAGGGATTCGCGAGAAAAAAAGAAACTACGACAATGGTGGTGTACATTGCCGATGTGGTTTCGAGCCGGTTGGTTTTCGAAGGCGGGAAGGCCGATTTAGAGCACAATGCGGTTCAATGCCGAGGAAATTAGCCACGGCGCTGCCGGTGACGCCCGTCAGACCCACACGATCGAAAACAGACCGTGTCTACGTCCGCGGACCATGGGGACGAGTACAAGTATATTTTAATAATATATACCATTCACGTGCACGTACACCCTCAAATTGCAATGATAAAATAATTTTTTTTTCCTTCTTCTTCTTCTTCTCCTTAGCTGTCTTTCAGATGAAGAAGAAGAAGGCTTTGAAGCTGTACAGGCCAAAGAGACCCGGCACGGGCATCATCGAGTGTCTGAAGAGATCGCGAGGACAAGTTCACCTATGCTCTCGAAGATGAATGGATCCTATAGTTAATGGGGAGGCTGTATCGCAGGTAGACATACGTGGAATGAATAGACGAGGGTGAACGAGCATTTAGAGAAGAAGCCTCTGTTCTCTCCTATCCCCCCCCCCCCCTCTCACCCTACCCTATCATCCACCAGGCTTTGTTCGACTCGTCTTCGAGATCGAAGGTTTTTCTATGGAAAACACGTGTCCTCGTTATCCGTTCTATCATAATTACAATCACGTTCTTGCCTTCTCGTTTCGAATCGACTCTTCTCGAGGTGAGTATTTGAAAAATGAAAAATTGAAAAATGATAAAAAGAACGTGGGTATGTATTGACATCCGTAAACGCTCGTTTTTCAGGAGAAGAAATATAAGGAATAAGGGATGAAGAGGAGGAAAAAAGAAAAGAGCAGAGCTCTGTGTCCGATTCGGCGTGTCGGGACGCGTATGCGTCCTTTCGACTCGTCCACGGAGCGTGGAGAACGACTAATGGATGGATAATGACGCGTAATGGATGCAGCGGACATTACAGGTAATATCTGGTGAAAGCGGCAGGCAGTTTCCGCGTAAGAGCGAGACAGGTTGGGATAAAGAGGAAAAGAGAAAATGTCTGGTAAATAGAAGCGGCACACACCTCGCTGGCGATGGATGGGACGCGGCCGAGAGGTAATTTCCACGAACGAATCGAGACTGAAGGAGCCGTGGAAGCTTTCAGGAAGGATCGCAACCGTTTTCGTGTATTCATTCGTTTCGTCGATGGGACTCGATGAAAGATCGTTGCTTACGACGGACTTGCGGGGGATTCATATTTTTCGACGAGAGAAAAGAAAAATGAAATATGTACCACGATTACTCCGATCGAGAAGAGACAGCGCGATTAGCATTACCGAGCTTAGATCGCCGGTAACTCGGCCGGTAACGACTCGAGAACGGATACGTTCTTGGTCTTGCGCCTGGTTTCTGCGCGATTCGAAGCTCCGTCGCCGTCGCTGCCGCTACACGAGTGTTTGCACTCCACTCGAAACCAGTCCCGAACGAGCTCGCGTGCAGGAGCGAGACAGAAATCGAGGGAGAGACAAGGAGAGACAAGGAGAGACGGACAGAGCCGAGGGAGAGACGTAGTGGCATCAGCCGCCAGGACGAGGCGGGAGGCTAGGAACGAAGCTTAATTTATCTAACGAGGGGCCTCTGCACCTGTCATCTGCTCCAAGATATGGACGAACGGACACAGGGCAACCCTCTTACGTTCCTCCATCCCTGGTTCGCCAGTTTCAACGAATAAGTTTACTTACTTCCTCTACGGAGGGAGCTCGACGCTTAAATGTAATAAAAAAGAAAGTTTCATAATAATTTGCTATCGTCGCGAGTACGAAAAGATGGTCAGTAAGCGTGGACGGATCTTCCCGAGGGTGTTCGTCGGGCAGCGTGCGCCTGGCGTTTACTCCCCTCGGTAAATCAATCACACACGACCACGGTGTCCCGTGTAGCAGTATTGTTTTTACGGTCACGCGCGTAACCTTCTTTATACGTGTGTGCACCCACGCGGCACTTTGGTCACGCCTGTTAGGGCTGCTACACTGTCAGATCCCTGGGATCGTAATTCATCTTTCTGGAATCTAACATCGAGGTAACAGAATCAACGCTGAAGGAAAAAAGATCTTCGAGTTATGCGAATCCGTTGTCGCAAAGCGATAGCAGGGGGTTTCGGCTTTTGTAATTCAGCCAGACATGCCTCGCGTATCGCGCGAGGGAGGAGGACAGACGGATACGTGAAAGGCCGAAGCAACGGTGGTGGAGGTGGAACATCCACTAATTGGATAATTACGGAGTGCACCGGGTTTGTTTTATAATTGGGCGAAATCCGTGGAACCGTTGCTGCCTCGACGTGCCAAACAACGAAATGGCCGGAGTCACGCTCTACGTGACGAACTACCCTCTAAGCTAATCCGGGACCAAAACCCCTCGGCTTTCCAACCCCCCTCGCTCACGCTCCCAGCCGCTACCTCTGACCCCCCGACTTTCATCTACGCCCCTTCCAAACTACCCCCTCTACCCGCTCACCTACCGCAACCCTACACGATTGCCAGGACTCCGAGAAATAGAATCAATTCCCCTGGTCGGCTGGCTCGGTTGGAAAAATCTCGCGTAGTTTTCACAGTCAAAGGTCGTTAACAATCACCCCCTCCTTAATTGGAACGCCGTTAATCGATTCAGTTGTTTGGGAACTGTTTTTTGGCGACATCTCTAACGACTATGATTGCCCCACGCGACTTTATCGTCAGTCGTGATTCACTTTATTGACGACAAAAGATTTGGAACAAAATTTTAATAAATAAAAATAAAACTTTGACTTACCCTGATACGCCGCGTATGTGCTCTGCGGTACTGAACTAGGTCCATACGGTGGAGGTACTCTGTTATGATTTGTGTAATGTCTGTGAACAAATAAAAACAAGCATTCATAATAAACGTGATGGGAAACACATTGTACGCGTGGCTGTTATTACTACTTACCCGAGTATTCTTCGTCCTGCATCGCTTAACGTAGCGGTTTGCGTAGAAGGTGTGAAACCAATCTGAGGCTTCCATGTGTGTCCGGTGTTGCGATTCATTTGATCGAAGTCCTGTGGTTTTAAAACTCTCGGTGGTTCCCTTACACCCTTCAACCTCTTCGCGGGAAAAATGAAATTACTGCCATACTTTGGATCTCTGAATCGAATACTGTAACGGAAGAGAAAATGTGTTTGTATTTCCGAGTTCAAAAGTTAGATAAATTATTTAATTGTTACGGGTTTGGTACGTACCAATATACTTTGTTATTCCTGACCGGTAGTCCGTTTATGGGTGACGGTAACGTTGATCCATCACCAACACAGTCTTCTGCCAACAATACTGTGCCTCGCATACCGTCTATAGATATCGGAGTCTCTGCGTCGAATCCCACCTGATTCGTATAAAGTCCTTTGATAAAATTATAACCGCTATTACCGAGCCCAACGTATAGCCGATCGTCACCTCTGACATTGCGTTTTTCTAAAAAAATGAGTGTAATCATATTAAAAAACATTGATATTTCGTGATTTTATTAAACTTGATACAAAAATCAACATACTTTCTGCTTCTGATAGACAGTCATAGTATGGCTCCAAAGCCTTGAACAATCTTTTCTCGTCCACAAAGGGAAGCAAAGCTACTCCCTGCCAAGCAAACTTCTTACCATTTAAGTCTATCTTAAAGTCTTCGGGATAAAAGTCGATAATCGGTGATTTCTGAAAAGATTTTTATTAGAAAGGCAAGGATGTATTTATGTTTTATACGTAATTAATAATTACACTTACTGGATCGCTCATTAATTTTGCCCATGGCTCGGGAACGTGTTTACTACTAGCTGCTGGAAACACGCCCATCAATTGTTCTAATGGACGGAACTGCGATCATCAAAGTTAAGGGGAAAGTTTCAGTGTGTCAATTAATTAATTAATTTCTATCAGTACTTACCGGTATGGTTCCTTTTTCAAATTCCGTAGAAAGTCCACCTATATTGATAAAATCACTGGCAAATGGAGCATAATGATATGGAAAATACCATTTCCATGATGCGCATCCTTGATAATAATATCGTAAAACCCAACATAAACCGCGAACGTACTGTAGAGCTACGTTATTTCTGCGTATAAATTAAAAGAATATCATTGGTAATACAAATAATACCATTAGTTTTCATGACGAATAATAATCACCTGAATGCTAAATTATCAGGAGACACGTCAAATTTTGATTCGTAATAACGATCTTTAAAACCAGCTTCCCATAATCTGACTTCGTCGTGCGCTTGATCATCGTCTGAAGCATCCTCCTCAGCCTCGTCAATTTTTCGCTTCTTTCCTTGATTAGACGAGTCCTATAAGATACACGGTATAAGTAGAATTATTATAAGTAGACCAAATTAGAAATATAGACAATCGTACCTCTGGCCGCATCATACTTTCCAATAGTTCCTTACTATTCCCTTTTGTCTTGTCAGAAGCTGATGAATGATAACTTCTGCCCATAACACGCATCTGATAAGCTTCGTAACGTGCATTTTCTACCGGCTTAATTTGTCCTCCCAAAGGCTGTAATAAAGATACACGTTACGAATAATGTTTCAATTAACAATGAACAAAGGCTTTAGAGATAAATAAAACATACTGTAGGCGCAAACTGTCCTGTAGGAATCCATTTTGGTTTGTTATTACCGACGCCCAATAATCTTCGTTTTTTGTCCTTTTCACGCTGTTTATAAGCTAATTCATTCTGTTGCCTTTTTTTGAAAATTTCATCTTCAACGTCACCAAGTTCGGACATTATCAGTTGAACTCTGTCTAAATTCACATCACCGCTATCTGTTAAGAATCCCTGTAATTGATTAGAACATCTATTTTCAGTTTAATACATTATCGAAAAGGTTTAGTTTAAAAATCATATACTTTTATGAATTGTTATATGATAGATTAGTTAATGATATAGGATGCAATTTCGTGTATTTATTTGTTCAAACATGTTACATACTCCTGTTTTATATACTGTCTTTTTGTATAGATTAACAAGTCTATCGATAGCCCCTTCTCTAATCTCCAATGATGGGAGGTGAGGAAGAAAATCATTTCCTACGAAGAAACACATGAATACCCAATCATCGATAGCTCGTTCGAAATCGTACTTAAATGGTAGATTAGGCATTTGCAACTCTCTTTCTAAATATTCCCTGAGTACGTTTAATCGCACAAATATGAACTGGCATTCGGATCCAAACGCATTTTCTTCTTCTTTTGGATTAGCCTCTGCTCCTGTACACTCTTTCATATCATGCCCTAACTGACCACATATGTCACATGGTCTTGGTTTATTTGGTTTAAATTCTTCACGAATAATAGTAAAATTAGGTTCATGTGTTGCAAGACCCAACATAATTAAATCGGCATCTGCTCCGCACAAAACATGCTGGGTGTTAGGATCGTGATCGGGTTGTGCTGTTAGGCAAACAAAGATTGTAATATGTATAAAACATCTTCGATACTTCTCCGTATAATACACTCCAGACATACGACTGGTTTACTTACCTCTTTGTCTACGTATAAAATCCATTATTTTATGTTCTCCTTCACCCGGTACATTTGCATCGCTCAAAATCACCTTTATATTTCTCCAGCCAGGATCATTATTTAAGCGATCGTGAATATAGTAATGTAAACATTTTGATAATCTTGCCATGAATGGTGTGCCCTAAAATCAGATTAATTAGAAACACCGAGCACCGTAAACGCGGCAGAACATTGAAAAGACTTTATACAAACAGGTGTAATACAGTTGCTATCAAAATGCTCTTCTTTAGGTTTCTCTGGTGGTAATGAAGCCCCTTTAAGAGCTAATTCAGAACGTATTCTTTGTATCTCATTTATCTTTTCACAAGTTTCTTTGGATGCTCTAAATCGTCTTGATCTTTGTTGATTCATTTTTGCTCTAGGTGCCTGTACGTATATTACCATTATCAGCATGATCCTATATTTATAATTTCTAATTCTTCATTTATACTGTAAATACTTACAACTCCATCAATTGCCATATAAAGTAACTTCCTTGGCCTTACAATACGAAACAGACGATCAATACATTCAAAAATAGCTTCCATCATTTCATCTTCATTTTTTGGTGCTGGTCTATAAAAAAAAGAACAAAAACATTTTGTTCAACTTACCAACATCAATTATTTCATTCAATACTTACTTATCCTCTGGATGAGTACAAGGATGTATAATACCATTCATATCAAGATACAAATTATCAAATTCTATTCCATTTGGATTTGGATCGGCTGAATTAACAGGTACATGTACGCCATTTGTACTTATTGACTGAAAAAGTGTATAAAACGATTATAAACAATGAAAGCTATAAATTAAATATGTTTCATCCACATAAACAATCTAACCTACCTTTTGCTCAATGCATTCAACAATCACAGAAGGGTACTTCCGACTCAACCACCGAAAAAATGCAGGTACACCCATGTTTCCTTACGAAATATGGTATATTTTGTACACGGTACACGTTTTCCTTTGATTAATTCTTAATAATTTGTTTATAAATCGAACAAGAACAAACTGTTTTCACCGTTCACTCATATTTAACCTATAACATAGTGCTAGACAGCCGCCAAACTTTATCAGAATACGGTTTTATATGTGCTGCCACCTTTGGGTTAGATAAGTCAGAAAATCGACGATTTAAATTACACATAACAAAAGAAAATACATATTAATTAATAAAGAGTTTTACAGAATATTGCAATTGTATATATTGATATTACATTGTCAAATCCTAATTTATTAAGAAAAAATATAAAGTATAATAAGAAAAGAAAATAATTGTATTGCTTTATTGCTCCCTCCCCCCCTATTTTACCGCTTAGGAGTGTATGTATAGTTAAGGGTAAATGCCCTCCATATTATAGCATTAAATACCTTAATTCCCTTAATCTTCCATTTAAAAAACGATTAAGAAATTTAACATCTGTAGTCGAATACAATCCTACGCTTAAATTTATTTTGCTTCCATCGATAGTCCTCGTGCTTCCGCAAACAGGTGAGTATATTTTAAATAATTTTTTAGTCTTATTTTTTGTATACATTAAGAGTAACAATCTTTTAATGATGTAATGACCATAATTCAATTATATTTCAATTATATACCTCAATTATATGTGTAAGATAGAAGCTTCTTTAACATGCAAGAGAAAAATATTTTACATGGACCACCTGAGCCTATTTTGGAATTCAAAAATTTATCTTTGGGACAATTAATCTTAAATCAATTGCGTATTCATAGAGCTTGGGTAGCACAAGTAAGTTTTAATTATTTTCAGTTTTATTACCCTCATTGTAACTCAGATTACAACATTTATTTTGTTAATTATTACTATATATTTTCAGATAAATGCTTATACAAGAAAAGAGCAAACATTTAAAGAAATCCTAGATGCCAGTCAGAAGTTAGCAATTGCTTTTGAAAAAGAGGGATTAAGGAAAAATGATCGTATAGCTATCTGTAGTGAAAATAATACAGAATTTTGCATACCAGTATGTGCTGCATTTTATTTGGGTGTTACTGTTTGCCCATTGAATCCACTTTATACAGAAAGAGAATTGAAACATGCATTGAATATATCTAAACCAAAATATATTTTTGTATCACTACTTGGAGCAAAGAATGTCTGTAAAGTTGCTTCTCAGTTATTTTGGTTGCCAAAACTAATAATGTTGACAGAATCCCCAGATAATAAGTTACCAAATATTAATGATTTAACATCAAACATAACTGTTGATAATAATTTCCATGCTTATTCAACTGATATTAACGACCATGTAGCAGTCATTGCATGTTCTAGTGGCACTACTGGATTGCCAAAAGGAGTTATGTTGACAGATAAAAATTTTTTAACTGTGATAAGACACTTTGCAATATCATCACCTGATATTGTAAATAATAATGTGACAACTTTAGCTTTATTACCATTTTTCCATGCATACTCTTTTTCTGTACTACTCGTGAGACTAACTTTTGGGAATAAAAGCGTCATTCTTCCGCGTTTTGACGAAAAAATGTTTTTACGTACAATAGAAAAGTATAGAATAGGATATCTAACGGTTGTACCACCGCTTATGGTGTTTTTAGCAAAGCATCCTATTGTAGACAAATATGATTTGTCTAGTATTCAAGAGATGTGGTAAGTTCAATTTGAAATCTCATCAAATTATTAATTATAACTTAATATTGATCAATGTTTATAACATTAGGTGTGGTGCAGCACCTTTATCAGAAGAAATTGCTAAGACAGTTTCAAGAAGATTAAACATGAAGAACATAAAACAGGGATATGGATTAACAGAAACTACTTTGGCTGTAATTAAATCACCGAATAATAATACAAAATATGGAAGTATAGGAACCTTAGCTCCAGGAATTTCAGGTACTTCATTGAAAATTCCTATTTCATAAACCCTTTCTTATTACATTTTTTTATGTTTAGGTAAAGTGATATCAGTCAATGAAGGTGATTCAGGTCGAGCCTTAGGACCAAACAATTTCGGAGAATTATGTTTCAAAGGGAATTTAATAATGAAAGGATATTGCAATGATGAACTAGCTACAGCAGCAACAATTGATAAAGATGGATGGTTACATTCAGGAGATATAGGATATTATGATGAACAGGGTTATTTCTATATCATAGATCGTTTAAAGGAACTCATTAAATATAAAGGATTTCAAGTTCCACCAGCTGAACTAGAAACAGTATTATTATCATGTCCTGGAATTAAAGATGCAGCAGTTATTGGATTACCACATGAAGAAGCAGGGGAGCTACCAGCTGCTTTTATTGTTAAACAGGAAGGATCTAATATAACAGCTGAAGATGTCAATAAATTTGTAAATGGTAAGTTTTGCAAATTGAATTCCTTCATTTCTTACTAATAAAAAAAACATATTACAGAACGCGTATCAAACCATAAACGATTACGAGGCGGCATCAAGTTTATCGAGAATATTCCCAAAACCGCATCAGGAAAAATTTTACGCCGAGAACTTCGCGACGCGCTTAAGTCGAAGCTATAAGTTAAAAGACAAGAAAAACACGAAACGATTAACAACTAAAGTAATATTTATAAACTTTTGTCGAAACATTTTTTTAACAACTCAATTTTTACTTATACAGAATTTGAAATTTTTGGAAAATCCTTTCTAAGGACTTTCCACTCTAGTCATATTATCAGGATATTTCGATAATTTATGTAAATATAAATTAAATCGCTTTTTTTGCGTAAGACTACGTACATTATTGTTTTAATTTTTGTTTCACTTCATCTGGTATCTTACTCAAATACCACTGGTGAATTTCACCGGGAGCAGTAGCCAATACACCTTTTACGTTTGGGTATGGTGTCTCCGCATTGTACGAATATCGATCTCCATAAAAATCAGTTAATGTACCACCAATAGCATGAAGAACTGCCTCAGGTGCACAGGTATCCCATCTTTTACAACCTTTACTGGCAAACACATAAGCATGGGCCTTCCCTTCCATTAAAAGTATTACCTGTAAAAGAAAGTAACAATGCTGATGCAATTCAAATAAATAAATTGTATGCAATATGAATAGATTACCTTATATCCTGCACCACCGACACGTACAACCTCATCTGGACATAAAGCATTTATAGCTGCTTGAACATTACTGTCTGAATGTGAACTGAAAGGATAATAAATCATTATTATTTGACAAAAATCAATTCCATACTAAATCATACCGTGTAGTAGTAACTATTCTTTTTCCAGCTGGTGCTACAACTGGTGTAAATCCACCGAATCCTACACCATTAATACCCCATAGAGTGCGTCCTAAAACATCATTTTCAGGATTTTTATAGTATGGTTGATGAATCACACCTCCCACTGCTCTTTTTCCAATTGCTACCCCTACCAGAACAGTAACATGTTCTACAAAACCCTGTGTATATTCTGATGTTCCTGAAATATGAACTTCCCTTAAAATGTATACTCATAAATTAATTAAAGATAAATAAGATTTATGTATACCATCCAAAGGATCTACCCAAATGCACACATCTTTAGCATCAATATTTTCCAAATGAGCTGGTAACTGTAATTTTAATACTTCTGGATCTGCCTCTGTCACAATCCACTCAGATGGCACTTCGCAATTAGATGGTTCTTCTTCACCAATAATGGTGATGTTTGGAAACTGATGACTTAACGAAGCAATAATACACCTTTGAGCACAACGATCAGCTTCAGTTTGTAAATCATCTTTGCCTTTTTCTACTATATTCAGACATCCATGATTCATAACATCTCTTATAATTTTACCTGCTCTCACTGTAGCAGTTATAGAATGGGCCACTATTCTTGATAGTAGTGAAGCACTTTGGGCCATTTTTTAAATTTTTCTTTAATATTTACATATATTGATACTGTCCTCTTACAACAAGGTATACTCTTATCTCTCATTAACAATGCTTTAAATATGCTGCACGCATTATTATTCTGAATCACAAACTACAAAAAGATTATAATAAAAAACTTAGAAAGTAGGTACTATTTTCCAAGGTTGTATCAAATGATACAAGGAAATATAAAATATAGCAATAAATTTTATTTTTCACAGTTAATTTAATTTACTAAATTATTGTTAAATTTATATTTTTATTACACAAAGAAATATGCAACAATAATCACTAATTAGTGTAACTGTTAGAAAGAAAATAATATTATTGAATTAAAAAGGAAAAACTAATTAATAAAAAGATGAAATATGAAAAAAGAAAACACTTACAAAGGCGTGAAGAATCAAGATATAATGTTATAACAAAATAAATTTGTATAATCAGCCACGTACAAAGTCTACACGATTCGTCTGTATAAACATTTTAGTTACATGACGTGTACACTTTCTTAGAAAGATAATAAAAATACTTATTTGATTATTCGATATCTTCAAATTTTGATATGATATCTTGATGTATTTTTTTGATATATATTGACAGAGAGTTCCTCCCTCATATTAATTAGCCCTTATTGTGTACACGCAATATTGTAATTAATTAAAATGAGAGGAAGAAGTAATGATTTTACAGAAAAGTTCAGCGAAATTAAATTCATTAGGCTACAGGTACTACGTAAATGATATATATATATATATATATATGTATATACATTATATAAATTAAAGTGCATTAACCTTAAAAACTTATATGTTTTTATAGGTTAATAGGATTGAAGACGGTGACTGCTAAAAAATAAATGAAAAGCAATCAACAACAATGATATACAAAAATTTGATGGTGTTACCAAAAATTTGTACACCACGAACATTGTTTAGTAATTGTGTTCTTCATGTGGTAAACAAATATATTTTGTCTTCAGTTCAATGGATGCATTATACAACAGATTCAACAAACATAAAGGATTTAGATACAAAAGAGAGCAATAATAATCAAAATCTACCAATACGTTCATTAACACAAAATGTTGATGCAGAATTTGAAGATATCGCTTCAAAGAGTTCTTCATCAAGTAGAACAAATACAGATTTATATTTAACAAATCCTGAAGTAGCCAAAAAGTTTGTTACATTAATTAAAGATGATTTATTAAAAAACATGTACCATGTAGTTGAAGCAAATCCAGGTTTTGGTTACTTAACAGAAGAATTATTTAAAATTGGTGTACCATTTATACATTTATTTGAAAATAGCTCTGAATATTGGAATCATCTAAATAATTTATGTACAAAATTTCCCAATCAACTTAGTATTACAAAATTAAACCTATTTAATATATCAAAGATGTTGACTGGAGTTTCTGTACATAGTGATATTATGTATAAATTAATAAACAATGTACAACAGAGAAAATGGGAAGAAGAAAGCTGCATGCAAGTAATTGGAACAACATCAAAAAGTGTTTTCATAAGGCATTTAATACTGAGTACAGTATTTCAAACAGGTTTAACCATGTTTGGAAGACCGATCTTTTATCTTGCAATACCATCATCTACATGTAATGTTAGTATTTTCATTTCAAAGCTTTTGGAAACTTATTAGTTCATAGTTTATTATTTGGATTAAAGGACTAAAATAATATTCCAGTGTATTTATGTTAATCATGTTAAAATCTTATTAAATATCAGTTTATTTTTCAGAAATTCACATGTATTGAAAGATCAACAACTCTTTATATTATGTTTAATATATTATTTAATTATGAAATTTATGGAACAGTGGATAGAAAAGCATTTATACCACAATATAAAAGTAAGGAGGCAAACAGAAAGAGAGTAACAAAGGATGACAGTAGCATACTTAATGTTATTAAAATAGAACCAAAACCTGATCTTTTTACATTATTTAAAACAAAGAAAAATTTGGTATACTTTTGGCATTTCGTTCGATATAGTTTTTATAAACAAAACACCAGAGTGATACCCACATTAGAGTAAGTGTTACTATGAAAATATAATACTATGTATTTATTTTAAGATACTACAATGTTTTTGTTATTAAACAAAATTTCTAGAAATCTAGTCCCAGGTTGTGGTATAAAATTAATAGCGCTAAATTACAATATATTCACGGAATTTGGTGATTTAAACCCTAGGCAAATTTATGATCTATTTATGGAATTTCAATCTTGGCCAGAATATGAACAATGTTCATTTCAGTTAAGTGCAGGTGATATTAGGAGAACTTATCAGTTATATTTGGAGGAAGAAGATGTTTAAACATTGCTGAATTAAATAAAAGGAATCTATTTTTCCATTTAATTGTTTTTACATTTGAATTACCTATATCTGTTTGGTATTTTTTGAAAAAATAAAATTAATTATACATTTGAAAACACTAGGAGGAGAATGTCAATTCATTTTAAATGCTTAGTAATGATTGGTTACTGATTTTAATACTCTTGTTTTATTCAACTATGGTTGTCCTTGAGAACTCAGGGTCATAACAGGTCATTGAATGACATATAGCTGCATATAGCATATTAAAGATACAGTGTTATCTGTCTTCACCAATAAGTTAAGAAATATTTGATAATGTAAGTTAGTGTTGTTGATAAATTAAGATTTAAATAACCTATTTTAACAAAAATTCACTTATGTTACAGTTTTATACAACCACAAAAATTGTATAATATCACACACATAAGATGAAGTGGGTAATATTTGGCATTATATTGATAATATGGAATTATGTAACATCTGGTCAAGATTTTGTATTTCCTGATGATGAAGAGATATCTCATGTCAGTGGCAACAATGCAACGGTAATTATACTTGAATATTACAGCATAACAATAAAAGTTAGCATTGAAAGGAATATGTTTAATTTTTGCTATAGATAACAGAACGTATTCCAGTATCTGTACCAGATCAGTGTCCCGAAAATATGCTCCTTTATCCTGGAGATGGAAATAATAGTGCATGGGTATGCGATTGTAGACCGAGATTTTTATATTTTCCATTAAGCGATCGTTGTTATGAAGCTTATAGACAGGGACCTTGCGCACCACGAAATTATGTAATACTTCCTCAAAATGAGGCAGTACCAAAATGCGTAAACAATCCTTGCTTGATAGATGGATTAGTACCATACAATGATACTTGTTATCCATTAAGAACTATGGGTGGTCCTTGTGCTCCTGATGGAGTGTTAGGTGTAAATGAGACTACTTTTGAATTGGAATGTATACCAACAGATCTTGCACCATTTATAATAATTCAAGTACCTAAACGGCCACAATGTCCTGCGGGAAGTCGTAGAAATGCTCTTGGAATGTGCAGGGAAATAATTTGATTTTTTGTATATAAGAAAAATTTCTTGCAAAGAGCTCTATATGTTCATTTAGTTGTTTCAGTACAATCAACAAATATATTATGATTTGAATATATTATGAGAATATATAATATACATATTTACAAAATATATTTCTTAACTAATTAAGTAAGTTTGTTTATAACATGAAGTTCTTAATTTATGTACATGTGATAATTATATACTTTTATCTTTGTTGAGTTTAACATTTCTTTATGTAAATTATTTAAATGAATCCACAAAAATATAATACAACAATAAAATACGTTATATTTTAATATATTCGACGTTATTTAAATTAAATAAAATTAACTAAAATAAACTTACTACTGTAAATTTTAAAACTAGTTATGAAAGCTGAGGATTATAATTTTCTACAGCCTTGATATGTATAAAGGTAAAAAAATTATCTAGTAAATTATATTTACAAAACAAAACTTTTCATTTTAATATATAATTTTTTACTTCAATGATTATAGTCATTAGAGTATTTAATAAATAGCAAAGTTATTTTAGGTCAAGATATGTTACTTTAATTATATCCATTATAAAGTGTGCGTTTGGAAAACTGATTTCATAAGATATAAATATTTCTTCAGAAGAGTTAGTTAGATAAAAAAATACTACTATCTTAACATTAAATTTTACATTTTCATTCGCATTTCTATGTTGATTCTTGAATTTCATTGCTTCTGGCAGCTTCTATTAATCTTTGTCTTTCTCTATACATTGAAACTTTCATATTTTCTAATTGATGATATCTCAATAATTTTAATACTGCAAATACTGATAAACCAACCCAAATTGATAAACTAGTCCAAGTTCCAAATTGGGCTGCTCCTAATTCAATGTGAAAACCAGATGTATCTATTCCATCAGCTTTATCAATATCATTTCCAGCTGCTAATTCACACGATGGAAATCTTTTTGTCATACATTGGCACCAGGTCATAAACCCAAGCGTAATAATGATTGCAGCAACCAATGTGATTATTGTAAGAATTATTGAACTGACAACATCTATGAATGCAGACAGAAAGGAACTATCCTCTCCACGGTACATAAATATAGAAAGTCGATAGATTTGTATCGCGGATGTTATTAGCAACACCAAACCAACAAATATTGTATAGTTACAATAAGCTTGTCGAGCCCAGTTTACTACAAACTGACCATCTGTCTCTTGCCAAGTTCCTGTCGAGAATAACAGACAATGTCCTCTGCGAACAGACAGTAACAACACATCATGCAATTTGTTGCATAAATATCCTAACATTGCTTATAACGTTTTATTTAACATATTACAACTACCTAAATTCATCCTGATGTAAACTCATAGGTATAATAATACAAAGTGACAAAATAAGAGCAACTACATATCCAGATATTTGACTGAGAAGTAAGATATTTGTTAAGGCCATCTTACAAGTGACAGAAGGAAATTTATAATCCACAATACGATTGCAGAATTAAAAAATTCAATTCTGAACCAATTTATAGCGAACTGTTAAATAATCTTTCTGACAGATCGCCCAATCACCACATATCTGAACTCATCAGTAAACTATACGCAAAAAATGAATATAGATACATCCAGGGTGGTAAACCTTTCAAATTACATTCTTCCTCGGTTCGATCAATTTTTGAAATATCTTATTCAAACAAGCTTTTTTCAATAAAGAAAAATTTTGTTTGAAGCGTGATATTGATAAAGAAATACCAGAACAAATCTAATAACTACAATTGCACAAAAGAGCCAAGTGCGCGATCGTTGTTTTTTTATACGGCGCATTTTAAAAAAATGTAATGTAATGTTTTTTTTAATACTTTTCATTAAAAAACACCGATTCAAACTGCAATATTTTACTGTTCGATGAATATTAAACCCTTCAATGCTTCTCTCTTTTTACATGTATACATGTATGCAAATAATTATATGATAATATTAAAATAAAAATGAAGTTACAGACATTTTATACGTTGCATAATTAATCAAGATGAAATCATTTTTTCATTTTAAAAGCTGCTGACGAAAAGACCATAACATTTCGGATTTGTCAGTATATAATTTTATACGTTATTCTACTTATTCCAAATAAAGGAGAAAATAAAATTAGCTTAATTTGGTCAGATTTCTAATCAAACACGATAGAAATGGAGAACGAAATATATACATTGATAGAGAAAAAGTGAAAGGGGATTGAAAAAAACAAAGATTCGTGCGTCTTTCTTTAAAGTCAGCTGATTTCAGTCAATGAGGGACCAGTGTTTCGTTTCAGTGTTTGTCTACTGGTCTGCTGGTCAGATTTTTGCATCAGTGTGCAATGCGTGTATGCATGTGTATGTAGTGCACGCAGAGGAAAACATTACGCAGCTAGAACCCCGTTACATTCGAATCATCGTACATATTATGTTAAGGATCATTGTACCAGAGTGGACACGTGTTAGAAAGATGAAATTCACGTGGATAAATTGTTTTGCTTCTACTTTCCTCGTATAACAGGCCTAATAAAACACGTATGAGGAAAGATCCATTGAAAAATCCCATGTCTTTCTTAGACTAGATTGTCAAAAGTGGGAATAAAATGTCTTGGCTGGGATGCATTCCCTGGTCACAAGGGATAAAAAAACGAGCCTGCAGATATCTCTTACAGAGATATCTTGGCCAATTTTTGGAGGAAAAGCTGACATTGGACCAGCTTACTGTAGATCTTTACAATGGAACTGGTCGTGTAACCAATGTCAGCCTTGATGTACAGGTACTGTCATTTTCTTTGTTTCATAGCTCTTTGTTAGCTCTCAAGAAAAAGCAATAAAGATACACCAATCGCTTATAAGAATGGATATTTCATATTTGATCTTTCTTGTATCGAATATGTTATTTGTAGCAATTGAAAAGGAAAAAAACTATAGTTTATTAAAATTTAATAAACTACATGCTTAATTAAATGTAAATTTTGTAACAGGCATTGAACGAGATGGGAGAGCAACAACATCTTCCATTAGAATTTGTTGATGGTTTTGTAGCAGAAATGTCCGTTAGCATACCATGGTCAGCTTTACTTAGCGAAGCTAGTTATGTGGAAGTAACTGGTCTAAGGTTAACAGTTCAGCCTAGACAAAGAACAGAAACAGGAACTTCAATGTTTGAATCAATGTGGAGTTCCATGACATCTAGTATGCAACTTGCACAAGAATGCTTACAAGAAGATGCAAATAACGCTGGAAATTCACAGCCTTTGGAAGGAGTAGAATTATTTGCACAAACAATAGATTCGAGTAAGAGTTTCTAGGCAATGTATTGGAGTTGATGATAAAATTGTTGGAATATGAAATCATGTTTTTTTTTCTTTTTCAGTTTTATGTAGAGTGAAAGTCAGATTTATAGATACTGTAATACGTTTGGAACATGTGCCACTTGATTCTTCAACAGGAGTTGCAATAGAAATGTGTATAAAAAATCTTGAATATTCAGATGAAGCGGGCTTGGATCCGAGTAATACTTCGTTAGATCCTAGTCAATCAACAAAAGGATATATTATATCAGCATTCGCAACAAAACGATTTTATTTAGAGGGAGTGACTTTTCACACAGACGAATTTCCATCGCGTGCAAGAACTTTCTCTAGGAGTATCATTACAACAAGCAGAGGTTCAACACCAGATTCCAAAGTAACTTTTTATTTATAAGAATTACTATGTAAAAGATACGGCAAGAAAGAGAAGGAAAATTTTGTAAAATATTTTTGCTACAGAATTCAGACGGTCAATTTTCTTCTGCTCAAATATCTCCCAATCAAAATATGCAAACTCCTCCAGATGGGAATTTTATTAACAACTTAAGCGAATCGAAACCTATAATATTTGCCAAGTTAGCAGGCAGACAGGAAATAAGGTTGAAATTGAAACAAGGAGAGGGCGTTTCAGGGCCAAAGGTAAAAGTTAATTGAATAAAAAGAAATGAAAACATAATGCCAGTGCATTGTAATATGTTTGGCACAAAGTAAAGGAGAACTAATTACTTCAGGTAGAATTAGAAGTAACACTGGGATCTTTTACTTCGTTTCTAAGCCCGCGGCAGGTACACGTTTTATTGGAACTTGGGCACGGACTTGCATCCCCAGATTTGGAAGATGTTAGTAACGTTGCACCAAGAACTTGCACCGAAAAACCTATGGCTGGTAGCGATTTCAATCGTGTAGAACGAGAACTTATCCATCAAATACATCCGAATCAAGGATTACGTATTATGGTAATAGAAGATATAGAAAATAAATAAAATATTCTAAATTAAACAATTTAAATCATTTGTAGGATCTAAGGCATACACAAGGTTGGTCAACAGCATCTTTGGACGAATCTGATAACGAAGATGAATTTTTACCGATGCGATTACCGGGATCTACATCGATGAGTGATTCAATCACAAGCAATAATGTTAGCATGGATGGAAGTATATCAGCTAGTAGCATTAGTTTAAAAAGTTCATCAACAAATTTACCGAAACAACAAAAACACAGACACAGTGTGGATAACAGTCTGTCTGCAGAAACATCTCATTTTCACGTGAGAGTATCATCCATAGCAGTTGTTCTATTGCATGAAGATATATTGACTACATGCGTGGAAGGGGGTGGCTTAACGTGTTCTAGTATACAGCAAATGAAGAATTCGGCTGAAGAATTTTTCAAACAGCTAGGAATGTTTGCAGCTGGAGGATACGGGAATAAAGATTTTGATAAAGCATCTAAAGTACTCTTGGATGCTTGTCATTTAAGTCACATTAGGTGTGTAGATTGGCATGCAAGTAATAATAAATGTGAAAAAAGTCAAAAGTGTTAATCAATCCTCCGACATTAATTATAGGCTACTTGCTGCGCCGCTTGTCATCGAAGGCAGAGAAAAAACTACTACGTTATTGTCTTCGGTATCTGGAACCTTAACTTTAGCTAGTCTAGAAATTGTAGAATGTTTAATCGATTCAAATAGTACTTGTACAAACGGAACTCCGCCAACGGAATACGTAGAATTACTTACATTTGCTAAAGAAGGTTCAACGAATTTTGGTTTTACTAACAAAACAGACTTTAAAATGAAATTTAAACACGTGGTGTCTATTGAAAATACACATTACGTAGCGAAATGTGCGCATCCACGCACAAACATTGAGTAAGTGCGTCTGTGTGTATCTTTTAATGGGTATTAAAGAATCATCGTAAATACTTGTACATTTTTTTTTTTTTTTTAGCATTGATATGGAACCGTGTAAAAGTGAGGTGGATATAACCATTGTAGATAGAATATGTGCTCTACTTAATCCACAGCCTATCTGCGTTTGTAATCCAATATCTAACGATAGAAATCTTGTAAGTTGCCAATCATCGTTATTAACTACTATTAATGAAACTTCGCTTCTATTTCATTTTGTAACTTTTAGAATCAGCAAACATTGTTTTATCAAGCTGTGGAAAGCCCCACTGTGTCAGATTCCGCAGTTGTTATAAATGTAACTTCATCTCAATGTACAATAAAATTAAGGTAACGTATACGTACAGGATATTAAAAGAAGAACGAGACTGAGAGACTTTGTGGTATTTAATGGATAATGATTTAAAAATAGGTTTCCAATACCAGATTTAAGACCGTTGCACGATATGAATCGAGCCCCATGGTGGAAAAGATCAGTAAGACCAGACTATATGATTTTGAAACTGACTGATGCACAAATTCGCTCTACTATGAGGAAACTTTCTCCCTCCGTGAGAAACTTTACCAAGCACGAAATTCAATTCCGAAAATTGTTATTCTCCTACGCAGAAACTGAGACAGACACGCCGATAAACATAGGGAAAGTTACTACCGACGAGAAGAATAATGCATCGTGCGAGCAAGTGAACGAAGGATTCGGTTGGGCTAGAGTAGTTATTACAATTTATTCGCAACGTATGAGTGGTCAGTTGGAGGATAGTTCGGAAGGAGAACCTGACTCAAGCTTGGATGAAACTTTGGAAAATGCGCCTAAACATCAACCATCGCCGTTCAGTTCGAAACGTATTATTCACGAGTCCGATACACCTCATTCCAGACCCTATGCACCGGGCGACAAGGATGATTTAGAGCAAAGGTTTGTTCGATAGAATCGTTCAATTTGTTAATAAAATAGGGTAACATTTAATGCTGGTATTTTAATAGAGAGGGCGAGGAATTAATCATACCAGGGAGTCGAGAAGAAATGATGGAGTTTATGGACGATGGCTTCCATAGTTCTAGGATTCAATTGGAAATCAACTTTCCATGTGTTTCCGTCCAAATACCATCTAAACGTCTCTATGAACTGCTGTACAACAGATTTAATACCGATCTTTTTTTATGGGAACCATCGGCACCAAGACCAAAGTACACTACGCACATGGAAAGTCATATAGGTCTCGATTTAGCGTCTACTTTGTTACAAGAATCTGTATATCCTAGGTAAGCGTTATGCTTGCAATTGTTTCGTGCTCGACAAGAAAATATGTCGATTTATGTATTTTTAGATTTAGCACGTGTAAGAGTGGAATACAGTATGATTCCGATTCGGACTCGGACGAAGAGGGTATATTTCATTCGGCTGCTGACAAGAGTTACAGACAACATCAGAATAAGATATCGAGAAATGGTCAGAGTAAATTAGCGCTATTTTTGAATATAGATCAGGGTCTTTTATGCATGTATACTCCTGTTCGTGATTCAATGCGTAATGTTATTCCTGGACAACAAGGAGAACTGATAATCCGTCTGGAGGATGCAACAATATTTTCGGTATCTTCGTACAGAGGAAATTCAAATTTGGGTTACGTTTGTGCTATGATTAAATACGTGTCTTTGGATCATTGTGGATTAATGACGACTCCGTCGCAACCACCTTCGTTGAGACCTATTAATAGCGTTACTCCGCAACATTGTAAACACGCTATATATAAAAGTGAACCATCTGCAACTGTAGCGGGATCAAATAACAATTTCAATGACATGGTGAAGCTTGCTATAAGAATACAGGCTTCCCATCAAACTCATCGTATCAAGGTATATATACTAGGCTAATTTTTATAATCGATGCAATAATTATGTACTGTTTTAAACAGACTTTCAGAGTAGCAGTAGGCATATCGAATGCTACATTGAGACACAGAATGTGCATCACCGGTACATCATGGTTCACGCAGTTAACAGATTGTTTGGACGTAGCCGATCATCCAGTTGCCGGTTATTCTCCACCAGGAATTTTAACGGAATTACATCTACACCTTTGGGATTGCGCAGTTGATTATAGGTTTTTATTTCAGTAAATTCGAATAACATTTGCAAATGACTAGTAAAACAATCAGGATATTCATTTAATTTTAGGCCGCTTCATCTACCACTAAGGTCAGTGGTTACCCTTGGAAACTTTAGCGTATCTAGCAACATTGCCGCACAAACGAACACTTCGACGTTACGTTTTATAGCGGAAGATATTGCCTTATTCATATCTAATAAAATAGGAAAACACGTTAATCTAAAACAGGATTACGTGTGCGTAATGGATGTAGGACTGTTTGAATTGTCGTTAAGGTTGAACGATAAAATGTGCGGTGGAGCACCTAGAGTCGATTTAAGGGCAAGCAATAACGTTCTCCATGTTCGAACGTGTTCAGATTCTGGCCGAGCTCTTATTCAATTGCTAACTTATTTTGCGAACGATGGAGACCTGATACCTAACACGGAAAACGCCGAAAGCATGTGCACCGTACCGAGTTCCGGGGACGAGGAAAGTCTCCTCGGTGATGAGAGTATCAATACTCTAAGCAAAAGTCAAGTTGAGCGTGTAAATACTTTGATGGAGGAAGCGATGGAAGAGACTGTGAAAGGTAGTTTTAAATAATATACTAAAATGAAGATCGAGTAGCTAACTGGTAATAATTTTGTTGAAGGAACGTCTTCGAACGTAGATGGCAATACATTGACAACTGAGAATCAGGTTGAAGTATTTTTCTTTCCCGACGAGTCTCATCCTGCTACGCAAACAGTACCTGAAATGTGTAAAAGTCCTGAACAATGTGCCAAGCCGGAATGTAATATAGAGGTTGAGGATCCTAACGAGGATTTTTGTATATTAGGAGAAGAGGCGGGTACAGGAATCATGCCTAGACACGGGGTACCAGAAGTTCGTTGGCTTTGTCAAGAATCTTTAAGGATAATCGATAATCATTTCGCGGTACCACTCGGTAAAACTGATTTACTTAAAGCACCACGACATTTCCCAGCTCCAATTTTAAGGTACACCCTCTGCGAAATGACACTGATTTGGCACATGTACGGAGGGAAAGATTTCGAGAAACCGTCGCAATCCGCAATGAAAAAGCAAGTTGTTATCAACGATAATGCGTACCGTTCAAACGCAACGGCTCAAGAAAAGTGTGTATATCAAATTGTACAAGGTAATTGAACGTCTCGTTGTATGACACAATTCTTCTCTTTTGTTTTTACAGAAATAGATTATGGTGCGATGGAGTTACTTTCAATAAATCCAATCCGAACGAGGTACATTTTGAAAGTGTACCAAATTCACCGCGAGGAAAATGTAAAGAAAGTACCGAATGGCAAGCGTTGGGAGGCCCTGGTCGCCGACACGACGTTCTCATGGAACTTCAACTAAATAAAGTACGCTTTCAACACGAAGTCTATCCAGAGAACACTACCGAGGCAGCAAGACAAATCTTACTAGTAAGCGAGATAGAAATTAGAGACAGATTGGCGTCCTCGCACATCAACAAATTCTTATATCAGTACAGTAGCGAAGCGAGACCTAAACAATCTCATGCGAATATGTTTGCCATGAAAGCAGTTCACGTGAGACCGGATCCAAGATTAAGTTCTCAGGAATGTTGTTTAAAGCTCAGCCTACTGCCTTTACGTCTAAATATTGATCAAGACAGCCTATTGTTCTTGATAGAATTTTTCAACGAATTGGGTGGTGGTTCAAAGCAAACTCAAGAGAATTCTAGTACACCCAACAACCCTCAATCATCCCCTGTATCCAAGCAAGGGACACCAACGCATCATCCACCTGTTATGAGCGTGAATGATTCTGCGCCTAATGCATCAACGCCAACGAATACTTCCCAAAGCGATAATATAGATCCAAATTTATTAATACTTCTAGAAGATGAATTAATGGTTAAAGAAAATAAAGTGAAAACGAAACCGACCCATGAGACCCACGAGGACTGTCAACCAATATATTTTAGGTAAGTGTGAAACTATTTTATATAATCGTCAAATTATCTTATCTAATATACTAAATTCAAGTTTTCTTTGTTTAATCAGGAGCGTGATATTTTCTCCGGAAGTCCTTGTTAGATTAGATTATCATGGAAAGCGTGTAGATCTCACTCATGGACCATTAGCAGGCCTTCTAATGGGTCTGGCACAATTGAATTGTTCTGAGCTAAGACTGAAAAGGTTAACACATCGACACGGACTTCTGGGATTCGATAAACTTATATCGTTTTTACTTTCTGAATGGTTGCAAGACATCAAGAAGAATCAACTTCCAAGTTTACTTGGCGGTGTTGGTCCTATGCATTCATTGGTACAATTGTGTAAGTATACACATTGTTCTAGTTAAATCGATATAGAAGATTCAAGTACAATAATTTATTTCTCATTACAGTTCAAGGTATACGAGATTTGTTTTGGTTACCCATCGAGCAATATCAAAAAGATGGTAGAATCATTAGGGGATTGCAACGAGGCGCGAATAGCTTTACTACGTCTACTGCAATGGCAGCATTGGAATTAACTTCTAGGTTGATACACGCTATACAAAGTACTGCTGAAACGGCTTATGACATGGTTAGTCCTGGTCCCAGTGTAAGACGTAAAAGTAAAGGACAGAAAGGTCGTCGGAAAAGATACAGTCAGCCATTGGATATTCGAGAAGGAATGGCTAACGCTTATATGCTAGTAAAAGAGGTGAAATATTTTATGTGTATACATATAAATGTATAACAGTATAGAAAATGTATAAACATCTAATCGATATTAATGATTGGCTAGGGTTTGGGTGAAACCGCGAATCAATTAGTTCGTGTAGCCAGCGAAGAACACGAACAAAAAGGAGTTTCTGGTGCTGTAGGTGGTGTGTTAAGACAAATACCGCCAACAGTCGTAAAGCCGATTATTTTGGCTACGGAAGCGACTAGTAACGTTTTAGGTGGAATGCAATCGCAGTTAGTTCCCGATGCCAGACGGGAAGCGGCTCAAAAGTGGCGACAAGATTCTAACGATGCAAATTAAAATTGCTTTTCAATCGATCGTCGATTTTTCTGTCGACCCTCGTGTGTAACATATAAAAACCATGACGCGAAATTTGAGAGAAGAAAGACGGATGGAATTTTTCAATTAATATAAGAAAGAAATCCACGTGTGAGAAAGAAGGTCAATTGACTCGAAGACGCGTAAAGAAATTACGATAAAATTTTAAACCTAATCGCATAAATTTGATGAAAAAAAAAAAAGAAAGAAAAAGAAACGCAATCATTTCTAAACGATATAATATATTCATGTAACTATATCTTTCAGTTCCATTGGTTTTGTTACATATTACAAAGAAATCGATCCGATTTGTTATATTTATAGTTTATAAATAAAATATATATACCGTAGTGAAACGTCGTTACTACAGCTTGTATGTATTTTTGTTCTAATAATGCGTATGTTTTATACCAATGATATGTATGTGACGAGTTTTTATTAATAAAATTGTAACGCTTATCATTGCATGCTGCTTTTTGCACAAAATATTGTTAAATTACATGATACTTTTGTGCAAATAACGATCAAATACTTTCAATAATGACAAAGTGTATCTCATCATCGATTATTCGATTAATTGACTAAGTGAAATTGTGATAATAAATTAAGTTAAATAACAACTAATAAATCGTGTAAACTGAAAAAGTGTTGGAGTACATTTACATAGTGCGTTAAAAATATTGAAATTTAAAAGTACACGGAAGTTAAATAAGTAGGTAAGTGATGGTCTTATGTCGTTGCTTTCAAAATTTCAACTTAATTTATCTATCACCGATATATTTTTAATAATTAAAGTGTACGTACTTCGTGTTGCTTCTCATAGATATCAGGACGAGGAGTCCTTGTCACGTACGCCATCTTGTTCCACGCAGCAAAGTACAGAAGCCAAACGATGAATCGTCTATTATCCACAGTTTCACTATTGCACAAAAATTCACACTTTTGTTTCCAACAATGTTGTTGATTACGTATTAAAAGTTAAAAAATAATTGTAGTTATTACTTTATGCGTTAATTAGAAAGAAAAGCGTGAAATTGTGCGAGCGATCGGACCGACACGTGCTGCCTCTACGCGAGCCACGGAGAAACTGCGACATCGTATGTCGCTATGGCAACAAACATCGTCCTACAGAAGTTCGATTTGAATCCGGACATCTTGTGATACGAGTAAACACCGTAGCTTATTTAATCGTGTAAAATTGTAATAAAACGTTCGTCATTTAATATTTGAGCTGTCCATTTTTTAAGTACAATGGACGAAAACGCCGAGGCGATAGAATTTGAAGGTTATGAAAGTGTAACTACAGAGGAAGGATCAGACGAATCAGAGAAATACGAAAGTACTTTTCTAATAACAAAGCAACTGATAAAGGAAGTACAACAAGAATTATGTTTGGTCAAATTATGTTGGCCTGAAGTCGATGTCAGAAAAGATCTGTACCTAAGAACACTTCCAAGTAGTTACCATACCGTCAGTGGTAAAGAAAAGGTGCTCGCATGGTATGCTGAAAACTTTCGATGTCAATTTCGCACAAAATATCCTGATCGAAAGCCTCTGTTGCTTGCCTGCGAAAATGAATGTGGTATACAAGTAAGTTAGTTAAAAATTATAACAATTTGGATTAAATTATCTTTACGTTTTGAATATATGTATACAAGATGGCGGCGATAAGTACGACAAGTGTACGTTAAAATTTTAATTCAATTTAAATAATCGTTTTTATTTGTTTATTCTTCGTTTCGATAAAATTATATTATTTTTAAGTATTAAGTTAAAGATTAATCGAAAGACTCGAACATTATCTCGATTTATTATTCATCGCGTCTTAAAAAACTAGTCATTTATAATTGGCGCCATTTTTTCCCGCCCTATCGGATGTCACTTGCAATAGGACGCGTGTTTCGATAAACGTGATTAAAAGTGGTTCGTTTTTGGTGGATGCAGAATAATTTAATAAGGTAAATATTATTCATAAGTAATGAAATGTTAATCTTTACTAACGAAAACATACATTTTCACACCTGATTGGGTAAAAGTATGAACAAACGATAATATATGAATTTAAACGAACCCTTTCGCTAGCAAATAATGCGCATATCAATCATATAACCTATAAATTTAATGCGAATATATTGACTAGCAAGTGTATACATGTACCGAAGTAACTTTTATCGTGACATGTATAACAACTGATCTTTCAAATACTATTTACGTTGGTGAATACTAACAACACAGAGTAAACTCGTTCGCGTACTTTTAAACTCGATTTAATGCGTTATTAATTGAAAATTTTGTACATAACATTGGTTATATTTACATTACACACTTTTCTGCACATTATAACATGTGTGATTTTTTGTCATTTATCATAAAGTAACTTTTTGTACAAATGAAACAGTCCGACTTATAATTTACCTGTAACGAGGTGTTGATCGTAAAAGTAAAAAAGGAAGGTTAGTTCTCACGTTGAATTTCAAAAGGATAAATCAAAAAATATACGGAATACGTTCGTGTTTTATTTCTCGTGGTGTATTCTCTTTGATAAATAACTCTTCGACTCATCGTACAAAGGCATTATTCTCTCCATATATAAAAATTAAAACGCGTTATAAATAAAATTATCGTAATTTTACCATTTAAAAATTTGTTCGAGTCGTTCAAGGTGATTTTTTATTATTTTTTTTCTTTTTTTTTTTTTCGTCAAAGGTAACGAGGAATGTCGAACATCTTGAAATAGACTCCATAAGCATCTCATTCTTTGTCCTTTCGTCTCTTTTTGTTATTTAATTAATTTAACTAATGGAAATAACTGCGTTAATAGGAATCTTTCTAATACACTCGAATCATCTCCTCTACGATCTAAATAATAAAAATAAACTTCGCTATACATTTATTCATACATGCTTTCAATGTTCTACAATACATGGTATGCACTTTGCGTGCAAGTGCACGGTCACAGTCTTATTTACACGTACTGTCACTCGCGACAGCACTTTCTTCACTTTGGTTTCCTGTTTTTTTTTTTTTCTTTCTTTCATTATTCGAGCTTTTATAAATACACTTTGCTAAGCCGCAAGATTATTTTTCCCCCGGTTTGAATGCGATAGGAACAATCTTCGTTTCACCAAACGACATTACATAAAATAAAAAGAAAAAAAGAATACAGTAAATGCTCTTCCGACTGTTATAACCTCTTTTCGTGATCTAAAACGGCAAATCAATTTGTACATGAACAGAAAAAAAAAAGAAAAAGAAATAAATATGTGAAAGACTCAAAAGAGAATCTTTGGGGGGAAGAATCTTGGCGTAGCAAAGTTACTGTTTAAGAGTAAGAAAAACAAAATCACGAGATAGAAAGTGTCTTTATAGTTAAATCGTTTTTTTTTTTCTTGTGCAGAAATTCGTGTCTACGACTATCAGACGAAGTACGCTGCCATATCCGGAACTGTACACGTGGCAGGGGTGCGGAAAATTTGTCAGTGACTACATCGAGTACGAGCCACTGGACAAACCACTCGACATGGTAAGTTAGTCAAACATCTTATTTTCTCGTAAAGCTAAGCGACGAAGGTCCTTAAATATACATATATATATAATATATAATTTATCATCGATATAACAAACATCGTCTTGTTTCCATTCTTTTCGTTTTGTTTGGACCATTTAGTTTCGTGCGAGAGTCGCGTGCACGTACATTTAACCTTAATAAACGCGCTAACAGAACGAGAGGTAGAACTGTTTGGGGAGGGAAAAATAAAAGCGCAGTCCACAATACGAACATCGTGAAGCCATTAAATATATTCGCGCGATAATTAAACGTAAACACGCAACTGAAGGAAAAAAATTGTTTCGTTCCCGACCATAGATAACCCAGTTCGCGATCTCGATTTTTTCTTTTTTTTTTCTTTTTTTTTCGGACGCAGCATCTTTCCAGGATCGCTTCGTCGATAATCGTTTATCTCTAGTCGAGAATTTCTAATTCCTTTTTTCTCTTTCTAATCCGATCCGCAGGCGCACGCGCTCATCCATACACACGCATTTACGCTAACGAATGATAATGATCCGATAATAATAATAACTCTCTACGAACATCTTAACTTTTATTATAATTACAACAGTCCATTTACGAATTTGGTATATCCTCTTATGTACAACGTTTTCGATAAAGACAAGATCGTTACGACCCATTTTGATTCGGCCCGACTCCCAAATAGTTGTAGGTAACTCAAAATACGAAACAAAAATGAAAAGAAAGAAAATACGAGGAGCGGGATGTGAAACACGATCGTACATCGTTCTCTTTTAAATTACGGAACGTAACAAGCTCGGGAGGGTAGAAACACAACTAGATAGTCCGGTTCGTACTCGGCTCCTCTCTGTCGCACACAGAACACACGCGAATCACGGGGACGATACGACGAAATGACAAATCGTTTCGATGGGAAGAAAAAAAAAAAAAAGGGGGAAGAGAGTTCGAACGAAAAGAGATCATCAACGAACTACCCTAACGCTTTCCTATTTCATCAACTAATCTCTCTCTTACCGAATCTATCGTCTATCTTCTCTACCGTCTGTTCGTCTCAGCCCGGCGTACTCCACCGCTCTAGCGCACTCTTTCTTAAAGATATATATTTTTAGCATCACAGCTTGTCTGTTCGCCTACTTTCTGCTTTGTTTCGAGCTAGAGGATGACTTCTTCCTGCACGCCTTTAGATTGTCCAACAGATATTTGAACTGTATGATCTGAAGCCTCGTGACCGCGGGCTCGGAGCATTTGTCCAACCACTTGAAAAACTTCTCGCCGTGTTCGATCGCCTCCTCGGTGCTGGCTGGCACGTCCCCGGACGACTCGACGTCCTCTGCCGCCGACTCCTCGTCCATGTTCAGGCTTCGCTTCACGTTCTCGTTGTTATTGTTGCAAAGCACGTTGTCGAGCATAGCACGGGCTTTGCTCGGCGACGACTTCTTGGCGACCGGGCTCGGTGCTAGCGGCGTCGGCGTTATCAACGGGAAGCTGCACTGCTTGTACCATTGCCAGAACCACGAGCCGTCTTGCTGATTGATGCTCGGGTTGAAACTCGCCGACTGTTGACCGAGCAGCTGTTGCTGCTGCGTCAGCCATAGCCATAACGCCTCGTCGACTTTCTTGTTACCGCTCACGTTCCCGTCCTTTTTCGGTTTGCCGCTCGACCGTTGTTCACGAATACTGTTGTTCTCGTTCGTTTTCCTCGGCGAGGCTGGCACCGGTGTCGATGGTGCCTCCGCGGCAGGTGGCAGACTCTTTCTCGTGCATGATTTCGCGACGACCGAGTCCATTTGTGCCGGTGCGATCGCCGAGATGCTGTGCCTTTTGTTGCTTCCACCGTTCAAACTGTTCGCCGCGTTCGTTAAACACGGATTAATCGCGCTGTTCTTCGTGTATTGAAGTCCGTTCTCGACGAGACCGACTGTGCTGCCGTGCGAGAGTGCCGGAGTCATGCTCAACAAATTCTTGGCCAAGGTGCCAGTGGCGCCGGACAAGAGGCCCAATTGTTGCAGAAGCAACGAACTATTTTCCGGTCTCATACCGGCCATGCTGGTCATCAATCCGACGTAATCGATCTTCGGCTTGTTATCGGGTTTACCGTCCGCGTCGGTGCAAATGTCACCGGCGACATACGAGGTGCCCGCGCTCGTTACCGACGTCTGTTGATCTATTTTCGACTTCTTCACGCAAGGACCCTCGTCCTCGCTCGACAGATTCGCCGAACCGCCGGCCAAATTGCCCGCGGTTACGTTCGCGCCGGAAGACGAGGCGGGTGAGTGGGCTTCGCTATCCGGCGTCGACGAATTCCTCGCCATTCCTCTGATCTTGTGCTCGGACTTGCACCATCCTCGTAACGTCGATTCCGGTACACCGATGTCCCTCGCCACCGATGCCTTGCTTTCTCCTTCGTGCACCCTTTGGATCGCGTCCATCTTCTCGGAAGCGGAAAGCGCCCTTAAAGGTCGCTTACCCGGTCGTGCCGACTCGCCCCTCATCCCGGCGAGACGACTATCCTTGCTGCCTTCTCGCAAACGATCCTCGTAACCGCTGTCCTCCGTCGTCGCGACGATGCCTTCGTCGTACGCCGTCGGATCTATTTTGGTGGATTTGCGATCCCTGCTGCTCCGCGTCCTATTGCGACCGTCCAATAACCGATCGGTCTCGTTCACGTAAACGTCTAGATTCGTCGTCCTTAAATCCAGGTTGATGGCTTCTCGGATAACTTTCTTCCCTCGAAATTCAATTCGCCTCCCTCTTTTTTTTTCTTTCTTTCTTTCTTTCTTTCTTTCTTCGTCCTCTTTGTTCTTCTGTTCGGTGTTCTCAAGAGTCCACCGTTGTCACGAAGCGTCAGCAAGCCTCGAGCGGTCTTGTGACGCGCGAGAAGGCGATCGATCGACGTTCACGTTCCAGATCGCGCCATCCGACTATATCGGGCCTGCGTGTGGACACGCGAGGAATTCCAATTGCTCGTCCGCGAGACAGGGGACACACGCGCGACGTGCTCGATAAAGAAAGAGAGAGCTTCAACTGCGATTCCTTCGAGGGTCGTCCGTTTCGACGAACCTCCTCCTCCTTCACTTCGATACGATGGTAATCGTAAACGATCGACACTCCGAACGCGATTTCGAAGAAGAACGGTAACGATACGGGGAGAGATCCGTACGCCGTACCGTTGCCACGGCGTGTGGCAGCGATTCGTATCTCGCGCAGTAGTAAATAATACCGTGTGTAAACGTGGTTACGCCGGTCGGGGGAGGTCCTCCTCCATGGAACAGCACATGCGCTCACAGAGAGTAATAAAGAACTTTTTTATGAATGAAACAACTCGGTCGGGCGGTTCCCCTCCTCGTCTCGGCTCCTCGTCTGCCGCTCTCCCCCACCCCTACTTGACTCACTCTGTCTCTTTCCGTTCACCACACTTCTTCACTCTCCTCTTTCTGATTCTCTCTCTCTCTTGCTTGTCTTCGGAACCACGTCCTCGGCGCTAGCGCGAGTAAAACGGGGCACGTTGCTTCGCCGTTCTGTTCTTCGTTCGCGGGCACATCAGCCAATCCGCAGTCCGCGCGGGAAACGATATTATTGCTGTACCACGAGGAATAGCGGCGGCGAGAAAGATGGAATCGAGAGAAACAAAGACGGGGCTAGGCACACACGAGCGATCGGGAGAGAGGTGTATAGTAGAGAGTAGCACCGGCCCGAGTCGGATCAGTTTTCGCCGTCGCGTTATTCGCGCACTTCGTTCCGTAACGCTTCGTTCGTTTGATCGTCTCTCGTTCTCCGCTGATTATGCGCGTGTTCTCCGTCTTCTTCGCACGAACGGCTGCGTGTTCGTTGCGATAGAGATACACCGTGCGAGCGAGTGAGAAAGAGACGGTTGCCAGAACGAAAGAAAAAAAAAAAAAAGCACACACAGAATCGTCTCGACGCAACGACTCGTCGAAAGGACGGGCGTCAAGGACAAACGCGAACACGCGTCGTCGCGGATCAATTCGCGAAAAACACTGAAATTTTTTCGATACTCCTTCCTTCTTCTTCCGATCTTCTTGGTCTATTCCTCGACGATCGTTAGCGTGCGAATCGATTTGAAAATCGAAAAATTCGAAAGAAATCGAACCGTCTGATTTCCGGGAACGATAGCCGTTCCGTTTGTATCGACTCGTTAAATCGTGGTGAGCGTGACACGCGAAAAGTCTGTCGTCGACACTGATCGATTCTCACAATGTTTTTCACTGATATTTTCCCTCACTGAGAAACCGATTTTAATCGACGTTTATAATGCGCGCGGTTTCGTAGTATCTAAGCACTGAATGCGTTCGCGTGCGCGTGTATATATGAATACAGGATGATATAGCGAGGAATAATCGCGTTGAATAAAGTTGGTGACACCGGCGATCCTCACCTGACGGTGGATCGACCTCGACTGAACCGCCGGTGTGTGGCGCGTCGTTGGTCGCTGCCTTCGCGTAACTGCCGTGGGCCGTGGGGCGCGCGTCGCTTCCCTCGAGTGCCGAACCTGATCGCCGATCAGTCGATCCGCCCGGTTCTACGCCTCGCAGCTAACTGTGTTTCGATGTGTGTGCACGATATTACACGAGCGGGGCGCGACAAGCAACGCACGATGCCACGATGCTCTCGCGACGAATCGCGACGCTCAACTGCGGCGGTGGTCGCCGCCGGCTTTCCGCGGACTCGCGACGCCGTCTTCTCTTTCCCCCTCCGCGCCCCTCCACCCGGACTTCCCCTCGCCATGAGCCGGCACCGCGCCATTCGGCTCTCTCCCTTCCTCCCCTCAGCCCTCCGCCACTCCGCAGCCCAGCTTGCGCCTCGCCTTGCCATGCCATGCCATGCCATGCCACACTTTGCCATGCCATGCCGCGCCGCGTTCGTCTTGCTTTAACTCTCCGTACCTCGCCTCTTCCCTATACTCTCGCTCTTCTACGCTACCTATCGTCCCTTCCCTCGCGTCCTACCCTTGCCTTACCCTGCCTTGCCTTGCCTTGCCTTCGTCGTCTTCCTTTCGACCCTCGGTCTTCGTGCTGTCGAACCGCGCTTCTCTCGTTCTTTACCCCTCTACGCCCTTATCCACTAAAACCCCTCTTCAGTCCACGACCCTTTCGGCTTCTCTCAACCGTTCTTCGTTCGACGTCGACGTCGTCGTCGTCGTCTAACGTCGCCGTCCCTGTTCTTCGTCCTTGCGAACCTGACGCGACCCAAGCAATTTGTCCGAAAGTTTCGCGACCGCGTCTCTGCTTGCGCGCCAGCTTCGAGAACCCGGTGTGTCCGAGTTTCCGGTCGGGGCCTCGAAAAAATTTACGAGCGACGACGATTCTTTCTCGCCCGTGTCCCGTACGCTCGTTTAATTTCCCGCGATTCCAAGCCTCAGCCTCCCCATTTTTCCCTCCTCTTTCTCTGATATATCGAGGGTAAAGAAGCGAGAGAAAGAGAGCGAACCCACTGGCAAAACCCTTAAATCCGGCCCCACCTCTCCCCGTAGCCACGCGGCCCCTAGGGAAGAGCCGGATTTATGAGCACGGCCTAAAATCCGTACGCGAACGGTGAAGTTACGGAGCCGCGGAATAAGGAACGTCGCGGGTAATTCGCGGATAAATTTACCGCGTACCTTTGCCCGCCACGGCGTACATATTTACCGTGGTAAATACGAGGAACGGATAGCGGCGCACGGCTCGACCGGCACCTACGTCGATTTCTTTTTCGCGGACGAGAGAACGAGTCGCCCTACCCTGCCGATAATTATCGCGCGCGCGACCGAACACGACCGTGCCTCGAGCGTCGTACACACGTAAGTATGTACTTCCATACAGACGCTCACGTTCGCGCTTCGAACGCCAGTTTTGGCCTTCTCGGAGTCCCACTTAGCCAGCAACCGACCACGACATCGCGACGTTGATGACGTTGTACCTATTACCTGGCCCTCGATTCACCGAATGCCTCGAATGTCGCGAATTTTTTCCCGAAATATCGGCCTCTCGCGCGTACGGAAAAAAACGCGATCGCCATTTCTATAACCGTGTTCGAATCGGTTCACGGCTGGGAGGATCGATCAAAGTCGAACGCGCGTCGATGACGAGACTGGCGGGAAAGGCAAAACGAGAAAAAGCCTCGACCCATCCGATGCAATGGGGAAAAACAACGTCGAATTTTCATGCACCTGTACCTTACACGTACGCGCGCGTATGTGGGTAATACGTGTATCTAAAAGCCGGCTTGTATTATTTCCTTTTTCTTTTTTTTTTTCATCGATAAATTGGTGGTAGGAAAGGACGACGGGTTGTGTGTACCGTTATCGAGAAAACGGCGTTACGAAAATATTTCGAACGCAGCAGGAGATCGAAAAGATAAGCGGTGGCGCGGACGTCACCGGATACACCTTATCGATCTCGATATCGGTGGCCGAGAGAGGAGACGCGGTCGGACGTACGGCGACCGATTAACGAACGGAGAGTCGCGCAAAGGGGGAAAGGACGAAGGCGCGAAAGAGAAAGGAGGGAGAGAGAGAGAGAGAGAGGTGAAGAGTGGCGAGGAGAGAAGAGGTGGAGGAGGAGGTAAAATCGATCGACACGTCCTCTCTGGTACGCGGCGAGGCGCACTTTGCGCTCCGCGCACCGACAAGACGAAGCAAGACCGTGTTCTCGTTCGCCACTCGAGCCGGTAACCCGTACAATTAATTTTCACCTGCTTCCCTCGCGGCTCAGCCTTTCGCGGAAGGATGCGCGCGCCCGTGTTCGCGCGAGAAACAGACAAAGAAAGAGTAGGTTTTACACGCACTCGCCGTCCCTCTATCACTGTATGGGTTCGCTACGTGACGCGAGCCGTCTCGAAACGTAACGGTCGCGATCGTTCCGCGAAAAAGACACGCGTGTATATACCGGATGAGAGCGGAGAAAATGGCCTGGATTAATTTCCCGTTCAATTTTATCTTTTGATCGGAAATTCAAACGATTCCAAGCTTGAAATGCGAAATTCTGAAAAACTACTATTAGGATCGATGACGAATCACTGGCTAACTAATTACACGATGTCTCAGGGGATTAGCGACGCATTTGCCGGACGGTATAACGAACAATGAAAAGGGTTAGCGATTGTTCGGAATAGGCGCAGGGCTTGTTTACCGTTCGACGACGAATGACGAATACCTTTGGTGGCCACAGTTTTCGTGGAAACGGTCGCGGGATTAAGTAGACGGGAATCGACTATCGGTTTATCCGAACACGGATTACCGGTACCCTCCCGTGTACCTTATTATCGAGCGGCATTTACGACGCTTCTTTCGGCCTTCCGAGCCATGCTTAAGTCGCGTTAACCCTTTCAGGGGCAGATTTCTCTAACGAACAAATTATTCTGACGTCAGAATTCCAAAACTCGATGATTCAAAGTTTCCTTTCTTTTTCTAAAATTGCACCGAATACCGTGAAAAGAAGCGTAAAAGACTCTGCAAATATGTACGTATTCCACAGCCAGCCATGGGGTATAATTAATAATTCCATAGCGCTCTTAAATCATTCTCCTCGAGCCGGTACGTCCTCTTTGTCTCGCTTTTACGAGCGCGTAGCCGAGACGCGGATTAACTTGTTGTCGAACTCGGGACTCGACCTGACGAGACAAATAAAAGCGGCCAGTTTTGACCTGGGCCAAGTCGTTTTCGAAAAAAAGAAAAACGTAGAAGAAATTACAATACACGGTTTTACCCAGAGAAAGGTACAGTCACAGGTGTCCCAAAGTTATATTATCGGCGATCGTCAGTGGCGCGCAAACAAAAGACCGCCAGGATATAAACGTCAGGATGAGAAAATCAGGAAATGCGTTGTCGATCGTATACCGCTCGTTTCGTACGCTTTATTCGCCTCTTCAACTTTTAAGAGTCGTAACGTCGCATGACCGAGCCTTTATCGACTTTATAGACGGTCTTTGTGTCGTAACGTTAATACGGTCAGCGGTGGGGTTCCTAAGGAGCAGCGAAATTATTGTCTGGACGTTAACGATACGCTAATCGTCGGGAATGCAATTAGGTAGACGTGTCGTTAATACGCAATTAGCGACCGGGCTCGCTTATAGTTTACCCAACTTCGAGTGGTAGATCGAGTTGTTATCAACTTTTTTCACCAGGATGGACAATTCAAAGTAGCACTCGGAAAGTTTATGTTCGAACCGTTTCCATAGCCCACCGCTACCCCCAGCTTTGACGAAGACGAATGTGCCGGGTGTCGCGTACAGTCGTTGCCGGGCACCAAGGCGAAAGAGAGCGAGAGTAAAGTTCATTCATAAAAAAAAAGAAAATTATTACAGCCGCGGTGGAAGCGACTCCCGCAAAGTGAATAATGCCTGCCGTTCTCCCTTCTCTGTTCGCCTGGTCGACAGTCAGCCACTTCTGAACCACGATTATCCCCACTACGATCCTCCCTATCGTCGTTTGCAACCGTGAAAGATCTTCTCTGATAAACTTCTACCCTCCCACGCGGCCGACGGTCATCCCGAACGCGAAACGATTAGATTCCGAAGGTGAAACGAAAGTTTCGCCTCGACTTTCTTAATGCTCGGGGTTAATGCAACACGCGGGGTGTGGGTGTGGGTGGAAGTTTCGAAAGATCGTGCCGATATATCGACGAGATATTTCGTATCGCGATGGAGAAACGGAGATGAAAAGAGGGAAAGAGAGAGAGAGTAAGAGAGATGGAAAGATGAAGGGAGAGCGCATGTACGAGAGCAATGGGAGAACTACCTAACAGTTCCCGACCCGTTGACCCCTAAAGTTTGCCAAGCGAGAATTCGCATTCCGTGAATGGGGCAATTCATAAATGTATCTCCCGATGTCTCTCTTTCGTCTGCCGACTCTCTCGCACTCCCTTCCTCTCGTTGCTCCACGTGGATTTTCCATCGCATTCGTTTCTGCTCGCTTTCTCTATCTACCCCCGCTTCGAACAATCTCTACCCTCCCTGTCTATCCCTTTCTCTTCTATGCTTATCACCCTTCTATATGTACGTTTGTTGTTATTTTTCCCTCGGTCCTCTGCACGTGTTTACGACTCGATCGAATCTTTTGCGATATTTTCTCGAAAAACATTGCAAAAATAGCCACTTTCGAGCCGTGAAAATGGAATTAATTGCAAGAAGGGATGGCGCGCATAATTACGAGCGGATTCCCTCAATTGGACGGCAAAGTATAATCCCCGAACGTTCTCTGTTTCTCTTTCGTTCACCCTCTTCCTGTGTATCGCGGGCCGGTCCGCATACTTTCGCAAACTTTGTTTGCTGTTCTTGAAAACTTTTGAATCGGTTTCACTCCGGCAAAACTCTGTTCCCCGGCTAACATGAAAGATACATCGTGCAACCCTGTTGCAACAGCCGGTCATTCGAAAGGTGGCCGAGTAGCCAAGGGCCCGTTATTTGCCGGAGAATTAGCGGATTCGTGTTTCCCGTGAAATTCTCTCACGGGGATACGGTGGCCTTTTCTTTGTCGTTATTTCAACTGGTAAACGCGACGAACCCCTTTTTCTGTTCCGTCGCATCCGATGGCTTTCGAAATTTTCGTTCGTTAAAAACGGAAAATCGATACCGGGCCCACCCCCGCGATATCGAACGCCCACGCGGTTGTTACCTCGTGCCTGCACCTACTACACAACTCGCGCGTATCTCTGCGATCTCACACCTA